ACACATCAGATTATCATGCACATGACCTGATCTGGCAAGGTTACCTGATCCGGCACAGCTGCCTGATTTGGTGCTGTCGCCCACTCCGGCGGTGTTCCCTGATTCGGCGACGTCGCTTGATTTGGCACGGGCAATGCAGTTGCCTGATCTGGCGCTCGTTCTTGGGAGGAGGGAACGCCCGCAGCCGGGGGCGAGGCAGGCGCCAGAACAGGCGCGGTGTCTGAAGTCTGACTGGGGTTCTGTGATACGCTAGTGAGGCCCTTGCGCATCCAGCCGCCACTCGAAGCCTGCAGCTGCGCCTGTTCATAATAGTGATTGCTTCAAAATTCTGAGTACTACCGGTGGCATATTGCATATATATATGTGACAAATTTCAAATAGACTCCTAATCATCCTTGGTGACTGCCAATGATATGATTTTTCCTTCTCTCACTTCCTCACAATATGAACACATGATTTACAGGCAGCTCAGGGAGAAGTGACAATATATCGCCGTAGACGTGACAGCCTACGCTTGGAGCACTAGTGTACTGCTGCTTCCCAATAAGCTGTAAGAAGCACTTGGCTGGCGTGCTGAGGAAACAAAGTAATGTACAGAGTTCAAAGTGGACAATTACATGGAGATATTGAAAATTAAACAATCTATCTTTTGATGAGTACGCACCTGCTCTGCTGGCGGCACGTACTCCAGGCGAGGGCTGTGCAATACTTTCTTGGCCACATGAGCCCCAAAGTCCACCTCCGCAGCCTTCGCCTTCCTAGCGCTCCCAGCTTTGTCAGCCTCAGTCGCGCCTGCCCCACCAGGAAGAACAGTACAGTAAATGGCAATGCTTGGCACTTGGCACAAATTCCACAGGAAATATATCAATGAGCCTGACAGGACCCAAATACAAGGAACTCACGCAAGGAACTCCAAGATGCCTGTATCACGAGTGTCTCGACTCATGAGACTTACCCTGCAGATGCAGTCGGTAAAAGAAATACTGTAGTAGTCATTCTCAAACCCGCAATTAATAAATTTTTTTTGGCCAAAAAGGGCGGACAAAATAAGACCACATCTCCCAAAATAGAAAACCCATGATAATATTGAGACCAGTTTCGGAAAGCACTTAATAAGCCCAATCCAATGGAACATGACCCTGGTATAATTGAAGTCAGGAAGACCCCTAAAATTTGCTTTGAATAGTGTTAGGCACCGCCGGGGATGCGGGTTTCAGAATGAGCACAAAAGTAATAGTGAAGCAGCAGTGTCTGGACAAGTTGCCGCACCCTGTTGCGCTGGTAAGGGCGCAGCATCTGCATGGGCTGTCTCCTGCGCAGGAGCAGCCTTCTTCTTGACGCGCCAGCCGCCGAAAGAGGCTGATGCCGGTGCAGCTGCCGGTGTTGCCGCCTGTTCTGGCACCGCCGCCTGCATTGCAATGCAAATTGCCGATCACTGAATGATTGCTGAGCAGCACAGCACAGGCACCGCACATGGTTGGTGGAAGTTGAAGCCTGGGTTGTTTATATGAGTCTCTACTCCTCACAACAGGCGAACAAGCACATTTAGGCCCAAAGACGGCCATGTGCAATCTGGCGCATGAATTCAGCAAGCCAGATTCCCTGACCCTTATGCTGCCCGCGAACAGTAGTTCCACAAGCAGAAAAAAAGTAATGGTGCAGTTGCCTCTTCTGGCGTGGCTGCAGTCTGAGGCGTTGCCTCTTCCGGCACTGCCGCTGTTGCCTGTTCTGGCATGGCGGCAGGAGGCGTTCCCTCTTTTGGAGTGAAAGCGGGCTGCTGTGGCGTTGCCTCCGCCTTTGCTGCTGACAGGTCAGGACCTGCGGGCTGCGTGCCTTCCAGCTGTGTGTGCTGCGGCTCTGTGGCGGCAGCGACAGGGGCTTCCTCCTGCACATGATAACTTCAAGAATTTTGGCGGGCTCAAAACAATCTCCTTGCCTCTCGGAAGGGTGGGCAACCTGAGCAATCGATGGCTCATAGGTATTGCTACTTCCGGCGCAGTGTGCATATGATGCAGCATGCCTGCAGCTGACCCGGATTCGTGCATATGTTGGGACATAATTCTCCACATTTCAACCCTTGCCATCAAAACAAGTGGCGCCCGCAGCGCCCGCGAGGCTAATTTTCCCTGATGGGTTTGTTGCTCATCACCCCTGATTTCTTTCGTATCCCCACATCTCAGGGGCGTTAATTATATATCTCCAATCGATCCAAGTGATCACTAAGGAAAACCGACTAGAAGTTGATTGGCCAAATTGTGCCTGAGTGAACGCACCTGCGGAGCGCTGATCCCCAGGGAGTCATTCTGAGTGTCAGCAAGGATGAACCTGGCGAAGGCAGGACGGCTGGACAGGTCGACGCGCGACGTCGGTGCCTCCTCCTCGCTGTCCGAACTGATCTCCGGCTTTCCCTCCGTCAAAACGGCCTCCAGCGTTCCCTCTCCCGACACGGCTGGTAGCGTTCCCTCCGTTGACGCGGCCGGTGCCGTTCCCTCCGCCGGCCTGAGTAGTGACTTTCCCTCTGCTGGACCCCCAATGCGCGGCGTTCCCTCTGCTGGACCCTCAATGCGCGGCGTTCCCTCTGCTGTGTCCGGACCGATCCGCGGCCTCTCCTCTGCTGATGTAATCTGTGGCGTTCCCGCTTCAGTGTTGGGACCAATCCGCGGCGTTCCCTCTGACGGCCCGGCCGGCGGCGGCGGCCGCAGCGAGAAGCTGCTGCCGCTCGGCCCCGCCTCGGCGCCGCCGCTCGCAGGATTCCCTCCAGCCAGAAGTTGATCGCCCAGTGACGGCTCTGCCAGCTGTGTTGCACCTGCAGATGTGCCACGCTCACATCAGCTCTGCTCTTCCGTGAATTCTTCTTGGAATAATTTCTTGTTTTTCCCCCGTTCACAGATACATATCGCCTGTGATGCTGGCACCAAACCTCTGCACATAAATTTTTATTACTGTGCATTTTGCTCTGTCTTCTGCTTACCACAGAACTCACATCTGGGCTCAAGCCAATCAAGCGCTGCATTAAAAATCCAGCTGCAGCATTTGATAACATAAAGGCCTGAGCATGACAGAGCAGAGTGAAAGTTGAAGCTGCAAAAAAGACAGTACTGCCGCAGATAAGAAAGACAATCACACAAGTCAATTAGTATCACGTGAAGCTGCGTTTGATGCCATCTGAAAATTGTGTCTGACCTGTTCCTTGAGCTCCAGCTCAGACTCACGCTAAAGCTGCAAAAAGTGGAGAAACATGACTAACCTTGCAAGGCGGTTTGGGGCGATTCCTCGATTGGCTGCAGCGGCATCTGCAGCGGCGCGCTTGGGGCGACGGAGGGAATGCCGGTGTTTGCCCGCAGCCTTACTGCGGATGAGTCATCCTTCGGCGGACTCATCACCTCCTGCTGCGACGCCGTCGTGGCACCTGCTTCACACCAGTGTTTAAATTTCAAATTTGAAGAGCTGGAAAGGCAGTTTTTGCCCGGAGCAGAGGTCAATTTGCCTCAAACAAGCCAGTGCACGCAAAAATCAGTGCAAGGACACCATTGAAGAAGTGCCATCTGCTGAATGTCCCTCACTAGCAAACAGGGCATCAAAGGGTGAGACCACTTTGAGACTCCATGTGGCAAACACTTCAAAGCATGGCGGACTCAGGTGCAAGCCCGGCGCTTCTTGCTGAGGACGCCATCACATGCAAGAATGCTCACTGCGAAGATGTGCCGACTCAAAAAATGAGCACCTGAGAGTGGGGGCAGCCAGATGCTGTCGCCTTCATCGTAGTCAAGGCCCAGGTTCCCCGTGGTTCTGGAGCGCGTGGGGGACCGGCTGGGGGGACCGCCGCCACCGTCGCCCGTAGTCGCGGATCGTGTGGGGGACCTTCCCGGGGGACCCGCCGCCAAACCAGGACCGCCTGCTGGCCAAAAAATCCATTCATGCCCCTTCACAATTCTTGCATTCAGCCTCAATATATTCAAACTTCTGATATATGAGCAGGACATAGGAGGGCCGCAGCATAAGATCCAAAATGGGGGACAGAGAACACGAAACAGAAAGAACAGGGAGGTACATGAGACCAGCATGGGAGCAAAAGCTCCCAGGCAGCAGACAGGTAGCCTCTTCTCACTTGAATGCTTAGTGAGATAGCAGAAGAGAGACTCTCGCATTGTCTGTCAAGCTGAAAAGACACACATGGCATGGCTAATATCAAATTATATTAATACGTGTGCAAGTGCTCACCGTGCATGGCTTCGGGACCTACAGCTGCAGCTTCTTCGGTGCCGGTGAGTCCTGCCTCCGGCGCTGGCAGCTCCACTTGGGTTGGCAGAAAAATCGCCGGCTGCAGTGCAATCACACTCTTCAGTACTAATTCGTAAAAATACCACCTCAGACTTCAATTAGAAAGTGGTGCTCATGTGCATGCGCAGTGACAACACGTGTTCGGAAGGACAATCTATGCGCTGGTTGTTAGATACTCAAATGATGAGCGTGTAAGTTGGTTGTTGAACTACCGTGATTATTTTAATGTATAATTAGGAACCACACAGCAAAGTTCAAGTATGCGAATCAAGGAACATGCCTCAAGGCTTGGGGTCAGAGGAGTTTTGGTTTGGTTGGAGCGGCGAGACTTGAATGACTGCCAACAGCAACTGCAGTATGTTCAGATATCTGGCAACTGCTACCAGCAGAATTGTTTGGTGCCACGGCAGAGGTTACCAAAGAGTACTGAGCAGTATTTAGCAGTCTTTAGTAACCCCTGTCAGACAAGGGCTGAAATCGGACTGCAAGGGACCGAGCAGTAGACCTTATTTCCAAATTTTCCAGAGGCACACAATATAAAGGGGGTCAATGATCGCAACATTGACTTGCACATGTCACTTGCAATAGCGTCAAGATTATTCCCACATGTACATAGAAGCCATAAGGACACCCGCCTTGCTTTGAAAACAACATACAATCCCTATCATTCCAACAGAAGACACATGCTTTGACCCGTTGAAGGCTTGTATTGGTGCTTTCAACTACAACCTTTATTTCAGTTCAAAACCCAAGGGGGGATATATCTACAGAAGGAGGTTGGCCTTAAAGCGTGAGACTTGGTATATCAAGTATCGGTATATCAGAGCAACTAAACCAGCCCCTATAGTCGTGCAGAATATACATTCCACATTCTTGCCAGTTCTTTGGATCACAGGCAAGTCCTACTTGAGTACAGAGAGGACAAAATCTAAATCTGAATATAGTTTAGCGCCCTTGTTCTATCGAGAGCACAGTTGCAATTGAGGTCTAATTGCCAAACAGCAGGTGACTGCTGACAGCAGCATGTAAATTGGACATTGAAGTACCTGTCAAGCCCACAGCACAGCATCCGCTAGCTGCTCTGATCTTTGCAGCGAGCTTTCCCGAAACAAGACCCCAGTTCTCTGCTTGTGCAGCTAATTTCACGAGGTGAGGACTGGTAAGGATCCCACACAACACCCAGCAAACGCTGCAACAGATGCCACTGTGTAAGACAGTGGCGAACTTTCTCCCCAGAACTAAACACTGTGTGATGATGATGATACCTGAAATGTGCCGACCTGAAACTTCCCCAGAGACAATGCTCCCAACCCCCATGAAACAACAAGTGCAATTGCGTTCCATGTCATAGTGGAAACTAGAAAAACAGGACTGCTTTTCAAGCAGCCGGGGTGAGAAAGCATTTGCAAAGTTGCTGTGAGCATGGTGAACATGCCCTGCCCAAAATGGAGCCACGTAGGCTGCCCTGTCATGAAAGCACTGTTGGGCATTCATTCGCCCTCAGCAGAATTGATCTGCAAAACTCATCTTACTTTTTACCCTCGACAACGTCGTAGCGCCCTAAATGATGCCATTGCAGTGCTTGAGGTCCGGCCTGAAAAGTGCGCTCGGTAGTTTTTGTTCCTTGTTTTGAGCCTCTGCAGGCTGAGATTTGCAGTACACAGCAGGAGATTGTATCGAGGGCTGCAATCAGCCCACCGGCGTGCTCTCAGGCTGCACCCCCTTGTTGCCCCAGAGCGAGTCCATCACGGCGTGGAAATCCGCAAAGCCGGGGCCGGCATCGGCCTCGCCGCGAGACGGCGAGCCGGCGCGCGCCACCGGCAGCTGCCGGCAGAGCCGGGGGGACTTCTGCGGCTGCGCCTCGTCGTCAAAGGAGCCGACGAAGATACCCTCCGACTCCTCAGAGCTGCGCACGCGCTTGGGCGAGGCCGAGGCGGCGCGGCCGGCGCCGGCCGGCGGCGAGCGCGCTGCGTGCTGGGGCCGGCCGGACTCGCCGCGCGCCGGCGACCGCGGCGCGCGCAGCTGCCACGCCGGGCCCGGCGACGTGCCCGGCACCGACAACTCGTCGGCGCTGCTCTCGTTGTTTGGCATTAAATTTGCGCGGTGCAGCGGGTGGCGGCTCGGGGGAATGCCCTTGGGCCGGCTGAGCGCGAGCTTGGGCTGCGGCAGCGCCTCGGAACAGAAGAGGCTCGAGCCAAGCGCGGCGTCGGTCGGCACGAACGCCTCCGGGATCGGCGCATCGAAGGGGAGGGAACAACGTTGGGAGACCGGGCTGGAACCGAGATTCGGCATGATCCAGTCCTGCAGGCTCGGCAGCCGCTCGGCGGAGCTGCGACGGAAGGCGGCCCAGTCGTGGAGCGAACCAACTTTCTGTATCGAGCCCGCGCGCTGCATCGACGGCTGCCGCGCAGCAGCGGCGCCGAAGGGCGAGGGAGTCAACGCCGCGAGGCCAGGGCGCGGCTGCGGCCAGTTTTGGCTCGGGTCGTCCCCGGGGGCGTCCCCTCCAGCGAAGGCCGAAAACGGCGACACCGAGTCGATTGATAACCCTTTGTTCGCCGAGCGCGCGGGGCGAGGAATGCCCTCTGACAGAGCGCTGACAGGGGGAATTAATGCGCTGTGGGAACGCTGAGGGGCGGCGGCTGCGCTGTCTTGGAAGGCGGTCCAGGCTTGGGTGGGGGACTGGCGGTGGAGATCAGGGGGACTGCGGTGGTGGGCGGTGGTGGGAGCGGGGGGTATGGAGGGGGGCCGCGGGGCGGCATGCGGGGGCAGCGGGCGGGAGGGGCGCCGCACCTGCTCGGCAGCTACACCGCGGCTTCCTGCAGCTTCCTCGCCGACCGCCGCCGCCGCCCCGGCCTCCGCCGCCGCTGCCCCCTCCCCGCCCTCTTCTTCCATCGCATCACCGATGCTCATGTACGCCTGATCAGGCAACCAGACATCCAGTCAGCACCTGACAAATATGTCACTTCGAAGGACATTGCCAATCTGCATGCTTTCTGCCCTCATTGTATAGCAAATCCTTTTGAGAAGATGTCAGGCACAATCTGAAAATCATGAAAAGAAACTGCAGCGGATGTCAGGAAATGTTTACAAAGGAATGGCATTGCGCACTCGTGCAGTCTGGCACAGCTGGTGATAGAACACACCTGAGTCGCATCTTGGGCAGGCAATCCCGTGCTTGGCCCCTGAGCTCGCTCTCCCTGTGCCTGACCCTGCAGGACATGATCCAAACAAGATCTCTGACGGCTGATCTAACAGATTCAAATGACAATCTACTGTGCATGAGCAGCTTTCAAGCACAGCAAGAGGTATTCGCTGCTTCTGCTGTACATGTCACTAGTTTGGGCATCAGAAGCAAGCAAGAGATCACATAAGGGACACATTTCAGTGAAGGGAGGAATGCGAAGGATGCCAGGTGTCACACCTGGGCATTCAGCGCGGCAGCAGCTTGGTCCACATCCATTTGGCAGCTGACATTGCCAAATCTGAGCGTGTCCCCGTTGTTGATGGAATATCGGTCCCCCGATTGCAGCCTCAACAGGCTGCTTCCCCGCTCTAGGAACGTCTGCATCACAATTGAAGGTGACGAGAACTGGACAAGGTTGCAGTTTTATGAGGAGTCATTTGAGCGGCCTTGGCAGACCTGACAAAGGGGAATGATGTTTTGCAAATAGCAACCTCATCTTATTGCACAGCACAAGGTACAAGATTGCCATGCAAGTACAAAGATACGCAGCCGGGGATGGGGATGGGACGTCGATGCCTCACCTTGTTTTTGCTGTTCATGTCCTTGACAAAACACAGCTCCCCTCCCTTCTCGACATCTGCGCGCGATGGCACCTTTAGAATACTGGCTTGAAGAATTATTATAGGTTTCAGTCCACGTTTCTCGAATAAGATAGTTCGCTGCAGTTGCTGAGTGGCACAGAATATAGAATCGTATTGACAGTGACGCTGGGAAAACTTACAAATGATGGCATGTGGAGACGATATCAAACTGCTGTCCAAAAAAAGTCCTGCAAATCAGCAGTAAATGATTAGCTGGCGATGGAAGGATCGATCATGAAAAGGAGAAAAGACTGTGTGTCCCAGCATCAGGAAGTCGGGATGCCGTCTCACCGCTCACAGTGCCATTTCTACTGTATTCCCCGCGCCACCGTTCGAGCCGCTCATCGTCCTTTTGGGGCTGACTGCCGCGACGCCCCACAATGTTTTGCCCTGTAGTATGCAGAAAAAGTCAACAGTAGTAACACTCCGCCGGAGCAGCACGCGATCATCACCAATTCTGTGCTAGCGTAACGCTCAATCTCGAAACACTGAAAGACACGGAAAATCTCTTGCTGCAAGTTCCACACAATACGGGTGCACCAGGAAGGAAGGATCGGGGATGGCATCGATAGCATAATCACGTTCCCGCCAAGACCAAATATAGGCAGTCGTTGCCATCCCATCTGTATAAATGTAAGCTTGCAAAGACCCTACCTGTGTGAAGTGGATGCAGCTCTGACTGCCCTTCGGGATACGACATTCTGAGGCTCCCAACCTGCAACCCATGGCAACAACAAGGTCAAAACAAGATCTACTGAGTGCCATGGCTGTAAAGGCGGAGTAGACCCCTGCATGACACTACATGGGCATGCAAGTTGCCGTTTGGGAAATCTAGGCACTGTGGTGCTCGCCAGGAGCCTGGCATTGGACCATCATAAAAGAAGACATTACAAGTCCAACACCCGCGTGGTTCCATGCTGAGAGTTCCATAGTAGGACCGACCTGGATAGCTTCTTCTTGTTCATCGTCGGCAATGTCCTCGGGGCCCCAGTCTAGGGCCTGTGTAGTGTCCATCCCTCGGTCCTCAATAGACCTTTTACAACCTCAGTCAAGGTCTACTACCTCTCTCACCATAACAATTCTCTGTTCAGCACAACTGCAAGCTTGGTTCGGAATCTCACGCAACTATCGGAGGTGTGTGGCGTCATACAGTTTTTGTCAATCACGAAGATTGATCGCATCATGACACGAGAAAAAGTGAAAAACCTGTCATCCGGCGTTCCCTTTTAATAGCGGGAATCACAAGTTTTACACAATTTTTACTTGATCTGGAGGGATTCAGGACTTGAAGGACAGCTGTGGATGAATGTTTGTTTTCGTGATCGTTGTCATGTCATGTCCGTGCGGGCCAGCGTCACGACGAGTGACTGCTTCTAAATTTACTTCTTAAACTTGTGGCCAAGGCGCCCTAGCAGCTGACCTCCTGCGTGAATGCTGTGGCGATTAACCGATTGTGTCGCAGTAAATGGCCTGGATCGATTAGTACTAGCTCAAATTACAGCCATAGTCCCGCATCAGCATCTCCTTATGTCTCGATGGCTCAGATCGGCCCCTCGCCTCTGACTGACGCAGGGTGCGAGTTTATACTACATACATTCCAGCATTTATACGGTTCTCATTATGTGGCTCACATGATCCTCTTTCATCTGACAGGTTGGAGCACCAGACCCTCAGAGATGTGCCACCGAAGGCAAGATCCCTGCTGAACCAAGACTGATGTTCCTGCATGCAACTGCCTTTGCTCACCTAAGAACATCCTGCAAGAGCGGAACAATCAATGTAACCCTGAACACAAAATTGCCAAAGCAGCGGCATATGTACTGCTTGTACTGCTGAGGCTGCGCAAGATGTTTGTCTGTGCTGTGTCACAGGATGTCTTGAAGGCAGCTAGGGGATGGAAGGCATGTGGCATTGATCGCTCAGTATGGATCTTTATTCTTGCCCATGGCTGCCTCTTGGCCCTTCTCCTCCTCTCAGACTCTGACCTGTCACGGCATGCAACAGGTATTCAACCACCCCTTTGCCACACCCATTCAATCCTCCCCAAGGATGCAGTTGATGATTTCTCTCTCAGAGACCTTCGTGATTAAATACCTGTTCCAGATTTCTCCAGAAGGCAAGGCCTCTTTGTTTTCCAGCGTGAGTTGCGGCTGCTTTGATTATATACCTAAATAGTAGTAGTATGCAGACACACATAGTGGGGTGGGATTATCAAGGGCGGAAGATTGAATAGAATTTTCAATTAATATATGCAGGTGCATTGTCGCCTGGCAGCACACTTATAACATGGGATCGTGCCTACGTGGCGTTAGTCACCGCCAGCCTGGGGCTGCATGCGTTCCTGTTCAGGCGCCTGTACCGCTCTGACCCCGGCTGGGTCAAACCAGGGGGTGGCCCTGGGGTGGAGGAGGGAATGCCACGGCACAAGTGCCCCCATTGCGGCGCATACCCCCCTGAGCGCTCCAGGCATGACTTCAACACGGGTGCGTCCCCATGTGCTGATCATCAGTCTTGCAGTCAAAAATGAAATGAGCATGAAAGGGTTGTCGTATCCGGTCAGTAGAGCCTTACAAGTAGGCGCATGTGAAATTGTGTGAAAGCACACAAGCACCTGTCACCGCCAGTTGTGATAAGCAAAGATCAGCTCTGAAACGCTGCAATCCCGACTCCATTTCTTGCCTGCGCACAGACTTCTCATTGCATTTGATGAATGTGCAATCCTTAGACATTGAAAAGGATTGCATACATGTCAGCAGAAGATTCAGGTAGAGGGATGGGATAGTTGGTTGACACAGGGCTGAGGTGCAAATGCTGTTCTGCAGGTCAGTGCGTTGCCAAGTTTGATCACTTCTGCCCGCTGATTGCCACCTCTGTAGGAGACCTCAACCACAGCCTGTTCTGGTGTGTGCGAATTCCTGATGTCCCCTTGGCAAATTGCATACTCTGAGCCTGATCACCTGCCATGCATGTATCTCACCTCTGCCTTGACCCATCTCTGGTGGCATTACTGCCTAGGACACTCATGCATGCATCTGGTCATGCCAGCATCGCTTCCTCTTAATAATTATGGACTCAACTTCACCTCTGGCTAAAGTCATTTCTGCCGGCATGGGTGTCAGTCCTGGAAACGCCTACAAGCATCTGATCATGTCAGCACTGGTCTTCCCAGGATACACAGAGGCGCAGCCCAGAGGCTTTGCGTGTCATGCTCTGTTGCAGGCATTTAGAAGTAAAAATTGTTTGAGACATCATAATCTAGACGTCTTTCATCAGCTGTGAGATTGCCTTGTTGGGCTTGTGCAGGTTCTACTGTGCCTTCCAGGCTTTTCTGATAGCGTGGGCTTGGACCGTAGCTCTGGATGCAGTCATTCCATGCCTCTACGGCAGCAGACCTGAGACGGTGAGCCCTATTCCCCTTCAACGTCTCAAAATCAAAATCAAAATCAAAATCAAAATCACTGTCATCGCCTGACATCATAATGCTTATAGATGCTTGTAAGGGAAAACCGGTCCGGGACAGGTATTTGGTAGAGAAAGTCAATCGGGAAAGTGCAAGGAGGTGCTTTCTGCGCTATTTGGAATAACAGCTCGTCATGGCCGCCAAAAATACTGCAGGAGGAGGTCTTGAGAAAGATGCCCATAGTCAATCACTGCTGGGAGGGATTTTGAGCCTTGATTGGCTAGAACATGTGTGCGACAAAAGTCCAGTTTAGAGACCTCACTCTTTTTAAAAGATCTGTTCATATTCTTTTCGTTCCTTGATTTCACCAGTATTGGTTCATTGAACTCTTTGCCATACAGCCCTGCTGTGATGGGCTGTCACCTCTGATTTTTAGATGTTCATATCTCTTATGGATTAGGGTGAAGGGCTTGGGTAGTTCTAAACACAAAGAATCCTAGGAGTGATCTTTCTACGTGTAATTTTCTGGCCTTTAGCAACCGGATGACCTCCAGGTGGGGTTCCCTATTACAGTACTTAGAGCAGGTATTTGCAAAAGGCAAGCCTGGCTCGGTCAATGAGGCACCACAATCATTTGAGTATTGAAAGAAAGGACATGGTACCATCACCTGCACTCATAGTTGCACCATACGGATTCGGCCATTCTTCATACGGTGAATATTCGGTCGTATATTCGGTGTTTTGGGCCAAAATAGGCCTTTTGTGACCGTTTTCCGTATTTATTATACCGTATGACCGTATATTTGGCCGTATATACTGTCCCCAAAAAGTGTTCTGACCGAATGGTGCAACTATGCCTGCACTTGAGCAGGAGAGTCGGAAATGCGGTTAAGCATCTCCTGTGCTGTGTGCAGGCTGCCTGCTGGCTGCTGGTGGCAGCGGCTCTGGGGCTGGTGCCGCTGTTCAACTTTTTTGCCGGGCTGGCTCTGCTGCATGGCTATCTGGCCGCCAGCGGGCGCACCAGCTTTGAGATCTGCAAGGGAGCCAAGGTGTGCCCCATTTGGTGTACAGAGGCATTTTAAGGTTGGCAGGCAGGGAGTAATATCAATGACAATAGTTACTACAATTTAGAGACCTTCTGGGAGCCACCTCAGGGCCACCTTGTTGGTCTTGTAGGCAGTCTGTCACTGCCCCTCTTCATATCACAACCTTCTCATATGTCTAAATTCCGTCAAAACTTTGGCAATCCAAATACTGCTCTGGCCCAAAATTGCTTGCAAACATGGTGGTGCAGGACCAAATTGCTCCGAGTACTTTCTCCTAATTGACATTCAGAAGGCACTCAATAGCTAGCTGCATGGCTCTGCTTGCGCATAATCTCTTAGTGCACCTTCGTACATTCTTGCTGCACTGGCATAATATAAAAATCCCGTGCACGAGAACAGAGAGGTCACCAACGGTTACAGCCGGCACTGCTGTCTCTGCTGGACGTACTAATGTGTCACGCCTCAAGGAAATGATCAGAGACACTTGATTTGAATAGTAACGCGTATCATCCTCATATGTTCACTGTCGCTCAGTATTCAGGAAGCCATTGCAGGAGTTGAGTGCTTGCAGAAACAGCACAGCTTCTGGTCGAGAAAAACCCACGTACACAAGAGCTAATCTGGAGTTGCATGCATGCTGCCGCAGGTGGAATATTTGAAGCCTTACTATGACAGCTACAAGGGCCCGGCGCAGTTTGGTCTGACTGCCAAGGGGCTTGGATCGCTGCTGAGGGAGTTGAGGAAAGGGAACGCCCCGCCGGCGCCCTACAGCCTGGGAGCTGCCGAGAACCTGAATATGTTTTTCTTCGGAAAAAAGCCCCATTTGTACAAACGGACTCACTGTGTCCAGGCTGCTGTCTGATGGCACTGTTTTTGTATGCACTAGCTATCGAGAAGGTACGAGATTGCGTATACTGCTGCTAGGCATTTGCAAATTTTTGTATAAATTCTGAAGATCTGATGCCTATAGCTGACAGCCTGTTTGCTAGTACAAACTCAGATGCTGCAGGGGTTTCATTTATTTTTGGTCTCTGTTCTGGTACAGCATTTTTCAGGTAAGTAAGGGGTTTGTCAGACATTTACTGGCTTGGCTGTGATGCTGAGAAAGGGCACCCAAAACGAGGAAGGGTCCTGCTTGTGCATGCCCCCAAAACACAGCGTACTGCCTTGCAACTAACAGAAAATGCAGGTGAATGTTTACAATTGTCAGAAGCTGCCTCTCTCATCTGAGCTGCTTCTCTTTGCACCAGTACTCAACAGCAAATAACATCTTGCCAATGTAGTCCTGTGGCATCAAGCTCGGTATAACGTGTACCAGTAGACGCAAGCGCCCTTTACCTTTTTCAGTCACAAAGAACCAGCATTTCAAGGCCACGGCGAGAAAGTCATAATGATGAAAACAATTGAGAAAAGCCACTGCTCGGGCACATGGAACCGCATGCATCAAGCTGCCTTCACCGCTGTTTGCACAGTGTAAGATTGCAATCTGAAGCAGCTGCAGACACAGCAACTGGCCCCATGTAACACCGCTTTAATGCAGCAGCTACCTTGCAGCTGCTGCAGTAAAAGCCAGCATGCTTTTTGGCTGTACCATTCTGTGCGACAAGAGATGTGCACTGTTTTCTCAAGAGTGCAAGCTAATTACTCAGGAGCTAACTACTCAGGCACGAGGAAATTCGTCTATGCGGCTGCAGTCATAGCAATTGACCCTGTTGCCGGGCCCTTCTTTGAAACAACGGTTGTGCAGCTGTTGCGGTTGAGTTCGCCCCTGCGCCACTCTCCATTGTAGACCGTGCCCTTTGCTGTCGTCATAATCCCCCGGCCGTGCCGCAACCCTTTCTCAAATTTCCCAATGTAAGTCGCCCAGTTTGTATATCTCAGTGCCCCCAGATCGTGGAAATCCCCCTGTCAGCCAGTCAATCAGTTGGTTGATCAGTCATTTCTGCTCGATTAGTCATGTTTTGTGTGAGTGAGTGACTCACTCCGTCAAGTCAATCAGGTAGCACGCCACATCCGAAGTCTGGCATGTAAAGCAGAAGGAAGCAACCAAGTGTTTTGCAATAACTTTAGAGTTGATCAGCTGCATGGCAGGTGGCCTCTGTCCAGCGCGCACAGTGAGTGCATGCATAGACAAAGTACAGAGTCTCCAGTAAATTAATGTTGCCAAAATGCCCCATGACCAGGAAAATAGGAAAGTGATACCACACCTGGGATAATGCTTCCAGTGTATGCGCTGCCGTCCGGGAAGTCTACGGACCCTGCTCCATGCAGCAGCCCGTTACGGAACGTGCCCGTAGCCGCGCTGCCGTCGCCGTAGCGGTAGCTGCCGCGGCCGTTTGGCTTGTCGCTCGCAAAATTACCCCAGTAGAAACCTCCGCCGGAATAGTTCATCTCCCCCAAACCCTCTTTCATGTTCTGCTTCCACTGTCCAGTGTACACCACATCCTGCGCATGACACAGCCTTCAGTCGAATTACTGATACATATTCGTGCACATTTAGGTGGCGCCTTCTGGCATATTACAGCATGAGCTCTGGATGTCTGGGATATGGTGCTTCTCAACAATTACCACGGCAGAGCAAGCAGTGCCTGTGACAAATGAGAGCATTCCCAAGCATCCTAATTGCACTCAACACGTGCGCAATGATCGCCATGATCGCAGGTCAGCAATCCCAAAGTCGAAGGCCATATGGCATACACGCGGGGCTTCTGCAGCCGCATCTGCAGTGCCTACAAAGGTCTGCAGCCTAGTGTAATTTTGGGCCATAGATGCTTTATGCTGTGTGCAGAAGATTTGTAGTATTGCAGCGGCCGCTGCTGCAACCAAGATACTTGCCGTGCTGTGTATTCAAGGACTCACCAGGTTTCAGAACAAAAAGACTGGGGCTAACCAATGTTGGGCAGGGTTGTTGATGCTAGCAAGAAAAGAAACATCACCTTTTCGGTCCGGTAGCAGCCAAAGCCGTGCCGCATGCCACTCAGGAAGCCGCCTTCATAGGAGTCTCCATTTGGGTAAGTCTCCCGGCCCTGGCCGCAGATCTGGTCGTTTGCCCACTCGCCCTCATAGCTGTAGTCATTTACCTGCCGGCAGATTCCGATGCCATGCCTCTTTCCACCCTGCACCCACATTTCAGGAAATAAACTTACCTTTTTTGCAGGCCTGGGCATGTTCATGTGCATGCTGCCTAAGTTGCACTGGCTTTTCGTCAGCAAGTTTTGTCAAGAAATGCTGGAATGGGCTTGCTGGTCAGCTGAGCAGAGCACGCTTCAAAGGCATGCATGCATTCTATGCCACTGTGGGTGGAATGCTGCACAAGGCGGTAGCTTAGGACAGTGGAAAGAGCCCTCCACAGCTCAACCATGTAGCACATCTGCAAAAGCTGTTGGGCACAGTAAAAAATGGCGCAAACAATGGCGGAATCTGCTGCCGCACCTTGAAGCCTCCGATATAAGCGCCGCCATTTGCGCACAGCTGCTCTCCTTGCGTTACCTCGTCTTGCACCTCAGCCGATGCTTCTTTCCCGCCAGCTTCCCCAGCTTCTCCTGGTTTCTCCTCCTGCCCAGCTTCCTCTGGCTTCTCACCGCCAGCGCTGGCATCAGCTGTATTCTTGCCCTCTGTGCTCTTTGTGTCCAGCAGAGGTGAGTCATCTCTGGTCACCCTGGTTGACTCGTGCACGGCTGCCTTTTGTGCGGCTGCATGCAGCTTCCGGGCAGCTTCCAGCATGCTGTGCGCAGCTTCCGCCTTGGAATCCTCTTCGATGACCCAGCAGGGGTAGGAACCCTCAAGAGGCTGTATCATTCATAAGGCTAAAGTCAGCGACAGTAGATGAAATGACTTCACCCTGAAACAGCCAATCTAACACTATTTCATATTTTCCCTGTTGTGCAAGATTCTTGGTGTTGTGCCTGCTACTCGTCAGGGACAAGAACCAGCACAAACCAACAGGAAAAAGCCTGCATCTAGAAAGATTCAATGCCAAGGCTACGGAAGCGGACCAGCAGACAGAGTATGTGATTCTGCACTGCACTCTCTGATCAGGCTGCTAAAGGGACTTAGACCCTTGCCGTGTTCAACCAAAGATGCACACAGGGAGCTAGCCAAATTGCATTACAGGTTAGTTGGAAGTTTCATTACGCGCCAACACTCAGGCGCTTGCTTCCGCCTGGTGTCCAGTATATTTTGGACTGTCAGCTTTGTCGGAGAGTCATAGGCACCTTGAACAGTGCTCTCTTTGGCTGCAACCTAGAGAACTTTTGGAGGCAGAACAGACCTCCAGCAAATTGACCGTGTGGCATCCTTTGCGCTCAAACTGGGGCGGGGCGGGCAAGCTGTCTGGCATCTCCTTGGCAGCGGCCTTCCTTGAGAAAAGAAACCTGCAAGATCAGATAATCAGTCAGGCTTTTAGAGAGGCTTTTTTTCTTCTTGAGGAAGCGCCTGTCAAGGACGGCTCTATAATGTCAACATAAATCGTTATTACGAGAAACTATCCGACGTCTTCGTCAGATCGAAATGAAAATCTGGAAGATCGGCTGTGAGAAGTGCAGAGCTGCCAGAAACTTGACTTATGGCGAGGAGATATGCGATACGCAAACTCCTTTGGATTGGCCTACACGTAAGCGAGATCTCACCTGCTGAACACCATTGTCTGCTTCTGTCTCCTAGTAGACGACAATCTGCAAATGATGTAGGGATCCTTGTGGTGCCTCAGGTGAGAGAAGGCGTCTGCTTCACGCTTGGGTACTTTGCTTGCCACACGGGGAGTCTTGAGGGTTCTCTTGCGCTTCGAACACTCAATTTCGTATCAAATAATTCCGCTCAATGCTTCAATTAATTTTGATTGCCTGTCGCTCGCAGCTTCTAGATTGTCCTGAGTGCAAAGTCCCCTGATATTTGTTAATCCCCTCCGCGGCTGCCAGCAGGTGCATTGCCGTGGGCCTGCGCCGCAGCATATACTGTTCTGATATTTCCGCAGCATCATTCTGCATATCCATCATCTGTGGGGTCTGGTGTGATATTCCGATGAAGTAAAGCTTCTGCCGTTCTGAACCCCACAGAAGCTCTCGTTCGTCCGTCGCAAGCCGTTGCTCTACGTTATGGCGGGTGCAAGGTGATGGATCGGTCCTCTGAAACACTCTTTACTCCTTACGCTTATATGCCTGCAGTTGAGATTTGCACGCCGTTTGCTAACGCTGCGGTAAATAGGCTGGCAACTATAGAACGTTTTAAGCTCCTAATACTTTGACCGTCTGCAGGTTGTTGGGTTCTCAAGGCAGGAGGCTGCAGTCTCATGATCCCCCCGGAAGCCCCCACCCTTTCTGAGAGAGCTGCCTGTGCTGCACAAAAGCAACCTTCCTGATTTTTAACAGCCTCGCTTTCCTTTTCGCCCACGGAGCCACAGGGGTGGCTGTGGTAGTTCCCTGGCTGCACCCTACCGATAAGAGGAAGCCGGCGGTCAATTACTGGATGTGAGCCGGCCTGCTCCTGCTGGTTATTATAGTGGTGTGTTTCACTGCCGCCTTTGCAACAGGAGGCCCTGTAAGTGGCGGCTACGCTGCTCCTGAGCCGAGCTGTGGGGACCTCCCCTGTGACAAAGGGGGAATTGCAAAGACCCCGCATACCATTTACTCAACATCTGCCCGCCATCCAGCGCAAAACGCAAGGGGCGATGCTGTGTGCCTGCTGTACAGGAAAATACGCCTGCATTGCAGCAAATGTGCAAGAAGTGGCCCAATGATATGACACCGCAGTCAAATCTTCCAGTGCAAGCCTTCACAACGTGCCTTGAGACCAGTTGACAGCATGGCAGAAGAATCACACTTATCATGCTCTCACTGAGCGAACTATTTCTGCGAATTACCGTCACAGTGTACAGTGTAGGAACGTGGCAAGAAATGCATGCCATCAGCGATTATTTGCTTGACAGCAGTCACAAAGCCAATTGCCCAAGCAATTCAGATTTACAAATTTGCATGATAATTGTTCTCAGAGAAGGAATGATGACGGCGTGCATGAAAAGCGCATTGACAGGGCCACCAGAACATCTGCGGCCCTCGGAATCATCACGAGTCATGCATGCTAAAGATCAATATTCAACGACCATAGCATGTGTTCGTCACTGCCACCAAATCATCTGTTTAATTAAGCAAAGTGAGAATGTGCAGCTGGGAGCACTTGTCAAAATGGTCCGTGCAAGCCGTCACCACCGGAGTACTCAGAACCTATAATTCGGGCCTGGATGGGCCAAAACGCTCCCCGCCCAGTCATTTCAGCCTTGCGTCCTGTACGCCGTGTAAGTTGGCCTGAAGTTTTTGTCAAGGGTCTTGCTAGACCTAGTCATCTAATTGCTAATGCCATCTCCAAAATCTGATTGACCTGTCTTCAGTATCTTGCATTCTCCGTTTGTCCTGTCAAGCAGCATATTGAAGCAGAGCATCAAGAAATACTGGTTAGCACAACTTCAGCTGATGTGGCCTGTAAATGTTGTTCACTGTCTCACAGACCGTGTCGACAGCTTGAGCCATCATGATTGCCGGCTGATTGGGGATTTTGGGAGATATCACCGTCATATTTTCTTTCTGATTGTGCACCTCAATAAACTGGCTCGTAGTTTGTTCAGACTGCCTTGAGCAGTCAACCACATTGTTTCTGCAAAATAACTGATTTGACACCCCTTGTAGAGGTCAAGCCCGCACGCCAGTATTGCTTGGGGTACAGTGCTATGGATCTATGTTTCCATAAGGGCAGTAGACTCCCATTTCGCATATACCTGGGCCTATCCCATCAGGGCTGCAACAGCTGGGTCTGGGGCAGACAGCAAGCCTCGGTCCACAAGCCGCACCTACGTGCAAACATGGCGTGCTGTGAGCGCCAGAACATAACAGGACCAGTGTATTGGTTTATCGTATGGCCGATGGTGACAGACTGCCTGGTCCACAAGGATTTCTGGCAGTGCTGGAGGAAGCTCAATCTTTTAAATTAGACTCATTGGAACCAGATGATGTCATTTGCAACAAAAAATGCAGAGATGACAATGTAAAGATTTACCGATGACAGTGAGGGGCTGCAAGGATGCCGTGGCAATCAACCCTGCGGCACCATGAAGGATTGCATAAACAGGTGCACCAAAGTACAAGCGCATTCTAGAAGATATGCACTGCTGCAGATTCGTACATCAAAAATTTCATTTGCATATGATAAAGCCACAGAAATAAGAAGGAACGTCTCGGATTCCGTTCCGTCATACCCAGTACGATGAGCAGAACAACGGCGAGGTGCTGCAGTCGGAACATATGGACGCGCAACAGCAGCGTAGGAAGATATCAAGAATATTTCTTTCGGAGATTGTTTGTGAGGATGTTCCAGTTATGACGTCCTGCGAAGGCTGCAAGCAACTTCTGGTCTAACACCGCTGAAGATCTGCCGACCTGCCAGTTAGTAACTGTGAGGGTTACATCTATCCGCGCACTTGTGCAACTGGTTTCTTCAAAGACAAATTGGATACAGATCCGTGGCATCATATCTTCAACAAGTACCGATGTTTTAGCTACACAATTTTCGCGAGCGGAGTCGGTGTTGTTGCGCTTCTCCAGATTGTCGTACGCTGGAGGTAGGGTTCTAATTTGCGCAAGCTGAGCAGTCTACTTCTTATCCTCGTACTACCAACCTCTTGTCTCTCTCATTTCGAGGTCTACTGCGCTGTGCAGTAAGCTTAACGTGGGCGGGCACTCCGACACTGCGATCAGCGCCACTGGCAGTTTACAGTCCAGGGTTCAGTCCACCCGGCAAACAGCACGCAGGTATGTGTCATCGATGGATCGGTTTCTGGAACCTCTTACGGGATAAAATTTAACGTACAAATCGCTGTGATAGTAAGTGGGATCCGTTGTAGACTACGCTTGCAATTTATTGTGCTGGCATCAAACTCACGTTTCAAGTATTGCAGGTGCAAGGATATTTCAAAGCGTCGCCGATCTTGAGGGTAACCTAAAGTAGCTGTACACATTATATTGCAACTCAAAGGGCGGTGCGATCCCCTATTTAGCGTTGTCGTTGTACGAACCTCTGTGTTTGTGCAAACACCACAAAATTTCTGTTCAGGATATCAACCAGTATGAACTATTCTGTCCAATGCACATAGATATGGCGCGTATCAGTCATTGTTCGAGTTAACGTGCAAATGACCTGTTGCCAATGAGCAGCAAATTAGAATGGTCTAGCAGAGAGTATTCAGCTGTCGTGGGAACTCCAGGATTGTGGTGGTGTCCCTGTGAAGCTTGGTTGCGATACATTGCAGGTGCTTTTGCAGGCAGTGGATTCCATATTGCTGCATACATATGATCATGGTCCGCACTGGACATCGCCGAGTTCCAAGACTATATGGCAAGGCCAGCTCAGCAACTGGTTCCAAGACGAATTCTTTAAGATCTGAGGTGATCATCTGCAATGTTAAGTGGTATTGCTTGTATCAATAGCATACTTTCCTTTCTAGTGACTGGTCATATTGTGTAGACCAAATTTGCATCTAGTGTATCCGACCACTTGGCCTTTGCATGTCAGAGCTAGAAAACACATATCATTCCTGCCGTGTTGACTGTCTAACATGCCTCGGCATGCACATCAAAGCCGGCTCGTCAGGTTCTCAAGATGCTGCATGGTATGGTGCGCAGGGGTCTGGGCTTAACGAGCAGGAGAAGCTAATAGTTAATGTCATTGCCATTGTGGCAGTGCTCGTGGCCGACGTCGCTTTTGTGGCATATGTCACCCCGCCGGGGGGCAACCAGCCCTACTGGGAGTCATGCTTGTACATTACTTTCGTGGCCTTTGTCTTTTTCAATGGGATGGCGTTTCTCGGCTCAGTCGCAGCAGTGGCCATTGTTGTGGTGGTGCCCTGGTTGTACCCCTCAACAAAGGCAGCGAGAGTGGCCGGCGCAAACAAATGGATAGCCTGGGGCTTAGGCACGCTGGTGGCATCATTCTTAATGTTCACTGTCGCTTTTGTCCTCGCCGGGCTTGTCACTGGAGGATTCAAGACCCCACCTCCAAACTGTGGTGTCCTACAGTGCAAGGATGGAGGAGTGGCATGCAAGTCCAGTAGTTCAAATGGTTCAATGGCACCTCTGCTGTCCATGAATAAGGTGAAGGGCAAGTGCTTCTAAGTTACCCAGTCGGGGACCCCAGTGGCATGGGGTTCGATGGCCACCCCTCGTGGGCCGGGGGTGGCCATCGAACCCCCTCCACATCAAGCTGTGGACAGTTGCGTTGCACCGCTGGCGCCACTAGATGTGGCCACCTTGCGTTGCGTTTCCCGGGTTGCGAGTGGTCGCAACCTCAGCGAGACATACCAAGGCCCTTTTGTGTTGCACCAGAACAAACAGCATTGATGGCACCATAGAAAACGGGAAGGGGGTGGACCTAGATTCGAAAGGGTGCTTCTTGGTGGTGGAGCAGTTGCAGGGCGCAGACGCAATCACCAAGTATACTACCAATACCAACAGAGTGCTCTGCACGGCAGGGCCTCTTCCTCCTGACGATTCCGACCCGGAGGCAGCAAGCAAAGCCAGCCTGGAAGATGCACTTCTGAAATTGACACACAACCTTTGGAGGGTACCAGCGCCTCGGCCAGGCGCTCCCTCATATTATATGCAGATCCTTCACGCGCCCGGGAGCCCGTGCATTGCCTCCAAGTCTTCGGGGCCCCTGCCTGGATGTGTGTGCTCTGACCACATGGCTTTGCGCCCTGATGATCTCACTTTTGTGACCTATGCAAACCCCCGGCAGTCCTTAATACCCCAGGTCTACTTGGCCATAGTTGCTGGACAGCAGAATGACCCCCAGGTCAACATGAAGTACCTTGGGGAGTTGGACAGCAATCATATCAGGAACGTGTTTGGTCACGACATGACCCTGTACAGCCCTGCTGTTTTCCAGCGAAGCCATGTTGCAGTGTATGACGAGCTCCAATATCGATGCAGCAATGCCTTTGATCCTACTCAACCTACACTCTGCCGATACAGTAGCACGGCCAGGGAGAGCGCCATGAAATGGTACAAGCCTTTAGAAAATTCAAAGGGAGAATTCGAATTTTCCCGGATGGGTGGTGAGCAGAACGTCAGCGACAAAAACGGACATGCATGCGAAGGGCTAGATGTGGACACGGACGGAAAGAAAATTCTCCGCAGCAAGCTGGTGGATTTTGGGTCCGAAATTTTGTTGGATAAAAGAATGTTTGACGATAACACGAAGACCACAATCCTTATCTTCGTGATAGCAATCGCTGTATACTTGGTAATTGCAGTGATTGTGGCATTTGCTTATTATGGTTGGCCATTGCCCTTCTCTAAGAAGGGTAACCCAGCAAGCGACCTAGCAATTTAGCCATTGGTTTGATCAAGACCTTCAAACCATGCTTTTTGCTCATTTTTTGTCATTATTATCAATATTTTACAAACGCTTACTGCAAACGGCAAGGTGCATCTGCAGAAAAGCTGCATGTAGAGGCTGCCAAAACCCTACCACTTGTTGGGCTTGCCAGATACAGGCAGACCCAATCAATTGTGAACCTGATGCTCAGTATCTGTACCTTCCCCCAACTCATTTTATGAGCGAGTGTCTGTGCAATCGGAACACAATTATGAACCGAGTGACTACTTGAGTCCAATGAACTGCATCATATTGCACTAATTGGCCGACAACACTGGAGCGCACAAGCAGCCAGTGCTACTGGTAGTGCTTGTAAAGCTCTTCACAGCATCATTCTAAAAAGGATCGGCGGAGCAGCAGCAAACCCATTGGCGCAATGTATCGCACAAATACCAACTGATGGCACGCACATAAAAGCTCCTAAACATTGCTGAGCGATAATGACTGAGTGGAGACCAGCTTGGCGTAAAGACCCCCGCGCTGAGTCAGCTGTGTGTGGGTACCTGTCTCTGCAACGCGCCCTCCGTCCAGCACCACTATCTGCTCCGCAGCCTGAAGATGGGACACAGCCTTTCACATAATTTCCTGATTACTAATAACAAAATCCATGACACTCTGGCTCTGGAAGATGCTGGTAATCCTCTCGAGATGCTCATGTCTAACACTGTGCTTCTGCTGTTCCTGCTAATTCACCTTGCCCTAAGAGATATGATGTATCCCAAAAATAAGCCGTCCGAAGTACAGCTATCCCACAATCGTGATGTACACAGCCCGTTCTTGAGCAACGCGTCGCAGCACATTTGCGCTGCCCTTGAAAAGAGCAAGTGTGCCAGAGACGCAGCTAAGCAGTGACACTTCTCTGGACGCAAGTGGTGATCTGCCCATTGATGCGACCTGGCGCCCGTTTTTAGAAAGCTAGCATAAGGCTTGCCAATCCTAAGTTTGGCAGCGGGCCTTCCTTCTTCCTCTGAGATTGCTGCTAGAGGCAAAGAACGACTGTACGAGCATCAAACATTTGGCTTTCATACCAAGATAGTGGACAGGCGCTCTTAACCAGCACGGTCAGACACGCACAATAGAAGCCATTGCTTCTTTGTTCTAGTACTGCTGCTGAAGGCCAAAAAATCCTTCAAGGACATGAGCATCCACATGGGCATTCAAATTTGAAGTCTTACCTGGATGGTGGAGAGGCGGTGCGCGATGACTAACACGGTGCGGCCAGCCATGAGGCGATCGATGGCGGCCTGAACCTGCCGCTCACTCACAGTGTCCAGCGCACTCGTTGCCTCGTCCAGGATCAGGATGGGCGAATCCTGCGCCCGTGTCTTTCAAAGATCAATTAAAAGAAAACATACATTCTGGACCGTGCACCCTTTATCCCGCACCCTTTGTTTTGGTTGGGAAGAGCGGGCTGAGAGTGAAGTCTAACCTCATCAAGGTGCATGTGGCATTCTGCAAGTCAGAAACACTCTGGCAAACCACAGAACAAAATTTGTCGCATATTGCTGGAGATTTGGCCTGAAGATATCTGCATCTCCATTGGATGCATCAACTGTTTAGTACTTCCAGGAGGCCTGCTTGGCCTGGCAGGCTTCACCAAGTCAAGAGCTAAACGCTATATGGCAATTGTCCTGGGTGCTGAGGTGTACTGACAATGTTTGCGCATGACTGGTCAGCGATGACTAAAATATTAAGAGGGAATGACACGCGCCTTGAGCAGCAAACGATGCGATGCGCTCTCACAACCTCCCGTGATTTTTGTTATTAAATTCTCTAGCCTTCTTTGTTTATTGAAAGAGGTCCCCGGCGTTTACATACTCAGCAAAACACATTAGTCAGCGATGACTAAGGCAAGCGAGAGGGAATGCCGCGCGCCTTCAATAAAGCGCGCGCGATGGCGATGCGCTGGCGCTGGCCACCAGATAACAGCGCCCCCCGGTCCCCCACCAGCGTGTCATACCCCTGGGGGAGTTGCGCTATAAACTCCGCCGCATTGGCCGCCTGAGCCGCCTCTTCGACCTCGGCCCGCGAGCAGGATCCGTATGACGCGTACGCTATGTTGTCCGCTATCGTGCCTGTGATAAACATACGGTACAATTTTGTGGAGGAGATCATGAGAAACAACTCTTATCCTGCAAAATATTACTGGCTACTCCTGTACAATGCAAAAGATGCTATGCCTTGCAGTGCTGTTTTGTGCCCATGCTCCGTTGAAGGCAGCATGAGGTAAACCTTTGGTGCAACATTCCTGCAGACTGAGCTTTCCCTGGCATTGAATACCTGCATCCCTCTTGAAGAATGACTATGCCTTGGCCACGATGACAAGCACTGTGTGCAAGCGGGAAGTGACAAGAAAGTAAGAACAGAAACCCAGAGGTATGCGCACCTGCAAAAAGCACGGGCTCCTGTGAGACAAGAGCCACTGCCTTGGCCCACTCGCCGCGGCTGAAACTCTCAGCATTCTGCCCTCCCAGCAGCACATCACCTGCCACAATCACATTGTCAGCCCAATTTCTTGACCAGGGTTTCAGGAACATGGACATCGACAACAAGCATCTCCGATGAATGCCACCCAATATTAGCTTGTAGATTATGGTTTGAGAAGATCGGACTCTTCTCAAGCTGCACCCATTTCAATAAGGCCTGCACTCCTAGCACTGCCAATTAATAAATTCCTCCTAAGCCTCCGTTGCACTTTAATCCAAAGGGCTGCACTATTGTCCACAAGGCAGCCCTTTGCAATGACCCCTTCCTCCCTCCTGCCTATTGCACCTTAATCATATTTATGCGTACACATCAAGGAGGCAGTCCAGTACAGCAAGAGCAGCTTGCGGCATCACCTGAGGTTGGCGTGTAGAAGCGCGAGATCAAAGCAGCAACCGTGGATTTTCCCGCACCCGAGTGGCCGACCAGCGCCGTCACTTTGCCGCGCGGCAGCGTCACGCTGACACCGCGCAGCACTGCGCATGACATCAGCGCACACGTCAGCGCCAGCTCAGCAATTCAGATCATAAGCAAGAAAAACTATACTAGACACAGAGTCAAGCAGACTTCCACTGAGTACTGCACTGCAAGACTGCTAGAAGAAGGAGGTGGAACTTCTACATGGAGCTTGGAAGTAGAACCACATTCCATGCAAACACAGTGTGCCTTGACACAAAGCCATTTATGCGCTCCAGATTCCGAGCTTCCGTCAGAGGCGATGCAATTGATTGACCTACCCTCGATGAAATGGACATTATGCACTGTGTGGTCCAACTGGGGATGACTAGATCAACCACATCGTCCTTCGACGGAATTGCAGAATCTGGACAGCTGATGACACCACAGCAGCCTTCCAGAGACAACAGGTCATGTGCAGCATGACATTGCACAACATGACACTGTAACGCCGCTGCTATGCTGGGGCTCACCATTTTTTGGCTCTGAGATTCTGCTTGCCCAATGCATAAAGCATGATCGAGTCCACAAATTCGAGATCTGTCATCCGCACAAAAAATGAGATATTCCACCTGGGGCCTCGGGCCGTAGCGGGTACGAGAAGTCCACGTCCCGTAGCTGCAGGTCCCCCCGGCGCGCCGCGTCTACGGCGGCATCCCCCGCGTGCGGCCCGTAGGGCTCTGCCCGGCCCGGCAGGCTGTGGGCAGCCCACCAGACGCCAGGTGGCAGCGCCGCGGCCATCGTGGGATCCGGCTCCTCCTCTGCCAGCTTCCCTCGTATCCTGCCGCACAAGTAGATACACTCTATAGATATCTGCTTTTCACGTTGCCTTAGGAAAGAGCTGAAATGCTTGAAGATGTCATCGCAGTGACGGATTAGAAGTACACTGCAGTCGCAATGCAAGACGCTGATAAGGATGACTGATTCATATCCCCTGCCATGTTTCAGCTTAGTGCGTTTAGAGAGCGACACTGAACTAAGCATGAAAATGGCTGTTGTCCCTGAATGCTACTAGTCATGTGAAGGGGACATCGGATTAGAATCTTTCTGATGGCATTGCTCGCTGCCGAGCGCTACCCGTCTCTGCCCATGAAAGGAAAGCAGCAGATTCCCTAATCTCCAACGCTGTGGCGACACCTACAGTATGCGCCAGACATCCTAGATGAAATTGGCGACATTCTAGGTCATGCGGGACTAGGAATGCTGACCTGGCAAGGGACACGAGCGCGCGCTGCGCGTCGGAGAAGGTTTGTACGCAGCCCTGGGTGGCAAATACGAGCGAGAAGGTGAAGCCGATTGCCGACAGCAGCACGCGCAGAGGCATCAGCCCCCGGCTCACCAGGTAGCCCCCAAGACCGTACAACGCCACCAGCGAACCGTGAATCGCAGCCCTGCGCATCAGCAAGCCGTATCTACATTCATATACACTTAGTCAGCCCTGCATTTGGGGAAGTCCTGTTGGTGTGGAAGTCAGGGCCAATTGCACCACAAACCATGGTATTAGGCATGTCAGACTCACTTGCAGCGCACATGGCATGTGACGAGCTTCTCTCCAAATCACTGAAAAGTGGGCAAATTGTGGATTTGTCTTGAATGGTGCAGCCCCCAGTTAGAGGCACACCACACATGCAAAAGCAATGCAAGAGATGGTGTCACTGGTGAGAAAAACGGCGCGCCTGTTGAGGCTCTCCAGATTTGCCTTGGCATGCGCGAACCCCACTCCGGCGTGGTAGGACGCCATCGCGTGTTCTCCAAAACGCTCCCTCTCGAGCCCCTCCCCAGCAAATGACCTGCACACAGCCAGATTGAAATTTTCATCAGACTCTGCACTTATGCAACATACATAGAACACATTGCAGTTGTACATATATGTAATTTATGGGCAGAGCTTGTCAACCAACATCCTGCTGACATCATGATAAATTAGGACTTGGTGCCAGGGCCTACAGTAAAGTGTCTGCCAGATCTATTCTTGGCGCAGTCAAGATCTCTCAGAGCATATTCATAGGTGCGAGAGGATCAAGCCCTTAAGCCCACATCTAAACTCAACAACCCACAGAAACTGGAAAGGGGTGGCCTCTCCGCACTGTGGTGAACCCTAAACCCTCATCCCATCCTAGAGCCTGAAAGAATACCCGTGAAAATCCAAACCCCTCACCTGACAGTTGTGATCCCCCTGAAGGCCTGATCAGCAACGCCGACCATGCGCGAGAGGGCGTTCCCTGCTGCGGCCTCCACCGCCTTGGTCTGCTTTTTGTAGCCCGCCACCACGCCAGCTGTCGCGATGATTACTAACGCCAGCACAGGCCCCAGCCGCCAGCTCAGCACAAACAGCACCTGCAGCAGAGTAAATTACTTTTGTAACACCTAGAGCCAATGACTTGGTTTGGCGCAGGAGCGATCTTTGTCTTGGTGGCATCGTATCGGGCTCAGCTGAGCATTGACACATTGACCACTGAGTGTTTGGACCTGCACAATTTCAGCCAGTCATGACCACATTGCGATCGGACCATCAAAGTGCCTGCTTTGATAAGGCCGCCATGCCAGCAGTTGCTCTGTCATGCTTGCAGGCGGTAATACATGTGGGCTCCTCTGTCACCCCAACTTATCTCAGCAGCATCTGATGATCCTAAGAAAAATCTTGATAGCTAATCAATCATTAATGTCCAGCAACACAGGGAGCAATGTAGCTGTGGACTGCTTTCCTGGCAATTCTCCTGTTCTCCTCAGGAGTGCGCCAAGAGGCCTCCTGCCAGTGCAGCCAGTCATTGCAGCAGCGGTGTATCACCATGTCAACCTTTCAGATTCAAAGCGATGAAATGGTAAAGCATAATGGAACTGGTGCTCACCAGCACAGACCCGATGGCTTCGAAAATGGCGCGCAGTCCCCGATCGCGTGAGACATTTGAGAAGATGAAGGATCGCAGCGAGTCCAGGTCGGAGGACAGAAGCGCCGTCAGCTCGGGGGTTGCGTGGCGATCGAAAAACTCCACCCGCTGCATCAGCAGCGTCCGGAACAGCTCCATGCGCAGCTGCCGCAGCACCTGCGCGGCAGCTTCCCCCGGTGAATCAGCGCCGCGGTACTAATCCCCGGCCGGCAGCGTCAATGGCTGCTTTTGAGTGTGTCCTTGAATGAGTGTGTCCTTGAAGAGTGATCAAACAAAGAACTCAACCTTACAAATGACTATTATTGTCCCACTGCCAACACAGACAAGCCAACTGCATGTCCTGCACATCCCACAGTGCTCGGGTGGAATCGAGCTTGTTCTCCTCGTATCTGCTAATGAGCATTCCACTGCGCAGAACATCTGAGATATCTCCCATGCCACCCCTGGCGCACCTTCTCTCCAGCAGTGCAAACATTGGTGATGTAGACTCGTGTGAGCAGAGGCTCCACTGTGTATATCGTCGCCATGGCCGCCAGAAAGTATGGATACCTGCGCAAACATCCCTCTTCTTCGGTAGATGCTGAAGGTCTCTTGTGCATGATTCTATTTCTGCACCTGATGAACAGCAGCGCTTGAGAGGCAGCATTAACGATACAAAATTTGTTGAGAATTGTTCAAGACTTGGACTGAAGAAGTCGGCTGAATGCACCAGGAGACCTGCTTGGCCTGGCATGTTCACCAATTTGATAAGGCACAACATACCAGAAAACAGCCACAAGGGCTGCTGCGAGAAAGCAACCTTCGTTTCTCAGCGCAGATGCAGTCCTTCCAGACATAGTCCAATACTCTCAGCGCACAGCTCAATTGCATGCAAGGGCATTTGGGGTGAAAATTCCTGCAGTCGACAGGCAAGAGCACAGACCTGGAAATGGGCTGTCGGCCGGTGAGGATCTCAAACAGTATGCCGCTAATGATAGGGGACGTCAGATTGCATGCGCTGCAAATGATCAGGGACAGCCCTGCAGCAACCATGCGCAGCATCAGATCTTTGCCAAATCCCGCCGGGCAGCACAAGCAGTACGCCGACATGTGCATGAGCATCTTGCACCAGTTCATATTTGTTGCTGTTCTGTGATTGGGACAGTTCATCACCTGCCAACACCAGATGCTTCCGCTGCTTCAGGACGAGGCCCAGGATGTACTTGTTGTCCAAGGGACCCCGCACAATGGGGACATAGTCGTTCTGAGCAAGATCCTCCCCGGTATGGGTTGCACCATTCCTGCAAGGTTTCAACACAGTGTCGGCAATGCTCTGTCGCCCCCTGGGCTTGCAGGCAACCCAATGTGTGCAAAGTGCTACCTCCTCTCAAGATTGAAGAGGACATCGCGCACCCGCTGCTGGCAAGGCTTGCTCTCAACGCCAAACGGAAAGGTCCATTATCTCTGCTGCATGGATGTTTTCTGGTAGTGGGATTTCTTGCTGGGTGCCTGCATTGCTGTGTCCTAAAGGGCCATCGTCTGGACAGCTGTGACTGGCATGCCCTGAGATCTGTGACCCTGAAAGTCCGCAGAGCACCCAGCTGTGACGTTTGATGGTCACACGTGAGACTATAGGCACCTGCAAGGCACTTGTCCATCCTGCCTTCCACGTTCCGCGCCCCTGTTGCCAGGTTGCCACTAGCACACAACCGGGTGTCCAAAGAAAGCTAAACAGGGCTCAAGCCTCTGAGGACAATTCTGATGTAGATTATCTTCTTGTAGGGGGAAAATATTCGTTAAACTTTATGAGAAATCACAATTGCGATGGAATATGAGACTGTATTTGAGACTCATGTTCTGATATCAGAGGCCAACAAACGCCGAAGAAACGAGAATGGATGCATTGAGTCACTCATTGAAATGCCGAGGCATTCTGAGATCTGCAGATCTTAGCTGAGAAATGCAAATCTTATGCATATCATTCTTTCCGAAGCTGCCACCTCGGATGAGGCATCGGCTGCATGACATGCTATCCAGATTTGGCTGCAGCATGATCATGAATATGAAGTGTGCAACGAGAGACAGGTGACCTGATGTCACAAACATTTTACAGAGATTATCACAACTCTGCTCCTTGTGCACCTTTCTCCCAAAACACGTGGACAAACAAGCGCAACAGTGTGCAATGGCACGCGATCTGCGGCAATTGAATATTTGCCTTGCAGTCAGACACCATGTCTGCATACTATGCAGTATCTCTGTCTCTTATTTGTGATAATCGCGAGTTTGGCACAGGATACGTATACGCATCTTTCAGCAAGGCACAACATGATTGTCTGTACAAAGCTTTGTACTTAGTTTGTACATCAACAAACAACACCGTGTGACATGTGCTATCATGGTGCGTGTAGGATTGCAGTCCAACATGCACAAAGCTGTCCCTGAGATTCTCAACCTTGAGATCAATCAGAATGATTACACGATGAATTTTGAGAATGGCACTCACTTGTCTCAAGCAAAAAGTCTGACACACGTGACATTTGTACAGCCGGTCACTTAATGAGGCTCCCACATGCCCAGCGCATGTACAGCATGCTGTGAGCACTCACAATCACCCTCGGAATCATGCACGTGTGGCAAATTGCATGTGCCTTTTCGCGCAGGAACAAGTGGCAAACTGCATAGTTCAAACCGCTTAAAGTTCAGCCAAGTGTGCACATGTTGCATGCCAGCCACATCCTACAACACCCGCTGCTTCCATATTCCAACTTTGAGCCAGGCACTTTGCAACCACACATCCAGTGAATATCACTGATTTATAGTGATCCAGATATTTGGATGAGCCCTCACCTGCCATGGACGGATGGCAGACCTCGATGCAGATCCTCGCTACACTGAACACCGCAGCCAACGCTGAAGAGGTGACTCATATGTTAGCAGGTGCCCTTTAGAAGCGCCCAAGTGGCCGAAAGCAGACTGATAGGAGGGCAGAGAAGCACTTGTGACACCGGGAAACACTGGAGAGGTGAGCACTCAGTAGTAACAGCCTCCCAATGACCCCTGTGAGAGCCCCACACGAATGGCTCCGTGAGTAACTTATTTGCACTTGCGCTTTGCACACACATACACAGTGCGTCCCACCTCAATCTGTTAAACACTCAAAATCTGGTTCTGAAATAGATGTCCAAGTTGTGTCAGGAAGCAATCCACCAACTTCTCTTACATTGCACCCACAGTATTGCAACGAGCACCCCTATGTACAGCATGTGACTGGAAGCCGACAACACCTTCTTGCTTGAAACACCCACTTCACCCGGTGGCGCCAGCAAGGCAATAAAAGTATACCTGTGTCACGCTCTTGAAGTTCATGCGGAGAGCAGGGCAGAGCAGTGCAATGGAGAGGAGTGCAGAGCAGACGTGCAAACACTGGTGAGGTTACGGCCCCCTCCTCACAGCATCCTACTCCTCCCTTTCAGTTGCATTGAGCCCAGCCCATGCGCTGCCGCCAGTCAGGCACAGCTGTTCTGCTGACGCCTACTACGCAGGCAGCTGATATTGTCCGCTCGTGGCTGATCTTCAAGGAGACGGGCTGCGGCGGGGTGAGACGCGGCGGGGTGAGACGCTGCGGCGCGGGGGAGTTCCGCTGCACAGGTGCACAATCTTCTGTCAGAACCGTGGCAGCAGTGTCCGGCGCTCTTCCACAGGCAAAATGCAACTTGCAATCGACCAAAGACCAAGATACAGCACAGCACACTTCAAGTTCCTACTAATGTGCAGAAGGGTGCCAAGCAATATTATCCTGAGCTGCAAGCTGGACCAGCATTGCGGGCATGCTAGTGTCCCACTGCCTACAACAACATAGTGTGACTGCTCCAGACTGTTGATACGGCTATCGTTAATATGTTGAGAGGCTGGCCTGGAGTCACCCGACACTATTTCAAGAGACCTTCGAGCTTGCCTTTGGCACACAGCCCACACCACTCTTAAGCTGCTCAGCCAGTGCCCAGTCAGCACATGACTCAGCGCAGATTGGTTATCAGCCATTAGTCAGCGCGCAATTAGTCACCTCCGGGCGCGCGGCTCGTAGGAGGGGCTGCGGCGCGGCCGCGCGTCGTACGACGGCGATCGGCGGCGCACGGGGGAGCGGCTAGCGGCGCGGCGAACCGGCGAGCGGCTGCGGCCGCGGCGGCCGCCGTCCCGGTCACCATAACGGTCACCGCCGCCTCCACCACCGCCGCCACCGCCGCGGGCCCTACGGGAAGTAGAAGCAAGAGAATCACATGCTGTGTCTACAATTGCAAGAATGCGCCCGAAAATAGTTGACCCTGCAATGTTGCTAGGTGCTATGACGCATCGGCTGTGCACGAGCTGGCAATTGACGCAGCCAAGGACGCAGTTAATCTGCAGTTCCCAAAGCAACCACTCCCAGTCTGCTGATAATTTATCTTCTGTATATTGGTGCAACACTGCAGCAGGCGGCGACAAAAGTACTATTCCCGTTGTGCTCGTGTACCATGAAGCACCCAGGCGTGCTGAAAAGATGCGCCAGCACTGTAAAACAGACATGATATGCGCAGCAGCAGCAGATGTGCAGTGAAAGGAGGGAGCGCGCGCACCGGCAGTCGCGCGCGAAGTGGCCCATCTCACCGCACTCGTAGCACCTGGACGCATGGGCAAAGGGCCTCACTCAGGACACCTGTCCTCCTGACTGCATTTGACTTTCTGGAAGCGACATTTTAAGCCAAGACTGCTGGCCCAAACAAAAAAGCACCGGTAAAATTCACCCTCCGATATTGGGGAAACGACCACAAGCCATGTTGCAAACGACCCCTCACAAAGCAGTGTCAGACGCCGTCAACTTTGATCAGTGCAGTTTCAACTATGTTGCAGGCATGTGCAGGATTTGCAGGGGTAAGCCACGCAAGCTCTGATAGGGGAAAAGGTTGCCGTATCGGATGCGCACTTCATTTCGCTGCGCATGCCGCCGCCACCGCCGCCGCCACCGCCGCCGCCTCCGCGGAAGTCGTCACGGCCTCCGCCGCGGCCGCCGCCCGGACCGCGGTCCTTACGGGAAAATTCCACGCGCCAGCCCTGCGGACCTGCAGTTTACAGGCCAACATATTAGTCAGAATTTCTGTCTACTTCGTGTGTGTTCCTCCTCTTTACACTTTTAGTATGCTTGCTGTGTACCGTCTGCCTTGCATCTGCCCTGATCTCTGGCAGGACTGTAAGATTGCAATTTAAGAAGACATTTTTCACTATAAACTACTTCAGGGGATCATACAGGTGCATGGATCTGCAGCAGACATGCTCTGCAGGCTGGTGGTTCTTGGCCCCAACATAGTGCCATGATTAGTTTGCGCCAGCAATGGGAGAACCCTGGCGCCTCGCGATTCTCAGAAAACCAACGCTGGTTCTGGAAAGGAGTCTGAACCACTCACCTCCATCCAGCTTGCGGACAGCATCCTCAGCATCGCGCACATCCTCGTACTCGATGAAGGCTGCATCAGGCACAAGTCCCTATCAAGTAACTCGTTTCTGCTACGCAATGCGAGCAATGTAGATCTTTTCAGGCAAATCAAAACGGGAAAATGAAGGATCAGAACAAGAAATGTTGAGATTAGAGTTTGTGGCCGTTGCCGGAGTTCTACAGGTGACGTACCGAATCCAGGAGGCTTTCTGGCAACCCACACGCTCCTCAGCGTGCCGAAGCGGATGAACTGCCATAAGATCAGCAAAGCTTCAGCAGTGAAGGAGCAGCCATAGCACACCACCATACTCCAGGAAGCAATGCAAAACCAAAGCGTGCAGCTCAGTTGCAAATGTCTTCACAGGGGATACGTGTACCCCAATAAAGTCTGGGAAAGTAGATAATTGGGGAACGAACCTCATCCTCCAAATCCCGCTCTGTTATCCGGGTGTCAAGACCACCCACGTAAATTCTTGTGCCCTGCGAAAAACATTATTTTTACACTCCATGCCACAAAAGATGGGAACCCCCAGCATGCAGGCACCCGATCCTTCAAACATGGTCTGACAAACCCCCACTAGGAGCATACCATAGTGTGTCAAGATGCAGCCTTTGTCGCAGGAGTTCTTCAAGAATCAGGCAGTAAATCCTCAAGATCACTTTCGATGAGCAAGAAGTGCACTGTTTGTGAATTGGCCTTGGAGGGGTGACTTGGGAGGACACCGCAGCCGTTACGGTCCAAGGTATGGACTCATGTAACTCCGTTGTACGGCGATGCTTCTGAAGTTCCAGATTTCGCGAGTTCATGCTCCAACAGCCCGCGGCACATTCCCCATCAGTGATCGTCGTACACTTCTTTGCGGTGATAACACGGCCGCTTGTACGACTGTGTCATCGTTGTTGCACAATGTGTTGTCCTCCGTCCTTCGCTCAGGCTGTGGGGCAGAACCCGGATTTCGCCATTGTGAGTTCGTCGATCTCCGTTTGCATCAACAGTGCCAATGCATGCTTTTCAGCACCAAATCTCATCATAATCTTACTTTTCGCGCCCCATCGTGGTGCCCTGTCATTGGGCTTAGGCGAAGTGACTCGACTCGATCGCACCCACATGTTGGTTATGAGCTGCGGACATGTTGCCTTTCAGGCATCCCTATCCCCTGAGCCATCGGGGGGAGACATGCAGCCAAAAATCGCGCGATTTGCTGCAGCAATGGCATGCCAGTCCTCATCACTTGCCAAATCACTGTTGCAGGTGATTCCAATGTTGGAGGAAGTCTGCTTCAAGAGACAGGATGGGGCAGCAGACCCGCTGTACCACGTCTCCGATGGCTGGGTGGACCTCAGGGAGGTCGCACACCTCCTCCAAGGCAGCACAGAGGGATCGATTGGGCTGCCAATGCAGATGAACACCTGCGACCTTGTCAGCCTCAATACAGAGCACCGCAAGATGAGGCTGTCCCAGCTGCGCTCCATCACAGGCCGAGAGGGCACCCCAAGCGACCCCTTCATTTTGAAATTCTTCAACAGCCCCAACCAGCGTTCGGGTGGGGGCACACTTCTCTGCCGCCTTGCTATCCTTGTGCCTTGAGGCGGCAACCCTAGCTGTGCTACCAGGCACTTGTGTGCCTGGCAGTGGGGTGCTGACACAGTCATGGTAGCCTGAGAAGCTAAACCAATCAGCCAATTTCTCTCATGCATTGCCGCCAGAAATGGCGGCAAGATGAGCCCGAAGGAGCACATGTGTACTTCATGGCCATCCTCTTCCCTTGTGGCATCCCTAGGCATTGTTCACTCTGTGGATCAGCAGAGATCCTGCCGCGCTTGAGAACAGAGGCTGCATGAATGTCTGATTTTGGCTGCGATTGCAGCATGTCCTGCTCCCATGATTAAAAGCCTAGTGTGCCATCAGTGATCGCTACTTCCTGGATCTCTGATCACAAGCAAACCTTACTTTTGAGGATCAGATGTGGTGGCTGCAAAATCGGTTGCTTGAGCCCCGCAACAAAGAAAACATCACTGAACAATCTTTTTGTGCAAACAGGTGCAGCAGCACAGCAGATTAAGGATACATCTGTCCAGCGCGCGGCAGCTATTGCGCAGCCGCCACTGAAGCAGCTGCCGAGCCTGAACAGGCTGGAGGAGTTTCTTTTCGGCCCCCTAGGCGCAAACAGCAAGCTGCCGCTGTCGCACGACCTGCTCAATCAACTCAGGCAAGCAGCTAGACTTCATCCCATAATCTCACTTGTCATGTCTGCAACACACCAGAGGAGCAAGGCTGCAAGGCCTCTAAGGTGCAGATTTGGGTGGAAAATTGTGCAGCCTCACTTGAGGGCTGTAGGAACTGCCAGTGTACAGCACAAAGGAGAGCCTTATATGTTGTTGGGGGACTTGGTGTGTTGAACCATGCCAGAGAGCACAAAGGGAGACCTACATTAGTAACAAAGCCTCATTTTTTGCAGCGCTTTCACCATACACGTCACTTTCAAAGCCAACTAGCTGTGAGCATGTGCAGGAACGAGGATCCCTCAGTGACGGCCGGCTTTGTCGCGGACAACGGCGCGGCCGGCCAGCTGGCGCGGTTGCTGAGTCACTCGATCGAGTGGCAGCCTAACGTGGGGGGAGAGGCCCTCACAGCCGACGCAGTCAACCAGATCCTGATCAACACCCTGCAGGGCATCGACCGGTGCGTAGCAAGTCGGATTCAACCTTCAAGGCAGGAAACTATCTGGCGTGGAAGGGATCTCAATGCCTTGTGTTGCAGGCTCATTGGTTTGAGAAGGGGGACATTGATGTGATGAGATTAATGTTACGGTGAATCTGCTGCCTGTGGGGTCACAGACACATACTGAGGCATTCGAGGATTTTCCAAGAGTTTGGTGCTTGGAGTTACTGACCACTTTCTCTGAGATGTGCTCAACACCTGCCTGCAGCGTTGAATCGATCTTTGGGACCTCAAAGCTTGAATTTCAAGAGTATGTATGTTACCTGAAATTTTGCATTGTGTTTTGGCAACAGTCTGGTGGAGGCCGAGCGCAGCCTGGGCATAACAGTGCGGCGCAAATGGGGCGGCCACGGTGGGCAGCTCCAGGTTGGAGAGAACCTGCCCGACGGGCAGCTGCTCGGCGGCTGCGGACCGGCGCTGCTGTCCCTGTGGGAGGAGCGCGGCTGCGAGCACACACTCAAGGTATTCACCCGCTCTGTAGAATTCTGGTGTGAATATCTCCTTCTTACACAGCTTTTTTGCGGCAACTGAAGGTTTGGCCAGAAAGACCTGAAACAATTATTCACTTCTGAGTTGCTTCTGAGTGCACTGCAGTAATTTTGTTGACGCTTGAATGACCTGACGGAATTAGTTGGGTCCCAAATGATGTGTCTATTTGGTGGCCTGTGCACTTTCAGTATGATGTGGAAGCTGTTTTTGTGCCATCTTGAGCAAGACATGTACAAGTCTCTGACCCCAATGTACAGGGCTTCAGTGCTCCCTCTTATTTGCTTTCTGCTGTACACTGTTCTGGCAGAAGCTCAAAGGAAGCTTGTTTCGGTGAGCAGGAAGCCGCAGCTGACCTGGCGGCCAAGGCACCGGCGCATGTCTCTGACGGCGTGCCCTATCTCGTCTGCTTCGCGGTAGCCGGCACGCAGCTGCAGTTCTACGCGGTCCGTAACGGCATTCCCTCCGCTTCCCCCAAACCCCTTGGCAGGGTTTTCGACCTGGGGGAGATAACCGAGCGCGCCTGGGCCGTCCTGGCCGCCGCGAATATGTACCGGCTGCTTGCCTGTTTTGGCGGCAGTTCAAACCCAAGTCCGAACAAGCAGGCCGACCAGCTGGCGCATGCGATGACTCGGCTGTGACTCGGAGCGTCCAAGAAAACATCAATTTTACCGCCCGCGTGCAAGATGTGCATGTCAAGAATCTTGACTCAAGACCAGTCTGTTCAGCAAGAGAAGGTGTCCCCTTGGGCATCAATTTTACCGCTCGCGTGCAAGATGTGCATGTCAAGAATCTTGACTCAAGACCAGTCTGTTCAGCAAGGGAAGGTGTTCCCTCGCGCTCTCTTTAAGTTTGTCAGAACCCACACGTGGTGTTTCTTTTATAGCTGCTGTATAAGCGCTATTGATCCTTTTAAGACATGCACTGCATTCGCGCGAATGTCAATGTGCATGTTGCCCCTTTCAGGTGTGTCTCATCGTTGGGTGATGGAAGATACTGTTCAAGTGTCTACTATTTGTTTTGACCCTCTTGGTCAATGTACACAAGTGCTTTCGGGGGGCCTCCTGCCTCACAAAACTGCATGAGTGTCATATTTCAGCTCGTTGTGGATTTCGTTGTGTTTACATGTATGCCTTTCATTTCTATGACCATGCAGTCGGCGGACTGCAGTGCTTGAGCCAGCACTACATATGTGTGAGGTGCATCTTGCTTGTGTCTCGGGTCTCGAGAGTATTGAGTCAAGAATGAGATTTGATAGACGGATTTGATTTTTTCTTGGGTTGTATAGCTATGAAGGTGCGCTCAGGCGGCTTGCACCTTTTGTACCCATTTGGTAGCAAGCCATCTGAGCGCCCTGCATGGGTTGTCATGATCATCTGTCATGACAGATCAGTGGGTGCTGTGTGTGAAGTGCGAAGTGCGAAGAGTCTGCTTGCTTGTGAATTCATCTGTCATATATAGGTACCTACGGTGGCGCTGATATGTCGCGGGGAATTGAAATGTGTTTCAGGACGGATTACTGAATCTAGCTAGATTGGGCTGGGGAATAAAATTCTTCCTGAAGCAGCAAAGTCTGCACGCCAAAAGGTCTTCATCCGTGTAAACTACCAGCTGATACAGTTACTCTTATGTCATCATGTGTGCTCCTTATCATGTGGACTTCTTTCCCTTGCTGCACAATGTCAAGCATCTCTGTGAAGTCACAGCCAAGTCACAGGCCTGGCATTTTCCTGCATACCTGACTGATATAGGCTTATATTTAGGGAGTAGGGTCACAGGCTGTGAGTCACAGCTCGTCCAACACCAAGACCAGACGGATCTCTTTCCAGCATCAACGAAGGTCGACTGTATTTATAACGGCATTGAAAAGCTTGGGGCGTATCACCAGGGATAAGAAATGCTTGGAAGTGGCTGCCACCACCAAACTAGATGCCTTGCCTCACATAGTGCGTCCTGTAGAAGGCCCGAAAGACGACCTTGCGAAAGTGCAGCCTCACATAGATTTCGACAATTGGGCTCAGATCTGCTAGGGATCGCAGCAGCAGCTCATCTACTAAGTGCTGCTGCTTATGCCGATGAAAGCACCTCTCTCTCCTTCAATAAGAATTGCATAGGTGAGGGCTACATCATTCTTCTCCTCAAAAATTGGCAGTGTAACTTGAATTTCTCCCTTCACGTATTGCAATCTCATTTTTGCGACTTTCTCCAGGTTGCCATGTTGGTGGTGGCAATGTGGTGCAAGCTGGAGCCACTTTGAGGGAAGGGGACCTCAAACGAAACAGCGTGGCTACTGTGGAATCCATTTATGATCTTGTATACAGTGGCAAAGGGAAGATGCCTGGATACGGCACCGGTTGCACTCCAAAGGCATGTTCCTCTCTACACTGTCTTGTCGGTGTGATGACATCGTGAGGACTTCAAGGGCTCTTTTAGAGAGACTTCCTTGGAATACTTGTTTCATGCTTCAGCATGCACTCCACCAATTTGCATCCTGAGGATCTTATGATAACGCATGCACATATCTGCGGAGCTGCCTCGCAGACTGCAGTGAGGCCCTCTGGCAGTGAGGTCATCTGATCAGCTGGTGAGGTCAAAATCAATCGCTCGAGGCCTGATGCAAGCATCTCCTGCTCTGCAGGGAAAGTGCACATTCGGGCCGAGGCTATCTGATGAAGAGATACAGCGGCTCTCCCAGTATGTGGTGGACCAAGCTGCAGCTGACTGGAAGTAGGTGGTCTCTGGCGCCTTATAGATTTTGCAGACATACAGCAGTGTACAGAACGCAGGGATAGACACAGCATATTTTTTGTTTCTGCTGTCGCGAACAGGGCCACATTGGCCATATTTAAGCTGTCATGACTGTGAAGCCTATGTTCATTCTGCAGCAGCTGAAAATGAGCGCCTGGCGCTGCATTGAGCAACACCAGGCCTTTTCATGCAATCTGACTGCCAGAATCTGACAAACTGAATTGACCGAGGGGCCTTCAATCTCACTGTTACTGTGCTGCGACTGAGGTGAAGGCCATTCATGCTAATAATTGCATTGTGTCTGTGTGCGCTGCAGCTTTTAAAGTTCAGATCTGGTTGCCTTTACTGGTATCCTTACTGGTTGCCCTTAATAACTGCCCTTACTGCAGCGCCAGCTGGGCTGCACTGGCTGCCTCTTTGGCTGTAGCAAGCTCCTCTGCACTGGCTGCCTCCTCCTTCAAGCCGCTCTGCGTCAAGCATGACACACTCAGCAATCTTTCCTGGGCACAAGCTACGGTGCATGCTTCAAGGACACACCAGAAGTGTGAGCTGGGCATGCTGTCTGATCATAGATGATTAGAGAAAGGGCCAGCTGTAGCAGGAGATTTGAGAGGCTGATTTTTGGGCTCATAAAGCAGGCAAGGTTACCATGAAGTTGCTGAGGTCCTGCAGGGCTCCTTCCAAGCGCTGCCTGGTGTCTGGTATCATGCGAGTGGCTTCCTCCAGGACATTCTCCTGGAAGGCATCATCATCTAACGAAGCTACAAACTACTATCTCTTTACGTCAGGGTACAAAATAGGTTGATACTAGAAGGTCCCATCACTGAGCGCAGAACGTCTAAGATTGTTATTATGACTGGGGCTAAACATGCAGTATCATCCTCTCTATTTTTCTGTCTTTAAGAACGTATGAGAGCGTAGTGTGCATCTAGATCATCAGGGAAAAGCCAGATCGTACAGCATGTTTGATGTCATGATAGTCTGCATTCTCTGACTTCATCCTCGCCACTTTTTGTCGTTCTTGCTCCTCTTCCTGCTTGTACAGTCCCAGCTCTTTCTTGAGCCTGTTCAAACTTCCGGTCTTGATCTTCAGCAACCTCAGGTCGGCAGCATCCATCTTAAGCACTAGATATCACTGTATTGGTTTGGCATCCGGGGGCTGGAACGAGTTGATCCTGTTACGATTGGCAACTGGAAGCTTTCGCTTTTGGTAGATGTTTGATTGCACATCATCAGCATTTCTACTTTGCAACGCCACTGCCAAGCTTCCCGCGGTTTTGTGCCATCTGTTCGCTGGCGTTCCGTGCATGATGCCCTGTATGGGATATGCAAAGTGTCAGCATACCATATTCTCCAAAGTGCATGGTGCTGCCATGAAGAACCTATAGAGGCCAGCAGCTAGATTGCACTCTCAGAGCATGACCAGGCTGTTGAGCAGCGCTGCTCAAGTTTGCGGTCATCCCAATTGGGTCCTTATTGCTTTCATGAACAGAATTGTTCTAGAGATCAACAGATAGGCCTTGCTTGCACTGGCACCACTCAAGAGTTGCTCTCGCCACTGCACAGCTCAAATGGTGCAACTCACAGTTGCCATCATGACGGCTTGCATGCAAAAACAGCAAAAATCTAGCAAAGCGCGCAATTGCCCACTCCTTCCTGCACATGCCACAGTGTGTATGTACACTCCGCACGCCGTGTGGGCATTGCACCTACCCCTTGTCTTTCTCAACAGGACCCTTACGTAAGGTTTGCAAGGCGAGCCATCATCTTACATTCCTAGCCTATGCTCAGCCTTGAAGCCAGGTCAGCCTACGTGTCTTTCCCAAGCACAGCTCTTCCAGGTCACGTGTGCGCTCGTTGATAATTTTCACCATCGTCCCCTGCCTCGGCCACTCGGCGGCGCGCCGGGCGGCGGCCGGGGGCCGCGGCCGCGCATCGGCGCAGAAAATGATACGGCGCGGCCAGCCATCGGCAGCGGCGCAAACCCGAGCTGGCCAGCCGCCAGTCCCCCGTAAATTCCATAGGGCCCCGCGGCCACCACCGGGGGCACCGGCACCATCATTGGCTGTGATCTGAGAGCGCCTTGCGAAGAGTGCGCGGGGTAAATCTCGTGCTCCTCCCTTTCACGCCCCTTCTGACCCCGGCCGCCGCCGCTGAATCCCCAACTGCCGGAGGGGTCCCACCGATCGTCAGGGGGTCCGGGGTGGCCGGACCCCTCCCTGCCGCTGGGGGGACCCCCCTCAAAGCCGTTGTGCTCCCAGCGGTCTGCGACGCCACCGCCGTCCCACCGGTCGGGGGGCGCGCCCCTCCCTCCAGAGCGGCCGCCGCCGCGGCCGCGGAGAGAGGGGGGGCCGCGGCCGCCGCCGCTGCTGCGCGCGGGTTGAGGCGGCTTGTGTGCTCCTATCGAGGCCCTGCTGTCCCTGTCTGTGCTAACATCCTGCCACCTGCACGACATACTACGTTTTGTGGGTCCTTTTCTTTCACACTCTGTGTCATTCAATCGCTGCAGCTCCATGGCGGACCTGCCGATCAGGTGGCATCACATCTGGAAAAGGCAGCTGCGGTGCCAGCGCTGCCATTTTAGGTGAAGGTCCCAAATCCAAGTGCAGTGCAGGGCTTGATCATCTCAAATGAGGTGGGGACACCGTAGCAGCCACTCACTTCCATCTGTTACCCAGGACAAACAGATTCGCCAGCCCTCAGGGATCTGGCATGCTGCCGGATAGCTTCACACACGCAACTAGAATTCAAAGAGGCCGTGACACGCTTCAGGTGCAATCAGGGAGTGCAATCTGAGAGTGCAACCAAAAAATTCTTCGGATTCAATCTCTTGCCTGCCAGCAGGCCCATTGTCGGGGCTGCGGTTGGGCAATCTGGCGCTAGCGGCAGTCTCGAGCCCCCCCGCGGTGGCATCAGGTCCCCCCGGGATCTCCCCGGATTCCACCGACTCGGCCGGCGACGGCGAGCGCGGCTCCTGCACCGACGGCGACCGGCGCGGCAGCGGCGTCAGAGACCTGCAAAGACCACCATCAAGTTTTGCAAGCCTGAGGTGTTTTTGATGCGTGCATTGCACTATGAGCTGCCTATGCCTGCCGCGACCGCAAAACGCGTGCCCTCCGCTGACCCTGCCAAGATCCCCTGCAGTTACCATGGCAAGGAACGCCCAGGAAGCTAGTCTTTGCACCAGAAGCAAGCTAAGAACTCCTTCTGAATACAAGAAATTAAGAAACCTTCTGGGGCAGCCCCCAGAAGCTTTGAGGCAACAAGAAGATTTGGGTTGCACAGCTACTGCTGCCTTACAGATGTCGATGAACAAGTGGCTGTTGGAACTATCACGAAACGTGCTCACATATGTGCTCCTGGGAGATTGCCAATTAATAAAAAATCCATGACCTCCTACAGTCTGCTTGTAAATTGACTTCCGGTATGTCCTGTAACCCCTCCATTAATTCTACTCTCCATACCTGTACTCTCCATATGAAGATCAGATGGATATCACTCTTCGTACCTGCGGGTGGCTTTCGGCGAGTGATCGCGCCTGGACCGTCTTGGACTCGGAGAGCGGCGGCCGCTGCGGCCGGCCCGGCCCGCGCGATTGCGGTGGGAGCGCCGAGGTGGCGGCGTCAAATTGCTCAGATCGGCCCTCCTTGACTTGCGCTCCTGCACACGGATGAGAACCACGATCAACTACGTCATTTGTTTTGAAGTGCTTGTATGGGGCGGTCAGGGCAAGCAGATCTGCCTATGAGACTCTTCTCAGACTGGCAGCACCGGAAGTAGCGGTGGCAGAAGGCAATTTACAGCCCCTTATGTATAAGAGTCAGGAGGCTTACCACTATCACCTCTGTTTCAGGTAATCCCCTGCTTCTATGTTGTGAAACAGGATGGCCCTGAAGTATGAGTATAATAGCGCTACCGATGCCTTATGAGTGGGCACAAGGAAGAAGTTTCTCACACCTTGCGAGCGGGCGGGCTCCTGTCCAGGGAACGCGCGGGAGACAGAGATGGCGAGCGGCCTCGTCCCGATAAGCGCCCCTCCGGCTTCTTATACCCCTGCTCCATATCATTGCCACTCTTGACACCTTCCTCTCCTGCACTGCTGCGTGGCACCAGCGCAGCCGCCGCCTTACTGGAACTCGGGTGCCGCGGTGAGTCATCGTCCGGTATCGTTTCTTTGTCTCCGGGCGCAGCGGCCACTGATGCCGGGGCGCCGTTCTGGGCGGAGGCGGCGGCTTCCTTGGCGGCGGCAGCTGCCGCGGCAGCTTCCTGGCGCTCGCGTACGGCCTTGGGCACTCGCAGGGGCACCTTTGGCGGCTCCAGAGAGGGCGGTGGCAGCGGCACAACTTGCACCTGCGCATGCATGAAAAATTGTAGTGTGCGAATCATCCCAACTTGTTGTCCCGCAGCCGGTGCAGCAGATTGGGTTCTTCATTAATCAATTTGTGCTGTGTTAGTCCATCAGATGCCTTGCCATGTAATCTCTTAAGATGTTGGGAGAAGGAGATTTGCTTGATAAGATAGAGCACCTTGGGCTCCAGCGACGGCGGCGGCAGCGGCACAACTTGCACCTGTGCACACATCGAATTCCTTTCTCATTATAGATGAATTGGGTAAAGAATTTGGCAGTAGAGGGCTGGCACTGTGCAATGTGTGAGGTCACACACCATGTACAGCCAAAATGTTCGCAGCGACACCAATTCCTAAAAAGGTTGAACTATGCGGCATTGCTTTCGGGAATTATGCATACCTGGGGTTCCTTCTTGGGTTTAATCTCCTCGCCAGGTTTCTCGTCCTCCGTTCCAGGGGGAACCTCCGTCTCAGTGCCCTCTGTGGCACTTGTCTGTCCCGATGCCTGCACAACAGCTTGGAAAGATCAGATAGATGGCAATTGTACACTAAAAAATTGAGACTTTACTTGCATCTCTGGAGATTGCTGCCTGTTGGAGGATCCTGACGAGAAGTAGAACTCAGGAGGAATCAGTGGAGCCTTGCCTGGGCGTAGTAGGCCGCCCACTGCTCTGCATTGGCAGCGTCTGCGGCGTACGGATCGTAGCCTGCCGCCGCTGCGCTGTAGGCCGTATACGGGTCATAGTGGCCCCCATAGGCCGCAGCGTAGTGCGCCGCATACGGGTCCCCGGCAGCAGCAGCCGCATAGTACCCATACTGCCCGTAATATCCGTACGCCCCGTACGGATCCGCGACCGCCGCCGCCTGCGCGGCTTCCGCCCCCGGGGGAGCCGGCTCGGCCGCTGCGGCAGCCGCCGCCGTAGCATCGGTCCCCGGCGGTGCCACGGCCGGTAGCGGCTGCGGCGGTTGCTCTGCCGGGGGAGCCGAAGGCGGCCGCGGCGGCGCGGGGGCCGATGAGACCGGTGGCGGCGCGGCGGGGGGGACCGGCTGCTGCTGTGGCGGTGGGAGGGGGCGGGGGATGGGCTGATATGCCAGATAGGCGGCAGTTTCCGACGCGTGCTTCACCGCGTTCTGCTCCGCTGCAGCCTGCTCGACACGGAAAAATGTGAAGTATATGGCACAAAAAGAACTTTTGTGCCCACTGACTTTAGAGAAGGATGAATCCATTTGCCCACCATTGAAAAATGAGAATTTCTGTGCATCTTTGTATGGCAGGCAAGCCCAGACATCCCCGATGCATAAACCTCCCAACTCTGTGTTAGCACAATCAGCTCCTTCTCTTCTGCCAAGACAATGATTCAGAACAAAATTCACTGCTCAATCTACGCGGTTTGTCACAGGGTAATGCAGCAATCCTGTCACCAACGCTTTCTCTGGCGGGCAGAAATAGGATTAAACATACTGATCTGCATGAATCAAGCTAGGGAGTGGGCCACTACTTGCAGGTGACTTCCCGTGCAGATGTAAGGCTTACTAACAGGATCCTGTCACTGTAATCTCTGCAGCAGTCATCACATACACGTGTCCGCACCTGTGCTGCGAGCCGGCGTGCCTCCTCCAAGAGAGTCAACTCTCTCTCTGGGTCAGCCTGCGGCCGCGGCGGCGGCGGCCGATGCCCGCCGGCTGCCCGCTGCGTGCCCGCTGCCCAGGGAAGCTGCCCGCTGGGACCTGGCAGCTGCCCGGGCGGCTTTGCCTCAAACACCCTCACCATAGCCTGTGCATGTACATTGAGACCCGTCAGTGGAGTCGTGACACCATTCATGCAGATTTTCCAGAACTTCATTCCTACTTCTGAGACTCGTGAGTGCTTGCAACAAGCGTCCCCTCATTTTTCTAGCCCTTCACATGCTGCCCCATGACCATTCCTGACTGCGGTACAAATGACTTCAGCCAATGACAGTGCCGTGCTTACAAACACTCTCGCCGATAAATGGAGAAGCCTCTCCAAAGGCTGGTCCTTGCTCGAAGGATGTATGATCGCTGCCGCATGCAAGAGTAATCGGTTCTGTGTTGGCTGTGTCTTTGAAGCCGGAGGGGTCATAGGATAGTACCAGCTGCACTACAGCCTGGCGGGCAACCAGGGCTTCCTCCTCCTGTACTGCCTCCCCGATGATGTCATTAATTATTTCCTTAAGTGGGTAGAAGAGGATTCCAGCACAGAACATGTACGGTGAGAATATGGGTGTGCCAGAGCAGCCTTACCTGCACATGCGATGTGTCAGCACCCGGGGAAGGCGGCATGTTAAATGTGCTTGTCTTTGCCTGCTCACTCGGCCGATCTGACGCCTCTGTCGCTGTCTGAATTCCAGCAGACGTGACAGCCGCATCCGCGTCAGCTGCCGCCGCTTTTCCTGGCGCTGCATCGGAGGCTTCCGAGGTGGACTCTGAGGGGGGGTCCTGGGTAGCGATCCCCCTCGTGGCCACCGGGGGTTCCCCCCGCCGCCGCAGCAGCACCGCTGCGAGGGGATCCACCCCCTCCGGCAGGGTGAACCTCTCCGCCGGCGGCTGAGTCAGCGCTGACTCCCCTGCAGCTTCTCCGCGGCTTCCTGCGGCAGCGACCGGCTCAGGCTCTAGCCCGGTGGCCTGCAGGGCTTTTTCCACTGCAGCAGCCGCTGCTGCTGCTGTGCTGTCCGATCCCGATACTGATGCTCTTTCAGCTGCGGCACTCAATGGCTGCTCTGTTTGTGCTTGCATTGTGCTGGGTGCAGTGTCTGCTGGCGCCACGTCCTGCAAGCATTGTGGCTGTCTCTCAGCACAAATGAACAGACATGCATGCCAGGTCTAGATCATGCCTCACGCATACGCTGAGACGAAGATATACAGAGTCTGCGCCAGTCACTGTCATGCATGTGTGATGCAGTTTCCAAAGGTACTGAGCTAGAAACAAGAAGCTCGTGACCTGTGCTGTAGCAGTCTCTGCACTGCCTGGCTGATGGCTGGCACCAGTCTCCTGCACATCATCAGGCCCCCAGCGAGTGCGCTTGGGCTTGCCAGCTTTCGCTTTCGCTGCCGCAGCTCCTGCAGGTCTTACGTCAGCTCCGTTGACGTCAGCTGGCTGCTGCTGAGATGGATCAGCCTCCTCTGCCTCGTCAGGGCCCCAGCGGCGCCGCTTGGGTTTCCTCCGGGGCACACCTGCGCTTGGCTCCTGCACAGTCACACGAAAAAAGCTTATATACAACTTGATAGAATAGATGTTGGGTCTCTACCCTACATTGAGACCATGATTGAGATCTTGCAAAATATATGTCGCCTGTCTTGTACGAAAAGAGCAGCTGGATTGGCAACACACTGACTGGCTAGAGCAACTTGCACCACGAGACTATCGAGTAATCAAGAAGGAACAACAAGTTTAAATACCATAGATACTATCACAGTTTTACAGTGTTTCTCTTGCAGCAGCTTTGCACCTTTGTTGGCTCTTGATCTGGCATTGGGGCTGCTGCTGGTGTGGTGTCCTCCTCATCCGGTCCCCAGCGCGAGCGTTTGGGTTTTCGCCTTGCCAGCCCAGCTGTCTCTGTGGCTCCTTCGTTGGCTGGGAGGCTGGCGTCGGCCACTGTTTCGCCGATTTGTGCCTCCACAGCTTGACCATGATCACCTACTGGGATTGCCAGGCCAGCATCGTCAGGGTCAGGGCCCCACCTTGTGCTCGCACGCTTGCGAGCCTTCTTGGTATTCATCCCTAAAGAGCCGTTACTTGCCTGAGAGTGTCCGTTCACTGTCAGTTCTGTCATGCTCTTGGATTCCAACGTGCAAGCCGAGAAAACACAGTGCAATGAAGAAGGGACTGTACTATGTGAACCTTCTTAATTATTAGAAAAGCAAAAGACGGCGTTGGGATCGTGCATGTTCCTCTAGCCACAAGCTAGTCGACAACTAGGGATATGATCCTGATTGTGGCTGCGAAAATGGCATCAAGTCAACAAACTCCTTATCTTCAGAACAATCGCCATTCCTTTGACAATTGAGAATCGTGGAGATGTGACAATGCATCGAAAGGATTTCATCAAGTATCTGGTTGATCAGTGGGGCCCGTAAGCCAAGTCTACGGTCAGGCTCATCCAGATCTGGCAACACAGACCTGCATTTTCATTTGCATAGCACCCCTTGAGATTATTATTACAACACGCCTTTCCTGCCAAAAGGCAAGGTACGTCCTGCAGACAAGCTGCAGCTAAAGGCTGCCACAATCCTACCACTTGTTGGACTCGCCAGGTCCAATTGCAAGCAAAATCCAATCAACCGTGAGCACGGTGCTCAGTATTTATACCGCCCCCACCAGCCGGGGCCGGATTCATACAAATACCAAGCAGAAGCAGCCAGCACAGAGCAATGCTGCTGGGAGCTCAACAGGCCCTTGATCAAGCATGATGGTCATGACAGCAGTTAAGAGGTGTATAAATGGCATTCTAGAATCTGTACAGATCTGTACATTAATGCATCATTTGAACATCGCTGTTACATCTACACCTGATATGCCCCCAGGCTGTATGATCACCCACCATGGTTCACATATGACGATTAGTGCTTCCACAGTATCGGTCCCTATTACTATTGTCAATATTGAGATAATGATGACAATGATCACATGAGCGCGATTGCGGAACAAGGCTTGCCATAGCAAGGTCACGGTGATGAACGTTATATGACCGGGCATTGAGGATATCCTGCAGAACTTTCACAAAGTGCACCTGCCACAGTAGGCAAGCGGGACATTGAACAATTATTTCGGTACATGCGGGTCCTTTGTACTGCAAAGAATTGCAACGACACGCATGCCAACACATGATCAGCAGCCTAACGAGTGATGCAATGGCAATCACACGGCAGCACCGCTCTTTGTCATGGCAGAGCGGTATCACAGAGACAACTGACGAGCTAAAAGACAAGTGAATTGCTAGGCATGGCCAGGAAAGAATACGAGTGCGGCACAAATTCTGAAGCAAGGTCTGCAGGGAGTTGCCATGCCCCCCACAAGCTGAGCTTGCCACTTTCCTCCCTGCAGGACTTGGCTAGCCAACAACTGAGCCAAACAAACCTCCCAGAGAAATCCTTGTGCAAACGGCATATGGCCTCCCTATCCAAATAGCACAACACAACACCTCTGCTGGCTTGTGTGCAAGCTTTGTCCCTCAGGAAAGCTCCAGGCTTCCTGCCCTGAATGACACCCCCGAACCAACGGAAGGCGGTGCCCATTTCCGTGCAAGCGCAGAGTCGTGGTAAATAGTAAGTAGGAATTCCAGGGCAGAAGCCTGCTTTCAGCGACCACAGATAAGACCCCAGCGGCAGCTGCTTGGGAGCAAGGCAAGCCAGCAGCACCTGGCTTGTGAGCCAGAAATGCAAAAATGATCACGTAGCCACCTGTTGAAAATTCTGGTTTAGAAGAGTTTCTTCCAGCGGCAGAAGACCACGATGGCTATGAAGATCAGCACGGCGATGGCCGATGACAGGGACGACACCTGTGCCACCACAGAGTCCTCTGTCAGATCACTCATCAATGTCAAAAAAAAATGAGATGCTTCCCAGTACCGGTGACCTTGTCTTCATTCAGAAGAAAGACACTTGCGCGGGTGACTCCCACTCGGCATGGCATGCTGGGTTACTGTGTCAAGAGCAGAGAAATAGCAGGAAACGAAACGGGTCTCTTCCTCCCAGAATCCAGATTATCAAGTGTTGGCTCAGCGCTCTTTCCTTTTGCTGTGATGGTAGAGTATTTCAGGGCTGAAGACGCACTGTTAGTATGCTGCCATAAAGTAATTAAAATAAGCATAGAACAATGAAATCAGTTCACAGACTTCTTGGAAGCCACCTGGGGCTTTCTGGTCTTATGGTCTTATCAGTGCCCATAAAACACTTACCCACCGTCCACTTCAAGTCAGAAAACTCAGATAGGGTCTGAACTCTGTCAATAATCTTGACAGCCAATTGCATGTCAATTATTTGGCCTGAATAGGCCTGGTTTGCCCTTGAACTCGAATGCAAATCAGTACAAGGAGGGTCAGGGAACGCGCCAGGACGAAGGCCTGGTAGTCATCCTCGTGGGTGTTATGCAGGTTCATGCCGAAGATGCCGCTGATGACTCCTACTATCGCCACGCACAGAGTAGCAGCCGTCAGCAGAAGCTCCAGCTGCAGCAATCACAGGAGAATGTCATTAGTCAGAATGACAATCTGACTAGTAATCCAGATGATGGACACAACTGGTCAGCACCTCGATCCGTCGAAAGCAGCTCCAGCTGAGCGCACATTGCCGCATGACTCAGCAATCAGTCACCCAGATGACAATACAGTCTCAGCAGGACACTTTACTAGGCTGCCGAGAGACCAGGTTTGCTCTCATGCATTGAACCTATCGGAAGCTTGGGAGTCTAAAGACAAAACATTTAAAAATGAAAAGACGGAGTTGCTGTACGCGGATATGCAATGGGGACAGCAGGGTGTGCTCACCCTGATGAGCTGGTTTCGGTGGTTATCAAGCTCAATGTTGATGTAATCCTGCACAAGCACACAAATATGCCTTACTGTCCAATTCTTCCCCTGCGCCTTACTGTGCGATTCTTTCTCTGCGCCCTACAAAGATGTTCAACAAGTATGTAGCACCCAAGCCTGTAGTGATAGAGAATAACAGAGTCTCTGCATGTGCCTGCCACGTGCGCTAGCGCTAGATGTACCGTTGTACATTTACTCATGGGGGTGACTCACCTCGGTGTCATCGATGTACTCGCAGAGCGTCTGCAGCTTGTTGAAGGTGTTGTCGACGTGCATAAAATAGGTCTCCAGGATCATCTCCACCTCAGCTATTTCCTCCTCATCCCTCTCAGCCTGTATCCAAATTTGAAGATCTGATATTTGAACTTTGAATTAGATTCTAAGTTCAGGTCTTTTGGGGATTGTGAAGCATGGGCAGCGCACAGCTTTCCATCAGGTCAAAGAAGTTGCAATGTGGGCAGCAGATTCCCTTGAATTCCCTTCCATTTGAGTCCAATCCCTTTCTCTCAGCTGCATGCTGTGCTTCAAGGGCATGCAACCGAAGGAAAGAAGGAGGATCGAATCAGGCATCCGCCAATATGACATATTGCAAACTTCAATGGCATTTCAAGAAGCACACAGATGACTTTTGGCACACAAGTTTATTTCCTCTTGAAAAAGCTTTCCTTCTAGGTCCCTCTATCAGCCTGATTCATATCATGTACATCCGAAAAAAGGGAAAAATGGACAAGCAAACAGGGGAATAGGCAGGCCAAAAGTTGGGAGGGTGAATAAGCGTGCCTGGTCATCGATGTGCTTGGGCGACAGGGGCGTTCCTCCCATGCTCTCGCGCATCATTCCCCCGTCCAGGCTGGCGCGCATCGAGATCTGCGAGCAGACAAAAAATCAGCGATTTGATGTTGAAAAGCATGCGAAAAGGCGACACCATCACAAGTGTTGAGTTCTATGAACCTGCCCGCCAGCTCTCCAGAAAAGTAGAACCCGTGCTGTAGTGTTGGAAGAGGATTTATGCCAAATGGCACACCACCTACATGCCTCTTTGCAAGGACATAGACGCCCTCTGACTATGTATGTACAGCCCACCTCACCCTCAGGGATGCTGTCTTAGGTGCTTTCCAGCGCCACAAGAGTTTGTCCTAAGCACTTGCTTCAATCCAGCAATGAGCAGTCAACGAGAATCCCCAGCGCTCAAGGCTGCTCTGGGCTGAGACAGCGGAGGCCCTCTGAGCAGCACGCGCCACATCAGCAACACAGCCCCCCATGATTTATGCCCCCTAGATCATAAGGGGGTTGAGATTCTATACTCCTACCTGGTGCTCCAACGGATGCGCAATGCGCATGCCACACACCACCCCAAAACACCCCCCATCATCAACTAGTTTGAGAGACGGAATTGAAATTATGCTATCTACCAATCAAAAGTGGGGACAAATAAAGATTCCCCCACCTGGCGCTCGAGCTGGTCCTGCGCGCGCGCGGTGAGGTTCATGGCGTGCATGTCGCTATCATCGTCCATGAGTTTCTCCAGCATCTCGCGCAGCGTCTGCACGCGCGTCGTCAGCCGCACCAGCCTGTTCTTTATGCGCCGCACGCGCTCCAGGCTGGCCGTGCTCACCTGCGCGCACATGCACCTTGTGTTAGTAATCCACGATAAGCGATCTGTCATGCACCCACGCACTGATGCACGGCCTCCAACTCACAAGCCAGATGCCGGACCAAACACAGTGTGGGCACCTACAGTGCATTCACACCCGTCTGCATGCATGATTTTCCCACGTCATGCTTGTTTGCTGTGACCTCTTCGAGAGACTAGCACCCGCATGGAGAGCAAGAGCTGCAGCTGCATTGTGAGAGCACCACTGGAGAGAAATGTCTTTTTTACGCACCCAGAAACAAGCAGCACGCATAACTCCAACTCCCTGTGCAGTGGTGTCGAGACCCAAGTCCTGTCAGCCTGCCAGAGCAAGATTTGAGATTCTGCTCAAGGAAGCAAGAGTGCTCACGTTTGCAGTCAGCTCGTCCAGTGCAGGGTGGGCTGCAGCCTCCAGGTCCACAGCCTGCCTCTCCAGTGTGGTCGCCACCTGCGTGCATACAATCAGCTTGCGTAAGCAACAGCTTGATTGACCGGAATATCCAGACGATGGCTCACATGGTGGGTCGGCTTCAGCCTCGGCTTGCTTTCTTGCTGCCTGTGCCCATAGCCGGGTGTCAGCAGTGCACAACGCCTCAGAAGAAAGCTAACAAGGGCAGGACTCTGCTGACGAGACAGAAGTGCCTGCAAAAGGGAGGCTTGTGGCATCCTGTGGCATGTAGATCCAAGTCCTCCAAGCATTTCACATTTCAGAGCAGGATGATACGTAACACAGAATTCCATGGATCTTGAGTGATACAGTTTCAATTGAAAAAAGAATTGAAGGGCAGAATCCCCCAATCAGTCTTTATCACACGTATTACAGCTGCAGAATGTTTGAATAGATATGGCTTGGTGACATTGCCTTGCGATACCTGCCCTCAGTGTGGAGTTTGTTGTGTAGAGGTATGGTGCTTGGGAAGTAATACTTCACCTAAATTGTTCTGTAAAGTGAGAAGAAACCGACTCACTATTTTCACAGCTCGCATGGCTCGGAGTGTTCTAAGATCCAGCTTCAATTTCAGCTGTCATCATTTACCCTACAGAGGAGGCTAAATAAACCGATGACTCAGCTCGAAAGCGCGCAGCTCGAACGGCGAAACCGTGCTCCCCCCGTCAGCAATTTTTGCAATTCTTATTTAGTCGGCCTTACTAAAAAACACTGAGCGGTGACTCACCACATCCAGTGCCACCTCAAGAGCGCGAAGCTCGAACGGCGAGCCGTGCTCCCCCGTACCCTGCTGCGCATGCGCATGCGCGGCGGCGGCTGCGGCGGTTGCTGCGGCCAGATTTGGGCTGGAGTGATAGCTCGGCAGAAAGGCCCCCGACTTGGCGCCACCAAAGTCGGCCGGCGCCAGGCGGCGCTGCAGCTCCTCTATGAACGCCACCTGGCACGCGAGTACTTGAAATTGAATACAAGCACGATGTCAAGACAGAAAGAATCTTATTTCTCTTCTTGATCACTGCAAGCCTGGCCGTCAAGGATGGTTTGCAATGTGAAAGTCAGCAGCCCAGAAGGTAATGAAACTTGTTTACTGCTTTGTGAAGTGCACCACAAACATGAGGCATGAGGCATGTCATGAAAAGGCCAAATGGCTGCCGCCCTCTGCTGATCCAACCACCATACTGATTCTCCAATGATTTTGTTCATAGTTTCAGTCAAAATGTCACAAATGTACAAATCAAATTTGCAAAAAAAACTAGGTAGTAAAGATGATCGCGGGCACGCACCACGCTCTCTTCGTCTGCGTTGAGAACCAGGACCTCATCCTTGGTGATGATGCACTTGATGTGCTCCAGGTTGACGACTAATGCTTTGTCACGGCACAGCAGCGCGGACGGGTAGCTGGCGTGAAGCTGCGGGTCCAGCAGCCTCAGGTCGCGCAGCTGCACGCCCAGCTGCTGAGTGATCTCGTGCTTGTCCGCCTGCGGGGGGAAAAACCAAGGCATAAGAAGGTCAAGATTTAGGGGTTGCGGTCGAGTCAGAAAGTCTAGCGCTCGTCTGCCTGCGCGCAGGGGAAATGGAACAAGGGAGTTGAGGGTCAGGAATCACAAATTTCTTTTAAATCAAGGGTACCTGCTTCCCGCATGCACAAATGAGGAGCCGGGAAGTGCTGAATTCGCTGGTCATGTCCTTGGATGCTGCACATAAGAAGCGCGGATTGTCTGGCCAATGTTGGGCAGGAGGGGCTTCAGACAGACCAGTGGGCCAGGGTACTTGCAAGCACAGCTTTAGACTCAACATTGCATAACATTCTGAAAACTTAACACCAGGAAAGTCTTCAGAAAGACAGCTCAGCAGCAAAATAGCTCTCAGGCAAGCACTAGCTAAGCCCACAACTCTGCCACGCTTTGATACGTTGACAACTCTCTGCAGTCCTGCTTTCCGCTGCAAAGGTCTCGACCATCTGTGCGCATGGCACGGTAAGCAAACACTAGTCCGACCAATTTCTTGCTACTGTTCTTTGGCTGGGTGCCGTCAGTGAGACAGGCAGGGAGAGTGCCCAAACCTGCCATTGGACTGCTGCCGCATCGTGACCCGTGGGTAGATAGAATGTTGCAGCCAGCTTCCTTGAGGTGAGTGGCGGACAAATGCCACAGCTTCTTCTAGGCTTGACACCGGGAAATGGGGGCGGTTATCCAGTCAACCACATGAGGGCTATGTGGGCCAGCTCACCTGCATGATTGTGGTGTCGCCGTTCTTGGCGAAGCGCACCCATTTGCGCAGGCCGATGGCGGCCGCCTTCTTGCGGTCGAACGGCGTCTGCAGCGGAGTGTGCGCGCCGTTTCCACCCCCCATCATGTCCGTGCCTGCGGGGGGAATTGCAGGGGAAAGAGTGAAGACTACACAATCTGCAGGGCACTGCCTCTGAACTCCTCTGACCCATCGTCATCATGTTCAGCCCAAGGGGCAACCAGAAGTGTATCCAAATGTGATTCAGTGTCTGACGAGTGCGAGTGGAGGAAAAGGGCCCCCGGCCGTCAAGTCTGTGTGCCAGTGTCCCTGGAACTACTTCTGTGTACCACTCATGGAGCCTTGCTCACAGCTAATTTTATATGATCCTAAGACGAAGCTGCATTGCAATCCTCAAAAGGAGCAATCGCAGGTCTTCTATCAGAACTCCTGTCAGAACTTCTCGGATGCATGCAGGCACAGAAGCTGCCCTTGAACAGTGGATCTCCACCAAGCACTTGTAGCTTCCACAAGAAACAGTGGTAGCTTCCATGTGGAGCATAACCAGCAATTCCCAAATCACAACGTCCCGCCAGTACATGCAGAGTGACTTGTGCACGCTGTTTTAGATCTGTTCCCACCTGACACAGACTTGCGCAGGCCGACCACTGGACTGGGGGGAGCGCTGTCACTCTTGGAGTCTGCGCTGCGCGCCATTCCCGACAGCAGGCTCTGCATCCTGTTCACTGCTGCCATGATTGTGGCCTGCCCTCCGCCAGCGCTGACACCTGGGTTCTGAGCTGAGACTGCAGAGTCCTGTCTGTCTAGCCGGCTGTCAGAAGACAAGCCAGGCTGTCCTCAGGCCCTCGGTGCAGGCCGGGAGCTGCCAGGTTGGGTGCTGGCGGCTGGGAAGATTGTCAATTCTCAGGGCTATCCAGATTGGACGGCTGCTTGCTGCTGCTGCTCAGGGAGGGTGGGATGGTGCAGATGGCAAGTGATGTTCTTGCCTGAATGGCACAGAACACCTGTCAGGCTTGGGAAGCTTTTCAGCAGATTGAGGTGGTGCTTGCATCTGGGTTACAGCTTCTCTGCTCATTGCTTGGCTGCCCACTTGAGACAGGTCATGTGCAATGGGTCTGGAGGTGTCCTACTAAAAAATTACGGGTTCGCGAGTACAGCACAGCAATTTCTCTTGAAGAGGCATCACAGAAAGTTGCTTGAGACATTTTACTCCATATACTCTGCCTTTGGCAAGGATGAGCCCACAAATGCAGTGGGTGGCTCGGACCTTCTTATGTATTCGACGAAATGGCTTGGCGATGTGGGCACACCTGCACCTAATGACACGTAATAATTGACAGGTGATGGGCAATGAACAAAGTCTGCTGCTCTCTACTGCGAAGAAACCCGAGCTCCCAGTGCGGCTCAAGCGTTATGAACTTCTTCTCGGACGGCTGGACTTGCAGACATACTCTGATATGCTCCGGGATACAATTATAATGTATTTGGATCTGTTATCAGGAGCAGTTGTGATAGCATCTTCTGGATTGGAGCATCTGAGATAGAAGACGAAGGACCCACGTGACTCTGCCAATTCCTATGTAGATACACCCCAGGTTCCTTGAGGCAGCAAACAGCTTTGGAATGGTGATTTAATCGAAATAAGAAAGGTGGTCCAACATTGGATACATGCACAGACAGGTCTAGTCGTTGTCTTCGTGACAAAGCTGCATCCAGCAATCTGCCTTACTTGCAAACGGCTCAGAAGGCCATCGTTCATGCAGAAGAGGCAGATCGTGTGATCTATTTCAACAACGTAATTGTCACGTCAGCGAAGATTCCTTGAGTTAGCAGGCTCCATATCAACCCAGTACAATGTAGCTACTTCCTCACCTGCTCGTGCTAGGCCGCTGATGCGGGCCTTGTGAGGATCCATATGGCATCAAGGCTTCGATAAAACATCAAAGCTAGTCAACAGGGCGACGAACAGGCTGCTGGACTAGCAAAATGCTGGTGTCAGCTGTCACTGGCAAGGGTGCCAATGGCAAGAAGAAGAAGCCTCCCTTGGGTCTGGACACGCATATGCTCAACAACAGGACCGCCGCTGCAGCTGGGGTTGGCAAACGAGGCATAGACACCAAGGCATGCCCTCCTCGCTTCACAGCTCTTACTGCGTCTGTTGTTGTCAGGCAGGAGGCATTGCAGCATAAGGGGTGTCTAACATGCTTCAAAGCCTAGCGTCCATAAACTCAGGATATCCTACCTGGTCGTGGCGTGTCCTGCCATGCTGGCCCTTCAAGCATTCTTGACTTCCAGCCGTGCAGCTCCATGCACACAGAGATAGGCTATGAAATAAACTAGAATGGTCCGCACTTCTTTGAAGTAGATTTATTCTCTACGGTCCATCTATCCGTGTCTGAATTTGCTGTTGTTTTGAGGTCCACCGGCCTGTCTATATCCAGCCCAAATTGGGGAAGGGCATAACAATGACAGCCCCATTTTAGGCGCTCCTCTGAACTTGTGCGGACGAAATAGACGGCTGGACCTTTCTATTTTGTTTTGCAGGCAACCACGAGTGCCACAACAAGGGCGGGTCTGCACGGCTCATTCACCTCTGCGCGTACCGGCAGCACGAGCAAGCTGCAGGGCCTCTCTCGCAGTGCCTCTGGCCCTCTGCTGCCGGACAGGAGCGCCAACTCTGAAGCCTCAGGTGCGCAGACCATGCAGTGCCATGCCATGCACAACTTACTTACAAACCTGAATACTGCTTTTGGCTTATGTGATAATTGCCATGCTAGCATGCTGAACTTCATTCGCACAGCATCAGCTTAGCCGTCTTGATCATGCATGTTGCCGGGGAACCACCGCGCTCTCATGAAGCAAAGGGAGTGTCCGATGCGACGGCTGTGTAATCTTGTTGGTAAGTCTCCTGGGCTGCTATGTGAAATTAGCAGCCCACAATGACGGTAATAAATGGGCGTCACACCCACTTTTGCCCGTGGTGACTTAGTGCTGACTCATGGTGATGGATGCTGTGCAGGCAGCGACGCCGGCAGCGGGCTGCGGCGGCAGAAATATGGGGGGGAGTGCGGGGGGGACCCCGGGAGCCTGCTAGACCTCCCCAACCGGACCCCCCTGCCCGGCGGTGCCAGCGCGGCGGTGCGGGGGGCCCTCGGCGGCAAAGGGAACGCCGTCGACGCCCTTGCCCTCAAGGGTATCTTTGACCGGTGTGCCCCTTGTTTTATGTATATGACAATGGGAGGCCCAAAGGAAAGCAATCCCACAATGTCACACAAATCACACCAGATAGTTCTTGGCAAAGCTGGCTTGTTCACTTTTGGATACACAGAGAGCAGATCAGCACAAGACAGACACCTGAGCACGGAAAAGGAGAAAGTCCAGCAGCAGTGACAGAGGTGGCACGATGCTTTTGCATATCCTGAGCACCGTGTTGTTATAGAAGTCTTTTTCTGACGTCAATGTTGTCCTGCTGTTGCCTGCCGCAATGAATGCCAGGCTCCTGAGAGTGATGACATGCAATGAGCGACTGCATGCAAGCTGTCTGTGGGTGTGCATGCAGGCGGCAGCTGACGGTGGCAGGGGCCAGGAAATGGATGCTGGTGGATGACAGGGGGGACGCCTGGATTATAGAGGTGACTATCCCCTTTACCATCAGCGTTCACAGTAGATTACACAGTTATTCATCCTTACGATTAGAGTGTAGTCGCTGTGAGCGCTGCTTGCACAAGCACACAGTCTCTGTACATTGCCTCCAAACTACCAAATCCTGATTGCCCCTGGTATGCATGGTTGTTTGGCTAGGCTCCAAAATACCAAACTCCGACATGCATGGTTGTTTGGCTAGGCACCGTGATCTTGTTGACCCATATGTTTACTCGCCACATGCTCAGCATCAGAAGATCAATTGCCAGAAGATCAGTTGGGTGAATTTTGGGTGTGTGTCTATGGTCAGGCGGATCGGTCGCTGCTGACTGCGCAGCTGAATCTGCACTCGCGCGACCTGAGGCTGCTCGACCCCATGCTAACCCAGATCCACCCCTCTGCCATCCTCTGCAGGTGATCTCATTTCTCTCTATTTAGCTGTATTCTTCATATTTTACCCCCCTTGAGGAAGTAGTTCCTGTGATGCAAGCTGGACGAAGTGCAGCCTGTACCCTTGTCAGCTTGGGTGTGCCTCTCAAGTATCTGCATGGATGCCATGGCCCTCACATGCAACATGTTTGCAGGGCACTGTGTTGGATATTTTGCACCCATGCCCCCAACCTGTTTTTCCTGGGTTAATCAGCTGGGCTAGGGAGGCCGGTGTGTTGTGCTATTCAGGATACTCTGTCTCGAAAGAATCCTCGTCCATACCTAGAGTGTCAAGAGATGGGTAAGTTGTTTGCATGCAGGGCCGGCATGCTGCTGGGAAAAGTAAGAGTTAGTTTGTGCAGACCCCTAAAGAGTGACTCATTGGCATGCAGGGAGCGCGTGCTGCTGGTGAACTTGGAGGGCATAAAGTGCATGGTGACTACGGATTACGTACTTGTGCTCAACGTTGACCGCCCCATGGCCCTGGACTTCTTGGACGAGCTGCAGCGGCGGCTCAGGCAGCAGGTGCGTGCATGCGACCAAGCCTTTCAAATTTAAAAACTCGAATTATTGTTGCATTTTCTGCTGTTTCTTTGGGTTGGCTGCTGCAGTCAGCGGCTACTATGCCTGCATCTGGTGTGATAGAGATCTCTTTCAGACAGAGGGTGCTCCAACCGGGGCGACTCCTTATGACCTGACAGAGAATATAACGGCAGATGCAGGCCTTGAATATGTAAGCTAGCAGACCACATGAACAGTAGAAATGCCCTGCATACCAGCTGTAAAACGCCGGACTGGTACATTTCTTGCTGTCGTTTTTTGTACCCCTGACAAGTACAAGCAGTGCCAAGCGTGAGTCTCCTAAGCTAAGGTGCTTCTGGTGTTTAATCAGTCCGCCCAATACTGGGGATCTGCTCGTCAATGTCAGGGCACCAGGATATGGCCTGCCCAACTCGACATTGAGAAATAAGAAATGCAAATCGAGGCTGGGGAGCTTGGAACAGTAGAATAATTCACAAGGCGATGCATGGAAGAGACCCAGTTTTGTTTTTGAACGTGATGCAAAAATTATGTGCGGACCATCTCTGCATCTTCACATGCATGCATGCATGCGCAGGCTGACGCATTGATGGAGGATGCTGACATCGGCGCTGAGTCAGGCGACAGGGACCACGCGCGAATGCCATTCGAGCTACGCGCGCTCGAAGTCGCGCTGGACGTGGTGAGTCATCTGGTAGTCACTTGTTGTAAGCTTCTTCGGAGGTGTCTGATCTGAAATAGAGGTGATGGGTTGGCCTTTTCCTGCAACGCCTTTGAGGTTGCACAGCTGCATGTTAACAATGTTGTGCTGGACGTGGTGAGTCATTGTCATTCCTAAGTCAGTCATACAGCAGAGAATGGGTGCTGCTGCGTTTGCTAGTAGCTGTGCTGGAAATTTTGAGTCTGTGCTCACCGTGTCAGTGGTATATCATCCTCAGCATATAACACTGCTACATTTTTGTCTTGTCAAAGAAGGTGTGTGCAAGTTGATCTGTTGGGAGACTGCAGCGGCATATGGGCTCTTCATGGCCATGATATTGTGGTTTGCCAGATATTCTGTATTGGGCGGACAAAATAAACACCAGAAGCACCTTAGCTTAGGAGGCACACGCTTGGCACTGCTTGTAACTGGTAGATAATCCCGTTGCTGAGCCCGAATTACTGCTGCATTGTAGACGTGCCAGCACTTTGAGCGCCTGACGAAGAACCTGGAGACCGTCGCCGTCCCCTTGCTTCAGACCGCTACTGCCAGCAAGGTGCGCAGCATTTCTCGACATCTATGGACGTCACGATTTAAGTTCCCACTTCCTGTATTGTTATGGCCCCACAGACATGGCTGCAAACGCCCTGCATGTATGCCCTATGGCCTTTGGCTTTGGGGATGCCGACCTGTATTGATACTAGTGATATAATAGTAATATGGCCGTTCTTCTCAAGCTCTGTCAGTTCTCCAGGCGCAAATGACAGTCTGAAGCATATCTGGCAGATGATGGCGAGGGCAAAGGCTCCTCATTCTGCTTGCTCAGCACGAATGAGATGTACTGTGGTAGTCATCACAAAACCCGCACCCTCGGCGGTGCGGGAAATTTTTCAAGTCAACTTTTAGGGTTCTACCAGGGTCATGCTCCGTTGGATTTGTTGAGAGCTTTCCGAGTCTGGTCTCAGAATTATCACAGGTCTTATCTTTTGGGAGATAAGGTCCTTATTTATACACCCTTTTCTGCCAAAACTATTTTTTTGTTATTGCGGGTTCTAAAATGACTACTACATCAACTACACTGAGAATAATGTGTAAGTTCCAGCAACGCGTTGCGCAGGTGACCACTGACTTCCTGGACAGGCTTCGGCAGATGAAGGCGCGAATGAACGGCCTCAAAACAAAGGTGGAAACGGTGAGGACAGGTCTTTAAGCCATGTCTGCTCCAACACACACCCCTATGAATTACCTTTCCACGAACCTTAGACCCTATCTCCCAAAACATGAAAATTGTGATAATTATTTGACCAAATTCAGAAAACTCTCGAGCATTCCAACAGAGCATGACCCTGGTAGACCCCTAAAAGTTGGTTTGAATAATCCCCCGCACCATCGAGGGTGCGGGTTTTAGAATGACTACTACAGTACATCTCGTTCGTGCTGCAACACGCGGACCACACAATGATGACTCATGATGAGGATGGGTTCTGACATGTCTTGCGCATCACCGCTTGCATGCCTTGCAAGTGTATTGAGATTCTCTGCGGCTGAGTCCCCCGAGAGCGCTTCATGTAGCTAAACAAAAGAGCAGGTCAAAATCTCTTGAGACATTTTGTAAGGCGTGCAATTGCTGATGCATATTTCAATGGATTTAGAGGGTGACTAAAGGTCTGCAAACGAGCGTGCCATATGGTTGACTCATCGCCAACGTGTAGAGCTTAGTCACCGCTGAGTCACTGCCATGCTGGCGCAGATGAAGGAGGTTCTCGAGAAATACCTGGAGGACGAGGATGACATGCTGGACATGAACCTCACCGCCAGGTCAGCCACTATTTCTGCGCTTGATCTTGATCACCACTTCCCTCATGTTGATATAGTAGCTGTGCACTCCTCTTGCAGAGGCACAGGCATTCCCTGCGAGCCAGCCCATGCCGTTGAGATGTGTGCAAAAAGGCACCCCCCGCTCTTGTTCTCTCTGTCGAGAGGCATGCGCAGGAGTGCAAAAGGCACAGGAATAATTAACAATAAGACTGTATTTCTGGCCAGTACAATGCGATAACACGCAATCCACTAAAAGGTGCTTTTTGGGGGCCTTTATAGTCTTTTTGAGGAAACACTCCATCCCCAAGCCTGTGAACACTCGATTAAAGATAGGAAATACATTGCAAAGGAATTTTACTTTGATTGTTCAAGGAAAAATAAAATCTTTACTTCATCATACATATGTGTTGCTCAAGGAAACCGCGTTTTTTTTGCTTTATTTCCGCCAGTAATTCTAGCATTTTGTCGCAATGTATCTTGAGGTTGATCGCAATGTACTGTGAGGTTGATCGCATGCGGTGACCCTGGTCAAAAGAGAGGGGATTTACGCCGCAGGGGTCAGGGGACGAGGCATGCATCGTTCCAGCTGCAGCGGGAATCGATGCAGCGCCACAAGGGCCCCAGCCGCCACTCCCTCTCTCTGGTCAGGCACACTTCGGGGCACTGGCCCCAGCTGTCCGTGCGAACCTCCATGCACTCGGCGGGAGCCAACTTCTCAGAAGACGGTGAGCCACTCTGATTCACTGTTTTTTATTTTTATTTTTTAAAAATTGCGCGCTAGGTGGGCTAGAGATTTTGTCGGGATTGCTTGAAACACAGCTTCATTGGCACACCCAAATGCTGGTCAGAGTGCTGTGATCCAAAGTCCAGTAGCGTTGTTTGTGCGCACTTCCAAGCACTCTGCGGGAGCCAACTACCCAGAAGACGGTGAGCCATTCTGATTATCTCTGCACGCTAGGTGAGCTAGAAATTTTGCTGGGATTGCTTCAATCACAGCTTCATTGGCACACCCAAACGCTGGTCACAGTGCTCTGATCTACAGTCCAGCACCGTTGTTTGTGCGCACCTCCATGCACTGGGCTGGGGCCAACTTGCCAGAAGACGGTGAGTTGCCCTGAGGTCTACATTCTGCGTTTGAAAGCTGGAGGCTCCCAAGGGGGAATGGCTGCAGCAGAGCAAGCTGTGTACGTGTCTGTTTTGGCTTTTTGGCAAATCTTTCTGCATGTCTGCTGCACAGCATGGCTCCAAAGGAGGTTGCTTCCCACTTGCCACCATCCTGTGGTAAAGAAAGGCAGCTGCAAAAATCGCCACTTGTTTCACTTTGGTGTCATCCTCCAAGGTCACGTTAGTATGGGGAAGCTGCTGCTCGATTTTAAGGAGGTCCTGGCGCAGCCACTTGATGTGGCGATTTGTTGGGATGATTTGCATCAGGCCTGGACATATCCTGATAACTTTTTATGACTAGACATAAGTTTGTCCCTGCATGCACGCGAAAATACGATCAGCTCCAGAAGCTGATGGCACTGTTTGTTTATTGCACACAACCATCTAACAATGTCTTATACGCTGCGCAGGCGGCGAGGGCGGCAGCCCGGATGACCTGGCAGAGCAGATGGAGGCAGCTGCCGAGCAGCTGGCGGCTGCCAAGCGCGCAGCCGAGGTGCGCCGCCCAATTTTTCACCCCCTCTCTCCTTCAACCCCTTTTTTATATATAGGTTTGAAAGGGGTGATGTAATCCCTGGACTCTTAAGCCCTCGCTCAACCTTGAAACGGGGCTCCCGAATTTCGCTGACATGCAAGGCAGGGATGCTTGAGGACGTTCCTGGCTCGGTCTATGGTGCACTCCATTATTTCGACTCCAGGCAAACACGATTGTCATTTTTTCTCTCCAAAGTGCATTGGTCTGTTACATTCTTTCCAGAACATCTTTCTAGGATCTGGGGGACTTAAGTTTTGCTCCATGAAAGGATCACATGTGTCTTGTTGGACAAAAGGGCCATACAGAGAAAGGGGCCACCCTGTTATGTGACATGCAAGGCAGACATGCTTGAGGGTAGTTCTGGCCTGGTCTATGGGGTCGTTATGTCACTGCAAGTCCAAGTACATGCACCATGTTCTTGTATCTAGAATGCAGTCTTTATCTAGAGTGCCTATAGTGGTCCTTGTTTGAGGGGGGTTGGGACTTTTTTGTTGAAATGAAGATTGAGAGATTGTTGCCTGTCAGGCGCGGCGGCGCGAGGAAGCTATCACGGAAGTTGAGATGGTGCTTCAGACATATTTTCATAATCTAGACAACTCCTACAACAAGCTGCAGACCATCAACGAGTACATGGACGATGTGGAGGTGAGTCATCGCCCCGCTGACTCACCATCTGTTTCTTCATCCTTTTTGGGTGTATAAGCCTTCTTTCATGCCGTGCACAGCTTCATGTCATGTCAACATGGCAACTTGTTTGTGATTGTCCCCCCATTGGTAACTACCACCCTCTAAGCACTTGAAACACACTTTTTGTAGCGCACTGCAATCTAACAAAAGTGCGTAAGACTTTGGGGCATTGCTGCAACTATTGAAAGATGTGGATGCCTGTGAGATTGCTGCTCCATCGCTTGAATCTTGCCTTTACAGAAGATACATAGAAAAAACAAAAAAACCCCAAAAAAAAGACCATTACAGATGTGTTGAAGATTCTTTCTGCGTGCGCAGGAGTTCATTGACTTGGAGATGGACGCGTACCGGAACAATGTCATCCGGGTGAGGCCCTCCCCATTACTAGATGTTCGCAGACACTCAGTACTGGACTCCACGTTTTCCAAGATCATGCTGGCATCACTCTTGCTCATTCTTCACATCCCGATACCGTATCAGGGTTGTATCATGACTGCTCTGCTGTGTTTGCAAGTCAATGCATGTCCTTCAAAAATTTGCCCAGCACACTCTACCTGGACCTTGCATCGCGCGCACAGATTTCTCCCTGCAACGCTGCGCACACACATGTCACATGCCACCTCAGCGCCGTGTCAGCACCTGCCACCTCAGCGTAAGGCCTGACACTGTCTTTCAAATTCAAATTTGAAAGTGCCCGCAGATGCGGGTGATGCTCAATGCGTCGGCACTTTCGGGAGTCATAATATTCACGATCAGCAATATCTTCGGCATGAACCTGGGCGTCGCGCCTGATCGGCTGCAGGGGAATGCCGGGTTTAGCGGCAGCACCTTCCTCGGCTACCCTTTATTTCTAACGGTGCGCCCCTTCCAAACAGGAAGCGAATCAAGTATAGGCCCCTGGACCTGTGAAAAAGAGCCCGGCAACGCTGTTCGAACCCAAAAATTTATGCTTTATGTGCTTACCTTTCCTTGATGATAGCCCGGACATAACACAGCTGCACCAATCGCTTTTGCCCAAGCACAGCATGCCACGGATGTTTTTTGCACAATTTGGGGGGCAGCGTGGAAGTGAAACCCGAGGCGAGAACTGGTCAGGTTGGGCCATTTCTGAGGTCATGACCGTAAGTATGGTAGATAGAGGCCATTAGTGAGTCTACTCGTGCGGCAAGTGTCAGCTCCTCTTTTCAGGAGCTTATTCTGCACGGCTGATGCCTGTAGTATCTCCTGCTGTTTTACTTTTAAAGGCACCACAGTACTTGATGTATTGTGCTGCAATTTGCGCAGGTGACAATAGTGACATGTGGGGCTTCGGTGCTGGTCTACATGGCGTTCCTGTTGTACTTGCACCTTGTGAAATTGGGCCCCTCAAACATCTCGGGTTGATCTAGTGAGTGAGTGAAGTGGCTGCTGCTGAGCTCAGGGAGCTGTCAAACTCATTGCAATGTTCAAGATTTGAGGAAACAAAACTAGTGTGGAAGACTGTATCGATTCCTTACACTTACAACATTTGCGCATCCTGCGATACGTATGCCATTCACACTATGAATAAGAGGAGCTTGTTTGGGTGTCCAATTGGGGGCCGGTTCAAGCCGTAAGGCCCACATTCCTTAAATGTGATAAAAACAAGCCGGAAATGCCCCTGGTATTGACTGTGTCATATTGCATGTGGGTTAGCAGCAGATGGCGGATTTGCTATCAGCCTGAAGCACTTGCCAACTAGAAGCGTGCACGGCAATTTCTGCAACCTTTGATACAGTCCATTTTACTGCCGAGCGCAGCAAGGACAGAAAGGAGCTTGCAACCTCACAGCAACCTTTAATGAGTCTAATCAAAGCTCTGACCCCGCATCATGCGGCATTGCTGGCATGCCAGTATGACATTCATCGCGATCGCTGCTTGCAAAGTGAGCTTTATTACCCTCCACCATAGATATACCCCAGCCCCTTTTCATTCAACATCATCCTGGCTTGGCCAATCACCATACACCAGTGGCAGATGCCCCTTGACAGCTCTCAACAGACACACCTTCTATACACTTCCAAGGCATATGTGTCTCTTTATTCATTCATGATGCAATATGTATCCTGCATCAAAGATACCGCGTTCATTGGGCACCTCAACTCAGTTGTTGCTCACCCCTAACTGAAAATTATCATGCAACTACCCCTCAACTCACTTTGAACTGTATCCTACATGATGCACAACATGCCATGCAGTGCTTGGCACCTGCTTTCCTTCATCTGACCGCTGCTAAAAAGGCTGCGAGGAAACGAATACAACAGCAAAGGCCCACCAAAAGTGACACTAACAGGCATACACAGGCCCTGTCTGCCAACTCTGGACCTTTGACAAATTGCCCTTGCTGCTGGTTTAATGTCACATCGCGTAGAGTTCTTTCTAGTAAGGTTCTTTCAGCTCGAGATTTGCATGTACAAATGGCGCGTTACTATCCGCCATGAACCAGGCAAAGGAATAACGATCGATTCTGTATTGTGCTGTTTCATGACAGCATTGGCTGTGGGTTTCCATCAGACAACGCCGATAGGGGCCAAGAAGGCTCCAGAGTTTGGATCAAAGCTCGGAACCCCGGCTGCCGCCGATGAGACCGCCTTCAGAGGAATGAGACCGAAATCTGTACCAGTTTGTTGGAAGCAATCATTAGCAAAACCGGTAGCACTATAAGAAAATTGCCCGGATGCAATGCTGCTAATGCTGCTTGGGGGACACGGATTTCCTGCAAGGGCACAGATAGAATTGGGTTGAAAATGAATTGATAGAATCAGATGAAAGTCAAAATGGATTTGAAGGTGGCATCTCATAAGACATGTCAGGTTGATATTGTCAGCCAGCATCATGCCACGATGCCTGCTGAATGAAGACAACTGCGCATTGGTATGCCCTGAGACTTGAGCAACCCACTTGGTTCTACCTTCCTAGCAATACGATGTTCTTGGCAACACAACACCTCTGTCTGATGTAATGGCCATCTGTCTCCAGGCAAGGAGTGCACAAGGTGTCCACCAACTAACTCAACGCCGCAAGCGTTACTCAATCAAGCATGCCGCAACATCATCAACCCACGCTAAAGCATGGTGAGATCAGCCAGGGGTGGGCAAGCAGATCATGATATCGAAGCTGGAACTTCCGGGAGTTATTGAGCCAGCAAGACGCACCTAAGGGGCAGCAAGGGGTGGCGCCAGTGTCAGGGACGGCAAGGGTCAGCTGGCCATAGCTCAATATGTTGCAGGTGATCGTGCCCCTAAAACCGGCTAAGTAGAAAGGCTCTGTTGTGGAGCATGTGGGTGATTCGTAGTAGAATCTAAAGGAAGGGAACGCTCCATCGAACCCAAGCCGCAAGAGGTACCTAAGAAGCACCAGCAACTTCATCTCAGAGTATTGACAGCAGAAGCTGCAATCGCCCCACAAGAGGCAAATGGCTCAGAGAAGCTAGAGGATCTCAAAGAATGGAAGACAAGCTGCTTATCCTACAGTGCTAAGAACCTATCACCGATGCACATGCATGCCATGTGCTACTTATGTTAGCCCTGCCACATTCTATGGAGAAGGGACCTGTTCATTACCAATACGGATCACACATTGTTGTGTCTTACACCAGAACGTTTGTTGCATCGCCAGATGCACGGGCGGGTTGCAAGTTGGCCTGCCAATTTGGGGCAAATGGCATGAGAGGACATTACCCAGACGAAGTGATGAGGGTCACGGTTTGTGTATCGGCAGTAACAAAGGTTCCAAGGATGGCGCCACTGCCATCAATTACAGACGTCGCAGGCCCTGCAAAGAGCTAAATTGTTTTAGCAAGGGAATAACACATTCTTTCAACAGATACCCACATGCAATCCTCACTCACATGCCAATGATTTTTCAGCATCTAATCCAGTTTTTAAGTCTTGACAATAAACGCCACAAGGTCAGACCCTGTCAAACATATCGCTGCATTGTACTGGTAGTCTGCCTGATGATTACCAAAGTTAATGACCATATATGACTATATACTTTGACAGCTGTTCCAACCTTGCTGCATATGTTTCGGGCAAGCTATGGTTCAATCGCATTCCTCAGTCTGGGTTGAATGCCAGGTGACCTCAAGCTCCAAATTTCAGAATTCATACTGAGTATTGGTGCAGGGACCGGGCACAGAATTACCTGCTGGACCCTGTGCGCCTTGCGCTCCGGGAGGACCTGTTGCGCAGGCAAAAGCATCGTTCTCACAAATCGCAAGATTGAACACAACAGCATATATCTTTAAGGGGAACGCCACCAGTCTAGGTGAGTGCCAGGTGACCTCAAGCTCAAAGCTTAAGGATTCATACTAAGTATTGGGGCACAGAATTACCTGTTGGACCTTGTATGAATGGACCAGTCGGGCCCACTGGACCAATCGGGCCCTGTGCGCCTTGCGCTCCGGGAGGACCTGTTGCGCAGGCAGAAGCATCGTTCTCACAAACTGCAAGATTGAACACAACAGCATGTATCTTAGAGGGGAAGTCCAATAGATGATGACAAGGTAGCATAAGTGCAATTTCTAGAGTGAGATCACCCGCTGGGCCGTCGGTGCCGTTGAAGCCTGCCGGACCTGCACAAGCACATGCACCACTATTGGGAGGAAATACCATGCCAAGCCTCAACAGGGAGCTGTGACAAAACATGTGAGTCCCTCACTCTTTTGAAGCGCTGTGTACAAGAGAAGGTCTGAACAAAGCAGCATAGGTCAGAGGGTATTTGAGTTGATGTACCTGGGGGACCTGCAGGGCCTTGTGGACCTGTTGCCCCAAATCAAATACACATCTCAGCACATGGAAGTAGCTGCAATGAGCAATTGACTCCTCAGTTTCGTAACAATCGATTGGATCAGTCGGTCAAATGCTCAGTTGGGCCTTCTCCAAGCACACAATAAGACTTCTGAGCCGAGCCACCCTAATAACACTCCCCCAGACTAGGTGCAGTCCTCTAAGATTCCCTCAGCATGGGCACAAATCTAAAATGCTGCCATACAATAAGCGCCTGAGGAACCAAGATGCCTTGCAAGCTGGTCGATTGTAGGGGCAAAATTCAATCAAGGTGATAACGTATAGAGCTCAAGGGTCATTTCACCTGGTGCCCCGTCAGCGCCATTCATGCCGTCAGCACCTGCAGTACAAGAAGATGTCACCGACAAGGCATGTGCTTCCTCGATTGCAGGAAGCCATCGTGCTACTTCTGACTCAAGTGCTTGGTCACTGCCGGATTTCTGAACTCATTCCACTTTTGTGGGGTTTGATTTACACAGGGGGTTGCTACTACAGATCTGTGTATTTAGTCTCCCTACAATCATAAGCAGAGGGAGAACTGCTCATTCTCTAGCACTGGGAACGCAATGTGCGTTGTACACTTGGCGCGCTTGTTGCCCCACAGCAACAGCCTTAAGCAAAATCTTCCAAGTCTGACCATCTATGATCTACCAGTACACGGCGCATGAAAGATAATACACCACAGCATTCTACAAGTGTGTGTTAGCTAGCAGGGTATAGGTATGAAGGTTAGTTGCATACCTGCTGGTCCAATCGGGCAAATCTCCTGGCAGTTGCCGTCTGCTGCAGCATCACCAGGACATTGTTAGGTTAGACTTATGTGATAGCGGGAACGGGTTTCCTGTGACGAACATGTCTGACTCACCTGTCATGTTTATCCGACCATTGGCTGCCTGCGCGTATGAAAATCCCCTGTCAGTGGCCGTAGCAAAGTGGATATGTGTGACACGATAGGCTGAAAGCGGCATTGGTTCAAGTGCTGACCTTCAAAGCGTCGACCTCCGCCCGAAGCGCTTTTACATCGGCCTTGCTTGCTGGTCCTATGGTGTACGCCGTGTCGACAAGGGCGTCCACAAGGGTTTCATTCCTGAAGATGCCTCCTGTCACGACTCACTTCTGTCGTCAGCTGAAGAGACCGCAGCCTTACTGAGCTGTCCAGAGGTTTGTTTTGAAACCTGCCCGTTGGTGACTCATGTCGGACATCGAGCAGGCCTAGTGGCTACGCGCTAAGAAGCATACCTGCGGCCCTCGCCAGTGGCATATGCGGCATCAAAATTGCGCATTGCGCAAACAGCGAGATTATGAGGGTGTAGCCTGCCAGGTTGTTGTGAGTGCTCCTGCATATCAGTGTGCAACAAGGTCATTACCAGTGGAGGAGCTCCGCCTGTAGCCTAAGTTGGGATGCCAGACAAATCTGTAGCAGCACTTTACGGAGGAAGGCTGCACGGAAGCCTCTAATTGGGACAACCACTGAGCACACCTCACCGTCACACCATGCACAAGCGCCAAACCGTCTCTCGCACCCTCACCTTGTTTTTAACTTCCGGCCAGCCATGTTTTTTGCAGTGAAGAGAGGGGCAGTTCTGCCACCACTTGTTGGGCTATCGGCAATAGCCTATTGCTGAAAGCTTTTCTCCTGGAAAAGAAGCAAGGGGCAAGTAGAGCTTTGCAGAATTAGATATCTCAGCTTGCGAGTCGAAGCTGCCCACAAAAGGAGCTCACCAATATTGCAATGCGTCACGTTATGATAAAAACAGGTGTTAATTCAGGTATAAAAGCTGGTCCTCTATCATTGGATGATACAACTGTCGCTGGGCCGTCCAAACAGTGGGGTCGTCCACGCCTGACGTGATTGGGCTCATGGTTAATTCCTCATTACCCCACGAATGAGGGGCGTTGGCAACGCCCCTCAGGGTCTAGAGTACCAGGGTTCTAGAGAGACGGGTTAGGGTCTTAGAGAAGAGAGAAAAAGGGAGGAAAACCATGTTTCGCCATTTGTGGGCCCACCTAGTGACAAAAGTAATGTCCAGTTGGCCCCATGCAGTTGAACCTCTGCCATTTCAATGAAAGCTAATGACTTGCAGCTATGAGCCCCTCATGCCATCATGCTATGATAGCTATAGCCCAACACAAGTGGCAAACACACATGAGATTTGAGGCCAACTCCTATCATAGGCGTTGGGGCAGCAATTCTGAAGAGAATGAAACGTTCTCCAAGTCGGCCTCCATAGAGGAAGGAATTAAAGTCTCACCTAGCTGTAAAAGTGACCAAGCTACGATGGGCTTCAATGCACGCTTTGGAAAATTCTTGTGTATTTATTCAGTGGCACCATTCATACCTGCATGCAAATAAGCAGATATGAACTTGGGAACTTTGCATATGTATTTCGTTGTGTAAGAGTTTGTGAACAGCAGAAAAAATCCATACGCTAGTGGATCAAGGTGCGTGCGTTGCCCAGAAGCAGCCTCACAGGTGGTACAAATATTGTGAATATTTAAGTAGCTGGCTTTTTTCCCTGCAGCTTGCCAGGCTCCTGACATTTCCAACTTTTTGCATTCCATGATGATTTCTGATACAACACCAGGCTGCAGACTTTTGTTGGCCCTGCAGACGTGGCTGCAGTCGCCCTGAGTGTATGCCCTATGGCCTCTGGCTGTGCTTTTGCCGACCTGCAATAACAAATAATAATGAGAGCTGCTCATGTGCATTTCACATCTCCTGCTCAATATGCAAGGCCACTTTGTGTCACAGTATCTCACAAAACAAGCTTGTTTTACAGTATCATACAAGAAATCATGGTTCCTGGCACAGTACCGATAGCTCTTAAGATGACTTCAATTTTATTTTTTCGCCCCAGGAAGCTGCACGCACCTGCGCAGGGTGTATAAGATACAACGCTTCTCACATGCCCGCAGCCAAGGTGACTTGGGAGAGCGGCGCCAAATACTCAAGGAAGGTGCAGAATGCTCAGCTGCATGGGCAGGGCACAATGACATATGCGAATGACGACGTGTAAGAGGGTAAATGGATCAAGGGAGAAAGGTCCGGCCAAGGGTAATTGCGCGCTGCGCCCGGCTCGGAGCAGCCATCACCGAGGGGTGCATGGGCCGAGGACACTTTTACGGCCTGACACTGCGGTGGTTTGGTGATTCCAATAAACATTGTTGTCAGACATTGCAGGAGGGCTGATTTTGAAAGCAAGCATATCTTGTCACAAGTATGGCGTGCCACTGATTATGCCAAGGCCTTTATTGGCAGAGGCTGCTTGTCCAACTGAAATGGCCAATGTTTCTGAGTCGAGGTGACTTGAGGCACCTGCTGCCTATGTGTTGTTGACATGTTGCTTGCAAGGAGGTGGGCAAGTCCTGTTGGAATTGAAAGCAAAGCTCGGCGTGAGTACTGAATCACATGTGTAAAGATGCACGTCTAGAAAAGTGTCGCGAAGACAAAATAACTAATGTTGCTTTCAAATTAAAATGGCATGATCGTGAATTCTTCTACCACCTGACTTGCAAGTCAACCCTAGCAAGGATATTATGTATTAAATTCCTATCTTCAGTCATACAGGTTGCATTCAGGTGCCCGCACATTGCTATTAAAGAATCCTATCCATGACGCCTTCTTGGAAGTGATGGCGGCCAGCAATGTTTAAATAAACATCAACAGCATCGATGGGGCCTTGCGAGCAGAGCTGGAGAGGGTTATGTTCAGTAACCCCTGTCAACCTAACCACAGGGGTGTTAACATCAATATACGAAACACGCCTCGAAATCCGTGAAGCTACACTGATCCCGCCAAAAGAGAAGTGGCGCTTCTGACATATCACATTGATATTGCTGTCGACCTCATCAGTCGATTGATCGAACTGATTTGTGACAGTGCAAGCCCTGAGGCTGAAGCGTTGGAATACCATCGCAAATCTCCGCTTGACCTCCATCGTTCGTCTCAAGGAGACTGTGAAGGTTTTGATCTGTCAGGATGGCAACCTACAGGTGCAAAGTATATCTCTCCTCCTGTGCTCTGCTTCTTAAACCTGACCTCATCTACTGTTCACATAAACAGCAGACCTAATGCCCGCAGCCGCCACCTCGTGGCTACAGTAATTACAGTCTTTTGGGCAATCTAGTTTCCCCTGTTGACGCTTTCCTCTGTTTTGGAACAGTGGGCTCAGCTGTCTCCGCAAACCCGCCGTCAGGGACTCGGTCGATCTCGAGAAGGTGCTGACGGTGATAGTGGTGCGTCCTTTCTACTAACGTCAACTCAAACCGGGGCGACCAAGTCCTGATATTGGCACCAACAATTAACTGCAGACCTGTGGAAGGGAATCGAGCACAATTTGCCCAAGTGCTCTTGAGATCAGGTGTTTCCGTCTCAGACAAGGCAGCCAGATCCCCTTTGGCTGTTGATGCAGCTTGATGCTGATATGATGCAGCAGTCCGTGAAGCAGTAACTGAGGGTACTACTCAAGGTTGAAGGTAGTTGATATCGTGGCACCTTTGCAGGCTTTGGAACCATGCAGGCACACCGGCAAGGAGTCTGTGAGCATCATCACCTGGCTGAAGCGCCTCTTCACAAGGAAGTCAGAGTCAGGCAAGCAAGCGCCTGTAAAGTGCGTGAAATGGGAGGATGGCTCAAATTACTACGGCACACTGCTCAACGGCAGGATGCACGGCCAGGTGACTCGGCAATACTCGTCCACTTATAGACAACCAAAACAGAAGCGCACCCCGTTACAAGATTGCAAGCATACATCTGATGCAAAGGTACAGACAGAATGCACGTATGGCATACAAGTCTGCAGTCAACACATTGCTTCAAAATCATTTGACGGAGCTCCAGAGGATGGTTGGGCCCTTCTGCATTTTCCAGGCTGGAGAGAGTGTGTAACATTTGCCGACTTGTAAATATCGCTCCAGGGGCGCTTCACCGAGCCTGACGGCTACTGCTATGAGGGCAGCTGGCTGTGTGGTAAGAAGCACGGCAAGGGAGATGAGCGATCAGCCGATGGCTCTGCGTACGTGGGGGACTTCGTGAATGGCAAATATCATGGGCAAGGCTGGTACACCACGGCAAACGGCTACAGCCACAGAGGGGCATATGAGAATGGCAGGTGAGCAGCCAAGGAATCCTCACACTTCAGTGTCTTGCACATCAGCCTGACACAGGGTGATAAAGGTGCACATTGGGCAGATGACGATTTCATGCTCTGCAGGGGTTACGAAAGACTACTTTTAGTAACCCCTGTGCTCTGATCATGATGGGGCTTCATATTATCCCTTTCAGAATAGTCTGTATCTCTTGGGCACTTTTGATATGTGCTGTTCCTGCCGGAGGCAAAGTGGGCCTACAAAGAAGCTCCAGGATACAGTGGGTTTGCCACATCCAAGCACAGTGAGCCAACATTGCATAATCTTGATTGGCAATTCTGAGCCGGCAGCCACCTTCAAAATCTTGCAGGTTTTTACGGCTGTCGGCCGTCAATATCACTCAGGGAAGATATTGTACGCTGCTGAGTTGTGACATTGATTTATGTGCCTTGCCCCAGGCAAAACGGCCCAGGAGCGGAGACTTTCCCCAATGGCGAGTCATACACTGGAAACTACAAGAATGGCACCCGCCATGGCAAGGGGGAGTATCACTTCTCCCCATCAGGGAAGATTTTGGACATCGAGGACGGCAAGCTGTTCTGCATGAGCTTGGAGGTGCTCAGCAAAGAGAAGGGCAAAAAGCAAGCCAAGTCTAGCCGTGGCACGCTTGTCGGGCAGTGGAAGGAGGATCTGCCACACGGGCGCTGCCGCTTCGACAGGTATTGCGGACACGTCTACGACGGCGATTGGCAAGCCGGCAAACCGCATGGCACAGGTAAGGCCTGGCAGTGTCACTGATTAGTAAGTTACTTCGGTACTGAAAGTGCTGGCAAGCCGCATAGCGCAGGTACGCTTAGATGGAAACTGATTGCTACAAATGATCTTATTGATATAGGCCGCCGAATCCAAAGCCAAAGGCCATAGGGCATGCACGCAGGGCGTCTGCAACGATGTCTGCGGGGCCTACAAAGTCTGCATCCTAGTGTTGCGTTACACCCCGCCGAATCTTGATGACAAAGTGGAGCTTGTCTGTGCTAGGCTTTATTGCAGAGCAAAAGTAAAAAGGGAAACGTCCCAGGAAGCCACATGAGGCTTTCATTATCATTCTTTCTGAGCAACTGGCACATTGGCACTTACATCAGCATTAGCCATTGCACAGCCTTTGACACCTGAGCAACCGAGATTGCCATACTTTGCGTTACCGTGCCATTGACTTTTTCTGCTGCGCTGTCAGTGACCCAAGTGTGCACTCAGTGCATGCACACACAGAGCTGCTGCCCTTAGGGGCATGCCTGCAGATTACTGATTGCATCTCATAAGAGTGCTCAGTGGAATGTCATGCATGCAGGCAAGGTGATTTGGAAGAGCGGCGCGACATACACAGGGCAGGTGAAGGATACTCAGCTGCACGGGCAGGGCACAATGACATACGCCAACGGAGATGTGTACCGCGGTGGTTGGGTCAAGGGGAAAAGGTCTGGCCAAGGGGAATTGCGCGCTGCACCCGGCTCGGGTCAGCCCTCTCTGAAGGGTGCATGGGCCGAGGACAAGTTTATGGCCTGACACTGCGGTGGTCTGACAATCACAAGAGTTTATAGGAGGGCTTAGTTTACATGCCATCTCTTGTCACAAGCTTGTGTCAAGACCTTGAACTGCAGAGGCTGCGTGTCACAACTGAAGAGCCAGAGAGGTAGAGTTACGGGTGACTTGAGGCACCTGCTGCCTGTGCAATGTCAAGAATGCTTTCACGAAGGTGGGCAGGTGTTGCAATACTCTATGGAAAGATGTCTGATTCTGTCCAAATACACAAGCTGCATACTCAAGTAGCTGCGACTGCAGGCTTCCACTCGCATGCACCCTAATATTCAGAGCTAAGGATGTTAGAAGGGCAAACAGATAAGGTCTCAGTCCGTCGTAATTTTAATAACTGAGTTTCCAAAGCATATGTTTAAAGACGAGCAGAGGGTGTCGTGGTGTTGGACACTGCAACAGACAAGTAATTGCAGCACAATCCCAAACTCAAGGGAAGCTACATGAAGCTGTTTTTGGCAGGGCGGGGGCTCAATCCCCTTGGTGGGCTTTGACCCTAAAGTCTTAAAATATCTGCTTTCGTCGAGTAATTTGGCTAAAGAATGCTCATGCTGGTGCCAGCACCAGGGGGAGCCATTTGCGAGCAGAATCTGGCGTCCAGTTGGAAATGTGGACAGATTTACGACTTGAGCAGATCTGCGAGTAGAGTTGTTGCGAAGGAACATACCTTCGTTCGTCAGCGAACCATGTCCGCATTGCCTCCCTAATAAATGCCAGAACACAGGTCACCTACCGGGTAGGAAACCCAAGCGATCTGTAGGAAACCCAAAGGCAGATTGCTTGTCGACATACTTATACTGCCACAGCTGCAAAAGTCGCTGTGTCTTAGTTTCATCATGTCCAGTTGGCTCGGTTGCCTGGGCACAGCCGCAGTGAAAGACGCACCCGATGGAATGCAATCTTTAACCGAACAAAACGCGCGGACTGATATTCCTCCCCATCTCCCTCCTCGCTTTGCGTTGGCTTTGGCAGAGCAGATCAGTGTGAACTAGTATGGAGATCAAGCCCTTATTTTTTGAGCGCTGCTGATCTTCGCCGAGAAAGGATATTTCGCAACAGGTATCCTTAGGAATTTTCAACCCAAAGAACGGGAAGGTTATTGATCGCTGTCTGTGGCGAGCGAGATGATGCTGTGCCTGTCCCCGTTCCGTCCGTATTCCTGATGCATCCTTCACCCCTTGACGTTGGGGAATTGAGGGCCTTCCTGCTCTCTTTCTGGGTTGCCTTCACTACAAAACAAAAGCCATCATCTGAGCACACCTTTGCAATTGCAGCTATCCTTCACCTGCAATGCAAGACTGCAGCACACCATTACATCTGGCGAGAAGCTTCTGCTTCTAGCAAGATCCTGCACAGGGTCCTTCTGCTGATCCAAAATGTGAACGGCATTAATCCGTATTCGAGCTGAAAACACCATCATTAGTTACAACAAGTCCATATGCACGCAGGCTGCAAATGCGCAGCTGATGCTTAGTCCCCATCTGCATCTTGGCCAATGCCGATGTTTCCCTTTGTCACGCTCCTGACGTGCTCGTGATAGTATCGCCTGCCGCAGATGGTGCACGGCTCCTGCCACTCGCTTTCCTCACCCTGCCAATTAATTACCTCCCTTAAGCCCTCAATCCAACAGTATGTACCCCTTCCAGTTTTATCTGAAGTGTTGTTGCCATGAATCTCAGTTCCAACAGAATGCAGCTGAGGAATTGACAAACAGGCACTGCCAGAGCTAATGAAAATCAGCTGGCAAGGTTTCGGGCGCTGCTTCTTGGTATCAGAGGCAGGAATATCAGTCGCAGCAGCAGCTCACCTCATCAGCATCGCTGTCATCTTTGTCCCCCCTGGCGCCAGTCTCAGACTTGTGCAGCGCCCCAGACTTCCTGAGAAAGCTGCGCACAACAAAGCCTTTTTCCCCAAGTCCCCGGTGACTAAAGTCCCTTTGGTCCTTATCTGATGGTAGTTCCACAACATCCAGTCTATCCTCACAGGCACTGTGATAAGCTTCTTGAGGAGCACGAGAGGGCAGGCAGCTCCTAAATGCTTCCTCCAAGGCAGGCAGGCCATCAACAGCAGCCTCGGTATTGACACCACTAGCACCGGCCATCCGTGTCGCAACTTGATGGATACTGCTCATTGGGAAATGTGGCAGCCAGAGAGTGCGTCAGGCGCTCACCTGAGCACATTCTCCTCAAAGATCGCCCCGTCTCTGCCCAGGCTTTCCAAGGGCGCTCTGCCGCTCACCTCACCCTCCCTAAAGCACACCAGCCCTGCACTTGACCCAGCAAAACAGCTGTCATCATCCTGGAGAAATTGTTACATCATGAAGTTGCACGCCAGCTTCACAATGTCCATCGGAGCCTCGTCCTTGGCTTGCTTTGGAAAGTCCTACCAGTAGGTGTGAAATATGGCTTGTGGGCGGCACTGACGCCAAGCTCACTGGAAATTCTCTGGATCTCTTCACTGCAGAGTACAGGTCTCGACTGGTTGCCAATTCTTTATGAGATATAATCTTGGGATTTACATGATACAAAAAGCATGATGAGACAATTAGGAGATGACATTCTTCTAGGAATTGCAGGTCTGAGGTGAGATTCCCACCTGAGCCACAGAGCAGGCCGAGCTGTGCCAGAACAGGCGACCTGGGGTCAGCTATGGGGGTCCGCAGGAAGGCAGTGCCTCTGAACTGGTGCGCCAAAGAATCCAGCGCCTCATCCAGCTGTGCATCAGCCTGCCACCAGACACAAAGTTCCTCTCACTTCTAAGGCTGGTAATGCGATTGCTGAGACTGGCTTCCTTTACACGAACTCATAGCGATGCATGTGCAGCCCATAGCAGGCTAAGTGGTGCAGTGTGAAGCATGGTGAGCAAGGCATGCTTGGCAGCAAACGCATGATGAATGATAGTTGTACCTCACACCCTGGAATGCAGATGTGGCAGACGATTGCGGCTGCTGAAGCCTTCTTAAGTGTTCTCTGTGCACACAAGAATCCATCGTTTATCAATCGCTGTAAGTCTTGCCCGGCATCCTTCACGCACAAGCGCATGTCTGCATAACAAGAGGAGCAAGTATTTCTGCATGGAGGACAGGAGTTCATACATCAATGACAAACCAGGAATCTTAATGGATTTAGCTGCTATGACCTCCACAGTGTGATGTATTACCTGTAGGTCATGTTCTGGAACACTTTGCAAAGTGCCTGCCCCATTCACAGCAGCCTCCTTGCTTAGCGCATTCTGCTGGAATAATTCTCTCATACGCCTCTCTCGCACCTCCTGCAAGGCTGATCGCAGAGCAAAACCTTCAGTCAGGCTGGCCTGCTTGAGCTGACGTTTGCTGTGCATGTTGGATACAAGACAGTAATGCGTCAGCAAAAGATCAGGAAACTCCTCTCAAAATCAAGCAGCTATGAGAAAAGCATTTATGGCACCTGCATCGTCATCGCTGTCAGTTGCAAGGACGTCAAGCTCTTCCTCCATCTGCACTGCTTCTCTAATTTCTCTAGGATCCCGAAGGATCACGCCGTTGGCGATGTGAATCCGTTCATACGTCCTATCATGAGACAACAGCTGCTTCTTGATGCGCTGCGTGTATTTTTGCTCCTGCAGATCGCGCCTACAGCAATCTGCTAGTGTTGGATCGTCGACCAGGTGGCAAGCAGGATCCGGTTCGCAGCATTCACTCGAGCAATCCATATCCAGCCAAGCTTTATTTTATTGAAGTTTCAATGCTTTGCCACGAAATTCTTTTCGCTTTTAGCTTCCCAAATTTTGCCTCCTGCAAGGGAACGCCTTGGGAAGCGTGCGCCTCACAAAATGTGCTCCCAAACATTGGACTTCCAAAGCAGTTTTGAAACAGCCTCAGATACCATGCAAAGAAAATTATAAAACCGCGCTGGAGGTCCCGGTGCACCACTCCAGACCGCCCTGCATCTCATCGTGGACACCTACGTACCAAGCTCAGTGAACCAAGACAGTAGGTAATATTAGATCCGGGCGTAAAGTAGCATTATCGGATGTCGCAGGTCTGAGCCCTCCTGAAAAATATTGCAACCAAATTCCAGGTATGAGCAGGTGCGCGGGGCGTTGGCTTGCAAAGAGCCTCAAGAGCTGCGGGAACCTGAATCATACACCGCAGTGTCACACTACCTACGGTACGTAAGAATTTAGTGTGTATATATGTACAGCGCCTATGTCAGCATTCAGCGATCTGTGCGCCTGGAGAGTCTTGCGCTGAGTTCCAGGGAGCTGCATGTGGAGCTTGGAGACACAGAGGCGCTTGCCGAGAGCCTGAATGACATCTGCATTGCCTGGGGCAACAGTGCTAGCATGCATTTGCTCCCCACCAGCATGGCTCTCAAGGGAAAGACCTTCCAGGTGAAACTGCCTTTGTCCAAACGAGACCACTCATTTACTAGAGTCTATGGCGAGGATATCTCTGAATGCAGCTGCCATGCGTGTGCTGACTGCCTGTCAGACGCTGGCATCATGCCGGCACCACTCTAGGACAAGAAAGCAGGCGTCTTTTATTAGACAAGGTGCTTGGTAGCGGGTGATGTGCAGATGCATCAGAGAATCCCTGCAGGGATCAGACAAAGTTCAGATCTGAGAAAATCACTAGAAGTGTGGGAGTATGTGCGTCGGTGGCAACATGGAGTGCTCTTGGCTAACACAATTGTTTACAGATACATCTGCAATATATTTTTCATGCGCCAGAGCTGGGAGCAACAGGTCATGGTACAGACCGCTAGTAAATCAGTGCCCAAGTGAGCGCTATTACTAATAACCAATAGAAAAGGTCAGATCCACTTGTCATTGCTCTGCCACAATGCAGGCAGGCAAAGAAAGTTGCGGCCTTGATGCACATCTTCAAAATGACACAGGTTGCAAAGAATTCTTCGAAGGTGCAAGGTTGCTGTCTTCTGTAGAGCGGTGCACAGTAGACTCTGAAACGGCAATTGCCCGTGACAGAAATTTGTCATTATGTTTTTGTATTTAACTGTCCAGAAAAGAAGGGTGCAGGAAGCAACAGAGCAATGGCATCTGTTGCACGTGTTGTACATTTGTAAAATGGATTCATGCCGAAAATTCCGGTGTAGTGTATCTGGGCACTCCATGGCATGAGACTCCGCTCCTGATGTCATGCTCCCTTGGGGGAGAGTTGTCATCCAGCGGTGGCCCAAGATATGCACCAGTAAAGGTCCCATGCAGACCTGCACACCAAGATCGTCCGGTATCCCTTATTAAAATATCAAAAAAAGACAGCAATCCCAAACCGGCATGTCCTTGATAGCATTATAAGGCATCCATTTGGCGCCACCAGACAGCGTTCCACTGAAACCACAAATTAGCCAATTACCACAGAAAAGTAAGGTAGGGTGATAAGCCTGTCCGCAATGCATCCACGGGACACTAGTGCCCAAGTAAAAAAAGATCTCAGAAATCAGGGATGCCAATTGGAATAAGGGAGGGTTTTGAGTGACTTGCCTATGGGGATATGGTGGGGGAGGTGAATCGTGGCGACAGGGCCGGCCGCCACATCAGCAGCGTCGAGGATGACTAAGTCCGTAGTCATGCTTGCCGACCGGAACACCGGCGCCAGCAGCCAACCCTCGTCTTCGCTCCGCCTGTCATCAACATCATTCCCCTTGTCATCGCTACTATCCCCCCTGCCCGTCCTGGGCACAAAGATGGCCTCCTGGGCAAAGCTGTCCCTGCCTGGGCTCCACCGCTCCAGCCTGCCTGATGACCCAATTGCTGACTCATCGCTGGGCGCTGATGCAAGGGATGGCAACGTCACCTTCATGATATCCTGCGCAGCATTCAATATCCCATTCAGCATCTGAATGCACTTCACTGGATTCTCCGCAGGCACGCTCTTCAAAATCTCGCATATCGTCATGGCATTGATGATCCGCAAGAGAGCTATACAAGGATTCTTCTTGCAGCATCTCGTCAGTACTGTGTGATTTAGACCTGCGCTACAATCTGCCGATTGCAAGTGTAGACTGGCAGACTCCGCACTGCTAAAGGTTGCACCATGCGCAGTTCATCAGGTCTTGCTTGGAGGGGCAAACTTATGGCAGCCTTTTCAGCAGCTTGTCTGCAGACGCACCCTGCCTCCTCGCAGGGACAGCGTCTGTGAAACAAAACAGTGAAACAAAAACAGTGGGTGTGTTGACAAAAGGGTACATTACCTGGGGGGGTCCCCAGCCGCGCGGCCCCACAAATCTGCTGCTGGTGACATACGCGTAGCGGTAGGGGCGGCCAGAACAGGCCGGAGCCAAAGAAGGCATCTCCATCGATTGCTGCTCCGCTATCCTTGACACACCCACCTGCGCATGCAAACTCACAAATTCACTTCCGAGGTGCTGAGCTGGTATGATTGGCAACTCAGCCCCTCCTAAGGCCAGCCAGCCGCATGCAGGATTCTTCTCAAAAATTGACATTCCTCTCTGGAATTTGATGCTCGCTTGAATTTGAGAAGCCGTATGCTTAAAATTAAAAAGCTGCCAAAAGGTTGATTCTATCAGCAAATCTTAGCTGGCAATCAAAGTCAAGGGAAGCACATGTGCATCTCAAAAATATGCTCATACTGCATGCCTCTTAATAACAAGCATCCTCAAGTCGGGATACCCAGTCACTGGCGGAAACACTAGATGCATAGGGTTTGTCGGTTTCCGCACCCTTCCACCAGCAGGGTCAAGGGTGAGTCGGGTGAGCGCGGTGCGCCAGAGGGCGCGCTGGAAAAACTCCGCGCTCAGATTTCCAAAATCGGCGCCGAAGTCAACGCCCCCGGACATTGCCAGGCAGTCCATCATCACGCGCTCGCTGCCGGGTTCCTCAAATGCGTTCACATGGTGAAAGCAGAATAGCGGCTCTGTTTCCAAAGTCACTCGCTTCCCTGCCTTTCCTGCAGCACAATGACAACCTTGTTAAGGTCAGGAGATCAGTCACATAATCAGTGGTAGTTTTCTCGACCGTTTTGCACTGAGGGTTTTCCAAGGCTTGTCGGTCAGGCAGTCAAGTTATTCTCCTCCCTATGGAGTTAAGAAGGTCTGATGTCTAGCTCTGTGTTATTGGGAGTGCCCAGAGCAGCGGGCGTACTGCTGCAGTAGAAGGACTGAGAGCCATAGGATGCTCTTTGCATGAAAGGCTGCACACAAGAACACTGCAACGGCTCGCAAAGTGTGCATGCTAGCAAACTGTAACATGTTGGGAAGAGTGCATCACAGATTGTGCATGCAAGCAAACTGCAACATGTCAGCAACGGGGGGATTAGTCAGTCAAGAAAAACACTGTGATGCGTGAACAAATCCTGAGGAAGCCAGGTAGGTCACCCACCCGAGCGGCCGGGCCGGGGGATCAAGTGTATCTTCGTGCGCTTGGCAGGGTCATATTTCAGACACTCGGCGAGGCAGGCGCGGCCGAGGGCGTACTGGGTCGCCATCTTGGACAGGTCCAGGCGCATGGGATTTTCCAGCGCAATGTAGTAATGATCAGTCACCAGCATGTCGTGGAAGAAGCCGAACCCCGCTCCCTGTGTGCATGACATCATACTTTCATCAGGTCATTGCAGTTTGTAAAGGAGGGTGGCCTTTCTTTGCTGCACACAGGACTACCCTGTTGCAAGAAGGTCCAAGGTACTCGAGGAGAAAGGCACTGCGCAGAAAAGCAAAACACGCAGAACCGGATTTTCTGAAATGCTTTTGTTCTGCTCACTGCCTTTCAGTGTCACGTGTTGGAATCAGGGGGATGGCAGAGCAGCGAAAAACAATGAGTCAACTCTGATCACAAACTAGTAATCGGGCGCTCACCGGGAGCTCTGCTGTGGTTTTGAACAGCACCTGCAGGTCTTCTCCATACTCCAGAAATGTCAGCGTCCCCTTTGTGAGCCCCTCGGCAAATGTTGACCCGATCAGCCGCCGAGAGCCATCATCCTCCCTGCAGAGCCCTATTTCCTTCAAAATCTGGAGTGATAGCACCTCAATCATGGCACCTCAGACATGTGCATGTTTTTGGTGATTGTCTGATCTCACAAATCTTACTACTGCTTCTCTCACGGAAACGTGCTTCTTCTGCAAGGATGATAAAAAGAGTCTTGCATGGATGGGCATGAGAGTGTAGCTTTGCCGGGGCGCAGGCGCGGCCGGCGGCGGCGTGGCCGAGCCTGACATCCCTGACATGCTCCGCGAACTCCTTCCAGACAGTATTATGTATGCCATGATCTGCCGAGGCATCTTGCTCGGTCAAGCACCCACCTTGGCAGATGTGCCAGTGTCTTCTCCGCAATCATGCTTCACCAATCTGCAATATTCCCGATGCCTAGTACATTCAAACTGGCATGCGATGCAGAAGAGAGCGCGGCCTTGCCTGAAGGTGCGGATGTGGGACCCAAAGTTTTGGGGGTCACTGCCGGCACCGAGGGTGTCATTCAAAGTTGTTCTTCCCAACGTGCGCAGCGTGCTGTCGAGCTCCCACGGCAGATCCCTCTGCAGCAGAGCAAACACAGCGATTCAATTGAAATGCAACCAAAAAAGGTTCTGAAAGATCCAAGATATCCCTGCAGTTTTATATTCTCTCCTGATGTTCTTTTTCGGATCCCCCGGATGCCTCTGCACTGGTGGCATTCCTTTTTGTTGTTGTTCAAACCTGCTCAGACTTTGTCCTCCAACTGTTTAAATAGAATCCATCTCGTGCTTGCAAACCTTTCCCTGGATTTAAATGGCCTGCCAAAAGACAGCTATTGCATTGCATGCTTCAAGTCGGGGACTCTCGAGCAGCACAAAGGCCACGCATGCTCTGGTGGCAGCTGCAGAGATGCGCAAGCTTCCAGAAAGTTGCAGTTTGGCTTGGCAAGGACGCACCTGCTTACTAATCAAATATTAGTCATGATGACTCACCTCATGCAGGGCGAGCGTGCGGCCTCCCCAGTGCACAACGTTGGTATTGGCAATGGATTTGATGCGAAGGTCCAGGGGGTTAAAAAATCGACCGCCAGATGGGTTGCCAACCGAGAACGCACCCCTGAAGCAAGCAAATGTTACATTGCCACCTTGTGATTAAACGCTGTTGCTGCCAGGGAGGCAAGGTGCGTCTGCAGACCAGCTGCAGGTGAAAGCTACCACAAGTCCTACCCCTTGATGGAATCACCAGATCCAAACAAGGCGCAACATAATGTAGACAAAAATAGCCAGATATGTGCATCCTGCTGTGCATCCATCTTGAATTTAGATCCAGAATTGACTCCAGACCCAGAAACACTGCCACTGCCCTCCACATTGCCACTCTTCTGAGCAGCATGAACATAAGCAAGCCTACCACATTCTCTTCTGTCATTTGAGCTATTTTCGGTAGTGCATAAAAAATGCGCCGCTGCTCGTACCTGAACAGCATTCGACCGGCCTCCTGCTCTGCCATGAATGCTTCTGTGCGCACGTAGCGGCTGCGGAAAAAGCAGCGGCCAGCCTTGAACGCCCAGGAACACACCTGCAGATCAATTGATGCATCCTCATATTTCATTATAACGATTCTAGCTCATCAGACCTCGAAGATGATAGTGTGGGTGCCATGTGAGTGAGCATGCACATGCATGGCTGCCCCTTGAGAAACAGCTGCATAGCAAACCCTCTGCAGCTTACAGCCTTTCAACGTAATCGAGCCCTTTTATTGTTATTGTAGCCCATTTGCAAATAAGCCTCAGCAGAAATTACAAGCTATAGATCCCGGCCTGCTGCATCGATGACAAGTTGACGTCGCTACGTTTCGTTCGTATATAATCGAAAAAAATTCAATCCAGGCATGTTAAATTGCACGGAATAAACCTCACTTGTAGTTGTCATTGGACAAAGAAGGTGGAGGGTACGAATACTAAAACCCACCTCCTTTTTGCAATTTTTCGATTTCTTCCTGACTACTTTTCAATTCAGCATCTGAAGAATACTCTGGTGAAGCATGACTTGTTCTTGCCATATGCAAGTTCTAAAGCATGTTCCCCTTACTTTGGTTGGTCCTTAAGTCTACATTACACTTTAGATTCGAAGCCTTCCAGGTCAGATATCTCATGACATATAGAACACTTCAGATACATTGAGAGACTCTGTTTTCAATTAAAGCTGGAATTTTACCATTCCATCGCCGTCGAACGGCTGGCCAATTGGTGTCCCGCCGACCTCAAATAGCCCAGGCCCATTCCTCAGCAGCGTTCCCTTCAGCTCTGCTGGAATCTCACCTGCATATTCGAGAATAAAACTTAGGTCCAATCACAATTCATTGGTCATCTCCGAATCCTTTCCACTTGCAGGAAAGGATACTCCAATCACACAGTTGCGACTCAGAAAGTAAATCTCTTAAGCAGGGCACGACTTGTGGTGAGATGAGCTTAATCAACAAGCCCTTAGACTGCTGCGAAATTGCCCAGAGATTGACGCAAGACTTCACGTATGCTGCAAATGCTGCATGCAAAGGCAGCTGCTGGCAGGTGCAGGCAGACACGCGCACCTTCCACCATTGAGGCATCCACCCAGAAGTCTCTCTCAACATACTGGGATGTGTACCCCTTGATCACGTTATCCCAATCGGCATCTGTGAAGAGCTCTTCCCTTTCGCTGATAGCTCCACTTCTTGGCCCAGCTGCCTCCGAGCCATGCTGCTGCTGCTCCTGCTGCTTGGGTTGTATTTTCTGGGGGGGTTTGGGCCGAGGTAGAATTGCTTTGGGGGCTGGAAGGATGCTGGGCTGTGTCACGGTGGCAGCTGCATACCATGCACACTATAAGACTAATTAGGTCTACAGGAAAGCGTCTATCTAGCAGAAAATGGAAAGTGCAACTGGTCAAAGTAGATCGATCAAGATGGTTCACCTGCTATTGTTAAGTTGCTTCTGCGTCTTGCGCATCTTCTGGTATTTATGACCAAGTCTGTACGAGGGCCGGTTGGGCTTCCCACTGAGTTCATCGGTGAGACAGGTGAGGGCTGCAGGCCTGCACGTTCAGGGAATACGTCGTATCTACTGTTCATCAAATATCAATTCACAACAGCACCGAGTTACTGCTAGAATGCCTGCAGGATGCCGGGAATGCACCTGCACCCAATGTCTCTGATGTGTACTGCTTCCTACTGCAGATGGGGATATCGAGTTGTCCTCCTTAAATGTAGTTCGGAACGTGATATTACCTGGATCTGACTAATTAACCTGTTCTTGACACCAGATGCCTCAGACTAACCCAGTATTTAATCATAAGCAAAAGTTTTGGGGCTTGCTGTTGTCATACTCGGATGTTACCGGCCATGGGCTGTTCACGGCAGGCAGCTCGGGCTCGAAACGATCCGCAAGCAACCTGAAGTGATACTATGCCTTCGATATCTTTGCAATTGCGTTGCACAATGAAAGAAGGTTGCTTGAGTCAGGCAAGCAGTGCCGGAGTGTCATAAAGCAATCCACGTGAAAGAAAAGCTAAGGGTCCTGTTAATAATGTAACGATGAGAAGGACGGAAAGTCTCGCAATGCAAGCTTGAGACTTCGCTTGAGTATACTTTGATGCTAAAAAGCCCGTTTCATAGCATTTGTTCATCATGGCTGTTCACCAGATCGGAGAGGGCGGCCTGGTCATGGTAAGTCTGTCCCAAATCTGCCCGGCATGCACTGACGGCAAAGCAGCCCCAAGCCTGGAGCAGCATAAATGTTGAGTGTTAGCGCTAGTTCGTTTTGAGCAAAAACGGAGTTCGACAAGCTTCTGCCAGGAAGTGGAAAGTACTTGCGTTGCAGAATGTCAGTCCGAACAGGATGGTTGGTAGAAGCGGCCGAAAAGCGAGAGTCAATACAAATCTAGCATCGCTAACCCATCGCTGTTTGCGCAGTACTGGGTCACCTTCGGTTTGATGGCCTTCAGCGCCCTTGCATTCGCGGTCATGACTTTCACCAGACCGCTCAACAAGAGGAGCCACGGATGTACGGCCTCCGCCATCCCTGCCTTCAATTGACGGATCTTGGCACTGTACTACTTCTTATGGAACAAGCGGGATATATTCTGGAATTTGGTTTGTTACAGCATGAATATTTCCTGTGCTGCGCAGATATCACGCTGGCCATCGTCACCATCGCAGCCATTGCATACTACGCAATGGTGACCCCCTGAACTCCTTTGGGGAACGCGATTCGATGACTCGCAATCCAATGATTTTTTGAAAGATTATAGCAGCTTTTTCACGACCCCCTTGCCCTGTCTGTGACGTGGGTCCCGCACGAGAGCAGAGATCACTACAATCCTTCCCTGTGTCCCTGGCACAAACTGAAGGAAGACATGCAGCAAGCGTACACCAGCTGTGCTGCCCTTTGCGCTCCCTTTTCGATCCAGGCCCCTATTTTCCACTGCTTCTGAGCAGACCTGGTATGACTAGTCCTGAAACTCACCATCCTCTGTCCCTCGGGTCCAAGAGTTTGAATCTGAACGCGCAGGCGGCCAGCGGCGGCAAGGCGCTGGTATCCAACCCGGACGGCAACCTGCGTGACATCTACTACGCGCGATACATCGACTGGTTTTTCACCACTCCTCTGCTGCTTCTGGACATCATTCTCCTGACCGGCATCCCCATCGGCGTCACCCTCTGGTGAGTATCCATTTGCCTCGACGTCTATTCAGGCAATTTGGTATGCTGTCAGCACAGTTTCAAGGTGCATGCAGCCAAGAGTGCATATCAGTTCACATCATACATCACTGCAAATGTGCCCACTACCTCTTCTCAAAGAATAAATGGGTGCACATGCAGTGCAACTATAAGAAGTACTGCATAGTGTTGATCCAGCAATTTTAAGTTTCAAGCGAGATAAATGTGAATTGTAATGCTGGCATTGTAGTCTCTCTGGTCCTGGCGTGCGCAACATAGTGCTTGCTGAGATGGCAACATTGTGCTGATGCGCCGTTCATTTGTGTGTGCATTTGAACAAGAGTGGTGCAGTGCGTAAGTGCGGACCTTTGCCGTGCGCAGGATTGTGCTTGCTGACGTGGCGATGATCATGCTGGGCCTCTTTGGCGCGCTGTCCACCAACAGCTACCGCTGGGGTTACTACGGCGTCTCCTGCGCATTCTTCTTCGTCGTTCTCTGGGGCCTCTTCTTCCCGGGAGCCAAGGGCGCCCGCGCTCGCGGCGGCCAGGTGCAAAAATATCTGCTGTATTCGAATTTAAATTTTAAAAATACAGACTTAAGCTTCCCGGGTGCCATTGACGCCTGCGCGCAGGGTGGCCAGGTCAGCAATTACGTACAAATTTTTAATCTGAAATTTTGCAGATTATGGTGCCCACCGTCTCCATGCAACCGGGCTCTTCACTTGATGTGGGAGCCAGAGTATCTCGGTGCTCAGAAAGTCTGTTGCGGCGTAACTAACGGCAGTCAGTTGGGCACTTATCTTTTGTGTGTCTATTTGAAGCTTCAATAGAGACGCTGCATGTAGTGTAGAACCAGATGCAGTTTGGCAAAGAAGTCAATTTGCAGGCAGATGACTCCTGGAACTGCAAGCCAAAACCAATACTTCCTGTTTCCTTTACGCTTGTGACAGCTCTGTGATCTGCTGCCCCCTTCAGCAGAGACTGCTGAGAGGACAGTACTGTGAGTTGCCTGCATGGGCACGAAATTACTTCCTCTTTGTATTGCATTCGCAATTGCCCTCCCAAATCTCTCGAGGGGCTTACACAATGTGATTTGTTTTCTGCGCAGGTGCCCGGGCTGTACTTTGGACTGGCGGGCTACTTGGCGCTGCTGTGGTTTGGTTACCCCATCGTGTGGGGTCTGGCAGAGGGATCAGACTACATCTCTGTCACTGCTGAGGTGAGCTGCTCTCCTAATCTTTACTAACGATTGGGAAGGGGTAATCAGTAATCTTATTAGTAACAGTACGATGTTAGTAATGGGGACAAAAGCAGTTTACAGGGGGAACCTGTAAAGTGCGAGTGTTGCAAGCAGCTGATCTGCACACATTGTTGAGTGCTGAGGAGAGAGTGCTGCAGTGCTGCACACACAACAAATGTGAGAGAGCATATCGAGTGTTTCTTGTGGCCAGATTCCTGCGTCCGAGCTCATGACTGAAGGCTAAAGAAGTGCTCTGATCCGCATGCAGCTTTACCTGCATGTTCTCTGCCTCAGCGGAGAATTAAAATCCCTGAATCAAGGCACCATGCTATCATTGTCAACGCTCGACTGCCTCATAGTAAAGCGCCCTAAACCTCCTTACAAAGTGTGACTTACAAAGATTTTGTGCTGGGCTGCGCAGGCTGCTTCATATGCTGGGCTGGACATTGCTGCCAAGGTGGTGTTTGGCTGGGCAGTAATGCTGTCTCACCCCCTCATTGCCCGCAACCAGACTGACGGGTGAGGCACCTGTCTTTCAAACTTTGAAATTACACACACATCACTTCCATAGGTGCATTTTATCCCTCAAAGCAGATGCTGGCATGACGCGAGCTATTATACCTTGCCTGCTACCCAGGCGTGAATACCACAACACAAACATAGATGCATAGATGCATTTGTTTGTCGGTAGCAAATTCTGACATGGAGCAAGCTGTTTTCTGCCTGTCTGATGGTGGTTGCTTGCTAGAGGCTGCTGAGCATGTGCATGGGTCCCGCAGCACAAGATTCCAGTTGCAATATTTAGCAAACCTCGGTGAATTTTAGCAGCAAAGACAGATCAAGCATGTTGGATCAAAAATTGATTGTCTTTGTCATCAGTCATCAGTCATGTGTGGGTGCTGCAGGAGCCTGCTAATCAACTCCACGAATGACCCCTTCGTTGCCAGCACCACACACATTCCAGAGCGCCAAGTAAGCTCCACTCTTATCTTCCTGCGCATGAAAAATAGCCTCCTGTGTTTGTTTGAGGGTGATGTCACAAATTTTGGGGATCATGTTTGGCAGCTTAAAAATAGGCACATGCAGCAGGCTGACTCTATCTTTGCAAATCAGTTGATGGTCTCTTCATCTGCAACAATCTGCCAATGTCTTCTCATGTCTGCTATATTCACTGATCTTAGAGGCATGCCTGAAGCACGTCTAAGTCCCAATACAGGCCTGTCCATGCACATGACTAAGAATTCTGCACCTTGCAGGGCGGCATTTTTGGAGGTCTTATGGGCAAGAAGCGCGGAGCTGGCACCCCTCTGGCAACCAACGAAGGAGTCCCTCGCAAGGCTGCCCCAACGGCTGCCACTACAACTGCTGGCAACCCTGCCACTGCTGCAGAAGTCTGAGCTGAGCGCTTGCGCCGTTCTGAGACTTCAAATGCATGCTGCAATAGGCAATGAGGCTCAGATCAAGGCTCTGTTATGACTGCTGTAGCTGCTGAGGAGTCTGCGCTGATGCACTGCTCTGGCAAGACAAGAGGCTGAGGCCAGAAGGAAGAGTGAAGCGATGGTGTCTGACGCAGTCTTACTCTGCTGTGCTGAAAAGTTTCGGATGAAATTTTCAACGGCAAGATTTGATACTGAAGCCGTCATGACTCGTAAGAGTATTTTTCAGGCCTTGAAATGTGGGGCAGAAATAGAAAGGGTGTTTGATGCAATTGCTATTCATTCTTGTTCGGAGAGCAAGGGTGGTTGTTACTGTCGCAAGCCACGGACGCATTGTCCATGTACATCAGGGCAAAGTCTTTTTTTATTTGGTGAGCACGACCGGGATTGAGGCTGCTCAGAGTATATGTTGGCATTAGTCGCAAGAATGATTCTGGTGGCTTGAGTAGCTCCCACCATTGAAGGGGATTCTTACGGTGCGCGTATGTGCAGATGTCTTCTGAGGCAGAAGAGACTGGTGGTTTAGGGGCCAAGTGCTTTAGAAATATATTCTTTTATTGTCATGTATTCTTCCATTCTTTCATGAGAATCTTGCTGAACCGTCCCCATTGTTCGAATGTTTGTGTTTGGTGTTGCACAATTGTGCAGAATGGCACTTGTCAGAATGACTCGGGGTCTGTCTCTGAGATTTCGAGTCTGAGATACTGCTATTTTCAAAATTAAGATGTTTCCTTGTTTGGTTCAATCTGCTTTAAGAGCGGTCACTGCGGTAGCTGTGCATGCATGTGAATTATATTATTGTAAGACGCTGGAACATCGTCAATCAAAGTAGATTGAAGCTTCTCAGATGGAAACGTCACTATAGCACGCAATATAATGTGGAGTGATCACATAAACCATTGCAGATCTATGGCATGCCTTTGCACGATTTCATCCGGATGCATACAATCTGCATGTCTGTCGCTTCAAGCAGTTGTCCTTGGGAGCTGACCTGAAAATATCAGGGAACAAGCAGATACTCCTTACTTTCCCAGGCCCGTTAGCCTCTGCTACATGTTCTTAGGGAACACGACAGGGGCCAATAACGCTTACATTTCTTGATGCCGGACAGGCAGAGCCTTGCAAACAGCAACCTTATCTGCGGGTGGCGCTTAAGATATAGGGGGTTCAGGCGTGTAACATAGCTTCCATAAGAGAGGCCCCATATTTATAAGCACATGTGCAATGCATTCTGACATGTGCTTATTCTGGTGCACTGGCTTGCCCATATACAGGGTGAACAGGCTTACCACAATAGCAACAATATCATGTAGACTTGCAGATCCTGCTGCTGGTATTGAGTCACAGATATCACAACAGTGAGTGTTATGCAGCCTGTGCGCACGATCAGTGATTTGCTCAGCAAGTCTGCCTGCTTGAACAGAGATATTGCTGCTGCATGCTAAAAGAAGTTGAGACCCAACAAACTCCCACATCAGGCCTTCCAAAGCTTCAGCACGCCCTCGTCCGCCCACGTGGCCACAAGATTCCTGTGTGGATGCTGCGCCAGCCCAATCGGGCCCTTGTCCGCCACCTGACCAGCCAGCACAAAGGGATACCATCAGAGTCTTTCCCTGCCCTGTAGACATTTTGCCATATGCTGCAGCCCCGGCGCATCAGATATTGCAGGTGTGAGTCTGCGCAATTTCAAGATAATTCCCCTTTAATTCATTCCACACATTTGCATCGTGTGCAGAGCCCTGTCCTGCACACCGTGCCCTTAGCTCACCACCAAGTGATGCAAACGCACCACCGATCGGTTTATGTGTCTGTATCCCGTTTATGATACCGATAGCTGATTCTCCAGTGTTCCAACATCCACAACACGGGGCGCAGGAAAGGTCACTGCTCATCAGGCTCCGGCATGCAGCACCCACAGCACAGCAGGCCAGCCCATCATTGCTCAATGCAATTACAGTAGTCATGGCAGATGTCCAGCAAGGAGATGAGTCACCGGCAGCTGGTGCTCATGCTGCTGGACTTACCATGCAGCATACACCTCAGATCACACCAGGAACTCTTGAATGCCTAGTGCAACAAGCTCCTCAGGGTCTATAAGCCATTTAACAGGCTAGGCAGCCCTTTCTCCTTCCTCTGGCCCTCGCTCTGCTTATGTCTGCATTCCTCATATTCTACAAATCCATCCGACAAGAGGCAACCCCAAACGTGCTGAGGGGGTGAAAGCCACACCTGCAGCAGGTGCTCAAGTTTGCCGGCGGCTGAGCCGAAGCAGTAGAGGATGGCGTCTTCGCCGAGGCAGTAGATCCAGTCCCCACGCGGCGACACCCAGCTCCCCACAAAGTCACCGCCCTCGCGCTTGCCACTCTGCAGCGACTTCACCACCTGCACATGTTCATTCTCGATTTGAAATTGAATTTCAGGCTTGGTGTACGCCCTGAAACAGGCGTGCACACAAGACATTATTCTTGGGATGCTTAAGCAAGTTGGGACCCAATGCAAAGAGCGCTACAGGATTGCCCTGTGCAGACAGGACAGGCAGCTACCAGCTCCTTGAGTAGCTACGCAATATTGCTGACCTGGACTCTTAAGATCCTCAGGTGAGACTCCCAAGATGTCTCCTCTGAGATAAGATATGGCCCTTGCCTCAAACGGCTCTGCAAAGATTCATTGCATGCAAGCTATGTCCTATGGCAAGCACTGGCAAGCATGCAAGTTACGCCCCAATGACCGCTGCAGAACAAACCCATATTATTACATAGATTTCATATGTCTGACAGCCCCACCTGGCCTTGCAGGGTCATGAGGAAGACTGTGGATGAACGGGTGCAGACAATGAGGTGGTCCACGTTGTGCGGGTGCAGATGGACGTCCAACACCGCACGCTCTCCGCCCGCCAGTGCCTGCATCCGGAGTCTATCATGAGGATTTTTACTTTAAAGAAGTGATAAGAAAAACTGAATCCTCCCCACGTCATTTCAGCAAAGCCTCCTCAGGTCGTTAAGAATCAGAGATTAAAGCATATGCTGGGCATATTGTTTATGTATATTTGGCATTGTAGCAGGTGGGAAACAATGTCGCTGCAAAAGATTTCTTGAATGCGCTTGTTGAAGAAACGAAAGTGGCTGAAAATCGCGTTTTTGAGGCCATTTCTACCCACATGGGTGTCTGGGGGTGTTGCTGCTCTGAAAACGACTTCCTGCATGTGACTGGATTTCTGCAAGGGCAACTGGTGGCTTCAAACTGAGGCACCGTCGAATTGCCAACGCCAGAAGAGTGCCCCTTTATTGGGTATGAAGCAACATTGCATCTCGGGATCAAGTGACTGAAGGAAGGTGCCCTGCCTGCGGGGGCCGGAAGCTGGCGATGCAATCGCAGGTTTTGCCGTCCCACACGCGCACCGTGCTGTCGCTGGAACCCGTAATCACCTGCGCGCGTGAACTTAGCGTTATGTATGTAATCTCTGATACTGCATGATGCAGGGTTGAATGGTGTGGGGTGGGATCAAGTTGTCTACACCTTCTGCAGTATGACCGCCATGTCCAATTGACTCAGCAAGCATGCAAGCTACTTGCCGAACATTTCTACACACCTGCGACAGTTCACATGCCTTGGCAAAACATGGAGCGTAGGAGATCCCTCAGGAGATTGCCATTGCGCATGGTAGCATGCAAGATAGAGCACAAAGGTCAAAAGCCAAAAAAGGAGCAAATAAAAATGGTGTTCATGCAGGGACTCGAACCGGCGCACCTGCGTGCCGTCCGGCGAGTAGATGGCATGGTTTACATACGACGTGTGCCCCCGGAACTCCTTCAGCATTTTCCCTGATTTGAGGCCGTGAACGCGCGCCAAACCGTCATAGGACGCGCTCAGAACATGAGAGCCGTCTCGTGAGAAGGCCACTGATGTCACGCCCTGCGAGTGCGCGGACTCAAACCGCCGCAGGCACTGACCCGTCTTTATCTTCCACACCTGGGCACATGCAGAGACAGTATCGCGTCACCAGGTGTGCTGTGGTGAGTTGGCACTTCATGTTGACAGGCATGGGTAATTCACATACTCATGGCAACAGGCTGTTTGTCCTTTTGCGCAGGCTCTGTGTATATACGTGGTGCTGGCTGCCAATGAAACGCAACTGCATCAACAAGGCACCTCTGGCAGCAAAGCCAAAATTGCAGAAGAAACAAGTTCTTAACAGAATCCTGTTCTTGTGGCCACAGGAGAGTCCAGATGATGCAGCTGCATTTGCTTGCAGTGACATGGGAGAATATTGTAAATTGAACGATGCATCTGTACATCCTGATCTAGCCTGCTGTCACAACAGAAGGCACAGCCTTCAGGCCGCTGCCTGGGGAAGAGATGCTGCTTCTAGGCATTTCCGACCATCCTGAGATGTTGACACATCGAAGAGTCTCAGTAGCCGGCCGACCTCTGCACACCTTGATCTTCCCGTCCTGTGAGCCTGACGCCAGCAGCTCTGAGTCTCGCGAGACAGCGAGCGCTATCACAGCGGTGTCATGCATCATGAACTGCTCATCCGCCTGGAACTGCAGGTCCTTGCGCAGCCGCCCGCTCACCACATCCCACACCTGCGCAGAACAGAGAACGAGATTGAGATTCTGTGATTTAATTAGACATCTGAGCTTGCAAGGAGAGGGGTTGTAGCAAGATGCCCATATTGAGTCTCTGTAGACATGCAGGAACGCCACATGAACAGCCTCAGCCTTGTGCTATGTGTAGTAATCCACACAGAACAGCCACAGGCAGTGCGAACCGTTTCACGCACACAGTATGCCCCACCAGAACTTCATGCATGCACAGCTAGACTGCAACTGCACAAGTAGTCACCACGACTGTGAAGTCAGAGAGCGTACCTCTATGAAGCCGTCCACGCTGCCAGTGATGAGCGAGGTCCCGTCCGGCGTGAAGCGCGCGATTTCCGGGTGACTCTTCTTCCCGAATTTGAGCGTGCGGTCGAGCTGCGTGGGGAATCGCTCTATTTCATCGCGCGTCCCCTGGGCCTGACCCCGGAACAGGTCGAACGCCGTCCCCGCTGGCAGTAAGCCCTGCGCCTGCTGCCTGCGCATGCAAATTTGAATTCAAGATCATTTTATAATTTTGTACCAGTCTGTAGCTCTGCTTATGAGAGGATGGACTTTGATTGCAGCTATGTGCCGCATTCAACCCAAGTCACATAAGAGACAAACCTCCATGCTCTTATAGCCTGCTTTGATGCTCCGCAAAGGACCAAAACCCACAGCTTGCTCGGACCCCAGAAGCTTGCACAAGGCTTCACATGTGCCTGACCGAGCTCTAAGCGGTTCCTGCCGCAATCCTCTACCTGCAAAAGACCAGGGAGGCTGGAGCATGAATTTTCTGTCTGAGCGCACCATTTGAGGGCCTGCCCTATGAGCGCCATGAGCCGCGAGGGGGGCACGGTGGAGACCTCCTGTGACACTGCATGCGCCACCTGCGCCCTCCGCTTGTCCTTGGGCGTCGCCCCGTACACCTCCCTGCAGCCGCAGAACACAGGCATTATTACGGGGCGGCAGACAGCTATATCTTTGTCACTCCACTCATCCCTGCTCTTGCTCCTCTGAGGGGGCCCCAATTAGCTGGCACATGAAGAAGTCCTCCTGCAAGACACGCGGGCATAACCCAACCAGACAGATGCTCTGGACCACTGGTGAGCGTGATTGCACCTCAGCTTGGGTGCACCAACAGTTGGAAGAGCGAGCTTGCCCAGCTTGAAGGATGCAAACCCAAGCATGGAGCTGCTCGATCAATGTAATATTTTTGCTTAACCATAGCAATTTGGCATTGGACAGCAAGATCTTGCAGTGGGATGTCCCTGACGGCAAAGCGGCCGCAGAGATGCATCCAAGCCTGAGTTTGGTCATCCTCAGGGGGCGCGGCTTGCTTCAGAGCATCAAGCTTCCAATTGAATTAGGATCGCTTCCACATCTCAGGAGATATGCATGCACACCTTCAGTTTGAGTACGCGGGGAACTCCTGAGTTGGAAGTTTTGCAACCACTAGGTAGGTCCAGAGCATAACATTAAGTTTTACAGAAGTTAAAGAGGCATGCATGCGTGCCTGATGTCGAAGTAGGTCCGCCCGCAAAGGTGCTCCAGGCGCAGGAAGCGGTCCGGCTCATCCAGCTTCATGCGTGCAAAGACGGCCGTCTGGCGCAGGATCGTGCGCGCCGTGTCGATCTCCCTCAGCTCAACCATTTCCAGCACCACCTGCAGCAACACATATTGCAAAATTGAATTCGAATACGGAGACTCATGCCACGCGATGTGCGGGCAGAGAGGACTCCTGATCACTGACCAACCACACAAACGCCCTGGCGGTGTTGAAGGTTGAGTGTTTCTCCTCGCCCTAGTCTACGATGAGGCCGGGCACATGTCTGGGCCGGGCACTTGAGATATCAGTGACTTGATATTTTGTTGCCGCATGCCCGCGGCCGTCCAGCACTGAGAAGCCATCTTTCCCTTCTACTGATGCTGATGCCTTTTGCCCAGACCTCGCACATCGGAGAGGGCAATAAGGCAGGAATTAAATGGCAATATGCATAGGTTTTGCAGCGTGGCTGCACCAATTGCATGCGCTCCTTTGACAGCGCAAGCGGCTGTTGGCTGAATTTAAGCACTCTGGGTACAAGGCATTGGGCATAAGCACCTGCTCATAGAGGTCCTCTAGTGTTGCACGTGGCAGCTTGAGCTGCGCAACTGCTGGGAGCACAGCGTCCCATCTCCCAGCGTTGATGTCTGCCACGAAGCCCTCCAAGCTGTCTACCGTGTTCAGGGACACCTGGCACTCCTTTTGTATCGCTGCAAAGGAGTCTGTCAAGGAGTTCTCCTTGCAGAACTGCAGGATGATTTTAATGACACTGCAGACAGCCAGAGCAGATGTGAGATCGAAAGCAGATGCAAGTACTTGAACCGATTTTGTGGGGGGGACAAATTCAGCAAAATGGCTTATTTCCTAAGGCTTAAAAATAATGGCGAGAGAACTAAGCAGCGAAAAACACATTTTGCTGTTGTGTGGACGTTTGGGCAGTGATCTGGGGATAGGGGGGCAATAGATGGGTGACGCACTCTGTGGCTTCGATCTCAAGAGACATGCTGCTGTTGGTACAATCAGGAGAAGCCTACTGGGTTGGCTTCCCTGTGCAGTCGTATCACGATGCTGACTGCATAGAATTTTTTTTGACAAATTGTCTCCTCCTCAATAAGTGACGCCAACTTAATACGGAAACAGACTGCCAATTCTCAAACGCAAAGATCTGGTAGCTCAACTTCTATGATGATCAGCCTCAAATCATGGTCTTCTTGGAACTCGGGTGCTGACTGCGGCTCACGTCACCTTTCCAAGGCATGCATGGCTAGGAATCCCAATGTGGACTCGGCTACAATCCTCAGTGTTGCTTAACAATGTCCATTAGGTGCTAAGTTGACCGTAGAATAAGAAAACGAAAGGCTAGAGGAGGACATTCAACAAAGACATGGGTTCATCCTTCATGCGCGGACTTTCAGGTAGCCTTGGACCATAGCGCCTCTGGTGAATATGTCTGGGAGAAGTAAGAGCCGCTTGGATAAGCTTTTGAATCTTATTGAAGGTGCGAGGTTGCACGATATCTGACCAATAGCCTTTATGGACATTCGAAGAGCATGGCCATCGAACCCCTTTTCATTGACCAGCAATAAACGATGTTCAACGTAACATTCCCAAGAATCTACATTGTTTCAATCAGCGTGCATCAAAAAATGTGTATAATTGGCTTTTTCATATTCCACCAACCTTCTGATCCCCTACCTACTTCCCAAAAGGGGATCCCATCTGACTCCATCAGATGTCTCAAGATTGATATCAACTATTTTCTGCGTTGCAGCCGGGTCCACTGCTGCCCTATGCAAGGCAGCAGCGCAGCAGATCGCCAGCACAGCACAGACCCATCCCCAGCATCTGCCGGCTTTGCTGGGGCGGGTACGTGCTTCCAACATTGCCATTCTTATGCAAATCGCGCAAATCACGTCTTTGCAGTTCACAGGCCAATGTTTGTCCTCTGTCTTGCCCACCCTGTCATTTCAGAAACGTGCATGCCCCTGGCAAATTTGCAAGCTGGCGCTGTTGCTCCATTTGAAGTATTATTTCAGGCACTCAGCAAATCATGTGGTGGGGTGCAGATCCAGCCTCTGCTGCAGCACAAGCGATGGGAGACGAGGACAGCTACAGGGGAGTGCATCGGCCGCATAGCAGAGCATGTGCAGCATGCGACCCCAGCCGATGTGCGGGCAGCAGCAGGGTCAGATGCAGTAGCCATAAAGGTGGAGGATGAGTCAGCAATTACCCAAAGCTGGGAAGCTGCCGAGGGTGCATTGTCTCTGGAGGCCTTCGATCTGGAGAGAGTGGTGCAAATGGGAACACCCCTGCTCGCAAGCGGGGGCCAGGTGAGAGATTCCCTGACACCTACACCGACCTACATCAGCATGTAGTTTGCACATTGCCTGCACTGCCCCAAATGCAAGCATGCGAGTACAGGATGGAACTTGGCTTCATGCCATTGCCTGCATGCAAGAAGCCAAATTCCATCGCGTGCTTCCGTGCTTGCATTTGGGGCAATGCAGGCAATGTGCAAATTTGCGTGCATGACTGCACTGCACCGCGGCTGCTTGCATGTCCTTCAGTGATTGTGAGCTGGAGAAGACGGTCAGAGCAGAAGGCAAATGTCTCATCTCGCCAATCATGTTATCAATTGTGGAAGTCTGCTGATGTGGCGACAGGAGTATGACCTGGTGGATGACCCGAAGCTGAGTCACTCTGAGCGACTGGCGAAGCAGCGAAAGAACCTCAAGTCCAGGCTGGGATTGGGGGGTCCAGTGGACCAGCTGATGGACACAGCTGATCTGGTCAAGGATGAGGACCTTGTAAGTGATGCAGGGCCAGCCGCCGGCAAAGGCAGCAATCAACAGAAGGACGCCTCTGCATTGATCTCTGAGATGACAGGTGGGAACTTGCGTTCCAGATTGCATAATCCATCAATACTCTTGCTCTCGTATGTGCAAATTCAAGGAGTCAGTACAAGTCTTCGTGTACTTGCTGTTCTGATTGAGGGCCAATGACACTTGGAAACGGCGGTTGGCAGGAGTACGCAAACCTGAGGCTTGTCAAGTGCGACAAACAATATTCAGGCACATGATCTGTCTTGTAGGGCTCCCTGCAACTGGGTTTTTCGGTTGCAGTATGGCCCTTGTGAGCATGGAGACCACATGGCAATGTGTCAGCTCCAAGATCTCATCTTCGAGCACGAATTTACGGGATCAGAGAACGAATTGTTGGCTGATGCAGGGCTGAGCGCCAGGGAGAGGAACAAGCTGAAGCGCGACCTCAAACGCAAGGGCTCCTCTGTGCTGCAGACCCAGGCCTCTCTTGGCGCAGCCAAGCGCTCAAAGGCTGACAACCAGACCCCTGCACAGGTGCCATACCTGCCACAATGCGATTCCTTGAGCATTCTGCATTGGCACTGGAGATTACTTGATGGCTGCTAATTGTGTCACACCTGCAGAACCTCTGGCTTGCAGTGGTGAGACTGCACCACATGTGCCGAGCATGGCCTACGTGCACGCCTTACTAAATGTTGCGCCAAGCTCAAAACCATGTTAATTCACATTTTCTTGCCATGCAGGAGCTGAGCGCTGAGGCGGCCGCAGCAGCGGCAGAGGAGGCTGCGGCGGCCTGGCAGGACACAGTCTCTGGCAGGTGGGCAGCGCTCCTTGCAGAACTGATTCACTTCCAACCAAGTATGACTGCAATCTCAAGATGTGAATGCAATCTTCGGCTCACCAATTGCCTGAAGCGGTGAAAGTCGGCTCAGATGTGCAATGTCCAAAGGTGTATTTAAATCAGGGGGCGGTCCAAGTACTCAGCGCCGTGCCCATGTTTGATTGCTTCTTGCTTGGATCTTGCGTGTCCAACAAGGGGTAGGATATTATCAGCCTCTGCATGCCTCTTGTCTGCATGTGCACCTTGCCTCTGGCATGATCAGCATGTTGATAAATTAAAGAATTGAAGAATAAAAAAAAATCTAAACAAAAAAGTTTTATTCTCTGCAGGTGGCCATTTGCGGCGCTGTGCGACCAGATGTGCGTGGATGTGCTGTCTCCGCAGTGGGAGGTACGCCACGGGGCGGCCGTGGCCCTCAGAGAAGTTCTCCGCTCGCATGCCACCTGCGCAGGGGTTGATGCGCCGATTGCAGGCGAGCTGTCAGGTGTGCTGTGGTGTCCCTTATGCATGCTTTTTTGCTCCCATATTCTAACATACTCGTCTGCGCTGATGCATGCATTATATTGTACTTTCCATCTTCCTTTTTCCTGTCAATCGCATGATCAGATTGTATTTTTCTGCAATGCGCGCATCGGGCATATGATCTCTGGCAGGGGAGGGGAATGGATCTGCCGAGAAAGTGTCGCTTCATGTGATACTGGGGGCTTTTGTGTGGAGTAGATGCCTGCAATCAAATATAAAGGGCTTTATGAGTTCAAGATCAACAAGTCAAATCTGAATTTGAAAAATTTTGGGGCACAGGGTGGATGGCGCCGGGTGGCAGCGGCAGGCCACGATTGGCGCCGGCCACGGCGGCCGATGCGACCGCGGCTGCCGTGTCCAATCAGGCGTGGCTTGAGGACTGCGCGCTGCGCCTGCTCTGCACTCTCGCCCTGGACCGCTTTGCCGACTTTGTCTCTGATCAGGTAATTTCTCACGAGGACACCCATATTTGTCAAATTCTGGCTGTGGGAAACACTTCAAACTAGCGCGGAGTCCGCATCAACCTGAAAGTCAGGAGCCTCAAGGCCATCGCGGTCCGTTCACATTCTTGACGGGGCTGAGACAAACGCGGCTGAGACAAACGCACACCCGTGAGCCAGTTCTTATGATTGCACCCCTCATGTAATACCGTAAAAGGGTGTATGGGTAGATTGATAGGGGCAATGCCTCTTGATGGCCCGGCTGGCGGTGCGCGGTATAATCATTGGGCTTCGGTCTGGCGAGTTCAACAAGGGGTAGGATTGTGGCAGCCTTTGACAGCAGGTCCTCTCTTGGCAGAGAAAGCGACCAATCAGAGTGCGATAATCATCGTCCCTGATCAGAAGAAATGTACACAGGTGGTTGCGCCGGTGAGGGAGACGGCCGCGCAGGCGTTGGGCGCGGCGGGGCGTGCCCTCTCGCTCGCCAAAGTAGGCGCGCTGGCTCGCCACCTGGCAGCCTTAGTAAGGCGGCCCGAGTGGGAGGTCCGACTGGGGGGACTGCTCGGCCTCAAATACTTACTCGCCTCCCGAGCTGACGCTGCCGCCAGCCTGCTTCCTGAGGCGTTGCCTGCCGCTCTCGCCGGGCTGCAGGTGCAGTCTCATACTTTTACTGAGCTCTTTCCTTACTGCAAAATATGTGTAAAGATGTGGTACTTTCTACAACCTGGGCTCATATCTGGTTGATACAGAGTGTTGGCTGTAGCCGGGCCCCTTGAGCTGGCTAGTGACACTGTGTAACCTGCACGGTTCTATCACTTGCATGAAGCACATTTGGTCTTTTGGCTGGAGTGTGCAGTGTTTGGGCATGCCATCAGACTGAAGGACGACCCCTTGTTTATCTGACTGATCTGTTACATTCTCTCAGGACACGGAGGATGACGTAAGGGCGGTGTCTGCTGAGGCGTTACTGCCGGTGGCGAGCCTGCTGGCGAGTCAGGGGGATGACATCATCGGCCCGCTGACATCAGCGCTGTGGGACGTCTTGCTTGAAGTGGACGAGCTCAGCCCCTCCACAGGTGCATCACCTTTGCTGAACACAGCTTTACTGCGTTACTTGTGAGATTATTTCCAAATACAGCTTCTGCCCCGGCTGGCGTGGGGCGGTACAAAGACTGACCTCCGTGCCCACGTGTGATTCAGTCTGCTTGCATTTGGCGAGTCAGTCAAGGGGGGAGGATAAATGGCAGCCTTTCAATGCAGCTTGTCTGCTAACGTATCTTGCCTCTGGCAGCAACAGCCTGCGATAAATGAAGATGCATGTCTGAAGAGAGTGCCAAGTACAGACAGCATTCACAGAACTGACCCCAAGAAGTTGCAAAGAGGAGGAGAGTGCCAGATGCTGACAGCACTGTTGTCTGCTGTTTCTCCGGGTTCAATTTGAAATTTTGATGTGGTAGATGGGCTTTATGTATGGATGTGTGCAGGGAGCGTGATGCAGCTGCTGAGTCACCTCCAGGGCAGCGCAGCTTCTGGTGCGCCAGATCAGGCGCGGCTGACTCAGCGCCTGTGGCCCTTCTTCAGACACCCCATGGCATCCGTCCGCCTAGCAGCTGTGGGCCTGTTCGCTCGTCTTGTGGCGTTCCCTGCCGGTGAGTCAACCCCTCACCTGCTTTGGCAAATTTGTATAGGGGGAAGTAGTAAAACAACTGTTGGTCTAATGATACCCCCTGTTTTTTTAACACCATGCACATCTGCACTGCATGTATGCATCATGAAGGCCATATTATTATTATTATTATTATTATTATTATTATTATTATTATTATTATTATTATTATTATTATTATTATTATTATTATTATTATTATTATTATTATTATTATTATTTTTTTATTATTATTATATTTATTATCATATTTATTATTATTACACGCTTTGAAGGCCATATGCAGAGTGATATCTGGCACTCTGAGGCTTGGGTATTGCAAGTTACTGAGACTGCACCTGACAGTAGCTCATATCTTAGTGATGGCTTGGGTAAGTATGGCTGGATTAATTTGGGGTACCTGCATGGAGGATTAGGAGGTCAGAACCGCAGGCTATTCCTGATCCGAATACTCCAGAATTTGTGCAAGGTAGATGGAAGTGAATGCAAAGCATCTGACAGCAGCTTATTTGATGGCATGACAGGAGGTCAGGAGCAGCCTGAGAGCGATTTCTGGAGGCCAGAAACACTCACTCCACCGCTGCGTCTGACCTTTCAGGGCTTCCTGGTTGAGAACAACACTGATGTGCTGGCTGCTACCCAGGTCAGGAGAATCTTATTATTCTTTCCTTTACACCTGAGTTCAGGCATGCCGTGAGGTCCCCTTTGCGCACCTTTTTTCATGCATGCCATCTTGTGGTGTTCCTTCTGGGCACCTCAGTTAACGCATGCCATCTACCGATGTTCCTTCTGGGCACCAACATGCATCGAAAACCAAAGCAAGCTCTCACGGGAGTTGCAAACCCTGCACAATTCTATTGTGAATGGGACCCAAGCTGCAAGTCTCAGTTGTCAAGCCCTAGTCTGAATCTGCCCTATACAGCAGGTGCCACCCCTCTACAATTGCTGAGGAAATGCTTTTTGGGATTTTCACACACCATTCTGTGTACGACGGCAGGCAACGTGATTACATTGCATGCCCATTTGCAGATGTCATACAATCTGTGCTCACATGTACAGACAGGGCAAAACTCTGTACGTATGAACTCTGTCCTGTTGGCCCGCTGCAGGAAGCTTGGATGGCCTTGGTACAGTCAGCGCCAGATGGCGCGCTGCTTGCCGCCATGTCACCGGACCTGCTTGGGTCGTGGCTTCGCCTGGCTTCCACGCCAGCTGGACAGCCGCTTGATGCAGCACTGCTGCTCCCCACCCCTCAACCTTGTTCTATCCAGGTGGTTGCCCTTCTTGCCCCTGTACAAATGCCATGCAGGGGTATTATACAATATGCTTACACAACAATAAGGATGTCCACAGAGCGACCTCTGTACCCCGTGCGGGAGAGGGCAGGGGAACTAAATATAAACAGTTCAGAGCCTCAATTTGGAGTCCTGTATCTCGCATTGCCAAGTGCTGGCCCTTTTGTCCAACTTTCCGCCAGGATTCTGGGTGCAGAGGCTTGCGGCTCTTTTGTCATTCCTTAATTTGGTGGTGTTTACTCATCACTTTGTGGCGCTTACAGCATAGTCCATGGGATCATCACATTGAAGGCACCGTAAATTTTGTGGGCAGCTGATGGGAATTCTTGTCTGCACAGGGCCTTGAGGGCACCGGCAAGAAGGGGAAGCACGGAGCTGCGAATGGAATCGGGAGGCAGAGATCACAGTTTGGCGGGGGAAGGGAAGACGGCAGCTGCGCTGTGCTGATGAGGAGTGAGGCTGCCAAAGCTCTCGGCTTCCTGGCAGCTGCCTGGCATCCAGGTATGCATGCCGAATTCTGCAAACCCGAATTCTGCCTGAACATTGCTTCTCTCCGTTCAGATTGCTTAACACCCAACTCTTGCATCTGAAGTCGCGAGGTGTTGCTTCATGTAAGGTGGCTTAATTTGGTGGCCAGTCGACAGTTAAAAGATAATGCTGTTCAGCAAACACAATGCAAGCCTGTGAAAACAGGTGCAGGATAAGATATTTTATGTACCCACCACTTTATTCTGTCGGAAAACGCTGAGCTGACCTGCACATTCATTTTTGTGCTGCAGGCACACAGTTGGTGACACAGCAGCTCCTGCAGCAGCTGGACACTCCAAAAGCAGCGTCCAAGCTACTTTGCGCCTTGACTGCTCTGCACTGGGCGCTCCATGTCAGACAGAGGGACCCTGCTGCCGCCCAGTGCCTCCCAGAGGAAGTTTTCCTGAAGCTGCAGACCGCGCTTGCTGCCCCTGCTGCCATGCTCAGCAATGCAGGCGAGCTTCTTTTCCATATTCTCTCTATCACTCTACCCTCCAAGCAAACTTGAATGACTGCTGCGGGCAGATATACAGGGGTAAGCAAGTGTGGAAATACTTGCGGCTTCCTGTCTACGCACCTTGCCTTGTCAGGAAGCATTCGTGTCATCTTCATACTAAATAATTACTATAATGGTCTAGTGTGCATGCAGGAGAGCTAGTGATCTACGAGGAGGCGGCTCCATACTACACACAGCTGAGGGGCAACGCGCGCGCGCTGTGCAATGCGCTGGCGGCTGCTGGTTACAGCGTGGATCAGCTGTTTGGAGGCGTGCCCTCCGATCAAGCAATCGCGCACATGGGCACCGAGGCGGCCGCGGCGCTGGCGGGAATAGTGACCGCTGACGTGGCCGCGAGTCACCCGGCGGCGGCGGCCGCCGCGGCCGCGCTGGCCGGCACGACGGCAAGTGTCGCGTCTGTGGAGGCGTTCCTGCACGGCTCTGTCACTGCTGTGCTGGCGGCTGCTCTTGTCCAGGTATGTTTATTTCCATACACCCTCGACTCAATGTATATTGATGCTGCTCTTATGTGTGTCAAAGATGCAAGGCACCCTAGAGTGCATTACAAAACGGATGTATCTGCATGCTATGCAGTGCCTAGTGTGACCACTGCTGTCTCTTGCTTTCCTGTTGAAATCAGCACTGCCAGCTTGGTGCAATGTGTATGACATCAAATTTCTTCTAGATTTAGTAATGCTGTGGGATTTGTTTTGCTACAGGCTGGGCACACTCCGGCAAAGCTGAACACGATCATTCAGCCGCTGATGGCTGGGCTGCGGCGGGGGCCCGACCCTATCCTGCGCCGCTGCACGGCCGAAGCGATGGCCACCTTTGTTTTGGCGTGCACAAACCGGACTCCCTCACCCAACCACAGGTAGTACAAATTACTAAGCTGAAAATCTTTTTCCATTTTGTCACTTTGCAAATGTATGGCAGCAAAAAACGTCTTCTTAGACCATATTGCCATGAAGGAAGTGATGACTCATGTGCAGTCACATAGAATGGACCAAAATTGTGCTTTGCAACTCTTTTGAGCAGAAATCTGGGTATTTTTTGTCACGCCACCCACTCCATGTCAGTATATTCAATATTGGCTAGAGAATACTAGACTGCTCCGTACTTGCCTCCAAAACAAGCGCAAGCCACCAGCTTAGGCAAATTAAGCCCAGGCAGCAATTAAGATAATGCTATTTGGGTCTACAGAAGAGGCCGCTGCAAAATCTGACATCAGTAAGTTCCTTGGCAACTCCTACACCTTCCGGGCATGCATCTGCACATTTTTTTCACTGAATGATGCCCCGCAGGATCATAATGAATTTGTGCAAGATGGCGTGCGGCGACCCGGCGGAAACACCCAGCGCATCCGCCCCGGACCCCCCGGATGAGTCATCATCTTCCGACGGGCCCCCCGCCTCCACCACCGACCATGCCAACGGTGGCGAAGCCCCCAGCCAGGACCCCACCATGGCCGCTGCTGCTGTCGCTCGACAGGTGCTCTGCATTGCACTATCTCTTCACATCCTTCTTGATATTCACGCATGCTCAAAGGGACATCTTGCTTGTTTTCCTATTTCTCTTCCGCGATTAGAAGCTGACAGCTGTGGCAGCGCAATCATGGCTTTAATGGGACCCGTGTGCTCCATCTCACAATATGGCGCTTGTTTTCCTGTGCACAAGAGACGAACATATATTTGCAGCAACATGACGTACCCTGCATGAGAAAAAAAATGCCCCAGAGGAAAGTGTGAAGATGACATACAGTATTGGGTGACGTCAGCACTGGTTGGCGCAGGGCGCTGATGCAGCCTTGGAAGCATTGGCGAGCAGGTTTGGTGCAGACCTGCTCCAGAAGCTGCCTCGGCTGTGGGAGCATGCGACTGCCGCCATTGCCACTGACGCTGCCGCTGCAATTCCCGGCCGCCTCTCCCCACCCCCTGCAGAACCCCAGGTGTACACCCTTGCCAGTCTGACAGCCGTGTACGATTCACCATTATTATTATTATTATTATTATCACACGTTCTCCAGTCCTCAAGGACTAGGTACGTCAAGCAACACCTGAATTATAGTCATTCCAGCTCTTCAATGGTCTGCCTCTAGCCCCAGTGCCTGACATTGTACTGAACATCATCTGCAATTCACCATAGCGGGCTTGATAGTTGGCTAATCAGGAGCGGATATGTATGATTACGCATGCTGCTTTTCTACGCGTCTGATGTGCTGAGATCTGCCTGATTTGGGTGGGATGCGCCAGTGTAGAACTCTCTGCATATACTCACGAGGCTCAAGCAAATGCGAAATATTGTGGGCACATGCACAGCATACTGTGGCAGGTGCAGCTTGACAGTACCTTCTCCGATCATGCCTTTCTGCATGGCAATCATCTTGACAGCGTCACTTGTCTCTCTCCTGCAGGCTGTTATTGACACTCTTCAGGTCCTCAAAATACTGGGCCCTGCGCTGGACTCACAGCTTGAGCCGCAGCTGACATCGCTCATGCCAGGCCTCGCCGCGTGCTGCCTGCATGAGAGGCGGGTGCTGCATGCAGCAGCGGCCGCATGCGCAGAGTCCCTGGCATCAGTGCAGCCTACCTGCGTTCTACCTTCCCTCCTAAGGTACACCCACCGCCAAATGATCTCCTGGGTCAGGAAGCCTCTCTTGTCACCAGTCTGCACCTGTGCAGCATCGCTTGCATTGCAATTCCAAGAGGAAACTTGAACCATATGATCATTTGGAATAGGAGCATTTGGGATTGTCCCCGCCGTGAAGTTGATGCTGCGTCTCCAGTGACAACATCCTGATGCTGGAGGTGCTTCAGCTCTAGCAGCCGCTTCAATGTCAGATCGGCTAAACAGATTGGTCACACGATCTTGATATGGGGCAGCAGGACATTAGAACACACACTGTTCATGCGCGAGGCACCACGGCCTGACGCAAGGGTGCCGTATAATTTGGCACTGTCCTCTGGAGTGTGGTGTAGTACATGGTCCCTCCCATGTCACACAGCGTTTGGCTGCTGCCGTCCGGTTTATTACTGCTCACCATTTCAGCATGGCTGCCCTGTTGCTGGATGTGCCTCAGCTTTGGCGGCATTTGCATCCTTAAGTCAGCTAAGGAGAGTAGTGAAGTCCAGAGGTCAGATGGCAATAGCGCAATGCTGTTGTGCCATGGAGGGTTTCCAGGTCGATCTAATTGGCAAATCTAATTGCAAGTAAACTTTGTGGCAATATTGCCATGATTGCTTCCCAGGGACTGAAATTGGGTACCAGGCTTCAAATTCGGAAAATTAACCGATCACAACCACCTTGGGAAAAATATGAGCAGAGCCCAAGAGCTCTCTTGTGGCAATAGGCTCATGCAATCGCCAAGAACTGCAACTCCATCACTTTTATATGTGGAATGCATGAAGTCATTCATACTTGACGCTGCAGTACTTGTGCTTTGTGCATGTTGCATCACAGTTTGACTTGCCTTAATCAGGGAGAATCACCCTGCTACGATCATCGCACATACTATATAAAACACATAGTATAGGAAGAAGGACAAATAGAACCCTGACCAAGAGCCGAATCCTAAGGCCCTGGCCCGTTGCAATGAGGCAGGGCCTTGATATTCTGTTCGAGTAAAACAACTAAACCTCAACTCTTCACAGTAATTGATTTCTGCTGGTGCAGGTTTGTGGTGCCGATGCTGCAAGGCTCGGCGGCCGATGCGGCGAGGTCCGGAGCAGTGACAGTGGTTGGACGACTCATCGCCAGATTAGGCCTGCAGCTGGTCCCCTACACGAATCTAATAGTGGTCCCCCTCATGGGCCTCACCAGTGACTCACTGCCACGCGTGCGCGCAGCCGCCACGTCAGCGTTCGCCGCCGCCGTTGCTCTCTTGCCCCTGGCGCAGGTAGTTACTATGATGAACTGGACCTAAGGTACCAGATTGGCCTGGTAAACTTGACAGCGCCTGGCAGGAAAGGCAGGATGCAGAAACAGGCCTGGCTCGGTCATAGGGGGACTCAGTTTTTAGGGATTGAGAGGCAGGACATGGGCGTAAATATCACCTGCTCCAGAGCAGGAGAGTTATTACCACGAGGGCTAAAGGGTGGAGTCAAATCTGCTGTTGATGCTTGCCCTCAGATCACTTTTATTGCCATGCTCACTTACATCCGCCAACTCACTGCGCCCACTCAGACTTCTGTTGCTTGAGGATTTGAATGCTCTAGATGTGATTCACTTGAGGATCAGTGCTGTGTGAAGGATTTATCTCTGCCATCCAGAGAATTGTGCTCTGATTTTACCTTTCATACTTGGGAGAGCAATATGTGCAATACAGTTGTGCTTTTGTGTCATGAGGAAGCATTCTGTCTGAACATAGGGAATGTCACTGCCTGAGGGCCTGGATCCAGAACAGCGGGAGGCATGGCTCTGTGACGCGGCGTTCCTGTCTCAGCTTCTGGACAACTCCAAGGTGGGCTCATGCCCTCGTGTGCAGGCAATAATTGTTCCTGTTCCGCATTTGCACCATCATGTTATTTCTTTCCATTTTATAGCCTTAGTGCCTTAGTTGCACGCAGATAGATCAGAGCCCTGCATTTTTGGAGTTTGTCTTATTCACCACACTTTTTTTTTCTCAAAGGCTGCTGAATTCGGATCAAAATATCCTGTCGTAAGGATGCCATTGCCTCACCATAACAACGGGCCAGCTGGCTCATGAGTCATCTCCTGTTTTGGCGCGTGGCGATGACAGGTGGATGACTACGCGCTGCCGGTAGAGATTCTTGGCGAGCTGCGCGCGTACCAGAGGGCCGGCATCAGTTGGATGGCGTTCCTGCGACGCTGCGGCCTGCATGGAGTCCTGGCAGACGACATGGGCCTCGGCAAAACGCTGCAGGCCACAGCCATCGTCGCAGGTGAGCAGTGCTGCAGCAAAGCTCTAAGGAATTGCTGTGTTCGGCAATAGGAAGCAGAGCCTGAAAATAATGTGCCGGGATGAAGCCTTGAGGAAATGCTGTGTTCGCAAAAGAAGCAGGTCCTGAAAGTCTCTACCATGCGAGACTGGATTCGATGTCCAAGTTAGCAAGCATGGATTTGTGAGATCTGGAAAATTTGCTGGGCCGCCCAGTGGGGTCTTTAAACCAATAACACTGTTGCAATATAAAAAAACGCTTGGATCTTAGATCTTAGGGCGATAGAGCGTGCGACTGGTGATGGACTGCCATGCAGCCTTGTCATGGTGCTTCCAGATTAACCTGGTTAGACACCTGCAACTCCCTGCGAGGGGTCCTGTGGACATTCCAACTCCTGTCTACTACAGGATTTTGTAGGCCAGTAAGGGTGCTCTTTTTCTCAGACGTGCGCCTGCAAAGTGTAAAAAAAATTGTGTTGCTGTTTGCAGCATGTCATGTGGAGCAGAAAAGGGATGGCCTGCCGCACAAGCCCTCGCTCATACTCTGCCCGCCCACACTTGTCGGCCACTGGCCGCACGAAGTCACTAAGTTCGTCGGGGAGGAGCTGCTGTCAGTGGTGCAGGTATGCTCCATGTCATGCTCATCGACAGGGTCATGGACCATGCACTTGTGACAGATAAGGGGTGGGGAAGGAGATTGAGAATTCTATGTCTGATGTGGTCGTGAACAGTGCATAGAACTCATATGCGAAGTCTGCTCTCTATCTGCACATGCAGCAGTCCGGATCTTCATTGTACCAGGGACAGTCTTACTAGGGACCTGATGGCTTGGCACAAAAATGTCAACTGCATGGCAGTGTTGCGTCCTAAAAGATCTTTGGCTAATTCCTCTTTACTAACATTATTACTGTTTGCTGCAGTATGAGGGAACGCCGCCGGTGAGGTGCGCGCTGCGAGAGCGTGCCAGGTCAGCGGACGTGGTGGTCATGAGTTATGAGACGCTGCGGGCGGACGCTGACTGGACATCCGCTCACCCCTGGGCCTATGCTGTGCTGGACGAAGGCCACATCATCCGGAATCCAAAATCCAAGATTGCACAGGTGCCAAATTACACCACTCAACATGCACGCATGGTTTGTCATTCTAGAAAAGCCCCGCAGAGTACCTTGAGACTTTGGGCTGGTGTCACTGTAATTTTGCAGCACAGCCTGTGAGTTTCATAGTGTGCAGCGGACGTGCTGATAGTTTGGCGCAGGTCAAATGGGCGCTGACCGGCACCAACTTATCAGTACCTGCACTTGCTACATAATGCAGTATTCCATTTTCCATTGACCATGGCTACGCATTCAAGCCTGGATAGTCAGGCATGCGTGGGATGAGATTCAGTATGTTGCAGAAGCACTGTTGCCCAGTAGGGAGCATCCCGACGCCTCACAACGCCGATCTAGATTTGGAAGTCAAACACTGCTTGGTGCTGGCAGAAATCTCAGGCAGACAACGCTTTACGTGGCATACACATCTTGCAATCCTGACCTCTGATCTCTCAAATGTGAACCCACAAGACGCGCACAATAACTGACTGATCGTTTGCACGCAGGCGGCAAAGCGGCTGGTTGCGCAGCACCGGCTCATTCTCTCCGGCACGCCCATCCAGAACAACGTACTGGAGCTCTGGGCACTGTTTGACTTCCTGATGCCGGGCTTCCTCGGGTCTCACGCTGCGTTCCATGGCAAGTATGGAAAAGCGCTGGCCGCCTCCCGGGGGTCCAAGGCCGGCAGTATGGAGGCGCAGGCCGGGCTGCTCGCCATGGAGGGCCTGCACAAGCAGGCGCGCATTCCTCCTGCATCCGCTATCATCATGCAATATCAGGATGATTTAGCACCAAGCACATGTAATGAGCTATATCCTGTCAGGTTTGGCCCGACACAGGTTTGCCAGGCCACCTTTCCTGCTGGTCATTGAGGGTCTGCACAAATAGCAGATATACTTGCTGATATGGCAGTGCTGATGACATCTGGTGCATCAGGCATGCATCAGGAGAGTGCCTTTGACTTTGTGCGGACGATGGAAACAAGCGCATGTCAAACACCCCGCTGAAGGCTTTTAAGCGCTGTACTGTAGGTGATGCCCTTCATCCTGCGGCGCACAAAGGATGCTGTGCTGAAGGACTTGCCGCCCAAGATCCTCCAGGTGAGCTGCTCTTCTTGCACGCTTCCCTCTGGACTCCCACGGCTATGCAATGCAAAACCAAGTGCTGCATGCCGAAAATGTGCATGTGCTGATGTGCAACCCTTGTGCCGCCTTTTTCAGAATCGGCCGAGTCTGCTGCTCTCGACAATGACACAGCGTTTGTTTCTAATCTTGCAGGACGTGTATGTGGAGCCGTCAGAGCTGCAGAGGAGGCTGTACGAGGACTTCTCAAAGAGCGGCGCATCGCGACAGGTGGCGAGCGTAGTCAGCGGTGACATCAGCGCTGATGCGGGCGCTGACCGTGCCGCCAAGGCGCCACACGTCTTCCAGGCAAGTCACAGAACCGAACAGTCCTGCAAGCCTGTGAAATTTGTATCCATCAAAGGCAACTCAAGGGCTGGTTAATGTGGGCAGCAAGTATCATGGGACCTAGTATGTGAAATGGGAAATGCTAGCCGCCCAAATTCCTCACTGCAAGTAATCAGCTGGCCACTGAGATTCCGCGGCAAGCTGCGCAGCCTCGGATCGGAGCTTGACAATTTTGCACAGTCGCACAGACGCACAGATGTTGCTTTGGAGAGTAGACATCTCAGTCCATTCTTTCAGAGGTGCTGCAGTGCCCAATTTGACAAGCCCGTGAAAGTTCACTGCATCCAGCGTTTACTTCACCAAGCACAGGATCTACACAATCCTGAAGCAGCCAATGTTCCTGTCAACAGCCGTGTGTTGATTTTGCACAGGCGCTGCAGTACCTGCGCAAGCTGTGCAGCCACCCGCTGCTTGTGCTGGACGCCAGCGTGCCTCAGCACGTGGCGGCGGCTGCCGCAGTCGCCAACACAGCCCCGGGGCAGTGGGACAAATCCGGCAGCGCTCTTCGACGGCTCTGCCACGCCCCTAAACTCGCCGCTCTGCGCGAGCTGCTGCAGGTGTGTGAACAATGTGTCTTTGAAAACATGCATACATCGATTGCTGCACTAGCCAACTCGCTTGCATCATGCTTCCCGCTTGAACTCTTGAGTTAGTTGACAGAGGGTTCACTACTTCGGCTTCTTGTGCATGTCTCCGGCATCTTCAAGCTGCGTTGCATGCTTCTCTCAGCATTTGTCACGGGCACATGTGAGAGCTGGACTCAATAACTATTTCCCAGGAACTGTTGACATCATTTGTGCCGCCGCTGTATGGCCAATGACCCACCTTTTTTAATAACAATATCGATAAGAATATATTAACAAATTTGCACAGGAGTGCGGCATCATCGGAGACGCAGACGGCGCGTCAGCGGCAGCCAAGGAAGAGCCCGAGGCGGCGGAGGGCGCGGGTCACCGGGTGTTGATATTCGCGCAGCTGAAATCTTTCCTTGACATCGTGGAGAGAGACGTGCTGCAGCCTGATGGAGTCTCCTACCTGCGCCTGGACGGCAGGTGCATACATCTTTCAAACTTTCGAAATTCAAACTTCAAATTTCAAATTTCAAATCTAAATATTTTAATCTAACTGTGAACTTTTGAGTCTCTGCATCAGTCATGCAGTCACAGGCGCGTCTTGCACAAAGCTTTTCTGTTTGATGCATATGCACAAGCTGCAGCCAGCTGCTGATATAAGCGCAAAAACGCACCTGCATGCATTCTGAGGCCAAGTTAGCTTCAGCTTCAGGAGCTGAAGGGGCTTAAATTGCTGAGTACGTCCCAAAAGCAAGCTAAAAATGTAAATTAGTTCCGTCAAGGACTTATGTTGTGCCGTGCAGCGTGGAGGCCGCGTCCCGATTTGGCATCGTGCAGCGGTTCAACGGCGATCCCTCCATCCCCGTCATGCTGCTCACAACAGCGGTCGGCGGCCTGGGCTTAAACTTGACTTCTGCCGACACAGTCATCTTCCTGGAGCACGATTGGAACCCCATGAAGGACCTGCAGGTGAAGTTTTACCTTCTCTTCTTGACTTGTGCCCCCCGGAAGCATCCGTGCTGTCTTTGTATGGCCACCTGCTGGCAAAATTTGAATGACAGTGAGAGAGGGGTACTAAGTATGCTCCTTGCAAGGTATGTGTGTCATCGATATTTTCAGCATCAGTCTTGCACATCTATGGCGATTGTTGTTCAGAATAGGCACCTCTGGCAGAGGCAACACTGTAGATCTGTACCAGTCATCAATATCCACATTTGATTGATCTTTGGTGCTCAGCCCCCTTCACAGGTCCATGCACAGTATTTGGTGGGAGCTATGTTGCATGTACTGGAGAGAGAGATGTGGGCGAGACTGGGGAGAGATGAGAGGGATGAGATTGCAGATACGGAGAGAAATGACATTACAAATGAACTGCATGTAATGTCAGTAATTTACCGCCGCTCAAAGCCATTCTGGGTGTGCTCCCTAAAGACTTTCCTGTGCATGTGCAGGCCATGGACCGCGCGCATAGACTGGGGCAGAGGCGCACAGTGAATGTGTACCGGCTGCTGACGCGAGGCACGCTGGAGGAACGCATCATGGGACTCCAACGCTTCAAACTTGACGTGGCAAACGCGGTCGTGAACGCAGACAATGCCTCTCTGGCTGCCATGGATACCACACAGGTCTTGGATCTTTTCTCGCTGCAGGGCGGCGGGCAGGCTCCGGATGCCGGCAGCCGCCAATCGCAGACGGGTGAGCAGATTCCCTTCAGTACCGCAACTAGGGGGGAGCTAACCATATGCCTTTGGCATGCTTGAAATCTGCCTCCTTAATCACGCCCCAGGCTTCATCAGGGCGTCTATGTTTTATTTTTCTTTATTTCAGTACCGCCAGTTGGCTTCTACCTGCAGAGGGTGTTTTCTTGAGAGTTGCCACAGGGCCTTGGGTCAAGCAGGTCCTTCCAAGATTGTTAACGTTCTGCAGCACCCGTGATGCTGGGTCCCTCAGGGCCTTGTTCAAAGAATGCTTTCTTGGGCCCCTGCCGAATACTTTGGCACTGGGGATACCATGCATGTTTTGCAGCCGTTACCCTTAGTGATGTACTCTGGCAAGTGATACTTATTAAGTACTTGGTATAATACTAAGAGATCTTGAGTGCAGGTGCAGAGGGGGATGCTGCCACAGCTGGGGCAGTGGGAGGCGGAGGCAAGGGGCTTAAAGCGGTGTTGGAGGGCCTGGGGGAGTTATGGGACGAGGGGCAATATGCCGAGGAGCTCTCATTGGATGCTTTCATGGGCAAGCTGAAGGGAGACGATCAAAACCCGCATTAGTTCTGCTGCGAGTAGCCCTACATTTGCCAGAAATGCAATTTGATACTGCATCTAAGGCATCATGCCAACATGATGTTGCATAATTTGGACATATTCTTGTCCGGCGGCCATTCTATATGCTGTTTAAAATTTATGTGCATAGATGTGCTACTCACTACTCGATGGTTACTCGAAACGCTACTCAACTCTATAGAGTAGATGGTGCAGTGATTTTCAGCAGGTTTGCACGCAACTTACTCGCAGATTGCCATTTGAGCTATTTTAGTGCTATAAGGCTGCCTAGACATGGTATTCGTGCTCCCAGAAGTTTCAAGAGCCCCAAATAAGGCATAATTGATTGGGCTACCCCATCATAAGCCCCAAAAAGTGATGCATGCAAGGAAGGAGGTGATGATTAGTCACCATGACTAATCTCCTTAATTGAAAAGCTTGGCCGTCTCAGCAGGATGTAGCTCATGGGTCATCTCAAGAGCATCTTTGGCTCGATTGTCTATGATATTTATGTGCCAAGTAGCTCATGATAGATCTCAAGGCATCGGAGGCCGAATTCGCTTAAAAAATTGGCAATCGAGCCAATTCAATTCGAAGTTCGCACACAGGTCGCGTAAGGGCATTGAGTAAGGCGCGTAGAGACTTCATCGCAATTAAACGAGCGAGTTACGCGCGTAGAATTTTCAGAGGGATCGAGTAGCACAACTATGGTTTAAATGTGTGGGTGGAATGCGGAATGAAAGGGGGTGGACACGTGGGTGACACGCGTGTCGGACGTGCAATTGCTGACACGTTGGACACGCTGGCTGGGAGGTGATGACGAAGTGGGTGAGCGTGTCTGACGTGTATTTGCTGTGGGTGTCTGAGGGGTGGGTGCAGTTTGTGTACGCGCTTGTGTAGGTGTGAAACACCGGTTAGGTTTTCTTGTGAGAATCAGTTTAGTATGGTTGCGCCAAGTGGGTTGCGCGCGGTTGCAGTTGGAGCGCCCAGCAATTTCCGGGTGTTTCCGGAAGCGGATGGCGGACATGCTGTTGTCGGTGGGCGCCTTGGCGTGCACGTACCTGAGAAGGACGTGGAGAGGCGCCTGCCTTCCGATGACGTGATGAAATACTATGCAGACGTCGGAGTCACCATCGTGAACATGTCAACGGAGGTGTGTGAGGGAATGGACTGATCTGGTCGGTTGGTTTGTCGTGCAACAAAGATTTGCGGCCTTTGAGCTGAGTGCACGTGAATAGCAGCGATGCATGGAGTGTGGCTGTGCGGGATCAGGACGGAATCAGGAATGTAGAGCAGAACTGTAGATTGGCGGAGATGACGATGTCCGGAACCTCGTGTAGCACAAGGTGATCTGCTTTGAGGGAGAAGGTGTTCAACTATAGCGTGGGAGGAGTGCCAGCAGCACCCAGCTTTCTACAGGGCGGCAGGCACGAAAGTGGGGAGGCTGCTGTCCTGGATGGACGTCGTGCTGTACAACGTCCCTCGGATGCCAACAATACTCGCTTTTGAAGCCTGGGACGTTGTACAGCACGACGTCCATCCAGGACAGCAAGCCCCCCCACTTTCGTGCCTGCCGCCCTGTAGAAAGCTGGGTACTGCTGGCACTCCTCCCACGCTAAAGTTAAACACCCTCTCCCTCAGAGCAGATCACCTTGTGCTACACAAAGTTCCGGACATCGTCATCTCCGCCAATCTACAGTTCTGCTCTACATTCTGACCCGCACAGCCACACTCCATGCATCGCTGCTATTCACATGCACTCAGCTCAAAGGCCGCAAATCTTTGTTGCACAACAAACCAACCGACCAGATCAGTCCAATCCCTCACACACCTCCGTTGACCAGTCCACGATGGTGACTCCGACGTCTGCATAGTATTTCATCACGTCATCGGAAGGCAGGCGCCTCTCCACGTCCTGGTTTTCAGTTACGTGCACGCCAAGGCGCCCACCGATAACAGCATGTCCGCCATCCGCTTCCGGAAACACCCGGAAATTGCTGGGCGTTCCAGCTGCAACCGCGCGTAACCCACTTGGCGCAACCATACTAAAATGATTCTCACAAGAAAACCTAACCGGTGTTTCACACCCACACAAGCGCGTACACAAACTGCACCCACCCCTCAGACCCCACAGCAAATACACGTCAGACACGCTCACCCACTTCGTCATCACCTCCCAGCCAGCGTGTCCAACGTGTCAGCAATTGCACGTCCGACACGTGTGTCACCCACGTGTCCACCCCCTCTCATTCCGCTTTCCACCCATTACATGTAACCATAGATGGGCTACACGCTGACTTCTGAAAAACTACGCGCCAAAACGCGCGAGTTCATTGAAAATATTGCAACTCTCGTCCTACACGTGCGTGCAGGAGCCCAACATTGGAACCTACTTATATCCCCTGGCAAATGCAGATTTTGTGCGTTAGCTTGCCGCCTAATGTTGATGTGTGCCCTCAAATCGAAAGACTAGCTTTGATAATGTATGAGGGTCCAGAGGTTAAGAACTCTAAAGTGATAGATCCAAAGGCTGACGCTCATGGCAAGGTTCTAATCCTGGTACTATATATATTAGAAGCTACTAGTAGCAGAAGTGGGGGTGCCATCATGGTAATGATGACGGGCTGCAGCTGCGGCCACTGGGCTGTGTTTGGTGACAGCTTGGTCAGTATGGCCAGAATGGCCAGAGGCGATATAACATGCATGCAGGGCGTCTGCCGCCGTATGAACGGGTCTACAACTATATGCAACTATGAGAGAAATCCTAACAGGCATCTTTCTGAAAGCTATTTATTTTGACCTAAAACGTACACTGGTTGGCCCCGGTTGGCGGGGGGCGGAATAGATACTGAGCACCGTGCCCACGGTTGATTGTGTCTTGCTTGGATCTGGCCAGTCCAACAAGGGGTACGATTGTGGCAGCCTTTGACTGCAGCCTGTTTGCAGGACGTACCTTGCCTTTTGGCAGGAAAAGCGTGTAATGATAATAATAAAAGCGTACACAAGAGTACCGTACTAGAGTGACTCGCCTATCTATAGAAGATGTAGCGATATCCCCATAACAAGGAAACGCAGAGAATTGATCGTGGTCAGCTGGTTAGCAGACGCTATAGCATCAACCAATTCATCCAAAAGATGCTCAGTGCCAGTTCTGTGCCGCCACCAGGGCGCATATTGCTAGTTACCCAGGAATTTAAGAAGCTCAGAACTCAGCTGCCACCCATCCACTTTCTGATATTACTGTTGCCAGGTCCCCAAGCCAGCACTCAAGCCTCTCTCATCCAACATATTTTTTCCTGCAAATACTTTGCCGGTATATTGGTATACGTATACAGGTATACGCTGCTAGGTAGCGGCGCGCAGTTCCATGCTAGCTACCCAGGAAGTCAAGAACCCGATGATTCAGCAGCCACCCATCAAAGTTCTGAGTTTGCATCTGCCACGCTACCTACTCCAATATTCTAGCCTCCACCATATCTGCGATTATTTTTGCTGCGCTGCCAGCCGCGCACAAAGTCTGGCGGCAACCGTCGAACCTTCCAAATTTGGGGCAACTCAGCCGCTAGCGCTGGGCTCCAGACTCATGAAAAAAAATGGCCTTCAAAGTTCGGATTTTGGCATTATAGGGCTGCCGTCTCCAGCATCCAGGCCATACTCGTCCAGATTTGCTTTGTGCTAGTACAGTGCCGCCGGCAATGCGCACTTCATGCTAGCTAATCCGGGAGCCCGGAACTGAGTTGCCAACCTTCAAAGTTCTGATTTTGCACCCGTCACAGCTTTAAATCCCGAGTTCAACCCCCCGTCATCCAGAAATGCTTTCTGCAAGTACTGTGAAGCCAGCAGCGCGCAGTTTTTTGCGGCCACGGCTGACATTTCCATCGCGGATGCAGCGTTCTCCCAAGCGTTGTTCACGTAGAGGCCGGGGGTCAGGCGGAATGGGGGGAACCTCTCGGGGGGCCTGAAGAGGGGATACGCCTTCCACTCCCTGGCAGCACACCAGGACATGAGACTCGGCACGAGCAGAGATTGCCCAAAAGCCAATCAAGCAAATGAAGTCCAAAGAGAAGGAACTCCTTCTTATTCTCCTTGTATCCGTTGATAAGTAGGTGTTAAATCCTTGTGGAACAGGGCCTGTTACTTTGCCTGTGTTGACTCACGTCACTTGCAAGGCTTGAGATTGAAGCAGCTCATACAGTTGCATTCCAAGGCACCCCTGACACCACAAGCTCAAGTACCGGAACGCATCCAGAAAGATCTTCATAGAAGGGAATACTTCGTTCTAGTTCCAGAAGGGAGCAGACTCACCTGTCAGCCAGGATGGTGAGATTGGCAAAGATGGCGTCCAGGGTGGCGCCCTCAAGAGGTTGCCGTGAAAATATCTTGTATATTCGCAGCCCATTGGGCAGGATTTTCTGGGGCCCTATCACCGAGAAGGGCGTTTTCGCATCCTCCGTCACCATCACATATTCCCCTGAGGAAGGCAAACCCTCAAGGGTGAGCAAGCTGAGGGCTTGCGCCAGCACCCTTTTTTCTGCATTAAAGCAAGGCAGACATGCTGATACGTATCTTTGTTCTCTGCACAAAATTCTGTACCTCTGTGCAAGTACACATTGATGCAACCTATTGAGAAAACACGGGATTTCTTTAAGTGTCAAACTAGCAAGGCAGCAGATGATTTGATGAGGGTGCACCACCTTTCGGCAAAGCTTCCACGCCAAAATAAGCCGGCTTGAGCCGTCCTTTCACAAGCGTGGTCACTGTGGTCTGGTACTGCCTCACTGGCATGTGGGGGACCTCAAAGCCAGTGAAGGCTATGTCTGTCAGCTCCAGTGGCGTCGCCACCAGCACAGCGGCGTACCTCCTGCTCTGTTTTTTGCATGCAGACACTTCTCAACGCCAGAATTGGCTTGACACGTTCAGTGCATTCAGGTCCCAGTCGTAGCCAATTTCTTGAAGTCACATTGCGATTGCATGCAGCTTCCGGGGCTGCCTGAAAAAAAACATCTAAGTATTGAAAGGACAAGTAAAACAAGCGCACCTTTGTGGTCTTATCATCTCTGCTGGACTTGGTGTGCAGTTCAAAGTGTCTGCTTGTTGTTCTGTGCACTTTTGTGACCCTGAGGCCCTGATGTAGGCTGGCATTGGCGGCAGCAATAAGGCGTTCTGGTAGCAGCCGATTGCCCCCCTTGATCCTGAACAAGCGCCCGTCGATTGTAGGCAGCAGTGACACCATCCCTGGCCAATAGAATGACAGCCAGAACTCAACTGTTGCAGCAAACCACTACCAATTGAGCGATAAAATAAAGCTAAAATGATGGTAAAGCTGACAGCAGATCAGGCTGCTTGTAATGTGCCATGCAGTAGGATTTAGAAGTGAGTCAGCAGCAGAATAGTCACCTGCAAGGGCGTTGATGCCATTTCCCTGATTGTACTGAATGCGGTTGATGCCCGCTACGAACTCCTTGGCAAACAGGTTTGCTGCCGAGCTGGTGCCTATTCTATCCTGCAACCAGCACCATGCATCAGTAGCCAGAAGAGCTCCTTCACCATGAAGAGCTCTGTCAGAATGACTTTCTCGTTACTAACAGCAATGCCCTGTACAGCTTCATGCTGCAAGCCGATCTGTCAAAGCAGGTCATCTTACAAATCTGATGTGGCCTTTATGAAGATATTTTGATGTTTTCTTGGAACTGCTTGTTGTCAAGAAGGAAATGCACCTGTAGCTCGCTTCTGAATGTCCTCTGTGTCAGGTTGTATAGGTCCACTGCCTGCAAGAGCTCCTCTGGAGTCCCGAACGCTCTGCCCTCTGCCTGGGCACAGTGCTCAGCATTACTCACCTCACACAAAGGACTGGATCAGAAATGCATGCAGCGCTGAAATGGTTGGCATCTCAATGCATTATGCTTGTGAAGGATCCTGTGGGCAGTAAGACTTCCCTTGTGTTTCAAATTCAAATTCTAAATTAAGATTTCACTGCAGGGTCGTCATCACCTGAAGCTTGTAGAGCTGCAAGAAGCGAGGCAGCATTGTCTGGGGTCCTTTCCTCATATACAAATAGCTCAACCCATACCTGCATGCAAATTTGGCACTCAGCATGATTATGTTGATCATTGAAATGTGTATTGACTGGTGAATAAAGCATCACATCTGTAACATTGTAATGCAAAGCTTGAAAAGAGTGCCTGACCTCCGCAGCATACGGTACAGGGTCACAATTGTCCAGGAGCTTTCACTGAACACAAAGCGGCTGCCATCAAATATGGATATCTGGCTGCCGTCCACCCCAAGACGCTCCCTCTGTAGCCCCATTTTATCTGCCAACTCCCTGGGTTAACAGCCATGCCTTCTTCACATGCCGCGAACTAAAGGACAGGACTCAGGAGGATGAAAGCCAATTCGCATATAATCCCCATCATAAGAATAGCCAGTCATAGTCGAGGCAAGTACATTGAGCAGGTTGAGGAGTTCGATGGTCTACTGCTCAGATTAACAGTGCTCCTGCACCTGAAGTATCTGTTCTCCTCATGGATGATGCTAGCTCCCATTTCAAAGATCTGCAGTGAACCGGGAAAATTTTGATATTCGAAGTTCAGATTCAGTACATATGGCAGGTAAAGGATCCCTTATGTAGGAGACTCACGTCATCGCCATGCTTGAAGACCTGCGTCCTTCCTCCTATCTCCCCTTCCTCGAATCTGTGAGCAACAGCACTCGAGTTGACCTTAACCCAGTATACTACCATAAGGACCGGTATATCTCCATTCGCAAGAACACATCAGGTGGAATTGGTGATAACCCGTGCACACTCACATGTCCAGTTGTACCCTTGGGCCGAGCTGCTCCCTAAGAAACCACGCCGATGCGCTACCACCCACTCCTGCTCCGATGATAGCTACATTGTACTTCTCAGCTGCCCCAGCTTCAGCTGGGTTCTTGAACCCATCAACTCCGATCAAAAGCAGACCAAATATTATAGGGATGCCCAACATACAGCACCCCGATCTGATAACTTTACAGACAAGTATCTTCAACAATTATAATTATACAGCACTTTCATTCTCTCATGAAAATGGTATCACGCAGCAGATCTGACGCCAAGACTCGCAGTGAAACAAATGCCACTTTTTATGGTGCCGCCCTTGTTCGAGAGACAGAGCACCTTTCAGCTTGAACTTTCTTAGGACGCTTCTCCTGGGATTGACAAGCTGTAAATTGTTGAGCATAAGTTGGGCTCGATCTCGGACATGCAAGGGCAGAAACAGCATTTCAAGGGGTTTGGGAGCCAGAAGAAGCGATACAAGCCCGCGAGTCGCCGCAGCGGCGTTCCCTGTCGACAGGTGTTCAAATGTGGGAGGCAGCGGGGAGAAAGTCAAGCTAAACCTCGTACTGGCAAAACGACCGCCACTGCTACCAGGAGCAACATTAACAACGGTTATATTGTGGCTAGCTCCGGAATGCATGTTGTCTTGAGGCAAAACCACCAGCAAACAGACGATTGAGTGCATCGCTTATCTGCCGTCAAGCTGACCCAGACCCCTGCACATATTGAGCCCCGGGACTGATGGCCTGACCAGGGCTTCTGAACAGTGTGCTGGGGCATCATGAGCGCAAATGTGGAGGAGATCGACAAGCATGTCTTCAGGAAGTATGAGATTCATGCAAAGCTGGGAAAAGGGGTGAGAGCCCCACCAAGGCACAGCACTGCGGGCATGTGCTGGGAATGCTTGTGTAAGATATTTAAAATATATAATCTGTCAGAAAGTGGCGATTGAGCACCGGAGAGCAAATGTCACAGGCAGTCATATGGGCTGATGAAATCTCTTTGTCCAAATATTGACACAAAGTCAAGATTGTTCTCCTCACCAAATCACGAATCAATACAAGGAATTTCTTAATTCATATTCATGTGATTTGCTGCTGCGCTTGCATCGCCCGATGTGACGACCTGTGGTAAGCTTGCTGGTGTCATCCTTCATATGAGATGCTTGGCGTGCAGGCCTATGGAGTGGTGTGGAAAGCGGTGGATAAGAAAACCAGGGATACCGTGGCACTCAAAAAGATATTTGACGCCTTTCAGAATGCCACAGATGCACAGGTGACTGTCCTCCCCCTGGCTGAGCCAGTGTCCCTTCACCACAAGCATGCACCTTGTCTCATGACAACCAGAATTTGGGACGTGGGCAGCTATCAAATATCGGAAACATAATTACAGAACCTGGCAGCAGCCAAATGCCCATCAACTGTTCAAGCCAGGACAACAGCCTGCGCGCACTTGGGGCAGACAGCTCGGTGCTGTTTTGACCTGAGAGAACAGCTTAGGGGTCGGCAAATATGCAGATCTGCGCATTGTACTTGCCAGAAGCATCAAATGGGGGTGCCAAAGCATGCCAAAAGAAGCTCTTATCCCGAGGAGAGGGCAACACGGGTGAGGGCTGCGGGCGCTGACATGCTTTCTGTTGCTGCAGCGGACCTTCAGGGAGATCATGTTCCTACAGGAGCTGACCAACCACGAGAACATCATCAGGTAAGCACCACTACCTGATCCACACCCCACCAATCCCCTATTGCAAGTCCACCAGTCGGCATGCCTCCAGGGGAGGTGACAAGGTGCAGGTGGAATTGGCCTGATCTCAGGAGGGGCTTCTTCAGAGAGCTGCCCCACCCGTGCATGACACCTATAGTGCTGCACTGTTGATCATTTAATCATGCATCTTGCATTTTTAGAAGATCAGGTGCGTTGCAGCAGCTGTTCACTGGCGGCCTGTGCTGTGCAGGCTGCTGAACGTCATGAAGGCGGAGAACGACAGGGACATCTACCTGGTGTTTGAGTACATGGAGACAGACCTGCACGCAGTCATCCGGGCCAACATACTGGAGGAGATCCACAAGCAGTACATCATGTACCAGCTGTTCAAGGCCCTCAAATACATGCACTCCGCCGAGCTGCTTCACCGCGACATAAAGGTGCGGCGCAGCCTTGTGGCAGCCCTGATCAGCTTCTGGGGAATTGGACATTTCCAGTTTGCAGCAATGATTTTAGCAGCTCTACTCAGCCGCTAGCGGGGTCGGGACACTGTGAGGGTGCACCACACATGTCGGCAGTTCTGCTAAGCTTCTGGGGAGCTAGGTATTGAAGGGTCCTAGGCTGGGACTCCTAGCACGGTGTTGTGACTCGTTCCCTGACATCCTGTTATCTTCGGTAGGCGCTGACTCTGTCTCTGAAGCTGGCAGAAGAGGTACATGGCAACATGAAGAGCCGGGGAAAGTCTTCAAAATGTGCTAGCAACTGCCCAGTCCACGTTTCTGCCCAAAGCAGATGGGCATTTTTCCTGCAAAGTGCTACAACTGTGTCTGACGGGCTGCATTCTCTGCGCGCAGCCGAGCAACCTGCTGCTCAACAGCGAGTGCGCGGTGAAGCTGGCGGACTTTGGCCTGGCTCGGAGTGTCGCACAGCTGGAGGCGGACGAGGGGCCGTCCCCAATCCTGACAGACTATGTGGCCACGAGGTGGTACCGTGCGCCGGAGATCCTGCTGGGGTCGCCAAAATACACCTTTGGCGTCGACATGTGGTCGGCAGGTGCGCGCATGTGCCGCCGCCCTGCAGCTATGCCACACGATGTGTCCTGAGCATTTTGCGCTAGCAGTCTGAAATGGGGCCTCCTAGTGGCTTGCAAGTGTGCCACAGTGGCTCGGCAAGGCAATGAAGTACAAGCTCTGCAGGTTGGCTTGGCCACAGGCTCAGAATATGTTTTCAAAGATTCTGCTTGGTCTTTCGCACCCTGTCTGCAGAAGCAGTTTGCATGGGCTGGCTTCGTCGGGCCAGAACAGGATGCCCTGTCCCTGCTGTGTGGTACTGAGAAGTGCAAGCCGTGGGATGGATGAGTAAGGAAAGGATTGTCTGCATGCAGGGTGCATACTGGGGGAGCTGCTGACGGGGAAGCCTATCTTCCCAGGCAGCTCCACCATGAACCAGCTGGACCGCATCCTCGAGGTCACAGGTGCGCCAGCATTCCTGCAGAAGAAGCATTGGAGCATGCACATATCTGATGCACACCGCATGCAGAGCCTGCTGCATCTAGCCTGGCTATGCAGGATTAAGGCGCACTGAAAGAACCTGCATACTGCCTGGCAGCTTTGTCGATAATAAGAAGGCTGTCAGGCAGAAACGTTGCTCTGTATTTATGAAGTGGCAGCCGCGGCAGAGGTGTCCAAATACTCTTGAGGCACAGAGGCGCAATCCCGCCGAGCTTGATCTGAGGAAAGTTTAGTATGCCATCTGCCTCAATTCCTTGTATGTATTGCTTGACAGATTTCAGTACTGCTGATGGAAGGTTCCCTGCTGTGTCACGGCTGAGTCACTAGTCTGAAGGTCATTCTGATTTACTCATCGCCACGTCACGCCGCAGGGCAACCGTCGCAGCAGGATGTGGACGCGATTGCGTCACCCTTTGCGGCCACGATGCTCGAGGCGCTGCCCTGCGGCGACGCACCGGCGCTGCATCGGCTGTTCCCTTCCGCTTCGCCGGAGGCTGCCGACCTGCTATCGCGCCTGCTGCAGGTGGGGAGCATGACCTCCTGAAGAGGTTGCCAGCGTGAGCATTGCTGAGGTATTACCTGGGAAGGAAAGCTTTGCACGAAAAGCGGCTGCAAGGCAGACGGATGCTGGACATGACATTTGTACAGATGCATCTTCCTGTCTTTTGTTTCCAACTTGCAGCCTGTCGTGCATGCTGTTGAGGGTTAATTATCACAATGTGTCCTAGCCTATAAGAACACATATTTAGGGGCACTGGTCCGCTGGAAGAGCAAGGCACATGGCTCAAGGGGGGTTGGAGCATCGAAATCCAAATGGCTGTAACAAAACTGTCGTGATGTCGCGCAGTTCAACCCAGCAAAGAGGATAACGGCGCGGGAGGCGCTGCGGCATCCGTACGTGGCGCAGTTCCACTCGTCGGCGGACGAGCCATCTGCGCCCGGCATCATCACAATCCCCATTGATGACAACACCAAGGTGCGCGAATCAGGACCTTACTGGTAGCCTTCACTTTGCCTTTGTGCCCAGCTTACAGAGGCCATGTGGAAGACAGCGCTGATTGTTTTAGTCCAGAGGCTTTGCACCTGACCTTGTTGACGGCTCCTGAGACAGCCCAGCGCATCCTCTTACCCTGTCAAATTTCCTGTTGTGCATGTCGATATCTGCTCAATCTGCTCAGGAGATCCACTCTGAGAGGGCAGCTTCTGCATGCGCAGCAGGAGTGGGATGTCAAATCTTGCTCAGTCTGCTGACCTATCAAATTGCATCCAGTAAATCGTGTGGCTGTGTTTGTGCGCGCAGTACTCGATAACAGAATACAGGGAAAAGCTGTACATGGAGATCGTGAAGCGGAAGAAGGAGCTGCGCCGGCGGCAGAAGGAACGCGAAGGCCGCGGCAGCCGCTCCCGGTCCCACGGCCACGGGGCGCGCGTTCCCTCCGGCGCCGACCCGGCCGGCTACGGCGGCTATGCGAGGTAGTCATCACCGTGATGTCACCGCTGACGTCGCCTGCCACTACCGATGATGTCATCCTGCCACTTCACCGTCCATGGGCCCACCACCTTTCGCAGCAGGATGAGAGGCATCCGGCAGAGCATGCAAATGCATGCACCTGCTGGCACATGCGCCGGTCTGGGCAGCTGTGCTGCAACAAGGATTTCAGCCTGGCAGGTGCAGCTGCTGCAGAGCAAAAGCTTTGCTGGTGTAATACACCACACATTGGTGTTGTCAGTGCTTGACTGGGCTTGATGATTGGCAATGGCAATCAGCAAAATAGTCTGGAGCAGCACGCTCTGAAATACTTGAAGAGAGAAGTTCTTCAGGACAAGGCAATGGTGTCCTTCTGCCGTAAATAAATTGCTGTCCAGGCATAATGTGTGATGTCGGAAAGCAAAGCTATGTCGTTCCTCAGGTTTCTGACTTGCTGTGCAAAAGCACTGCAATGCCAATTCAGCAGCATGTTTAGTTCTGACAAGATGGTTCAGTCGCTCAGAGCTTTGGCTGTGGTGATTACAGGGTGTTGTGACATGAGAGCAGTGCTCGTCAAGCACCTTGCTCGCTGTCACAAGCAGGGGGCAGAAGAACGGTCAGAACCGATAGCGCGGTGTGAACAAGCTGATAAGCTGAGTGATGCCAATTTCCCCTGCACAGAAACGCCTGATGCTGCTCGAGATTGATAAAGCCAGTGCGAGTGTGGCATGTGAAAAAGGGCGCGTGCACAGATGAGCAATGCATGGGTAAAGGTACATTTGCAGCTGGCAGAATAATAGATGCATAGAGCTGTCGAGCCTTAGGAATATTTGTGGGTGCGATGGTGTTGAGGCTCCCAAACCTGATAGCCACAGATACGTCTTCACATGATGCCTTGATGTTAAACAAGAATTGAGGTGAGGCATGTAGTGATAATAGTTTGAAGAGTCTCATGCTGGGCCAGGCACCTCATCGAGGCGATGACATCATCTATGCTGCATCGTGACACTGAAGCAAAGCTTTCTCCATTTTCCTTTGTGCCGCTGATGCACATTGTTTGATTCTTTCTCCACGTGTCTGCATTGGAAGTCTTGGAATGTTCCAAAATTGCCATCTGTGACGTTCCCTCCGAGGCGTGCAGGCAGTACACAAGGACGGCCCCTTAGTCCAACATGGATCAGGAAATATCAAGTTGTTGTTGACATCAACATCATGAACTACTACATCAGGAAGATCTCGCTAGGGAAAAGCCCCGTTTGTGTATCAGTGGCTACTGAGCAAGCGGCAATGCTGCACAGCTAAACCTTATCAAGACAAAGGGATAGGGAAAAGATCCTGCATGCAAGGCCTCTCTGTGGACTTCCTTGCCATAAGTCTCAAGTACGAGCATTACAGAAATGCACTAGACAACGCAGTAAACAGTACAGACGTCAATGCCAGAAAGAGAAGTTTGCAATTTGTACAATTCTGTAGGCACCGGGAGGCTCCCTGTGAGCGCCCTCTACCAGGATCTAGTGCACAAGCCTTTCTGTTTCAAGTCTTCGGAAGCTCAACATGTGATCAAATGAGACAGACAAACAAAACAATGATCAACCTATCTGCATTGCGCAATCTAGCCAGCCACCACTAGCTGCATATGAGTGCGTCTGCAGCCCCAGTACTCTATACTTCAAGGATCTGTGATTTAGCCACTGTTGGCAATCGCCTGCTCAGCAGTTGCCCACATGTTGTCTTGAACAGTGCAAGCGACCATAGCGGTCTGATAATTAGTTTCGCACTGGAACTTGTATCTGGCTTTAATGGACGCGGGTACATCGATTGCCTGTTCCAAGTTATCTAAGCAATTCTGGTAGGTGAGAAGATTGGAGTCGCCGCAAGAGTCATACTTCAGCAGAGATCGGTCTCCTGCATGCTGGAAGTGTTTGCCTGCAATGCAAGACACACAGAAGGGGCTGTGAGAAAGGAGAGGTCTAGGCAATGTCTTCCGAGAGGCAACAGGCAGATATGGAGTACCGTACACAGGTGTTTGCATATGCAGGGTCTGGGCGTTGCTAAAAATCTTGCTGCAAATGAGAGCGTGGCACAGGTCTTTTTGTGAAGGCAACAAGAAGTGCAGTCCCAGGAGAACTTGTCTTGCATGTCCAGCTTGAAATGCACGACAAGCTGGAGCTTACTGTTGTGGTGGTTATTTTGAGATGAGCCACTTGAGCCGAAATAGTCACCTGTGGTTGTCAAACGGCCATCTTCGTTGGTGAGCGCATCATATGCCGTTAATATTGTGTCTCTAAGGCTCCTGCAAAGGGGCACAGCAAGCAATTCGCGCAATCCCCAAGGTGTGAGGTGCTGATCGACATCGCAAAATTTTGCAATCACCTTCTCCAATGTGAATTTTGACGAGTAACTGACCTTGACTGGACGACAGCGCTCGCCATGACGGCCAGAATGGCTACAAGTCCCACCATATGCGGCCTTATACCGCCTTCGACCAGCCCTGCACCGGACAACGACACCCATTAGAGTCCAATCAGCTGCCAGCAGACGTATGCCAGCCTCAATGGCAGACTTCTTCCTGAATATCGAGTATTCATCATGTTCAATTACGATAAATTACAATCTCGAGACCAGAGTTCCAGCAGGCCTTGAGGGAACGCACGAGGGTTTGCAGTCCAGATCGTGCAGATCGGCGTTACACAAAGCAAGTTGCCGTCCAGAATTTCAGGACGCTGCACAAAATTGTTTTGCTTTTGTTTTAAACACGACTGCAATAGATTTCTCAAGTGCCCATCGCAATGCGAAAAATGGGGTGCGCTGCGCAGAACAGAATTCAAGCGGGCCGTCAAAGAGAAGGCAAGCTGTGCATACCTGAACTGGGATTTTATAAGAGTGTCAGAGAAGTCCTGACTGTCAATAATGTGCATATATTTCTCTGTTTCGCTTTTGTGGAGGCGTGAGAGCTTAAAGAAGCATTGCAAAATCTCCCAGGTTCCTGGGACTTGATTATTTTGATTGGAAGAGCGACTGGCGGTGTTGTCGCTTAGGGCGACGTCGTAGAGGACTGTTTTTTTTTGAATCTGTACACATGATCACGTGAGACATGGACAGGCCGCAGTGTGCTTGATCCACTCTCTGAGGTGCCTCACAAGCAGACACTTTTGTGGCCACCATTTGCTACAAGACGACCGAGATCATCATTCTGAGAAGGCAGCACAACAAGTCATTGCCGACATTTGGATTTGAGAAGTGTGCAGCTGCAGCTGCATGCAGGGTTTGTAGTTTTGTTCCAAAGTCATGCGCAGCTTACACCGTCAGATGCCCACTTCATCAGGCATCCAGCATGCATGAGACAGCCATCCTGCCCTGACGGGGATCTGCTCTGTCCGCGGCAGCAACATGCCGCATCATGCCATTGTTGGTTTGCAACTGCTATCTATGTACATAAACACCACCAAACATTACCAAAAGATCTGCTGTTCACAGAAAGCTGTCCTGCCTGTGTCCCATTCAAGCCAACCCCTATCTAGTGCACAGTTCCTTCAATGCCGGTACAATCTGCCGTGGGCACGCCACTAAAAGGAAAGTTTCTTCTCCTAAGAGATTCTAACCTCCCCTTCCCCACGCGACAAAGGAGGGGGTCATGTTCTGCAACCCCTGTGCGAAATAACTACATGTAGTTGAAGTCATTCCAAGCAGATGCAGGCTCCACATCCTGCTCCACACTCTCTCGCCACCTGGCACAGCCCCAATGACTCATTTTTAAGCATTTATCACTCATTCATCTTGCTTGCTTTTCCTGCGCCTTTCTCTGCCATCCTTGAGCAGCGTGCCTGGCCGGCATAAGCAATATTCCTGCCTCCAGGAAGATTGTTATATAACCCTCTACACGTTAGATATTCTAAAGACAGATCCTCCTGCTGCTTCGAGACAGAAGGTTGTTGAGGCAAGCATAACAAAGATGAAGGCAAAACGGATTTCGGAGTGAGAACTGTGATTTGTTTGGTGGGCTGACCTGGCAAGAAGAAAGTTGCCCAAAGGCCCCAGGTCAAGAGCAACCTCGGCCCTGGGCTCCTGCTGCGTTCCCTGCTCTGCACCAGAGATCACTCTGCCCAGATATGAGCCTGCTCGCCGGTGCTGCATCCCCTCTTCCAAGGGCACCTCGCTCTGGCTTCGCCCCATCTGCGCAAGCCCAGAAAAGTTCAGGCAAGCACATTGATATCGAGAGAGGATCTGTCCGCAGGGCCACCAAAAGCACCTAGTGCTTACACAAGCATTCCTCTCCGTTTTTTGGCAAATGCTTGCGCACCATCTTTCCAAACTGAGCGTGCATTACAGATTCTTCAGCGGCAAACATTATTACATCAGCATCAAATGCCGTAGATAATGACAAAATGCTGCACGAAAATGAAAATCCCCAGAGCTGCCAACAAGCATGCACAGTGCTCATCGCACAGAGCACAATCACCAAAGCTACCCCAGAACATTTCCTTCGACCCACGCTGCACTCCACACAGCGGCCACAAAACTTCCTGCATAGATTAAAATCAAAATGATTCTACAAAGAACAGTGCATCACCTGTTCCAGCATGCGCTGCAGTGTGCCCTGCCGCTGCTGGTCCAGGCTGGCAATGGCGCTCAGGGCTGACGCGCGCAGCGTTGCCTCCTCCGCCGAAACCCCACCGGCCGCCAGCGCCCGCTCTAAAACCCCCTTCAGCGCCCCTGCAGCCACACTAAACATTTAGATTTTTGAAATCATTTCATCTGGGGTAATTTAAACACCCCAATCGCAGTGCCGGCCAGGACAAGCTGTTAAGACACACCCTCTTGGGCCTTGCCGGCTTCCAGCTCCTCTTGCATGCACTCACATTCCCGCATTAGATCGGCTTGATTTGGCAGAGGTGTCTGGCATCAGGCGCACTTATGGCAATTCCAACGCATTTAATAATCTTGTCTTATAAATTGTCTTGTTTTTGTCAGAAAACCACATGACAAAGGACACGCCGACAGGCAAGCACAAGAAATGGAGGAGATGAAGGAGTGGGATCTCTGCTGCACCTGCTTTAGCTGCAGCTGCAGGGTCTTCAGAGGGAGCCGCCTGCAGAGTCCTGTCACGGTAGGCTTCTTGCTGTCCGCTGCCAACAGTCTGAGTTCCGTGGCTTGCTGCATCGCCATTTGACAGTAACTGTACGGGACTCGGCTCTGATTCCTGCTCTAGGTCACTGTCTGCATGCGCGCTGTTCTTGGACTCCTGCTCTGGGATTGATGGGGCTGACTCGTGGATAGTCTCCACTGTTTTCGACGAGTTGTTATCACCCTGCAAAGGCAGCAAAGCACATGGCTCAGAACCACATCAGTAAGTGCACACGCAAAGCACGGCTTGCAATTGTGCAGCATAACACAAGGCACTGACCAGGTGAGATTGATAAGCAGCATATCATGCTAAGACGCACAATAATCAGTGGTACCCCATGGTTTATAGAGACACCTCTTGCTGCTTCAAATGCTGCGCTCTAGCCAGCTCAAGAAGACATCATTTCCCGCTTGATGCCAAATGCAATGAGCAAGAATAGGAAGAGTATTGACACAGGTAGGAAACTTCATATCTAGTTGTGTGTCTTTCGTGCGCATTTCACACCTGCTCTGGAACCCCTCAGAATTCGTCTCTGTCGGCTCGATGGTTACTCCAATGTTGAGGTGTGCTGTCTGTATTGTTAGTTGTAAAGCATAAACTACTAGACACATGACTCACCACATGCTGGAGGCGGCTACGGGGAAATGTGCCCAGCGTGCCCCCGTCCCTGAGGGTGAGCGCGCTGATCTGGTGGCTCTTCAGTGTGCGCATGTGGCGCGCTGCCTTGATGGTGCCCCCCCTCTGCTCCAGGCGCCCAAAGTCCCACTTGGGCAGCGTCAGCTGCACCTCTGCCATGCCAGAGCGTTTTGACGCTGTAACCTGATGCAAAGAGCAGAAGAGAACAAATTTAAGAGGACACACGGCAAGGGAGAAAATGGCTCGGTGAGCACCCCCCACCCAAAAGAGAATGTTTCTGGTAATTTATGCGTGCCCAATACTTGGTAGTTGCATACTGTGGTGCGTAGGACTGGCTAACATGTAGGAAGAATACTGCGCAAGGGCTGATCAGCCAGCTTCTACTGTCAAAGATTAAAGCCGTGCGTGTAAGTTGTACATGTGTTTGTTGAAGCATGATTTAAACCATTGTCTTGGTCGCCAACAACTGCTTTGAAGCTAGCATGCTAACTAGCATGCTTTGAAGCTAGCATGCAAACTAGCATGCAACCGAAGCGCACCGGTTTCTGGTGGGCGAGGTGCTCAGAGATGCGGTGCTTTAAGTCCTCTGGAAGCTGTGCCTCGCGCACAAAAGGGTCGTCCAAGAGCTCCTGAGCGGAAGGCCGCAGCGCGGGATCCTGCGTGACAGTGAAAGTTGTGATGATTTCAAGCATGCATGGCCTCTTAAAGCTGACTCTCGATATGCTTTTGTGTGCGTGAAAGGCTGCATGATGTCTGCACATCAGCCAGAAACAAGATGGTGACAGAACCTGCCTAGCAGGCAGCACATGCATGCATGGTGAAGTAGCTTGAGCGCAGATATTCTCAAGATCTCCAGGATAAGACAAAGAGACTACAAATGAACAGCACACTTCTCGAATTATTTTGCTCATTTGACTGTCACACTAGTGTCAGGACCGGGCGCCGGCGCTCACCTTGTGCAGGCAGCGCGCCACGAAGTCCCGCAGGCCCTGGCTGTAGGGCCCCTGCAGCTGCGGCGCCGCGTTTTTGGGTATGAGGAAGAGCGCTCGCATGGGATGCAGCTCTGCTAGCGGCGGCGTCCCCGTCGCCATCTGCAGCCACGTCATCCCATGCTCGTTCTATTTGAGGACTCGGCCGAATCTGTTCTCAACACTGTTGCTCCGTGCCTTAAAACTAGCTTGCAGCTGCTTCGATGATGCAGCATCCCAGGATTCCTGTGGTGCCTGAGAAATGATGGGTCCAGTGACAGTGTCGCTGTGACACCACCCCAGGGACTGCAAAGCTTGCATACAGCCGGGCAAATGGACCTATGCAGCCTTTGACCCTTATCTGGTGCTTGAGGGAAGAGTATCCGGGTTACACTGCCCTCTTCTTTGCCTCTGGGGTGCCTAGACCAACAGGGCCCCTGCCAAGTCACTGGAGCCTGCAAAACTGCGCCAAATATACGGTGCTGTGCAGATAGGCAATGCATCTGACTTTGTGAGACTGACCTCGATGGCGGTGATGCCAAGGGACCAGATGTCGGCGGTCTGGCTGTAGCCCTCCTCCGAGGTCTCGATCACCTCGGGCGCCATCCAGTACGGCGTCCCCACAAACGTCCGCCGCCGGTAACCCAGCGTTCCTGCAAGGGAAATGTTGACTTAAGCAACATTCAGAATAAAACTGGGAACTTCATGGGAGAGAGTGGGAATTTGATGGGGAAAATGGGGACTCATTCCCAGCAACATACTGAGAGAACGGTGCAGGGCCGTCCCCATCGCCAGCTGTCATGCATGGAACAGCTGCCCATTTGAGAAACTTTTCTCGACCCGGCGAGCAGAGCATCTTGGCAAGCATGCTTTGCTAACCCTCAGCCATCATTGCATGTGTCCAAGTATTGATTTCAAGTGCACTTTTGCTCTCCTTCCTGTCTGCACAAGGCTGAAGAGGCAAATTGTTCACTCAACGGTGGCATGGACTTGTGCTCAGTGGACCAACCTGTGAGCTGCCCGGAGACGCCAAAGTCGCTGATTTTGACAGCGCCCTCCGCGGACAGCAGCACGTTGGCCGCCTTGATGTCCCGGTGCACGCGGTGCTCCCCATGCAGGTAAACCAGCGCCCGCAGCACCTGCCGCAACACATGCGCGATCTCCGGCTCCTCCAAAGGCCGCTCGTCCAGCTGCAAGCACATAACACCGTCGTAATCAGAGGGGCTAGTCACAGGGGATAACTCCAACCACTTTAGAAGGGACTCGGTGGCATTCAGGGCAAGCTGCTTGTCTGACGCATTGACCTGACAAACTCAGTGGCAGCTGTCATTCTATTGAGCACATGTGGAGTTTGGCACACCTCATTGACACCATTTAGCTCGGTGAAACTCTAATCAGAGTCGACAATGCTGGGTTCGTGTTGGAAGTTCGCCATGATGCACACTGATCGTTGATAATCTTGAGCGAGTGGCATGCCTTATCAAGTGTGCACCCTATCTTGATAGGGATATCGTGACACTTGACACGACAAGCCTCAAGAGATGATCAGGCATCCGAGTCGCTGTGCATTGATGCCCTGAAGCTATCCCTGTAGAAGGTTCTGACGCACCAAGTCAGCCACTGATGCAGCCATGAGCTCCATGACAATGAACAGCTCGCTGGATCCAGGCTTCAGCACAGACGCATAGTACTCCGTGATGTTCTCAGAGCGACATTTTGCCAGGACGGCCACTTCCTGCAAGAACATGCTTTGCAAAGTCATTGAAGGGCTCAGGTGAATGTGATGCCTGACGTGTGATTCTATGAGCCCAGAGAGCTGTCATGCATGTGCTTGCAAATCAGTTCAGGCCTGCATGTGCCCATGCAGGCATTGCCCTGCCATGCGTGAGCGAAACCTACCTTGTGGATGTCCTCAATATCATCCTCCCTGCGAGACAAGGCAAAAATTTGTTGGCAGGGGCGTTGAGATGTCTGCCACGTGAAGGGGCACGATCCATGACAGCTTCCTCATACATAGATTACAACAGGAGCAATATGCATGTTGCATTCGTGACTTACACATCCTCAAGGTCGATGACCTTGATAGCCACCTCCATGTCTGACTCCTTGTCAAGCCTGCAGTGACGCAAATGCTTATACCTCATCTCCTGCCCTCGACTCTTGCGTGATTTCACACAGTGCGAAGAGAAAAGAAAGACTGCAGCTAGCCAATTGCCTGCTGGAAATCGTGCAGGTCTTTCTTCAGTGCTCACCCCTTGTAGACATCTCCAAAGGAGCCTCTTCCGATGCACTCCAGGCGCTCGTAGCGATCCTCATCGATTGTGAGACTTCTGATGGCGTCTGTATCTGGCAGTGCTGCAGCATGTGCAGCCATACTGCGCTAATGTTCTATAGCTCCATCAGGCGCGCCTTGTCCTGCTCGTACAGCTCAACTCTCAATATCTTGCACAGAGTGCCTACCGGCGCTGCCATGAGTTATAGCGAGACTTATAGCACTTTAGCAATTTCCTCAGGATTCATCACCGCACACCCTGCTGGCTTAAAGGGCTCACCATGGACCTTGTACTGCAGGTTCCTTTGCTTCAATCTGGCCGGGTGGTGCGTTCAGGGACCCCTTCAGTTGCCAGGCCTTCAAAAACGGATCAGTGAAAATAAAATCTGAGACATGGCCAGAGATTTTGGGTTTCGTGGCCTCTGCAATGCAGGCCGTGTCAATGCCCCCATCTAATACCTAGCAGTAAGCAGCGATGACAGGATGCGTCTCACGAACTGTCTTTTGGTTTGATAGTCACAATCAGGAAGACAATGCAAAATCAGGATCATGTTCGTCCCTTCCCAGAAATTCTTAAAACCTCTTTAAGAAATGGAACGCCATCGGTGACAGGGAACCTTTGAACGGGCTGGCGTACGGAACACTCGCATTTCATAAGCATTGTGAGGTTTACAGCAGTATATCTTGGAGAAATGAATGATAGGTTCAATCACGGATATATCGCAGCGCTAATCACGGCAATGGTGAGGGAAAGAAACTAGTTTGCTGCCATCATCAGGGAATATACAACCAACAGTTCAATCTTGTGAACAGCTTGCTGGCCGTCAGATATTGATCTAAGCTGTTATCTCAGAATTTTATTTTTGAGTCAGCTTGATCGGGTGTACATCAGTTTTCATGGACGGAGAGATACAGATGGCAGTGTTATTCAGCTCTGCTTAGTCTGTGCATTTGGACTGCATGCATTCAGGGCTCAGAACACAAAATCACATTATTGGCCCAACGCAATCGCTGTAGGTGCTAAAGGGCCACTTTATTGCTCAGTTGTCATAAGTGCCTGGGCCAGCCTGCTGGGCAAAAGTTACGTCAGCAGCACGATATCTGCGCCCGCAAGAGCGATCCTTGCATACATCTAGCTTCCTATCACCCGGCAGTCAGAAAGCAGCAGCAGCATCTGGCGTGTGACAGTATAAAGCAGCAGCATCTCTACCTGCCATGGACGCAACCAAGCGTGGCTTGGAGGGGGCAGGCCCCAGCGGGCCGCCCCTGAAACGCCGAAATGACAGCGGTGGCGCAGACGACGAGCTTGTGGAAGAGCAATTTGAAGCAGTGCCGGAAAACTTGGAAGACGATGGTGAGGATGTGGATGTGCGCCTGCTGGAAGAGGACCTGGAGCTGCACTTGGGAGAAGCTGGCAGGAACTGGAAGCGGCCTGATCCCCCACCGCGATGCACAGCCACAGACAGCCTTGGTAGGCTGGATCCCTGCCTATCTACCCCTTTGGCACCGTTAATGGATTGATCTCTACCATCAGAAGTGATCATTATTGTACTTTGAGTGCAATGTCAACTGACAAGGAAGATAACATGAAAAGGATGCACAGTATGAACCAATGTACTGACCCAGATAATGGCATGCATGCAGCGTTCCAGCAGCTCGATGTGGACTACTTCATAGGACCTCCAAACCAGCAGCTCTACCGGACAGACCTGTCCGAGGTTCCCATCCTCAGAATGTACGGCGTCACTGAGCACGGTGAGGCTTCCCACCGCCTGTCTCTGTGAACACATCTTCTGACACGGATCCTGTGTGCTCCAGGCCTATTTCTCTCAGGAATTGACCCTGGTAGCTGGCATGGGCTATGCTGCAGACATGTCAAGAAGTTCTGATATTGCTGTACCCTTGGAAGGGCATATATCTCAATGCAGCATGCGGGTGTGGCACAGGGAACAGCGTCTGTACCTATGTGCACGGCTTCGAGCCTTACTTCTACATTGAAGCCCCCAGGAGCTTTGGCCCGGACGACTGCGACAGCCTCTGCGCGCAGCTCAATGTGCGCTTCCACAGAATTTGTGCAATCCCGTTTTCAGCCTTTGCAGTATACAGACCATCATCTCTATGCATGTGCCTATGTATGGGTTATAGCTGACGCAAATCAGTTCAGAGTCACAATGCCCATGGCAGGCACACAGCGTGCAATCCCGAACACACCAGGCGCACACCAGGATTGATGAACACTGCTTGAGAATGTAAATGTTCCTGCAGCGCCATGACAACCTGCAGGCTCTCTGGGAATGCTGATTATTGCCTCAACCCTCAAGTGTCACCAGCATGATGCATATGACTGGCAGGCGCCATTGGACCGCATCCGCATAGAAAGTACTGTGACATGCTCCCATGACATGAGTTGTGAGTGGGGGTTGCGCAGAGGATGCTGGGGGACCGAAACAGCAAGGGGGGCCGGCAGAGTAAGTTCTGCCTGGGCGTGGCCATGGTGCAGAAGCAGACCATCATGCACTACCAGCCCCAGAAGAGCCGCACCTTCCTGCGCATCACTGTAGCCACCCCCAACCTGGTCACCCAGGCCCGAGGTGACCACAGTCTTCAGCTCCAGCCCAAGTCACCCAAAGAATCCTGTCAATCACTGTGGCTTCCTCCATGTCTCATGGGTGTTCGCTCAAACAAATCGCAAGGTCAGACAATGGGCGTACCTAATTTCACACCTTGTGGGTGCTGTTTTTGAGCCCAGAGCTGGAGCTGCTGTTTCTTACAGCACAGTGCTCTTCAAAGTTGGGCAGGAAGATGGTTTTCTTCAAGCGAGACAGATCACTACCTTTGACTTCCTGAAAACTGCATATTTTGTGCAGAAGATAGATCCCATATCAACAGAATTACACTACTGCAGGCATGCTAGAGCACGGCATCAATGTGGACTCCCTGCAGCGCCACATGGCCTTCATGACATATGAGAGCCATGTGCTCTTTGCGCTGCGCTTCATGATCGACTGCGACATTGTGGGAGGCAACTGGGTGGAGCTGAAGGCCGGCGCCTACAGCCTCCTGAACTTGGAGGTGCACACACCCACATTCTCTGTGTTTCACCCCTGTAATCTCATGTGTCTCGCTACTCAAGACCGCATGTGCAATGGCGGACCGCGGCAACAAGTATCCAGATGAAATGAAAGCTACAATGTTGTTCAGCAGAGTAATGAGGTGTGGGGCGGCCTTTCACTGCTTGTTTCACTGCCGTCCTAGGTGTTCCACAGCTGGGAGTTGATGAGTAAATTGAGTACTCTTCTTTATTCAGCATCCGACATGCGCTAGTTAAACTGTTTTCTCTGCTGCTGTGCCCAGGACCCGCGAAAACAGAGCCACTGCCAGCTGGAGGCGCATGTGCACTTCTCCAACATCATCAGCCACCCTGCAGAAGGTGCACTGCCTTCATCAGTTTGGTCGCCACGAATGCCCATTCCTCATTTAAATCTTGCTGCTATCCTTTCTCATGTGGATTTTATTGATGCACTCTGGCACCGTGTGCGCAGGCGACTGGCTGAAGCTGGCCCCCTTCCGCATCCTCAGTGTTGACATTGAGTGCGCTGGGCGCAAGGTGATTCCTCCCTTCAAAGGCTTATTCTTGCGGAAATTCTCAGCTTGCAGTCTTTGAATTTTTATGATTGGAAACCATCGGTTTCAACTGTGATAACTTCTCCTCAATCATGGCCGAATGCCTATAAAGCCATGTCGCCGCTGCTGCCATCCTTGCAATGACAGACAGACCCCTTCCCGGGGTTGAAAACTTACTTGCACAACCAGATACAACCAGATACACATCAGCCATTGGTTAATCATCGTGTCATTATCATCTAGGGCCCTCGCAGAGATGGAGAAATTAATGAACACATGATCGAAAGAATTGCGCTGGACAGACGAGTGGGCTGACCTACCATTAAGGCGATGCATCTGGTTGCTGGCGAAGAATAAGGATATCTGCTTGGTTGTGCATCCGTAACTGCTGGTGTCGTCGTGACATCATCATGCAGAAGCTTCACGGAGACACGGATCACAAAAAGCTGATGTCATGCTGTCATCGTGCAGGGACATTTCCCGGAGGCGGAGAAGGACCCGGTCATCCAGATCGCTAGCTTGGTGACGGAGCAGGGGCAGAGCAAGCCGCTCGTGCGCAATGTCATGACTCTGGACACCTGCGCCGCCATCGTGGGCGCTGAGGTCATGTCCTTTGACAAAGAGGAGGACCTGCTCAAGGTGAGCTTGCTTTGATGAGTCATCATCTCCATTCTGACATGAATGATGAGAGGAGAAAAATCCTTACTGACACTTGCGTCTTGGAGGAATTTTGGCTCGAGGTGCATTGGAGCCTAAAACAGGACACACCGGTAGTCCCTGTCCAGCTACCAACTTGAACACGCATGCTTTGCGGACGTCTTTGTTTTTTCTCATCATGCGAACGGCTTCCATATGGCGTCAGGGCACTGGTGTTGAAGAGCGGTATTTCCCATGCATGCAACAGTCTAAATTCCCTTGTTCATACAGCCCCCACGTGCTCTTAGGTTGCAGCAAATGATGCATGGTGGGCTGCGCAGAGGTGGCGGGACCTGGTAATTGAGACGGATCCGGACATAATAATCGGCTACAACATCTGCAATTTCGACCTGCCCTACCTCATCAAGCGCGCCGAGACACTCAAAGTCCACGACTTCCCCTACTGGGGCCGCAACCGCAAAATGTGCGCGCTCGCGCTTCCTGCTTCATTTGTTCTGTGTCTGAGATGCATTGAAAGGCTGGACCTGTGTAAGGCTGTCCCCTCCTGAAGCAGAACGCCGCTGTCATGAGTCACTGGTTTCTTCGTCAGAAGTACGGCATGTATCCGTAACCCCACAGCATGCATATAGGCAGGTGCGTCCTCACTCCCTCGTGACAGTCGTTGCCGAGTTGCATGGAGGCCTTTCTATTGAGCGTCGCCTCTAGCACGCGCAACCAGGCATACATGATATACATGGCTACACAATGCAAGCAATAAACTGTCATGAAATGAAGGCCCTGAAAAGTGTTTGTTGGCCCTAATATATTGCGCCTTGCATGCAGTCATGTGAGCAATATCAGGTCACCACAATCAACTACTTTCCTGCTGCGCAGGCGGCTGCGCATGCGCGACGCGCAGTTCAGCAGCAAGGCCTACGGCACGCGCGAGTACAAGGAGATCACGATCGACGGCCGCATCCAATTCGATCTCTTGGTGGCTTTGCAGCGCGACCACAAGCTGTCATCCTACAGTTTGAACGCCGTCTCTGCGTACTTCCTGGGCGAGCAGAAGGAGGACGTCCACCATTCCATTATCTCGGATCTCCAAGCGGGGAATGAGGAGACTCGCCGCCGCCTTGCCGTCTACTGCCTCAAGGCGCGCTGTGGCCCCACCTGAATTTGCCTCAATGAAAATGGTCTTTATCCTTGTGCTTATTTCTAGTTGGTCCCAACCAAAAACAACAAAGGCGTCAACGAGAGGCTCCAGCGAGACTTGCCTTGACTTCCTGCTTCACAGGTAATGCAATATGCATAGCAGCAAGAGGCGACAGCCTCAAAGGCTCTCATCCTCTTTCATATCTATGTGGGACATGTTTGCTACCACCAATTTTTATGCATGCGGCGCAGAGTTACGCCACTTCTCTTGAGATACCCATGAAGAGTATGCATGTATGGTAGGTATTGACATGGCGGTGACAGATCATTGTGCTGACATGGCGCTGACTCACCGCAACATGCAGGATGCGTACCTGCCGCAGCGGCTGGTGGACAAGCTGATGTACATGTACAACTACATCGAGATGGCGCGCGTCACGGGCGTTCCCATGTCCTTCCTGCTCACGCGCGGCCAGTCCATCAAGGTGTTCAGCCAGATCCTGCGCAAGGCCCGCCAAAAGAATCTGCTCGTGCCCAACCAGCCCCGGGTGCGCCCTCGCCGTTTGTTTCTGGAATTTTGATTATTCTATGGTGGATATATGATCTTGCCAGTACTAGAACAGAAGTGCATGATACCAGCTCTGTGCAAAGCTTGGACACCTGACATGATTGGGCTCCAAGTCTGTGATTTGTGCATGCATTTTGGTGGCCTTCACAACAGCATGCGTGATCTTATATAACCTAAAACCCACAGATGCCATCTGTGGATGCCTATCTGGAGCCTTATTTGCACGATCAGAGATATGTGTAGCCGTCACGAAATTAACATGACATACGGGTCTTGTTTGGGGTGCGCAGATGCAGGGCGCTACCGGGGACGGTGTGGCGTACGAGGGCGCTACAGTGCTGGATGCGAAGCAGGGCTTCTACAAGACGCCCGTGGCCACGCTGGACTTTGCCTCACTGTACCCATCCATCATGATGGCCCACAACCTGTGCTACTCCACCCTGCTGCCGCCCGACCGGTGCGCCCACCTTAGACGGGTGGATTGCTGCTCTTTCTGGGTGGGCACCTGCAGGGCTGAGCTAGTGGCTATGCATCCGTGTCACCTATCAGTAATGATGTCGCTTGATTTCACCAGAAGCCATCTTGTGCCTTGTCAATTGCAGTGTTGGCGAGTCCTGCACAACTTTTCCTGCGCTGCCTGATGGGGCTTTTTCTGTTGTGCACGGGGGCAAACATTGCTGTAATAGGCGGCTCTTTGGGCTACCTGAAGAATGCAGCCATTAGGATATCTTTCTTGCTCAAACAAGCACTGCTTTGTTCAAGCATGAGCTTGGCATTTGCCAGCTTTAAAATACTTTCAGGTAGTCATCGAGACACAAAAGTTCGGAATTGCCAGCACAGAAGTACACAGAATATGTTGAGTGACGTGACAAGGTATTGCGCATGTGGCATCGCAGGGTGAAAGAGCTGTCCCCGGAGGACGTGCTGCGGTGTCCGACGGGCCACTGCTTCGTGCGCGCGGCCCGCGCCAAGGGGATCCTGCCGGAGATTCTGGAAGAGCTGCTGGGCGCCCGCAAGCGAGCCAAGGCCGACCTCAAGGCCGCCTCCGACCCCTTCATGAAAGCCGTGCTTGACGGCCGCCAGCTTGCGCTCAAGGTGCGCACTGGCTGCCCTTCTCTCTTGGTGTTGTAGTGGTAGATATATTAGACGGATCCATAAAGCTCTGCATCGCTCAGCTTTGTCTGGGCATAAGGTTGTAAATAGTGTGCCTTATCAGAACCTTTTGCCCAATGTTGCTGCATGCAGGCAGCTGGATCAAAATGTGCCAATATTACGACCAGCTCCGAGTGTGTTTATTAGCAGGTGCAGCTCAAGAGGTATCTGTCCATAATTGAAGCCATGCGAAGGGCAGCTGCGCCAAGTACACAAGTAATGCTTCATTAGTATTGCTCTGAAATGAGCTCTGTTGATATTGTAGACTGAGATCCGCTGTGCACGCTGCTTGGGGTCAGGTCAGCGCGAACAGTGTCTACGGGTTTACGGGCGCGGTGATCGGCAAGATGCCCTGCCTGGAGATCTCGGCATCTGTCACCGCCTTTGGCCGCAACATGATCGACCACACCAAGTACGCCTCTGTTTTATCCAGAGTCCATCATTCACATGGCGTTGCAAACATTTGCGCAAGCAGCCCCTCTACATTTACCTCATAAGCTTTGATTATTCCTGGTATTGTGCAGAGTGACGCTGTTGCAGAAATTGCCCCAGACTGGAGTGCAGGCATTATTATCTGCCCTTCCCACAAGCTTGCGCCACGAACTTGTGCAAGTTGTTGCTAAAGAAGAATCTTTCCAACTGCCTCCAAGCGGGCTGCTGACTTGAGCTAGCTGAGGTGCTTGCTGGGATAATCATTGTCAATGGATTGCTGCCTCACAAGGCTTTGCGATGCAGATGGCTTGTGGCTGTCACATGCATGCTGAATCAAAATCGAATTTCCCCATATCGGGTACTATTCAAATCTGATTGTGGTGACAGAAGGGGTTGTTTCCATATTCAGATGCACAGATCTCAGTTCACAAATGTGAACACCCGCAGGAAGCTGGTGGAGGAACGGTACCAGCGCAAGAACGGGTACGAGGCAGACTGCGATGTGATCTACGGGGACACGGATTCTGTGATGGTGCACTTCCGGGTCAAGGACATCGGACGCGCAATGGAGCTTGGCCGAGAAGCCGCCGACTTTGTGTCCAAGACCTTTGTCAAGCCCATCAAGCTGGAGTTCGAGAAGGTCCGCACAACATTCCTGACATTTCTCATCATTCAGTGATGCCTGTGAGATTTGCTTGCAAAATATTTTGGGGAGACATGTTCGTATGGAGACCGTGTTAGTTGGTCGTATTCATGTTGCTGCCACATGTGTCCATGCATGCCATGTGTGCTTGCAAGGTACATGAGGCATTTGCGTTGTCAATGTTTTCTTATGCTCCTCTCAGTGCGCAGTGCCATTATCTGGAGCTGTGTCACCATGATGCTCTCACCAGATTTCAATGCATCAAATGGATTAGTAATCATCAGTAATCAGTACCATGAGCACCGTGCCCACAATTGATTGGGTCTTGCTTGGATCTGGCGAGTCCAACAAGGGGTTTGCTTGTGGCAGCCTTTAACTGCAGCTTGTCTGCAGGACGCACCTTGCTTCTGGCAGGAAAAGCGTGTAACAATAATAATAAAATGGATCAGTGGATGCTGAGCAGGTGTACAAGCCGTACCTGCTCATCAACAAGAAGCGCTACGCCGGGCTGCTCTACACCAAACCCGACAAATACGACAAGATGGACACCAAGGTGCAATTGCTGTGCTCTTCACTCCCCGCCTTTCTTCCTTTGTCTCGCATTTTCACAGCACCTTGTGCACTGGATGCCCGCTCCCGGGCAGGCTTCCTGCAGAAAGTTGACTGGCCGCTGCGCTTCCTTCGAGCCTAGCTTGCCAACTGGCTGCTATCCATTCTTGGAGCCGGCATGGCAGATCCAGACGAGTGCCACGTCTGTCCCATCATCAGCACATCAAGCTGACAATAGCTCGCCTTTGAGGCGCATGCTGGTGACAGAACCACTCGATGGGTTACATAACATTGTGCATGATCCTGAATGTGGGCATCCTGAGGCCGGGGACATCACAACGCCTCCAGGCAAACATCCCACTGGCTCACAAGGTACTTGAAATGTAGTAAGATCGGTCAAGTTACAAGGCTCTGGCTGCGCTCAGGGCATAGAGACGGTGCGGCGGGACAACTGCCAGCTGGTGCGCACGGTGGTGTCCACCTGCCTGGAGATGATTCTGATCAACGAGGACGAGGAGGGCGCCAAGGCCTACGTGCGCGCAACCATCTCAGACCTCCTCATGAACCGCCTCGACCTCTCACTGCTTGTGATCACCAAGGCGCGCACCCAATCTGTATAGCATATGTCCCTGGAGGATACCTGTAGTCCCCGTAGTAATTTAGGGGGTGAAACCCTAAGCGCTCCTCGTCATCACCAAGGTATGCACAGAAACCTTGTTTGTTAGCTTGTCACGTGCCCTCATCTCTTGCTGCCAGGCATTGGAAACAGCGGTCACATACTCTCCTTTGCTCCTTTTGGCCAACCTTTTCCTGAGCCTCCACTTCGTCCTCTACAAAAAAATGCATTTAATGGTCCAATGCACGGTGACCTCGCCCTTCAGATTGCTTGTGCTGCATGCTTCTCTGCAAGCGACACCTCAGTGTCTCCTAAGCACCAGCATGCAAGGCCCATGTCAGAGGGTGTACGGGTCGTATTATCAACCCTCCTGCCGCATGCAGGCCTTGGACACATCTTGCTTTGATATGGATGTACCACCCTCTAAGCCTGATCATGCTCGTCTGACCAACAGAGAGCTTATTGCGAGGGAAAGCACCCCTTTGCGAGAAGAGCTCAAAATTGGCTGACGCTGCGATGCGCGCAGGCGCTGAGCCGGGCGGACACGGCGTACGCGGCGAAGCAGGGGCACGTGGAGCTGGCAAAGAAGATGCGCAAACGCGACCCGGCCACGGCCCCAACCGTCGGAGACCGCGTCGCCTACGTCCACATCAAGGTCCTTTTCTGCCAACCCCTCTCTGTGCTGCTGCAGATTATCTTCTCTGGCCTTACGTTAATTTGCATTGGCGACGAGGAGTGATGGTCAGTAGTGGTCTCGAACCACTAGCCTTCTCATTGTGAGCGAGCTGCTCCACCAGTTGAGCTAAACACCCTCTCCTACACGAGCCCTGGAAGAGCAGTCTTGAAGGTGACGCGAAGTGGAGGCGCTCCATGACACTCTTATTATGGAAGACATACACAGGTTATACCAGCGTGCCATTGGCGACAGCTGTGCACACCTTTCATGTCTGGATCTGCTGACCCTAACGGCTCAATCCCCCTGACCCTCGCAGGCGGCCAAGGGAGTCAAAGCGTACGACAAGGCGGAGGACCCGATCTATGCGCTGGAGCACAACCTGCCGATAGACTTCCAGCACTACCTGGACCACCACCTGGAGCAGCCCCTGCAGCGCCTCTTCGGTCCCATGATGAACAACCCCAAGGAACTCATGACCGGTGGGTGAATTCTTTCCCTCTTCATTTGTCTGCAGGAACAGCACGCCTCGTGAATTCAGTTCTCTTGCGCCCATGATGAACAGATCCAAGGGGCGCATGCCCGGACAGCTTGTGTGCTTCCCTTCCTGTTCTTCTCATGTGCACGCACACCACATGAGACAGGGGGACAGAGAGAGAGAGAGAGAGAGAGAGAGCTTTACTATTATGATAGCCCGATAATGGACGATGCACATTGACTCCAAGGAACTCAGGATTAATGGGCTACTTGTCCTTCCCTACTACAGGCACAGCGGGGTTGGTAACCAGCAATGGCATGCTGACTAAAGGCCTGCTGTTGCAGCCTAAGTCTCCGCAAAGTAGTCTGAGGCAAGCGTGGTCATGAGAAGTAGCTGCATGGCCACTTTGTAATGGCATGGACATCGAGATGCCAAGGAGCTCATGTGCAGGGTATTCAAAGATCCATAAGTCCCGATCGTGATGTGCGCATGCTTGATGTCTTTGAGCAGAAGAGCCCCTTTTTTTGGGTCGGAAGTCTGGACATTTCATCCTGAAAGCATGCCTGGGCGGGGGAAGCTTGTCTCGTGCTACCAAGGCAGCAGCCTGCTGGACCATACTTGCATGCATGCGTGTCAGGTGTTGAACTTAGTAAAGATGCAGCTTCGGAGAGGCAGGCGCAGGCACAGCACTCTGCTGGCAAAGCCCATATGGGCCCAGCCGAGTTGCCAGAGAGGACAACTGGGCTAACGCCGATGACGGTTGCCGTCAACGGCGACTCACCGGGCTGTGCGCGCGGCCGGCAGTGCCGCTGCTGGTGATGCAGCCGCTGGCAACTGGGCTAATGGTACTTTAAATGGCTGAGTGCAGGCGCACACACGCGCAGCATAGCGCTGGCAACGCCGAGCACACACTCGGGGGGCATTATGCGATTTGCCAAGGTGCGGCTGAGCTGCCTCTCCTGCCGCACGCCCCTGCTGCCCGGCGTCTCAGACCTCTGCGACCACTGCCGCCCCAAGGTGCAGCCTTGCTTGCTCCAACATTGTCCATATGTGGTCTGATCCATACTGAGGCGCCGAGCGGGCACTGCCACTTATTCAGCACGTTCCCAATTCTTGGGGGCGAATCTTTTGGGAAATGGCTGTCCTGGGCTTCTGCCTCTTTTGCAAGCACCACAACCACTGAAGCTCTCAATCTGATGATGCCTGGATCGTAGAACAGGTGCTCAGACAGCGGCCATCATTTCCACCGTTCGTGCCATCAAAGCAGCTCAATACTTGCTTCAGGATCATCACGAAGAGTCACCAGTATTTCTTGCTTACTGCGACTGAGTGAAGGGCGCTTATCGAACATTGGGGTACTGAATGGGCAGTAAGTCTCATCATCTTTCACGGATGTACAAGATATAATTAAGTACCTAATAAAGACCTCTACTGGGGCGCGCAGGAGGTGGAGATCTACCACAAGTCGCTGGGCGCGGTGAACGAGCTGGAGCAGCAGTTTGCAGCGCTGTGGACTCAGTGCCAGCGATGCCAAGGCAGCTTGCATCAGGTGACTCATATCCTACCACGCCAAATAATCTCCAAATCGTATTAGTCCATGTAATTTCAATAATGCGGCACTAATTGCCATAGCAGCGCCCTGAAGATGCATTTTAGGTTCATTATTTCACACTTCTCCTGCCAGAGGCAAGCTGCGGCTGCAGACAAGCTGCATGTCAAGGCTTTGGAAATCCTACCCCGCATTGGACTTGCCACACCCAAGCAAGACCCAATCAACCGTGGGCACGGTGCTCAGTATTCGTACCGCCCCCCCTCAGTTGATATTGCATTTGTACCTTAAGAATGATGCCATACCTACCCTTGTGTGCCGGTGTTTCTTTGAGGCCTAAAACTTTTTGATGTAACAGGACGTTCTGTGCACCAGCCGCGATTGCCCCATCTTCTACCGTCGCAAGAAGGTCCAGAAAGACTTGGGAGAGGCGCACACCCTGCTGCAGCGATTTCCAGAGTGGTGATTTGCACATCTGCAAATCTCAGCAGGAATGCCGGCGAATCTGCACCTTTCAAGGCCGCACGAAGGTGCAGAGACTTATGAGAGCCGCCCGCGCCCTGCTGCAAGGATTCCCTGAGTTGTCATTTGCGCCAGCAAGGATTTGGGCGAAACGGCAGCCCCTGATTGCGCACCTGCGCTTGACAAGCTATGGGTGCATTGTCCGCACGCTAGCGTTTGAGAGTGGGAGTTTCAAACCAGTCGGAACGGATTCTGAACAATATATCATATTGATGGATGTCATGCATTGACATGACATTTTTTAGGGACCAAAGTAAGATTACTGTCGTGGCCAAACATAATGGAGGGTGCAGATCTCTAAAGCAGGAAACAATTCGTCAGTTGATCAATTCAAATAGGTTGCTTTGTAGAAGTCTGCAGCTGTCATTGACTTGTCATGGCCCAGGAAAAGGCCATGCACTCCACTGTAATTAATATTACTCTAGTGTGGGTCTAAGCTGTACGCATCCAAAGCTTGTGCATATGGCAGGCCGGTTACAGCATGCATTACATTCCATAGCTGCTTGCCACCTCACAAGCAGCCAAGATTTAGTTTCCAAGATAGATGCTATGCACTATCCACCGCTGTGTTGATATTGATAGACACCCCACGCTCGGCAGCATCAGAGCAGGTAAACCCGCTGCAGGTAGAATTCCAACTCCTCGTCGATCGCCGCCTGCACGGCATGTGCCGGCACATGCGCGCGTTTCGGCAGAGTGCTGCGCGGCATGGCCGGCTTGCCCTGCTTCTTGAACGGCGGCGCAGACGCTCGCTCAAGCGCCTTCTTGATGCGCACCTCGGCCTCGGCCCTTTCTTTCCTAGCCTTCTCCTCACGGGCAACCTGGTCGACGGTGTGCACAAGCGCTTCAGATATGAATTTCATCAAATTGTATCAGAAAACCATCATGTATGATACCTTGTTGAATGCTAGCATCCAATATGCAGGTACAGGAGGTCCACCTTACCCCAGCAGCGAGCAAGTGAGTCTTGCCAGAGCTCTTCTGGAATCCCAAGCATGCCTAATTTACTCTGATCAACTTGCATTGAACATGATGGCAGGGCTCGGTTACTGGACACTCGCATGTATCACCAACATGTTTTACAAATGTAGAAAGCACACCCGTCGCCTCTCCTGTTCGCGTGCTCGCTCCGTGGCATGCACGGCTTCGGGCGGCTGCAGCGCAGCTGCCGCTATGGTGTCCTCCAAGCGCGCCTCGATCGCTGTCAGCATTGCCGGCAGGCTCATCTGGTGACCATATCACAAGCATGCTTTCAGCTCTGGAAATCATCACACAAGCATGAACTCAGCTCGCACATTTCTGACAAGTGTAACCAAGCTTGTGCTGTTTAGCACATAGCCGGAACAATCTGGCATGTCTGTGTTGCAACAACAATCCAGGCACGAGCCATCCTGCAAGTTTGCAAAATGAAAGGTGATGATGTCAAAAAGGGAAGTGACCACCTGGGTGTAGGAAGTGTGGGTGTCTGCCTCCCCGCCACAGCGGGCCCAAACCCGCCTTATTTTGGCCGCCAGCTGCTCCAATGGGACAGCACTCGTAGATGCTGCCTGCACAAGCCGGCCACCCGTCTGCGCTGCAGCCTCCTACGCAGAGAATCGCACTTGTGGGTGGTCTCCCATTTGTTTGGGTGTCACTGTCATTCGCATGAGCTGTGAGTGTGAGAAATCTGCCAAGGTGCCATCTGTGCTGCAGAAAATGCCCAGCAAAGGTTGTTTTGCTATACGCAAACCTTCACACCTCGTCTGGGCACGTGTTAGCATGCCATAAGATAAGAATTTGAACCCTCTTGTGCCAGAATCATGCACAACTTTGGTAAAAGGAAAGTTGAAGGATTCAGCACCTTGAGCGCCTTGCAGTGCTGCCTCCGTTTGGCCAGCGCTGCCTCCAGAGCCTCGGCCTGCTGCACCAGAGCGGCCGCCTCCGCATCCATCTGCCAACAACCCACCATCAGTGTTAGCAATGTTCTGCTGCCACTGCCGCCGTTTCAAGTCCAACTTTGTTCCTTTGATGTACCTCTGCCGTTATGCTGAGGCTCTTGCTAGCAGCAGGAGGAGCTGGAAACTGTACAAAGCATGCTCCAAAACCTTATATGGGAGGGACAGATTATTGAGGTAAATGGGACCTGCGCGATTGAGTGGTTGAGTTTGGCGGTGGCGGCCTCGGCGGCTTCTTCGGCCTCCTGTGCGGTCTGGATGAGGAAGAGGTTGTTCTCCTCCAGGTGGCTGAATATGTGCCTCAGCTGCCGCGGATCCTGTGCCACGTCAGCAGCTTCCTTTAGTCAGTCAATATCCTTGTGTCTATCATCTTTCTAAACAAATTTACAGGAAGTTTCCCGGATTGGCCCGAGCGGCAAAGAGGCCAGCAGATGTCTCATGACTGATCGTGGCATCCTCCCTCAAGAGCAACTCAATTCTGATGTCCTGTACGATACTTGTTCAACACCGTTCGTGTAACCCGGAATTGAACCGAAAGGAAAAATTACCAAACCTGCCAATTCTTTCTTCTCAGCTGCAAGTTTATTGCTGAATGAGGGTGCTCTGACCTGGAAGTGCATGGGCTCGGCCATGCGGCGCTCCCAGGCATCCTCTTCCGTCGGCTTGATGGGCGGCAGCGGCTGCGGCACCTGCAGCGCTTGCTTGAGCTCGTCAGACGCCGTTTTGCCGTCGCGCTCGGCCGCCTCGGCCTGCTGCTGCGTCCGCGCGTTGGCGTACCTTTCCTCAGCCGCCTGATCAGGCGCCGCATGCATGACACACCTTGGTACGCATTTCTTGATGCATGCCCCATTTCTTATACCAGAACTGACCATTATTTGTGCAAGTGAGTGTGCAAGGTGCATGTTGTTGTGCCGTGCTACGGTCGGTGCAGTATTGGCAGACATGTTGAGCAGGCACAGGGTTCACAGCAAGTCTGGGACCCCTAATTTGTGTTACCTCTTTGGAGAAAATCAGTTATTGATGTACTCTAGAGAAAATGATCAGGTGTTTGGGTAAGTGTGGAGCATAGCATGGCGCACTTGTTTTGCCGCCTTTGCAGCCGAGACAGCGTCCGTGATGGCCTGGCACTTCGTATTCCAGGCGTCCAGTTTTCCCTGCAACAACAATCATGCATCAGCACTTTCTTAACCAGCCTATCCTGATCTCATCTTGCAACTTCTGTGGTCCTTGCTCCTCTGAACGGCTGCTAAGTCTGATTCTCCTCACCGTAGACGAGTCAAGACAGTCGAGCAGAAGAAGCACTCAGCTATGATATGCAGGATTTGCATGCAAGGCAGAGGCCTTGTATGTGCGCACCTGCCACTCGGCTTCATGGCGTGTGTTTTGCGCTGCAAACCACTCGGGCGGTGTGATGGAGTCCAGAAAGGTGGCATACCTTGCAACACAAAGTATCAATCGTTCAAAATTTGAGCTTTAAATGCAGACTGTAGGAACCAGATATACCGCTCCATGCTGTCACTTGGTTCTCGATCAAGGGGAATATCTCCTGAAAGAACTCTTGAGAACTGGAGAAGCAGCTGTTTGGTATGGTGACATACTTTTTGCATTCGTCGGTCTGCTCCTGTGCTTTGCGCAGCTCGCTCTGTGCGGCCGCCAACGCATTGTTCAGCTTCTTGAGCTCGGTCGCCTGTGCGCACACACCGTGCCTCGTCATGCTTCACCCGACAAGGCCAAGACACCATCTCTCATTGTTACTCGCACTGGATGCAACCGCATGCTGACTAGAGCGACCCCAGCATGACCAGAATGTGCAATTGTGGCCTGGCCTGGTGACAAATTTCAGTGCATGCAGGCCTGATCTCTTCACAATGGATTCTCCAAAAAAAGGCCAATCTCCTTCACGGGCAGAGGCTCGCATGCTGATTGCATAGCACTGTTATCATGGTCATTACAAGGTTTTCCTTGCCAGAAGCAAGGTGCGTCTGCAGACAAGCTGCAGTAAAGGCTGCCAAAATCCTACCACTTGATGGACTGCCAGATCCAAGCAAGACCCAATCAACCGTGGGCACGGTGCTCAGTACTTATACCGCCCCCCGCCAGCCGGGGCATAGCACTATGGATGTCCAATATCAAAGATTGCAGCAAAAGTAGAGATGAATTGCTGCGCACCTTTTCCTGCTTGAGCCGCATTTCGGCGTCTGCTTTGCGCATCGCCTGCTGCACCTTCTCGTCGGATTCTTTGAGGAAGAGGTCGAAGGCAAGGCCGTCCTCCGCCAGCGTTCCCTCCGCCTGACTCAGCGCAGCTTCATACTGCGCCAGCATATTTCAAGCCATCAGAGGTGCTACAACTGCTGCTGCACTTCTAGAGCGCTTCAGGGCGCATGAATCAAAATTTCAGTTGTTGATGGAAGCACGAGCGAGAAATGCAAGAAACGAGAAGAGTGGTAAGCAATAATGCAGGTCCTTGACGTACCTGGTCCGTAGGACTGGAAAATGTGTAAACATTATAACACAATGGAAGCAAGGAGGGTGAGAGACATGAGACGTGCAGAAGCACCGAGCCCCAGCGCAAGGGCAGAAGATTATCTGGGAAACTTACTGGACATGCCAAGAGAAGACTGAGTAGTGGCAATGGCAGTACAGCATGATTACTGATCTGCTCATTTGAGAGAAATCCACAGATCATAGTGTGCCTGATTATAGGCAGGTTTCGCAACCTAGCAAAGCATGACAAAAGCAACAGAGCAAGCAGAATGTGGGGGCAGTGCATAAAACGCCAGCAAGCGAGCGGGAAAGTCTGGCGTGCCTGGCGGGCGCGATCGCCGAGGCGGCGCATCTCGGCGGAGCGGATGTCGAGCGCCATTTGAACGAGGAAGATCTCTCGCTTCTTGGCGATGAGTCGCGCCATGTTGTCCAGCTCAGCGCGCCGCGCCTGCTGCGGCCGTGCCGCCGCCACCTGCGCCAGGCCCCTGCGCACATGTGCGCACATGGGATCTTTGTCACATGCAGCCTAAGCACACTCTTGCGCACATGCTGGCACATGGCCTATCCACTTGCCTGCATGCAAGGCCGTGAGAGGAGCTCATCTGGCATATGGAGGAGCCAAATAAGTTGCATAAGGAGACTATCTCATGTCCACTCATGACCTCATTAGATTTAGGATCGTAGTCACGCACACATGCTGGCACATGGGCTCTCCATCACATGGAGCTAGAGCGTGATTCCTGCACACAGTCTGGGAGATACTTGTACACCCGTGCAAGGTGTCCAGCAGACATGCAAACACCTTCGTTCTCTCCTTGACAATCCATGTTGACAGGAGCACAGCGTGATTGCGTAATAGTGTGTGCTTATGGGCCGCCGACAGATTCTGCGCGCACCCGGAGGGCTGTTTGCGGGTGAAGCGGCGCGGGTTGAGCTGGCCAGGTGCCAGAGCGCGGCAGCTCTGCATCTCACACGACAGTGTGCTCTTCTCAGCTACTGGCAGCGCCCTCTGCGCCTGCGCATGCTCCCTGCACATCACTCAATTATATAAGCCCCTGAAGACTCTACATACCTCCTGCATGAGGGGAGATGAATTGATCCCATGCAAATTTGTCCGCTGATTGCACGCACATGATGGCCTTGCTCTGTGGAGGTGCACCATCAAATGGCATTTTGAGAAGCATGCCGTGCTAGCATGTCTGCCAGGTGATGGCCAGTTGCAAGGGCAAACTTAATGGTGATTGCTGGCTGGGAATGGGGCATGCCTGCGCGCGCGGTTCTCTTTGTCGCCGGCTGCAAACAGCGCCTCATCGTCCAACAGCACAAAGGGATTGGCCTCCTCTGTTGGTGACCCACCCAGAGCGCCTGACGGCCTATCCATGTCAGGCAAACATCATTTTGCTGTCCGGAAAAGGGGACTGTACAAACTTCTTATCATGCTTAATGGCCCCTAAGTGTTAAGCTCAGGCAGTATGCTTTGAATATTTGAAGCAGTGCAACATTTCTTCCTCAGTCCTCCTTCTTGTGGCAGTGTCTTACATTTCCATTTGCCCTTTGGAGCCTTCTGCTGCCTATTCTTCGATGTCCTGTTGCGACGTACTACTACTTGGTGCGAAGCTCGCAGCCCATCTTCCTAGGATATATTGCCACCGTCCCACCACCGTCCCAGGGTGCCATGCATCCGCTGCTTGACCCATCATTTCTTGTAAGTACTTTGGACTCTCGGTAAAAGTCTCACTGCTGCTGTCACAGTTGCACCACCCGTTGATTGGCACGACTGTTCAGGGGTCTTGTTCTGATACGTGCGGTTATTCGCATAAGAAACGTCGTGAGCCAGAGCTTTAAGAACTTCCGTTCCTGCATCATGCTGCAAGAGACGATGACTGTCGTCTTTAATCACGCCAGCCTTGTGGTACGAAGCTCGCCAGCTCACGTGCGAACCTTGGACCCCGTGTTCCATTTTTAGAAAGTTGTGCGATGACAGGCTTCTTCACACTTTGATGGCTAATTTGACTAAAATGATCGATTTCATCTCTTTTAGACTCATCAAGAGCTGCAGCACCCTTCAACGATATTGCGCTGCATTCGTTGATATGAGCATCTTGCGTGGCTAGACGGTTGTATTTGTTCTGTAAAGCGGGCTGACGGTTTCAAATTCATCAAATTTAGACATTGATAACAATGGTAAGGCACTTCTTCAGCGTAAATGATGCACTGAGATATTTCCTTAGACTAAGTGAAACATCATAAAAAGCAATTGATTGATTCCTTTCGCACCTAAATTTCTTTAACTGCTATGATTTCCGCGATGCGATTTCCTTCTGCGATTCAAAGATGCACGATTTCCTTCTGTTTGCAGCGTGGAGCACTTCAGACCATCAGTCTAGCTAGGGGTGAGTGTCAACCTTCCTTCATCCAGTCTTATAACGTACGCAGTCATGAGATCATGATATGGGAAACAAGTGGCCCGAGAAATGATTGCGACTCAATTGTTTACAGGCTGAGAACTTCATTTCCCATCTAGCAGGATTGTGACCATTGAATATTTTGCTGCTGCAGTGCAGCAGGAGAGGGAGGCCAAGAGGAGGCAGCAGGAAATATTCAAGGCAGACATAGTCAGGTGACCGTCCTCAGATAATCATACAATCTCCGCATGCACACCGCACAATGTGTTGCTGGGAGCATGTTGGCATTACTAGTACAGCAGTCGGTTGGCCGATGTGAGCTTCTCATTCTAATTCATGGCTGCATCCTTGCCAGAAAATTGCATGATAGTAAGGTGCAATCCTTCAATGCCCGATTCTGACACGGTAACACACATCTTTTGCATTTGCTGTAGCTACTATGGAGTCCAGAAATCCATGCACGCTGCCAGCTGCGCAGCAGAGCGCAGCGCAGGAAGAAGTCAAAACTTGGAGACAAGGAGAATACAGCAGGAAGAGCTGGCTGCAGCTGTTGCCCAGCAGGCAAGACTCTATTGATCGTGTAACAATAAAACCGCCATCCCATCCCTGCACAACTGAGACAGCCATAAACAAGAGAAACCCACACCTCTCAAGCTTGTCTACCGATGAGGGAACTGCATGCCTTGACATAGCTCCACAACGATTTCTCCCAAGTCTTTTAGCGAGTCTGCAGCAGGCATTGATGAGTCTCATGTCAAGACAGATCCCTCAGCACGTGTATTGCAAAAGACGCCAGCATCGGAAAAATTTCCCCCTTCACTGCAGGCTGAGATGGCCAGGGACGCGCAGCGAGTGCAGATGCAGCAGCGGGAGGAAGCTGCAAAGGCAGTCGAGGCAGCTGCACTGGCCGACCTGTCAAAGCAACGCCAAGTTCAGGTTGGTGTCCTGACATCTCTTTGACTGCACTGCAAGCACAATGCATTCTTCATAACCTAGCACAACCTATGGTTTTTCTCACATATGGCACAGATCTATTGCAGAATTAGGACATAGCCAGAGGAATTACCCATTCTCTGCCGTGAAAATTTACCATGCCTGAACGACGTTAGCGACAACTGCACTCATTGGACAAACTTGCTTTCTTTTGCAGTACTCCCGTGAGATGGGAATGTGTGTTGTGCACAGGCAGTGAGGGAGCAGAGCGAGGATCTGAGGCTGCTGCGGTCGGCAGTGGACGAAGCCAAAGCTGCCATGCAGCGCCGGCAACAGGAGAGAGACCAGCAGCTGCTCAAGGTGCTGCAGCTGCTCTTTTGAGAATTTGTATTTTGTATATACACTGGCAGCAAGGCATTTTCTGCTTGTTCTTGGAGAATTGCAAGAGGCTGTCCTGAGAAGAACCTACTGGGGCCCCTTCTACATTTATATTGGACCAGTACTATAGCTCTATGGCTACCTTATACAGCTAAGGCAAGACCTGGTTTTGACATGGAGCTCCACATATGTCATGGGAGTTTTGAGCAGGAGTCTTGAGGTAATGTCTCAGGGAGTCCTGAATATAGACCACTAGGGGCTCTGACGCTTCCACAACGGGCCAGTCCTGCCTTCCAGCAAGGCAAGAACTGCCCCTACAGATGAGCGCCACAGACTTTTAGCTTTTAAGCAGGTGTCTTGTGGCTTTGATGACAGGCGGAGGAGAAGGGGTACAGCTTGGCTCTGGACAGTCTCATGGAGGCAGAGAGGCAGGAGGCTCTGGAAGCAGAGAAGGCTGAGGAGCACAGCCGCAAGAGCAAGGGCGCCCACTCGCTGCAGGCGCTGCAGCAGCAGATGGCAGAAAAGGCTGCCGAGCTGGCAGCAAGCCAGGTAGGATCCTGAGGACCACACAATCAAGCATTCGACTTCTATATCATAGCATTCTCACAACCACTGTTTTCCTGCCAGCTGGTGATCAGAGGCCCAATGCTAATATCTCCTCACACATGCTTCATCCATACTTGACAGACAACTATGCATCCTTCATGAGAGCATCTTGGGAAGGTCATGCCGCCATGAGGCTGTCGTGCATACGCCCCCACTAAGTGGCAAGATGACATGAACTTTGGCTTACATTGGATACCCTTTTTTCATTATCAGCGCATTACTTGTACAGACTAGGACATTCCTGCTGCACTGCAGGCCCAGGTGGACAGGGAGAAGGCGATGATAGACGCCATAGTGGCGCGAATAGATGCCGAGGATGCCGCTGCGGCCAATCGCAAGCGCGGGAAACAAGCGGCGCTGTCTCAATCGCTGCAGGAGCAGCAGCGCCTGCGAGCCTCTCTGCAGGCAGAGGCAAAGGAGGCGGAGGCAGATGAAGACAAGAGGTGTCTCGTTGCTCTTTACACATTCTGCATGCTGCATGCTCGTACTTGACACTCTGTAGCGTCAATACAGGTCTAAAGATACTTGTAAGACAGGGCAATAAACATACTCTGAGTTTGGACACTTTCCGCATGCTCTGCATCGGTTGGTCTGTCATCTTGTCTTTCTCTGCCACGGTAGACAGCGCTGAAGCCTTCGATTGAATTTGGAAAGATCTGCCTGGTATGGAATGCAGGAGACAGGAGTACCTGGAGGCAAAGCAGACGCTCGAGAACCAGCAGGCTGCCAGCAAGGCAGCCAAGAAGGAGCGCGCTGACTGGTGCGCCACGCCAGACTTCACACCCGCTGCATGCAAATTTTATATTTGCTGAAGTTGCCTCAGAGTAGTGTCTCTCATCAACAAAGGAGTGTATAGCAGAACTTGGAGATTGCGGAGGCAAGTGTTGCAGAACACTCTGATGGACATTGGAAATTCTGCTTGGCTTTATCTTTCTGAGACAACAGGAACTATTGAAGTCTATGACAATATCTGCACTAGGTACCAATTACTGGTCAGACTTGTGTGATGTGTACACGAGCTCATATGCATAATTATCTTGGTAAAGCTCTGGGAGCGAGACAGCGAGGCGGAATGACTGGTGCAGGGCGTATGATCAGCTGAAGCAGCAGAAGGAGGAGGAAGCGCGGAGGCGCGAGAAAGAGGAGGATCTTATAAATCTGCTGCGCGCCGAGGAGGAGGCCGAGCGCGATCGGCGCGCGGCCGACACTGCCCGAGCCCGGCAAGAAAAGCTGCGCGCTGAAATGCTGGCCGCCAACCAGGCGATGCTGCGGCTTAAGGTCTGGCCCTCCCTGCTCTTGCTTCACTTGGGAATCTCTGCGGACTACACTGTAAATCATAGCTTTGACTTGAGCTATGTATAGACCAACCAACCTTGACGCTTGAAATATAGCATATAAATTGCAACGCAGGGAGAGGGTGCACACCGGAAGGCAAGAGCCCTGCATTTGTATGAGAGCTACTTTCTAGTCGCATAACAAGGGCAGCGCTGTTCGTTGCAGCTTGCCTACACGCGTTTGCCATTGTGTCGCTCTTGGCTAACAACCCGCAAAACCTTGTGACACAATCACAGTTGCATTGATGAGTCAACCTGCATGTTGCCGTGCAGGAGGAGCGGGCAGCGCAAGCAAAGCAGGAGGAGCAGAGGCTGCGGCAGGAGATGCTGGCTGACATGGCGGCTCAGGAGCGGCTGGAGCAGATGAGCGCGCAGAGGGCACGGCTGCGCAGAGCCGAGCATGCGCGCGCGGTCGATCGGCTGCTGCAGCAGAAGCGCGCCACCGAGGATGCCGCGCAGGTAATCAACCTTTTTCTTTGTCACCAGTGATCATGTGAAGATTGTGCTTTTTCTTCTGTGCAAGAAGAGCAGACAGCTTGTGCTGCCGAGAAGGCTACACAGGAATTAAGGCCCTTTTTGTCGCCAGAGGACTTGTTATTTTCTTGTGTGCAAGAAGATCACTGCAGGCTGATAGTGTGGTCGAGGCTAGCGGGCACTCTTTACCAGACGTGGGTGAGAGAAGAGCGATACTCAATTGGTCAGTGATATGTTGAGCACATTGCATACAAGCACCACTCCTCAGAGTCGCCGATTATAAATTGAGATGTCATCATTGAGCAGATTTCAGAATTGACACCCAAGAAAAACTTTCAAAGAAAGGCCACAATATGACAGACACTCCACTGAAAACCTTCCTGTTCCGTGCAGGCCAAGGAGCTCGCGGCTGAAGCGGCAAAGGAAGCGATGGAGCAGAAACGCTCGGCAATTCTGCAAGAGGAGCGCATGAAGCTGCTGAGGGAGGCGGCGGCTGTGCGCCAGTGCCTGCCACCTGGCACGCTGACGGCCGATGACGTGGCGCTGATGCGACAGGCGAATCTTCTGTGACATGCTGTACGCGGGACACCTGTGAAGAGTATCTTGGTGCTCTCACACTAGGTAGTTGTACCGTCAAGAATCCGTTCTGTGGGTTAAAAATGGGCTGTACTGAGTATCGAGAAGTGCTTCAAGGGGATCCTTTACTGTCGCGTGCTATGCATGCATTGCGGCATTGTTCATCAGGATGTGAAAGTGGTTTCGGTATTCAAGTAGCAAGACACTTTGCATGCATGGGTTCTCTGTAGGGAACCCTAAACCCTAAACCCTAAACCCTTAAAAAAAAACCCCCCATTTTATAGGAAGCCCGTTTACTTGAAACAGATTAACGACAAGGCAGGCTTCAATTTCAAACGCAACTCAGCATCCCCGTAGTGCTCTCTTTGCGTGGTGCATCTCTGGTCGACCCAAGTGAGGCAAACGGAATGGCAGAGCCTCTCAAATAACGCATCTAGAAGACACACACTGGACACTCAACAATTCTCTCCTTGATAGAATGCAAGACAAATGCAGACCAAAGCTTACTCTAGTGCTTATTTGCTTACCACATGATGATACTGGAAGAGAGTCAGTTGCAGCACCCAAATTTAGGACAGTCAGGTGTTCTGCAGCGCCATTCAACCCAGCAGGTTCTTTCATACTTTCAATCAGCATTTGTCGGAGTCAAAGAGCGCTGATTAATGAGTTTCTGGTCCATCGAGCACATGAGCTGACACCTCTGCAACAGACCGCCACCCTCAAGATGCACAGTTGCTCACAGACAGCACCTGCGCTTCTGGCGGGGAACAAAACTGCTGCTACGGTTCTGTCCCACAGGGTTGTCTACCTACGCAACACCTCTGCACCTAGCCCTCCTGTTGAGCAAAGTGAGCGCCTCACTGCATCTGCATTTTAGCGGGATAATATGGCCCTAGTGGCCTCTCGCACAGGCTCATTTCCCCATGCAGCAGCACATCTGCAGGTAGCACTTGCCAGACAGGTGTACGACCCTGCACCCAAGCTCGGTCTTGCTGTGAAGTGGGCACACTCAGGCTGCCTCTGCAATTTGGCGGGACAAACTGCCGCTGCTGCTATCTTCCACAAGCTTATCCGCCCACCAGAGACCTTGCGTGGAGCATAGCTCACGCATGTTGGAGCGCTCAGGCCCTGGCAGAGTGCATCTGCACATTGATCCTCTTCATGAGCACACCCCAGGCACAGAAGCACGCTCACGCGCCGACAGATTGCATCTGCGGCTGGCCCGGCGGCGGCGGCTGCGCCTGCTGCTGCTGCTCGGCGGCCTTGTGGGGCCCCATGCAGGACTGGGCGACCGACTCGAAGAGGCGCTCGATCTCGGCGTCGCAGTGGGTGAAGGAGAGGGACCAGAAGTTGTAGCGCGGGTTCTTGATCAGCTCGATGAAGGTGATGAGCAGGCCCCAGGGGTGCGGCCGATTCACTATCAGCCGCTCCAGCAGCACGCGCGTTATCTGCTCCTGCACTATCTCCTGCAGTGCGCACACACACACCGCTTGGTCACTCGAGTACTGAATCGCCAGCAATTGGATCAACCTATATAAGTAGAGCTCGGCCAGGGCCCATTTGGCTTGCATGCAACAAACAGCCCAGCCCAAGATGCTGGATAAGAAAGCGGGTGTTAGTACAGCACGTGCTGGCTGCAAAAAGTTGACATGACGCAGCATGGCACCTCACTGCCTGAAAGGAATTCCAATTTCAGCTGACAAATTGAGTATCTACCCATCCATGCGCCATGCCTGCATCCGCAGTCTGTCTGCCAAACAGGCATGGCGCATGGGTGATGTCGAACTCAATCTGCCGCAGTGCAATAGCCCACTTCCCACCCAGAATTCGGTATAACAGAGCCACACAACAGGCAGCGCACCTGCTGGGCCTCGGAGAAGAGGAAGAGGAGGACGCAGGAGAAGTAGTGGGTGTGGGAGTTGGGGAAGCGCAGCTGGTTGGCCAGCGCATTCAGGAAGAGGTACCGCCCCTCCGTGTCCAGATCACCCGCCAGCCGCTGGAACACATCCACCGCCGGCGCATGCATCACGGGCTGAGCGCCCTTCAGCGCCTCCGTCGCCTGACCACACCAGATGGGCACAATTATTGTTTCCATGTGAAAACTCTGGAAGCAGTCTTCCACAAGGATTGTTCTGGTGGACCAATCATGAACAATTTGTCTGAACAGAGGAAGTTTGCCCATAAAGGGAGCTGGTAAGTATATTGACATTCACATGCAGCACTATAGTAGAGCCCGAGCTGCATTTAACAGAGATGCAACCTTGAGCTGCATTGGGAGTATCACGCAAAACAAACCAAGCAAACACACCACCTTACAGGGATAGCTTTTTACTTCTTCCTTTGCCATGTGACACCAATAAAGCCACAGTTGGTCTTTTCTTGCCTCTTTCTCGCCAATAATTACACATAGGCTTGCGCTTTCTTGAAAAAGCATGTGGCGCTCACCCGGATGCCGACGTAGAAGACGAGGGCGTTGAGCAGGGGTTGGCTGTACTTGGTACCGCACAGGATGGTCTCGTGCTGGGGCAGCAGCAGCCGCTGCTTCAGGCTGGCCAGGAAGCTGGCCGGCTGCCGCGACGCCATGTAGGCGTCCACCTCAGCGCGCAGCCCCGCCGGCAGCAGCGCCGCAGCTTCCGGCCGGTAGCTAGGCGCCACCGTGATCTCCGACAGCAGGTCCACCTGTCACCGGTCATAGCACGTGTAAGAATAAATGTTTCTCATTTTGGCATGCATGCATTTGCTCCTGCAGAGCAGACACGAGCCTTGTTGGGCTGCCCAGCAGCACACAGCGGCACTGCCACGATAGAACATTTCACAAACGCTGCCTCTGCAGAGCCGTCAGTTGCTGCCTCAATCAACAAATGCCCGTTGGATCACACAGCAAAACTGGCGCTCTTCAGAGGCATTGACGGACTCTCCGAAGTAGACAGGGTCGTGCTAGAACCGAGGTCGTCTGTGATAAATGGTTGACTGAAAAACCCATCAGCCATTGCTGGTTGTCGCTCTTCCCCAGCGGAGATTGTCTGTGACTTGTGGGTATGGACTTAATGAAGTGCATTGGTCAGTGCCACTCTCACTGGAACGCAACGACGACCAGCTGTAGCTAAGCTCTGTGATTTTCACAGCAAAATGCATCCTGAACATTACTCAATCCAATCCCATTGAAGATGCCAGCTTTGGCTGATGTGGACTCGCCTTGTCAGAAGAGGCTCCACTGCGTGATTGTCGTGGACGACAGCAAAAACCCAGAAAGTCAGTAAAACGAAATAAAAATATGCTGGGGAGAAAGAGCGCACCTTGAGGTTGGGGGTGAATGGGTCGGGCAGGCGCATGTTGCGGGGGAAGGCTGAGAGGATGAGGTTGCGCATCTGGATGCACGAGGGCGGCACCACGTTGCACAGCTCAAAGTGGTACTCGCACAGGAACTCCGGAAAGTCGTGCAGGAGAACCAGCAGCACGCGCAGCGTCCCCTGTCATTGGCACAGCTTGCAGTGTCAATGATCTTCTGATCCAGATCAAGTCTTGTTTGAATTTAGATGGCCTCTGCAAGAGTTGCAGCACAGCACAGTGTGCAAGAGGAAGCGACAATAAAGGAGGACAGGCTTGAAGAAGTTGACGGGGCTCTTAGACACACGAGAGATGCCAGCCTGTAATCTCCTGCCATCTGCCAACCATACCAGCAATTATTGAGACCCTCCCCAGCATCTGGATGGTGCAGACTCGTCAGCAGAATGCGAGTACAGGCGGAAGATGCTCAACATGAGGTCCACAGAAGGAAGGGGCTACATAAAGCACCTTGTAGAGGTTGCGGATGGCGTCGGTGAGGTCGGCGTTGCGCAGGTAGGGCTCCAGGAATCGCAGCAGCGCCACCAGCAGCCGCTCCAGATGGGGCCATCCAGCCTGACCGCCAGCCAGCACCAGCTTGGGCATCAGATGCCTGCGCGCCACAACAATTATAAGCATAACCATATTTTGAGCCACGGGAAGGTGGCTTTGAGGATGCCGCAGCCCTGGGGACAAGCTTGTCACCAGCATTGACAGAGAAGATCACAGCACACAAGCTACAACCTTCGCAGCCTTCTGTAAAGACCACAGCACACAAGCTACAAGCTCCACAGCCTTCTGTGACCCATTGCAAGTAGTTCAAGCAGGGTTCCACGAACATAATGCAACGTGGATGCAGTACTGCACGGCCGGTGATCACGGCGAGCATCTGCGATTCATCACAATGACATGTGGCAGGACATTATAGCAGTGATGTCAACGTCACACCGAACAGTGATACGAAGCACAGGTCTCCACGATGTGATCAGCATCTCTACAATGCAGCTGCTGATCACCAGGCACAGTGCCTGAGCCAAGGCACCAGAGTTCGGCGTCACCTTGGCACCACCCAAAATTTGGCTGACCCTCTTTTTTGGAGAGAACGAGTCAAGGAGGGGCCATGCCTGTGCGAGATGAGCTCCAGCCACTGGAAGGCGAAGCCCGGTACGCGCACGGGCTGCACGCCCTCCAGGGTGACTGCAATTGCGGCCAGCATCTTCATGGCAGGCAGCTCCTCCGGCGCGGCCGGCTCGGCGGGCGACAGCTCGCAGACGAGGCCGAGCAGGATGCGGAAGTAGGGGCGCCCGTTGAAGGCGTCCCCTCTCGCCGTCGCCTCCCGCTGCAGGCAGCCGGCTACCACCCCCAGCACTCGGCTCAGCAGGTCCAGTCCCCCGCTGTGCGCTGTCGCACACACCATAACCTCAGTCACAAACTATCATGCGCTACTGCCCCAACTCTACGAAACCCTGCAGGTAGCATGAACATTTGTGTTTGTTGCAGCCCAGAAGAGCTTATTGAGCGGTGGAATATTTAAATTCGTGAAATTTGTCCCCGGGCCCAGGGTTTACGGCTCATTTTGCCTAGACAAGTCCAGGCAAAACAGAGATGCGCTGGAACTGATTCACTATGTGCTGTGATAAAAATGCAAAAAATTCAACCAGAAAGGGCCCAGTCGAACTGATTCTGTGTTACACAAAGAGCAGCCCATTGAGGCCCTTCATGGCTGAGTCTGCTGCACTTGCCAGAGACACCGCACGTGACGTGGACTAGCAGGGGACGAAAGGGACAGGGAGATGTACCGATGACAAGGGTGACGACGAGGCGCGCGAGGGCGTCGGTGGCCATGAAGGAGACGGCGCCCGGGGCGCCCGGTGCGCCGCCGCTCTCGCTGTTGACGCAGTGGCGCACCGCCAGCTCCGTCAGAATGCGGAAGAAGCGCTCCGTCAGATCGTCCAACTGCGCACGCAGTTACGGACCTTTATCCTCTGCTAGCTTGAAGCTAAATTTTAAGCGATTCTAGACATTGGAGTATGAGGAGGCACCGCTCTTTGTTGAGCTGCCATGACAGTGTCCCACTATGCAACCAGGCGGCCTGTGCGTCATCGCAACAAAGAGTCTCTAAATTTGGAGATCCTGAAATGTTCGAGTCTGGTGCATGCCCCAAGAAGATGCCTCAACAAATAGTGGCAGCCAGGTGCGCAATGGTGAGCTTATCCAAATTCTTTCGGGCACAAAGGAAAACGCACAATCTGTCTTGCATCATGCTCCATGACTTTCATGAGTCCTGAAGTGCCCAATCTCCGGCCATGGGTAGCAAGCAGACGCCAGACCTCCCAGGAGAGAAAACGAACAACCTCTGGTCTCAAGCACATCGCGGAACATGATGCGAAGACAGTGCCAGGCATCACACCAGGGAGTCAACATGCATCTGCGCCTGCGCGCTTCGCCTCTGTATGCTCACTTCTTTTGCTTGCAATCTAAGACGTAACTTCACATCTGAACACCAGGCCTTTGCAACCGTGCCATAGTGACTGCCAAAGCCACCAGTGATGTACAGTGTTGCCATTACTATTCCCTGCCAAAAGGCAAGGTATGTCCTACATACAAGCTGCAGAGATAGGCTGCCGCATATTACCACACTCGCCATATCCAGGCAAGACCCAATCAAACGTGGGCGCCGTGCCCAGTATCTATACCGCTACACGCAAGACGGAATACATTAGCGGCCTCTTGGACAAATACACTGTAGTGCTCATTCTAAATCCCGCACCCCCGGCGGTGCGGAAAATTTTTCAAAGCGAATTTTAAGGGTCTCCTGACTCAAAAATACCAGGGTCATGCTCCATTGGATTGGGCTTGTCGAGAGCTTATCCCAAAATCATCGTAGATTATTTTGGGATATAAGGTCTTGTGTATCCACCCTTTCTTTGCCGAAAAAAGTTATTCATTGGGAGTTTACTTTGAGAACTACAGTAAATGCTCAAGCGCGCACCTTGAGGAGGTTAGCGGCTTGCAGCTGCGCGACAAAGGCGTCGTGGCGGCGTTCGGCCGGCTGCTCCTCGCACGCACGCACAAACGCCTCAAATAGACCGATCGCCTGCTGCCGCAGCCCCGCCGGGTCGCTCGCCTCCGGGCCCGGCACCGGCGGTGTCGACCTGCGCGCGTTCACACATCACAGCCCATCAGCTTTTTGCTTTGCTCCTTTGTGCTTATGCGTGCAAGCATCGCAAATGTAAGATTACCACATAAAAAGGAAAAGACAACTGGCTGTACCATACACGTTGTGGAAACTGTCTGGCAAACATGCAGCGTCTGTACAATGCACGAAGGATTCCTCAACATAATCGCAAGAGTCACACCCGAGCATACACATAGATTGACTCTGCGTAATCACCAAAATATCTGAACTCAGATGGATCCATGCAAGCCCACTCGCAGATTACATGAAGCAATCCATAAATACAAGACAGCAAGACGCCCAACATGTCAAACCCGCAGACAAGCACAACCAGACAACCACAAGGGAGAGATGCGCACTTGGGGCGGCGGGCCTGGTCGACGAGTGCCTGCATGGCGGGTCCCTGAGGGGAGGTGCGCGCCAGCTTGGCCAGCATCTCCAGCGTGTTGAACAGGTCCGCAGCCGCCAGAACTGGCTCCGACACGATGCACGCCTTCACCACGTGCGCTGCAAACTCCAGCGGCGGCGCTCCCAGCCGCCCGCTGCTGAGCACCTGTACATGCCGGCAAGAACACTGTCACGGGAGCGCATATTTCCGGCTTCCTTACCAGGGCCGCCCGATCCTGAGCACTAATATACAGAAGCATGCAGAACACAGTGCTGCGCGACGGACGTGCTCCAACTAAGGTCTATATCACCATGCCCATGCACATTGATGCCTCCCATCCCATGTGCATGACCCTTCAGCTTGATGCCCAGAACACTTCCAGGCACGAGAAACTAAGTACCCTCTGGCAAGAGGTAATGTTGTATATGTAGGTTCAGCGGACAGAGGAGGAGCAACTCCTGGCCATGAGTGTCTGCTACATGGTTCATGGACATGCAGGCGTGCTGGACGTTGGAAGGGGTGGAAAGGGGGGAAATACCTTGGCCAGGTGGGCGTCGAGGTCGGGGGCTTGGAAGAGGCGCGCGCGCACGAGGGCCTCTCCCGCGTCGCGGCGCCATTTGCGCTCGTCGATCATGGCCACCCACAGCGCCGTCAGCTCAGCCGGCAGCCGCTTCAGCGCCGAGTCGCGCAGGATTGTTAGCGCAGCCACGCTCGCGCCCGTGTGCAGCCTGACAGCAGAATTAAGGACGGTCAATCACAAATTCAGAATAGCGACACGCGCTCCAAAAACACTCCTAGCGGGTTGCAGCCTGCCAGCGAGATAAGGACGGTCAATCACAGAGTAGAATAAAGACACGCGCTCCAAAAACACTCCTACCGGGGTGCAGCCTGACGCAGAACTAAGGACGGTCAATCACAAAATCACATTGACAGCAAGGGCTGCATGAATTCTCTCGCCAAATGTGCTGTATGGATGCTAGAGCATAAGTGCCAGATGCATCAGTAATTGCTATAACCTGATACATCCACTGTAGCAACTTCAGCTAGGAGGGCTCAGCACCAGGTGCCACCCTCGCACAAGCTGCACAGACAGTTGTGTCAGATAAAGAGTTGGGCTTGCCAGTGAAAGTCCCTCAACCAGAATGCTCGGCACTGGGAGGCTCACGGATTGCCAGCATGCCAAATCGCCCCTTTATCAACGTTACGCTTGCATGTGATATGGTGCACTGTACATGCACGCTGCGAGGGGCCAATCTAAGGGATGCACGCACACCCTGTTGCTGTGCATATCTCACCCTTCAAACAAGTAATCTTATTCCACAGGGACCGCACCTGGCGTTCTGGACCTCAAAGAGGCGGGTGAAGATCTTGCGCGCCAGCAGCAGAACAGCATCCTCGCGGCCGCCGGCGATCTCCGCGATCTCGGCCACCACGCTCAGCAGCTCATGCTCGCGCGGCAGCTCGCGGTACACCGCCTGCGGGTCCTGCGAGTCACCATATGACCAACAATTAGTCATGTGTCTACTGAAAGCTGCTGACCCAAGATGCAAACATGCAAACACCTCAAAAAAATCCTTGCTGTCTCTCATTTCTCCGCCACATTTTAAGCATCTGGTGTGTTGCATGCCATCGGCGCGGCAGAAAGTGCACAATGTCATAGGCTCCAAGAAAAAAAATACACAAATATGGCAAGCAGGTGTTAAGGGCAAGTGGGCAGTATCATAACACATCTGTGTGACTGTCAGGAGGATAAAATTAGCTACTTCAGATATGCAGGTAAACAAAGGACTCACCTGCTCCACGTGCGCGTCCAGGCGCTGCTGCCACAGCGTGTACTTCTCCTGCAGCTGACGCAGCACCTCGTCCAGGCCGCGGGTGGCCGCGCCGATGGGCGCGCCGTCGCCGATGGAGCCGGGGCCGGCCAACTGCGCGTGGACGCCCGAGCCCAGCGAGGCCGCCGTCTCAATGCTGCCCGCCATCGACGCCGGCTTGGACGGCGGCGCCGGTTGCGCAGCTGCGGCGGAGGGACATGTCAGAATAGTTTTCAAATCCTCATAAACTTATGTTATCATGCACCTCTTTCCTGCCAAGAGACAAGGTGTGTCTAGTGGGAAGCACACCAGACTTTATTCAAGTACATGTGATGAAGTATCTCATGCTTGAGAACCTAGTCACACAGGAGATATGTCAGAAATACATGAGATTTAAGGTCAGCCGAAGTCTGCTTGGAGAAATGCCACAGTAAATTGGCGTGAAGCACTCATCAAAGAGCTTTTAATTTCAATGCTCCACCATTCCGCCATAGATATCCCCTTCACAGCTTGGGACAGTACCCCTTGCCGCCAGCAAGCATGGCTCACCAAAGCCAAGTGCCCACCGCGAGAGGAGGAATAACCATGACGGACAGTAGGCACATGCTGCTTGACACAATGCTCTTAACCGGCCTATGATGTGGGGCACTTGATGCCTGCATGCTGCCCGCTATGAAAAACATGCAACACCCGCAGCAGAACAAACATGAAAGGCGAGGGCCAAGGGAAAAGGCAACGCCGCGGTACCTGGGGCGGTGCGGGGGATGCGCGCAAAGTCTTCGTAGACGAGCTGCTGCGGGGGGCTCAGCTGGCCGCGCGGAAGCAGCGCCGGCGGCAGCTGCATCGGGAAGCGTCCCTGGAGAACCGTGCGGTCCATGAACTCCTGCCCCGCCGCGCGCGCCTTTGCACGCGCCTGCAACCCCAACAACACCCACGCTCACCCGCTGTCCCCCACTGCAAAACTCCTTGACAACATCAATGATATCCTTACTTGCTCTCATGGGTTTTCTTCAGCTGTTTTGTGAGGCTTAAAGAAGGTGGATGTGCTTATATTTGTATACTTCTAAACTGTCACACCTGATGAGCAATTGCTCCACCAAATTGCATGCATTTGTGATACTTTGAAGCAGTGTGTGGATCGGCACAGGAGGCAACACTGGCACATTTGCAGAAGAAGAAGAAAAAGCAAGGTGATGGCGACAGGATACAAAGAAGAAGAAGAGCAAGGCAATGCAAGGAGGTCACCTGGTAGGCTGGCAGCAGGCGCTCATCGATCTCGCGGATGGCCTTGTCGGTGGCAGTCTTCTCGATGACGGTGCACGCCAGCTCCAGGTTGTCGTTCGTCAGCAGATTCACCGCATGATCCAGCTCCTGCAGAACAGAATGGGCGCCTTAATTCCTCACAGCACAAGATGTGCTCGATGCACACCGATATGCCACATTGATGGCAATACCTCTTCACCGAAAGGGTGACAATGGACAGACAAGAGCGACATATATAGGTCCACGCATTGTGCTCTGTGCACAGGCACCCAGATAAGCCACTCTGCATGCGAGGGGCTTGTCTGCCTTCCGGCACAACGGCACATGAGAAAAGAAAATGCATGGCAACCTCATCTCATGCCGAGTCCCTTCCTGCCAGAAGACATACACGCCCCAATGCGTAAAAGGTGGCTCGTATTTTGCAAAAACAGCTGCGCATGGTCAATCAAGCACCGCCTGCCGCCTCGAAGCGTCAAAGCACCACAGCCCGGGGAGGGCAGGCAGAGCACGTATAGAATCCAGCGGACATCAAGATGCCAGCCTGACCTGCTGCCTTTGAGAGCACTTTGTAAATAATAGTGGGGAGTGCCTGTTCCAACCGCGATCAGGCAATCCTGTTAGGGGTCAGGACACTACAAACAGATTGCATTCTGTAGGAAAGGGGTGCAAGGCAGAGCAGAGGGCGCGCACCTCCTCCTCGATGGCGGCGGTGCCGGTGAGGTCGGCGAGCAGCGCGCGCAGCTGGGAGGAGAGCGATGCGCGCATGGCGTCGCGGCACGACACAAGCGCCATGCTGCCGGCCAGGCTGGTCACCATCAGGTGCGCCGCCTTGCGCATGCGCTGCCCGTCCGACTCAAACGCAAAGTCCTGCGGGCACGCCATGAAATCAGTGATGCCAAGGATGTCTTGATTGTGTTCACTGTTTATGGGGTTTTCCAACATTTTAGGATTCCCATCGCGCGCGCGCCGGCCAGATTACGCCAGGAAATTACAGTCACATCTATGTCAGGGCAGTCCTCGTTTGTATCAGGGCATTGGTGGGGGTTTTCTCGGAGTTCAAGATCACTGCATGGAGCTTTCGACAGGTGAGAAGCGAGCAGTGCTTTTTGATTGGAGGCATCCTGATGCCCAGCGCAGGAATTTTGACCAAATGCCAACATGCTGGTGCAAGCACACCATGTCTCAAGAACGCCAGCTGGGCGGTGCAGCCATCAAAAAATAGAGATCAAATGGAGAAAAAAGAAATCTTGTGCGATGGGTTGGGGCTCCCACAATTAGTTGCATGAGGGCTTGCAATCGCCATGCGTGCCGACAAGCCTGGCGTGCTTGCATCACGTGCATGCGCCACCATCCATGTAAGCAAGTATCATTTCTTCGGTGCAGAGGACAAACCTTGGACACGAGCTCGTGCGTGGTCATGCAGGCAGTGGTGACAGACTTCTCCACGATGGGATTGATCAGTTCCACGATTGCGCGGTCCACGGCGATCGGCACGATGCGCTTGCAGCGCTCTGCGATGCGCCCCAGCTGGCCCGCGTTGATCTGCACGTAGTTGTGCAGGTTTGCCAGCAGGCCCTGCTCCACATTCGGCAGCACTGCAAAACAAAACACAACGAGTTGGCTCAGAAACGGGGATCTCAACGCCAGGGAGAGACTTTGAGCAGAAAGGGCACATGACACAAACAACACAACACGACCAGTTTCCCTAATCGGGAGAATGATAAATTGAAAGCGAGCTCCCCCCGGTTGCTGAGGAAATGCAGAGCACCCAATGACAGAAAACGCAAGCAGTGCAAGTAGTAACAGCTTCTGTTACTGCTCTGCATGCGGTCACTATCATGGGTTTTTGGGTATTCTTCCACAACCCGACAAAGCACTTTTGCATGCTTCCACTGACCTCCAGGAGAATACCACTAGGATGCTGTGTTTGGATTATCGGATGGCTTCGTTCTAAGCTTAGCTGAAGTTCTGAGCCCAGTCTTCAGCTGGGCTCAGAACGACAGCCCAGCTGAAGACAGCAGATGATAGAAAAGCAGGATCCGTAAAAGAGGCTGACTCACCGGGCGGTGGGCCATCGGGGGCCGGGGCGGCGTCGGGAGCGGGGGGCGCGGTGCGGATGGGCGGTAGGTTCGCGGGGACCGTGCCGACAGGGGGTGCCGGCGGGGGGACCCCGACAGGGGGGGGTCCCGGCGCCACCTGCTGCGGCGTTGGCGGCCGCTGCGCGCCCGTAACGGTCATTGAGGCCGGCTGCGCCGTTGTGGTGATGATCGGTGCCGCAACGACCTTGTCCTGCGCGAAGTCGGTGTTGTTGACAATTTGGCGCTTGTGTGCGGCGAGCGTGCTGCTGGGCTTGGCGTCGGAGATCTGCACAGCAGAGAGCGCCCGTTAGTTGACAGCCAATATAATGTCAACTAGGTACCAATACGATGGCAATTAAATGAGGACAATTATGCCAAACGGGTGCATCTCTCCTTCAGACCTACGCCCGCTCAGAAATGATTGCTTGTCTGCTGGGCACTCATGCATGTTACCTGCAGATGCAGAAAGACCTGTTGCATACTGCCACTCTCTGCTAGCGCTTTCCAAAACTGCTATTCCGACCTAGTGCATCTTGCCCAAGCTGCAGCAAACGCTGCGGCCCAAGCAAGATAGATTAAAACGGCATAGCATGAGAAAATCAATCAGGGGGCGTGCCTGGATGCCCATGTTGCGGAAGAGCAGTTCGATCTCGAACTTGAGGTTAAGCTTGAGCTTGTCCTGCGCATAGATTTCTGCCACCAGCGCCAGTATGCTCTGCACCCAGGGATTGGGCGGCTTAAACACCTTGCTGTCCTTGCACGGCTCCAGCACCTGCACAGACAGACAAATTACTGATTTCAGGGGTCCACGCACACACTGCAAGGACATCAATAGTCTTGAGATGCCGTACGTGCATTGGAATTGGGTAATGTGCAAGCCGATGCAGCGCAAGCTGTCCCAAATTGTAGAGGCGTAATAAAGGTGAGACGGGGTGTGACTTCAGCTTTGCGCACCTTGTTGACAAAGGGCAGCACGGCAATCATCCTGCCCTGCTCGTAGGCCTCATAGATGATGCCCTTCAGGTCCAAGTCCCTGCAGAACAAGGAGACCCTTTTGTTGAGATCTTGAGGACTGGCTTATTAAAGTAAGTACCACACATTCAGTGGCCTCTTACTTCAGTTTACTGCACCATCGCCCCCCCTGGTAATCGTAGGTGGGCTGGATAATTATGGTGAGCCTCATGCCACTCCAAAGCAAGATACTGCTACCACACTGGTACAAAGTAATCTGTCGTCCTCCCTGGATCAGCCACAAGCCCTACAAGGGCCTAGAAAACACAAGGGGAAATGATTAAGGAGCGGCGCACCGGTGGCGGACGGGTTTGCTGCGCGCGATGGTCAGGCGGCCGAGCCAGGAGCCGAGGTTCTTGAGGAGGGAACGCTCGCCTGTGTGCGTGCGCACTCTCTCGCTGCGCAGCAGGATGCGCACATACTTGTAGGTGGTCTCCAGCAGATTCGCCTGCAGCTCCTTATCGCCAATGGAGTCCATCAGCTGCATGGCGCACATCACCGTTACTTGCCTGTCACACACGGGGTGGATTTAAGGCAGGCTCTGAGTGCAGCCTGTCTGGTAGGAAACAATCTGCAATATATCGGCGGATCACTATGGGAGTGCCGGCACGCATTTGTGTGGTCCAGACAGCTTGTTCTGTGACCCACTGGCCTCCGCTACAGAAGAAGCAGAGGCCGGGTCTTGCTTTGCACGTGGGCAAACAGCAGCATAAGTGGATAAGACGGCATAAGAGGCCCCTGCTTCCAAAAGAGGCACTGTCCAGGGGTTCCTCTCCCTCTTCTGGGGCTTCCATAGCTATGCCCAGGAGAAAGGAAATGCAACACCCTCGAAAGTGTCCCCTCCGCATACTTTTGCTGGTGCCTCCAAGGACAAATACACACACAGGCCCAAGATGTGCTGCTAATACTCACTATCGGACTTGAACCGAAAATCCCGAAGGAGCAGATTTTGAATCTGCCGTGGCACTCGAGAGGCGATGGCGGCGCACCTCAATGTAGAGGCCGTGGAAGTTGGGCTCCTGGGCGGCGCGCTTGACGACCATGTAGTTGGCAAACCAGGGCCAGGACTCGGGCGTCAGAACCTTCTTGATGTCGGCCGCCTTGGGGCCCAGGTTGGACGTGCTCAAGTTGTTCACGAAGAACGCCACCTTGTCTTGCACCTGCGCACAAGGACAGGCATTTGCGAGACAAGCATGAGAGGAGAATACAAAGCAGACGAGCATGATATGAAGGTGTGGCAATTGCGCCATGCGTTGGAGAGAGCAGTGCGCGTCAGGCTGTCGAATGCTGGCCGGCAGAGCAAAAAAGACTAATGAGAAAATGGGCAAGTGGGACTTAAAACAGAGACTTCTTAGTCCCCAAGAGAAGGGGATGGGCTCTAGCCGACCATCTCCTCTCTCCCTTTCTCGGTCTGCATCGGATTTTCGCCACCCTGATGCATGCTGACAACCAAATTTTGAGTGTATATGTACGTTATGCCAATTAATTAACGTCCACGCTCTGCATTTGGCAAAGAATGCAGGCCCAAAGTCGCTGTAGCCGATTATGAATAGCCATCAGCTCAATCCCCATCAGTAGTGCCACAGCCGAGCTGCTTTATTTGAATTGCAGTCCAGGGACCAGTGTTGAGAAGAGCCCCTTATGCTGCAGCTTCCAGCAGCTTCCCCAACACTAGATGTAAAAATGCACTTTCATCACTTTGAAATCCTATGCAAACTGGGCACGGCTAGGCAATACTTGTAGGTCTCAACAGCATCTCAATCATGCAGGCCACAGTCAAGGAAGATAGCAAGGTCTGCACAGTACTTTAGAACACGCAATTAAATTATATTATATTTCAGCCAAGAAGGGTGGATGATAAGACCATACCTCCCAAAATATAATGACGCTATGATGATTTGATGGACCAGATTTGGAAAGCCCTCGACAAGCCCAATCCAATGGAGTATGACCCCTGGTATATTTGGAGCCAGGAAGACTCCTGACAGTTGCTTTAGAAATTTCCCGCACCACCGAGGGTGCGGGTTTTAGAATGACTAGCACAGTAAACAGGGGGGCTCACGTTCTGGGGGGGTACAGGGTAGTCAACATTCTCGCTGGCCTGCTCCAGCGTCTCGGCGTTGAGTGCCTGGAAGGCGCGGTTGGGGTCCATCGCCAGGCCCGCCTGCATCCAAACACTCACATTTGACTAAACACTCACAGTTCCTTCTGCAAGATGCATCCCTCAATAAGCCTCGTCCAGCACTGAAGACAGCGAGGGCTCCCTGCATGGCGAATTGCATGCATGGCGGTCATCATTAGCAAATGAAGAATAAACCGGCTGTCAGGTGAGGATGGGGCGTAATGATGGGAATGGCCTGATTGGGGTATGGAGGCTTCTTAGAAGCTCATAGGAACTAGGTCACACCGCATGCACGCCTTGAACAATGCATGCATACATGGAAACAAGCTCACAGGTGAGGTCAAAGTGAGATGGGCACAGGGCCAAAGTTCAAAAGACACTCAACAACAGGACATCAGATCAGAATGAGAGATGACAGCGCAACGCCAAAGGAATAAAGTATGCATCGACAGATGTCGGCAAGTTGGTGAGGTAGGGATGCAAGAGCACAAGCGATTGTACCTGGGCAGGTGTGAGGCTACCAACGCTGCCCCCGCTGCCCACCACGCCGCTGGCATTCATGCCCGGCGGCGTCTGTGGGAACGGCTGCGCCTCAAGCGTCGCACCCGGGCTACCCCGCTCCAACCCCCCTCCATTCTGCACACCACGCACACAGAGCGTTGCTTACCAGAAACCACGTACAGGATAGCAGTCGCGCAAGTCCCACAGATGTCCCGCATGATCTCAATCATGTACTGACAAAGATAGGCCTACATGGACGTTGTGCGCTTCTCAAAACAGGGGCTAACCCTCTTGGAACAGTGACTACATGCAAAACGGCTCCAGGTGCGTGTAGCTCTGGATAAATAATGGGTTGAACATGATGTCACGCACCTGCACCTTGGGCTTGGTTGCAGCGTCGGGGGCCTCTGCGGCCTTGGCTTCCGCAGCGGGCGGCAGCGGCGGCTTGGCCGCCTCCGCGGCAGCCGCTGCGGGGTCGATGGCTGCCACCACCCGCTCGCACAGCTGCGCCAGCTCTGGACTGACTTCCCTGACAGCTGGCACCTGCACAGCACGAATCACAGCTGTCATTAATGCGTTCACATACCACTGACAAGCACAGCACGCATCCAGCTGTCAATAAAAGCGTCCAGATACCACTGACAAACCTGTCAGGTCACTACAGTCACGCAATCGGAGTAATCCACCACACCACCCTTGGCAGTCATCTGATCGGTTGTGCATCACAGAAGCAATCCTTTCTTTTGGGCCCCAGTTCACCCTACTGAATCACTTGAAAGGTTGTATAACAGAGGAAGAACAGCCAGGAGATTGTGTGAACACTCCTACAGACACTTCTGAGGGGCATCGTGATGCTGATTGAAGATCAGCAACCACCAGGGCATTATTGAGCTTCGCATCATTACCTGCAGGACTGCCTGGCAGATCTGGGGGAAGGAAGTCAGCCGCTCCTGGCAGACCAGCAGCGCGTTGACGCCGAATGTGAGCATCTTGGGGGACTGCTCCTTCACGGCCGTCAGCATCAGCTGCAGCGCCAGGCGCAGGTTGTTGCCGTCCACCAGGCCGCGCTGCACCTGCGCGCACATGCCATAGCAATGACTAATCCGTGCCACGCTAGGAATACAAATAAATTGCAGAGCAGCAGCGACAGCTGACTCCTGGCTATAGAAGCTCTCTGCTAGACCAACAATTGACCTAATCCGTGGCAGCTGCCAGCCACACGTGCTGCTGATACAGACTAACATTGGAATTCCCAGGTTGTGGCCCTCAGAGGTGCAAAGGAGGGGTGTAGCAACTGCTGCCGACACATCTCTTGCCTGTCTTGATGCCACAACCTGAGGACAAATGCAATCACGTATTAGCAAGTGCACTCCAATTGTTTGCACCTACCCTCAATCAACAGAATTCTCTTTGATCAATGTGAAAGCCTTGTCATCCCTCATCCTGTCCCCACGGGAAAGGAGCACTGAGGATCACTTGTGCTGCGCGCACCAGGCCAGCTCGAAAACCGAGTGTACCCTCACAAATCTCAGCAATACTATTGAAATTTTCAACAAGATGCAGCAGAGGTAATGAGTTGCTGCGCGCACCAGGCCGCCGAGGAGCAGGGCGGTGATGTGGCGCTCTTTCTCAGGGTACTTGGGGAAGAAGCGGTACTCGTCGAAGAGGTTATGCACCATGCAGGCGTACACCTGCTGCTCCTTGGTGCTGCCCTGCTTGAATGCCTGCAGCCGCGCCAGCAAATGGTCTGACGTCTCTTTGCCCTGGTACACCTGCAGGCAACATGACTCATCAGGGACATTTCCGTTGTACACTGCTCGCATCGCCTCGTCTCCTCCGCCTCTTCTACTGCCGGATGGTATATTGTGTTCTGCAGCATCACTGCAACAGGATCTGGAGAGTATCAGCCATCATGGCCTAATGATGCCACTGTGCATGTGGTCGGCATGCAAGTGCTAAAATGCAGACAGAAATCCACAAACACCCTGCACTCAACGCGAGTGGCAGGCAGCACATGGCAATGCCAGGGTGTTTCTTGACCAAGATGATTGTCCATTTTCAATTGTTTTCTTAGGGAAAGGTAAGTTAGACTGCTCTACATGCACCCTGACATCCAAAACATGGGGAGACTGCTGGGATGGCAATGGAAAGGGATCATGTGCATCCTGGAGGGTGTACCTTTTGGAAGTTGTCATTTGCCTCGTCCTCGACGTCCTGAGGGAACAGCGGCTGAGAGGGAACGGCGGGGAGACCAGGAACGGCGACACCCTGCGCGATGGAGGTGAGTCGCGCTACCTCAGCGGCCACCTCAGGCGCCAGATTAGGCGCTGCACCCGCCAGCACGCGCAGCAGAATGGCCCTGGACTCCGCTGAGAGAGGCACCCTGCTAGCCTGGGGTCCCTCGGGACGAGGGGGTCCCGTCAGCTTTGCGTCCAGAAACTTCAGGGCAGCCTGAGCATGAATGATCAGCGTGTCAGCGAGGAAATATCACAAAAGGATGAGCACTGCAGAGCTTGAATGCCAGAAGGAGAAGAGCATGCATTAGGACTCTCCTGGCCTAACAGAGACAGCAAAACGTCAAAGTGTAAAAATTGTCGACGATGTGAAATTGAGCGGACTCCGTTGAGGCCAGGAGACTTAGGAGGTGAGCTCATAGGAGGAGGCTGCATCATAGAACTTATGCGCTGACAATGTCATCTTCAGTCTCAAGTATCCCTCGCTTTATGCCCAAATATCCTGGGCCCCGGCTTCAGCACAGCCACAGTGCACCACATCAAGAGTGCGATGATCACCGGCATCTGCCAAATCGCCAGCCCATGCACATGTATAGATGGAGGAAACTCAGCTCACTGGCCAGTACTGACCTGGATGAAGGGAACGCCGTGCACCGCCATGCGCTCCTGCAGCCACTTCTCCAGGTTGAGGTACTCGCGCCGCGCGGCCAACGCCGCCAGCTCCAGCGCAAATGCAAACGGCGTCGCCTCCAAAACATCCGTCAGTGCCTTCAGCTCCTGTGTGCAGTGAAAAAAATACTCATGCACTGCTGGAGAGCCGAACCGATAGCCTCCGGACAATACTGCATTCAAAAGAGGATGCACATGGCCCAAGCAAAAAATAGCCCGATAGAATTGGCATTCAGCAGATCCAACACTGCGGCAGGAACCAGCACTGAGCACGGATCAGCGCCAAAGGCTGCCTATGGCGGCGATAATGCAGACCATAACCAGTTGACGCAGCTGCAGACAACGTTGCCTTATATTGCAGGAGTTGGCAGCAGTGCAAAATGAGCAGCAATTAGACCATGCTTGGATCAGCGATTCATGTTAAATATTGAAGACAATCATCGACTAGGATTGCGGAAGGGTCCACACCTGGCATACGTCAAGCACGCGGCTGATGTTGTTGGCGTCCTTCTCGTACAGCGCCACGATGTTGCGCAGGAGCGCCTCGCGGCTGGCAGCCCACAGCCGCGGCAGCACCACCGCCGAGTTGGGCCCCGACGCGATGCTCTTCACCACAAACGCGTCGCACGCGTCCCTCGCCAGCGCGCTCCAGTCACTGCCAGGGAACGTTGCACCGTCAGCATTCTGTGACTGATATAACCCTTGCTTGAAAATATCTCTCTGACACCAGTGACCAAGCTCCCGCTTTCACTCTGGTAGACCCACCAACAGGTAGACCTAAGGACACACAGCCCTGACCATGGCACAATCTAGCTAGCCATCTGTGCTAGTGGGGATTAAAGACACCTCCATTACCGTAATTTCTAAAATAAAGCCCATTTGTGTATTTGTTTCAAGCTGGTCAGTGTCTTGCAGGATGCAAGAAGCACTTGAAGAGCCAGAGAAGAACATGACAGAGATTCTGGTCTGCCATGACAGTGGGGCTGACCTGCGCGCAGAGGCGAAGCCAAGCACCAGGACTTCGGGGCACTGCGCGAGCGGTAGTTCCAATATTTGGCGCACGACCGCTCCGTGGCCGGCCTCGTACAGGAACGAGAGCGTGGAGAGCAGGTCCAGCGCCAGCCATGCCTGGTTCGGCGTCCCCATCGGCGACTTGTTGCCCTGCAATAGCAGCGCGAGCTCCGTCTTCAAGACACAGCTACATGGTATGCAGCATGTGCAGGATGCAAGGGCCTTGCTCCACCGTCTGCTGTATCTGCTGCATCTCCAGTGACTTGACACTATAAAAGAAAACCCCGGCACATACACGTCCATGCTGAGATTGGAGGATGCGCCGGTAGTCAAGAGCACCGGTAAGCATGCATCCCTTGCAGTCAAGCACCATGGTCCTGGACAATCACAGCCAACTGTGCAGAGTGTGTCCAACATGTGCATGGTGCGCGTAAGCTGGAGGGGCAGAGGCCACCGGCACCTGCAGGCCCTCCACGGGTGCGAGCTTGCGCTGGGCGCCCTCGAAGCTGAACACCTCGGGCGGCGCGGCGCTGGCGAAGCGCAGGAAGGCGATCTGTCCCGGGGCGTTCTTCCACACACACTGGATGGCCGGAGCCAGAGGGAACGCATTGTCCCCCGTGGCGCGCCGCCAGAGTGACATCAGCAGCAGGAATGCACGCGCGTCGGGCAGCGCGAATGAGTCATGGTCCAGCTGCTCCGCGATCCGCTGGGGGCTCAGCTTGGCCAGATCTGGCGCCAGGCCGGACAGCAGGACGTCCAGGTTCCACGCGCTGTCCACGCTGGCAGGATGACTCAGCGACAGCGTCGCCAGCGTGGCGGCCAGCGCAGCCTGCGGCATGTGCGGCGATGAGTCAGCAGCTGTTTTTTGAATTATTGAAAACGGCATTGACGTGGGTGCTAAAGTATGGGCATGAAAAACTCCTGGACGGAGTAGAAAAAAGCCCTGCACTCACAGGCTGGGCGGAAGGGCAGGTTACAGGCTGGATGGGCATCATGCAATGCCAGACTGATGTTGAGGCCTTCTGGTCCAGAGAAGTGCAGGTGGTGAGCGGGGAGCCAAGATCAGTCACCTGGGATGAGTCATCGGTGTCAGCTTTGCCGCCATGATGCCGGGCCACCAGTGCAAAGATGCGCGCTGCTGTGGCCTCGTCTATGACGGCGTGCTTCTCCAGCAGCTCCCTGAAGGCGGCCTGGCTAGCTGTGCAGCTCGGCCCCGCCTCCTCCATGGCATCGGCGACGCTGCCTGCTGGGGGCGAGCCAGATACACTCAGATGCCACGCCAGCACTACCGCAGATGGTCACCATGCTCGTATGCATGGAGGATGGCAAAGGCAGGGTCAAATGTATAGACATTTGCTGGAAGACTTGGTAAAGGAGGGTGCAAATGCTTGCCTGTTCTGGAAGCAGCATCCCGGGCCATCACACAAGTTGCAGCCGCTCACAGAGTCGAGCTGCAGTTGCCTCAAGGATTATGTTGAAATGAAGACAGAACGGCGAGTGGGGCTCGCTCAAGCTCTCTCCTCTAATGCACTGCTGGGCAGCTGCCAGCAGTGCCTCATGCTCTGTTGCGGTCCCAAAATACTTCTGCCTGCAAGTGCAGAAGACAATTATGCAAAATGCACAAGCTCCTTCCAATGCACAGAAAGGGACACAAAGAAACCGAAGCACAGGTTCAGCATTGCCTCGTTGCTCAATCACTGCGGGACAATTCTGACACAACCAATCCTGAAGTGATCACACATGCCCCCGTTTCCACAAGCTGGCTTCTAAATGACAATATGCAAGGTGCCGGCATCAGGAGCAGTCAGTAATACACCAAATAGATGGCTTTTCAATAGTGGACTGCCCTAAAGAATCAGAAAGCGCCCTAATAAATAAGCGTCAAGAGGCCTTGGTGTTCTTGCAACCCACCCACGGTCTTGCGGAGCACACCCAAAACACGGATTTCTCGCTGCGTCAAAGCACAATCACTGCCTGATTTTGGCACTGAAGCGGCGGCCACACTCGAGCAATAAGCCTTGCTGCCCTCCTTCTTGGAGACCTGCATCGATACTCATTTTTCACCACCGAGTCCAAGCCAAACCGATGCTGATTTGTGAGGCCTGGGGTAAAGGGTACTCAAGAGACCCAATTCTTACAGATTTACAGGAGCCGTGCGCCAGTTTTCTGAGGGTATGCTACGCTGAAGCCTGGTAATTGACACTTGATCCTCACCTTAGGAAACGAAATTTAGTCGCGGCTATCCATGCCCCGTGCGAGGACGAGCCATGATTCACAAGTCGTGGGACTGCAAAATTATTCCCTGAATCATTCGAAATTTTCTGCTCCGATCCGCCATTCCATGATTGCAAGCGTAGCTGTTATCGAGAGAACCCTGCCCCTTTCCTCGAGGGGCTTTCTCCAGATAGGGTTTCTTGCCAGGCTCGCACATGCGTTTTTTTTTTTTGCAATCAATGCATTTTATATACTTCGTGAGGGTTTCAGTATTGTGACACTGCATAATAAGTGCATCTTGATAGCCGTGATATTGTGAGCCCAATTTAAGAACCCTTCTCTAAATAAATCACCAGTTCTTGTTTGTCATGAGGCTCTTGTTGGATCGATGACAGACCCAGCGAGGAGTGTCGAGCCGGTCAGATTTACTGAAGATCATTTAAAGGACCTGAAAGAACTTGCAAACCTTGGTGGTGTGCACATCAAAGAGGAGGCCCTCACAATCATACTAGAACTTCTGGCTTCGGGTGCTCCACCGAGCAGTCTGAAGACGGTACTGGAGGCCATTTGCAAGCCACTCGGGGGAGCCAAGAGGCAGTCAGCCAGCTCAGCAACAGCGCAATAGGATCTTTCACGCACAGGTGGTCAGACCTCATCACAGGTCCTTGACTCGTCTGAACAGGCGATGGCTGCTTCAGCCGTGTTCATTCTTGACCTCAAGGGCCACGTCATCCTCTTCAGAGACTACAGGGGGGACGTGCCAATAAAATATGCAGAGCGGTTCATCACCAAGCTGAACGAGCTGGAAGAGACTGGGAAGGTGATGCTCAGCCCAACAAACGAAATTTCACATCATGCACAGGCACTTTCTCAATTCGTCATCGCATGCACCCACTTCCTACAGGCAGGTTCGGTTCTGACTATTCAAGGCAGTATGACAAGCCCATTGTGTCTGTTGTAGGTGACACCCATCATATTAGACGAGGGGGTCAGCTACCTCTACGTTCAATATTCAAACCTCTACCTCCTCATTGTCTCGCGGGAAAATGTCAATGCGGCCTCCATGCTGCTGTTTCTGCACAAGCTTCGCGAGGTCTTTGTGCACTACTTCAACGAGTTGGAGGAGGAGTCCCTCAGAGACAACTTTGTCATTGCATATGAGCTGCTTGACGAGGTGATCCACCATTACCCTACTCTTCTCCATTTTGACGAAGCTCTGGCCTGATATGATGTTTGCGCGCTGTCTTGGAAAGATACGGGCTTTAGATAGATGTTTCCATGTTTGGCATGCTGCCTAGTCAGATAACTTTGTGGTATGTGCAGGTCATGGACTACGGGTACCCCCAATTCACAGAGGCAAAGATCCTGTCAGAGTTCATAAAGACAGATGCCCACAAAATGGAGGTGACCACTCCTCCTCTGCTGAAGGCACCAATCCACCAATCACACCAGACTTTTCAAGAGATCAGAGACAAGTCATGCATGTTCAGATTGCTAATTCAGGTATCCTTGCACCTGAGTGCTCCTGTTTTTTGTTGTGCAGGTGCAGGCACGGCCACCCATGGCAGTCACAAACGCAGTGTCGTGGCGGAGTGAGGGCATTAGGTACGGCCGCAGCTTCCCCCGTTCTGCGTGTCATTAAGCGCAAAAGAAAGTTTCCTGCTGCCTTCCTGCCGATATACTCGCACAGGGCACACCGCGATGACTGCCCCTGACCAGCTGCAAGCCATCTGCTGTGCCACTGCCAAAGTGCACAATGTCCGCTGCTTGAGTTGACCGGGGAATTCCCTGATGCTGCCTCAAGACCGGCTGCAGTGTTAGATCTTGACTGAATGCACTGTTGCGTGGAGCCCAGTCAGTATTATGAAGCAGCATGCTGTGCGGCGAGGCCAGATACTTGACCAATCTGTTGGGAGTGCGGCTGCCGCCTCTGATGTTATTTCAAAAATTCCAAGAGTAGAATCTCACCCTGTCTGCAGCATGTACGAGTGCTTCTGCGGCGCAGGTATAAGAAGAACGAGGTGTTCTTGGACGTGGTGGAGAGTGTGAACCTGCTGGTGAACAGCAATGGCACGGTGGTGCGATCGGAGGTGATGGGCGCCCTCAAGATGCGCACCTTCCTCTCTGGCATGCCCGAGTGCAAACTGGGCCTTAACGACAAGGTGCGCTGCCCTTTCACAGCCTCTGCTGTCATTTTTCAGAAGCCTCATCCATGTAGAGTCTATTGTAGACCAATCTAATCTTCTTCGGCCCTTGCCTGTACACCGATGCCCTTTTCTTCATGATGTGTTGTCTGGTTGACTCTGCTTGCGAGCAAATGTTCTTCTCATTAACGCTGCTCCTGCGCATGGGCAGCATGGAGAAAGGCATGTGCAATTTCCTGGTTTCAGACCGCTGTAACGAGCATGGAATGTGCGCCAAGCATCTTGTTATTGATTGGTGGGCGGAAGAAGGGCTGTCAAAGCCTCAGGGTGTTACCTACAACCCTCAGAGTAGTCCCTGTAGGAGCAGAGGATCTGGCTAAGCATGCCGCGACCTTCACCTCTTTGACTGGAGGAAGGCAGAGAGGCAGTGTGATACTCGTCACATCTGCAGTGTTGAGTAGACCCTCGAGGGCAGGGTATATTTCATGCAGCGCCTGGCTTGGCTGACGCGTGTGCGGGCACATGCGCGCAGGTGCTGTTCGAGGCGCAAGGCCGCGGGGGCAAGAACAAGAGCGTGGAGATGGAGGACATCAAGTTCCACCAATGCGTGCGGCTGGCGCGCTTCGAGAACGACCGCACCATCTCATTTATCCCCCCAGACGGCGCCTTCGACCTCATGTGCGCCCATTTTCTGCAAACATCCCATTGATGTGCCACGTTTGATTAGTGCGATTTACTCCTTGTGGTGTTTTCTTGCAGAAACTCTCTACGTCTTTTAATGTCTATGATGCACAACGTACTGCTGCCATTCTGGAGCGCATGCTTAGTCTGTTGGAGTTTGTTTGTGGCACCAGAGCACTACCCCCCCCCCCCCCCCCCCCCCCCCCCCCCTTTCCCATTTCAAACTTGAAATTCGCGGACGCGCCTGCGATGCGCGCACGATGGGCGTGATGGCGTCGGGCGGCAGCGGCAGGAAGATCTCGACGTTGGAGGCGGAGGAGCGCTCCTTGAATTGGCTGCGCGCCTTGACCAGGTACTCGGTGCGGCTGCGGCTGTGCTTCTCCACCGTGCACTCCACCCAGATCAGCGGCCGCACGTTCTGGCTCAGCCGGTACGTCCTGCCGCAGCAGAAATTAAATTGGGGTTATAGGCAGGCAGGGGGCTCTTAATAGATTTACCATATCGCCTCGCGGATGCGCTGGAGAGAGTTTGATTTCTTTTGTAATACCAAGGAGTCAGTCAGAAAATGCATGGAGCGACACCATGTGCTTCCGCACCAGGCGCTGTCCAGCACTGGTAGCCTAATGCGATGCCATCCATGCCATCATTACCATGTATTTGTCAAGGCACCTGCTGTAGAAGAAGAGAGAAAGGCTCTTGAGAACATGGCAGGAAGCAAATGCAGGAGTGTTCCGAGGAGAGATGCTGATGCATGCGCAGGGGACGGCGGTGTATGTGCCGGAGAAGGAGGCGTTGGTGTGGAAGATAAAGAGTTTCCCGGGCGGGCGCGAGTTCCTGCTGCGCGCCAAGTTCAGCCTGCCCAGCGTGGCCGCCGAGGAGGAGCCCCACGGACGCATGCCCCCCATCGCCGTCAACTTTGAGATCCCCTACTTCACTGTCTCTGGCATCCAGGCGCGCCCTTCCGACATTCCTCTCATGCATCTAGGTCTGCAGTCTAGGAAGTTCTATTTTGCCATCTCTGGCATCTTGGTGTTATTTTTGAGACCCTCTACTTCACCGTCTCCGGTATCCAGGCGCTCCCTTTTGACATGCATGCATCCCGCTTCCATGGATTTTGCGTGCTGCAGGGGACTTCTCATTTCTTGGGTAATTGTTTTTAAATGGCATCACAACAAGGTCATTGGGGAGTGGATTCTGACACAGTACCAACAGATCAGACGTGCAAGACGCTTTCAGGCATGTTTCGTAAGCTGAGTCGGCAAAGGCTGCACAATCTTGTGTTGTGCGAAACCACAGGACGAGAAGTTTTTTCATCAAGAACCGCTTCCTTATTTTCAAGGGGTCAATCTGCTAAAGCTGTGTCAGATATGGATGGCATCGTGGCTCAAAGAAATAGTGTGCTGCGCAGGTGCGGTACCTCAAGGTGATTGAGAAGAGCGGCTACCAGGCATTGCCCTGGGTCAGATATATCACAGCAGGCGGGGAGTACGAGATCAGGTGGGTCCTTTCATTTCATTCCATCTGCCATGCTTCCAAGTCTCATCCCAGCAGGTGTTGCGCGGTGCAGCATCTTGTCCTTTTTGTAAGGTCGCCAGTGGAAGTGGCTATCTTGTTGGGCAACTGTGTATGCTGGCAGTTGGTGGGGTGCCTGAGTGTTTGTGTGTGTGGTGCTGCGCAGAATGGCTTGAGACTACTCTTTGGGACGCGCTTCCGGCCTAGGCATAATTATAAGGTCACAGGACCAAACTGTCTGTGGGAATGCAGTCCATGTACTGTATTGTTGTCTACGGCCACCAAAGGCGGAACTTGTGGGTCAAGGATACACAGGACAGTGCAATTTGGGCTGGAAGCTGAGGCGACATTGCACATGATGCTCTATAATAGCTCCTTTGGCGTTTACTTAAGAAAGAGGAACACTACATAGCAGTATCGCGCGACTTCAATTACAATGCAAGTCCTGTTGGAAGCGCAAATTTGGGATGCTTGGTGGACTGCGAAAGACCTATATCAGCAGATATTGACAGATACCAATACTCAAGGACTTCATGGATCCTGGTCGATGTGAAATTGCAAAGACATTATTCAAGACTGGTATGGAGAGGCTGAACCCTTCACATGTACAAAAAACATTCAGGTGCTGTGACACGAATGGCCCTCTTTCACACAAACTCAATAACATGGACTCTTTCGGCGACATCAAGAGGTGTCACAAGAGCAAGCACACCATACGGGCAGCATGTCGAGCTGGACAATGACCCAGCAAAAATGAAACTCATCCAACTTTGGCGTCTGCTTTTTGTTTGCCCATCTTGCTCAAATGTCTGCTACTCTGTGCAATCCTGCAAGGGGAGAATAAAAAAGGACCGTATAGAAGAAATCCTGGTGCAGCCAGCTCCTGTGTCATGCGGGTCAGCACAGATGCGCAATCCAGGGGCCTGCATGATCGCAAAAAATGCCTTTCAGCATCTTTCAGCCTCGCTCAAGTTGCACTCATTGGCTAATTTTCGTGTAATGCTCATGTAAGCGCATGCACACTTGGCTGTGCCCTTACATGCATGTAGTCTTACCAATGGCGGGACTACCAAAAGTGCGGAACCAAATTATTGTCATTTAAAGGAGATTCACTCCAGAATGGAGTCACCCTTCTAGCTTGGAAGCCAAGTTTTGTTAGAGGCCTGCCTTGTTTGCGCTTGGACGACAGGTGGCGGCTGGGCATGTGGAAAGCCGCGATGGCGCCCTGAGCAGAGCGCTGACCGGACGCTGAGCTGGCGACGACGCTGATGCGCTGCTGTAGGCTGGAAGCCGTGCGGAGCAGGTCCAGCTTCGTGTGGCTTCCGCCGCGGCCGCGCCGGACGACGGCGTTCCCGGCCGCCGCCTGCTTCGACGCGCGCTGCGCTGCCCCTGCAGCCAGATAAGTAATTTAGACCTTCCAAAAATGCTGCCATCACTTGCTGAGATTGTGTAAAGCTTCTACAGCTCTACAAAATGACACACGCCGGTCAGGACAGGTGGCACGAGTGATTGTCTGGATTGTTTGAGATGGTCACAGCGACTGCTGCGTGGTGCTTGTACGCTTTCTAAAACACCACAGATCTGAGGGTGACCACACGGCCACAGCGTAACCATTACAACACTTGCATTGGCATAGAAACCAGGACTCGTACTAACAACAATCTGCCTTGCAACCAGACTGCGACGAAAGGAGCATGGACTTACAGGTGCTGGCCATGTCATTGGCTTTTCATTCTTCCAAATTGAAGGGCCTAGTAATAAAGGTGGCCACCTGTATTGGAGGTCTTTGGGGCGAGGCAAGCGGGGTAGAGGGTGCTGAGGCGAGCAGAGAGCCCAGTCACCAATTTCCTGTAGCGCTGGCTTCTCTGCTTTGGGAGCCCCGGCTGCTGCGCCTGTGTCAGAGCTGCTGGCATAGCTGCTCCCTCCCCAAGGAGCTGGCTGGGCTGCCTGGAAGGGTAGAGCGTGTCCCATGTGACACCTGCCCAAATGCAGACATGCTTTGTCGCTTCCTGTGCTCCACTGCGTTGTCCCAAGTATGTTGGACTGTAACAGGGAACTTATGTTCTGCCTTTCCTAAGTTGCGTGCAGCCTGTAACCTGCGGGTCAGTATGGGCTGGGTCACTCTCTTGCATGCCTGTAAGGTGAGAGTGAGGACGTCTGTAGGGATCACGCCCAAACGCAGGAAGGATGGGTGGTGCGCACCTGAAGTTTCCTGGTCAAGTGGATGGCAGCGAGGCGTGAAGGACGAAAGTGCATGGCTCAGGCAAACTTTGTTTTGCTCATCCTCTGCTTCTGCTGAGTCTGTCAAATCGTTTTCAGCTAGCTCTGGGCTGCCTGCTTTGGCTCCTTCTCTGTCAGCACCTTCACCCTACAGTCGATACATTCAGGCCTTCAGTAAGCTGTAATTGCACCATAGTCAAACATGACGAGGTGGTAACAGGCCAAGGGTGGGTTCTGAGCCTTGTGCATCTAGCTATATAGCCCTGTGACACTGTCAGCATATCCCTCGGTCTCCTTGTGGTAATGAGATAAGAAGTGGTGAAGCTCATCACCTCAATACGCTTCTGACTTCTGCTGCTCAGTGCTGCAAGGATACCAACCACGCCAACAGACGCAGTGACCGGAAGTCCGACAGTGCCAGCAACGGCCCCGCTAGCGACCCACAGAGGAAGCAAGGTAGCCATGACGCTGTATAGCCCACTTTGATTTATAAGTCTGTGTCAAAGCATGGCTCAGAGAGGTGCTAGTCGCAGGGGTGTTACTGGTTCCGAGTCATCTATATGCCCCGTGAATCTCAGTCGTCCGTTTGAGCAAACCAGAATAACCAGGGGCCAGTGTAAGTGCCCTTGCTGCCTGTCTACCACAATAGACAAGTGAAGTGATTACAAACTCAGACTTTTTTCTTCTCGTACTCTTCATCGGTCTGTTCCAAACTTCAGTCCGGGAAGCTGACTGGACTGTTTGCAGCTTCTGCTCCAAGAGCAGCTGCAGATTCGCCGATCGTTTCAAGATCCTCCCTGCAGTAAAGTTGATTGAAGTTCTGGCACTGTTGTCGAGTGAACGTGAACGTAGCTTATCTAAAGAAGGCTTCGGGCAGCTGAAGGCATCTTAACGAAGGAATCTTGCTTTCTGAGCTGTTGAAACTTTTCGCCTTTTCCTTTCTTCAAGCCTGCTGCTTCTGCATCTGGATAACAAAATGCCCGTGATTTGATCTGGGGATCGCTTCCTAGTTGAGGTTGCCCTATCCTAAGGCTTGAGCCTGGGATGAGGGCAGCCTCATGGCCTACTGAACGCCTCAACGCGACATGGAGACAGTTTCATTCACAAAATTCTGCAATTCGATGCCAATTCGCTGGGATTGGGGCAACCAGACTTTTGCAGAAGCGCACCTCGGCCAGCCCTTCTCCTAGGTGCTTCCAGCGAGAACCCCATAACATCCAATGTAACCTGTCCATGATCCCATGACAAGGGCCTAAATGATCTAATATACCATCATGCATCCCTGCTTGTGATGCTCATGAACGCCACATGGCCTGCCTTCAGCAGAGCTAGATCAGGAAAAGTCAACTTCTCAGACGGTTGCATCTACTGCAGGCTGCCGCTGCGGCGCTTCAGCGTGCAAGCGCGTGGCTCAGGGCGCACGAGGCTTGCAACCAGGATCACGACCGTCCCCAGACGCGTGGACCTATACTTTGCAGACCAGCCGGCCCGGCGTATACTCTGGGCGTGCATCGCCTTTGCCTGCGGGTACTACTGTGCCAACACCGGTGCGGCCACCTACTACCCAACGGCCATCCCACTGCTTTGACTGCTGGATACTGCTGCACTCCCCAGCTGCACTGGGCTTGCTTGGCTGTAGCCTCACTCATGCCCAGGCTGTTCTACTTGACTGCTCCATATGCACTTCTCACCGAACAGCCTGCTTCATCGCTATCGTATTTTTCAGGCGTGTGCCCAGTTTGGACTGGGATATTAACTGCATGCTGTGAGTTCCTGAGACCCCTAGTCTGAAATTAGGCGACAAAGGGAAGGTTGCACTGTATACGATCACTTCAAGGGGGATCAGAAAGTCTGCTCCAGGGCAGGGAGCGCATTGCGTGTGCAAATCAGTAGCTCAGCAAAGGAGCCTTCCCTTGACAGATAAAGCTCCTGCAACTTTAGAGCTCCTGCATGAGGCTGTCCCTAATTACAGCCTTGCAGCATGCCTCTGTAGTATACATGCCATTGTCCTTTGCAATCCCTGAAAACTCATGGTGTGTGCGCATGCAGTGTCGCTGTCATTTGGTGCGCTGGCGATCAATGATGTGGTGGCCGCAGCGCTGACCGTGGCCTTCTGCGAGGTGGTGTCATCGCTGTACTATGCAGCGCCAAAGCAGACTCTCAAACTGCTCTTCCTGCAATGCTTCAAGATCGGCATCATCTGCGCGCTCATTGCTGATGCCTTTAAGCTGGGCGGATGATCAGGCCCATGAGAGCTAGGGGAAGACAAAGTTTCGTGTCACGGTCAGATTTGTCTTGTGTAACGAGGGCCCCGGGGCCCAGCGGGAGACCGTCTGAAGCTGTTACTGATGCCAAAGAAACTTGCAGCTTTGAGGCAGGCAACTTGACACTGGCGGCTGCGGCTTAGAATTGCACTCTAATGCTTCTGCAATTGGATTCCAGAAGGGCCTGCTTTTTATTTTAAACCCGGCCAGGTTTATAAGCAGAGGGAAGTGAGGGCTAGATCTGGCCACAGTAGCTTCTCAGATCAGTGTCTTTGAACGGAAAGCAATCTGGAATAGTCCTCCAATTGCAAAGCTTGTCCTCGGAGTGCACATTAGATCCAACCTTCTGCTTCTTGCTTGCGTGTCCCGTACGCACTTGATTAAGTTGTTCCAAAACTCTCCCAACGTCCAGTCAACTTATCAGCAGACAAGGCCTGGATTTGCAAGTACGATTGAAAGGATACGAGTAACGCAAGGAAGCGCTGCCTGCAAACTTAAAGAGAATTGAACAAAAATATCGCAGAAGCATCAGCACTTTTTGGTCCATCGTGAGGAATTCAGGCGTTCATGGTGCGCCTTACACTCATAGCTCGTGTGCACGATGGCCTTCCACTCGCCGAGGGCCTGGACGGGGAGAAGGACAGGGACTTGGAGACATACAAACACCAGGCCAAGGTGAATATCAATCAAGCACCATCAGGGCCCACTGTCCGTGTCGAGGGCCTGATGTATCTTGCATACACATGAACTCTGTTGAGGAACATATAGTATGGTCGTCCAGTCTGCACAATCCTGATCCAAGAATCACAGAGCTGGTCGAGAAAGAGTCCACTTGTCTGGCAGATTACAGATAAACCTGTAGTAATGAAGTCGTGTCTTGATGCAAAAATATCCCAGTAAGAATAATCTTGTGCCTCTGCAGACACTCTTCAAAAGGATGGCGAAAGAAAACCCTGCAAACAGTAGGATGTCAGTGGACAGTGGCCCCTTTGTGTTCCACTACATCATCCAAGGCGGAGTCTGCTATCTCACACTCACAGACAAGTAAGCCTTTCCCTCTGCAAGGCCTGAGTGCTGAGCTGAGACCTATGGGCAGCATGCATTGTGCCACAGTATCTCCACAACTGCCCAACATGGGCTGAGGACTTAGCTTCCATGCAGGAGTTACCCAAAGAAGCTGGCATACCAATATCTGGAGGAGCTGCAGAGTGAGTTCACCGGCCTGTATGGCTCACAGATCGAGTCTGCTGCGCGGCCATACGCTTTCATCAAATTTGGTGCGCCAAAGCGCCCTGCGCTGATCAAAGGGCTCACTTGATTCTCTGAGCCAGTATTCAAACACGTTGATGCAGCCCTTGAACCGTCGTTCCAGCATGACAGGGCTACCACCTCCTCATTGACATGCTCAGAGTCAGGAGCATGTGCATTGGGATCCCTTACACCCTGTGCAGCTTGCAGAGCTCATAGCTCGAGTCCATGCTTGGTGCATGTGGTATGATTGGGTGACGAGCAATTACTTTAGTTCACCCAATAATGGAGAGATGCTCGCAATGGTGAGGCGCCAGCAAATGTCCTGCCCACATCAAGATCGAGCTGCAGAGACAGATGCTGTGGTCCTACTGGGGCGCCAAGAATAGCAGAAGACTCGCAGATGGGCGAACAATACAGTCTTTTTTAGATTCTAGCAAGTGCCTATATGCGGAGCCTCTCAAATCTGATTTCTTATTCTTGATGCAGACACATTCATCAGCAAGACGAAGAAGCTGTACATGGATACGCGGACGCAGCGCAACATCTCCAAGCTCACCGAGGATTTGAGCGAGGTGCACAACATCATGACGCGCAACATCGCCGACGTACTTGGCCAGGGAGAGCGCCTAGACAGTGAGCCCCGCTGCCTCTTTACTGTCCCGTACTAGCACCATCCGCTGTGTCTGCTGTTTAGATGGGTGATAACTTGCCTAGAGCACATGCAGGCACCCAATTGGCATCTGCAGAACATTTTTTCATGAATGCCACTGTTGCCTGTAAGGCAGACGAGTAAGTAATGGTGCAGCTATCCCTACTGTGGCATCAATTGGGGCATTTTATGTAAAGCCTAAGCCTATGCGCCCTGAGGTGGCGCCTTTGCATGCATGCTGAGCTTGCCAGCCAATGAATGCAGCTTGGCAGTGGCCACTGTCTGTATTGTGGCATTCCTGACCTTTGCTGTTGCCATTCAGACACCTGTGTTGGCAGAGGGATCTTGTGATCCGCGCTTGACTTGGTACTGCTATGCAAGTGATGTCTTTGGGGTTGTTCGCCTGTCAATGTGTCTGTGTCCTGGCTGCAGGAATGTCCCAGAAGTCTGCGCAGCTGACGTCGGAGTCAAAGCAGTACGCGCAGCGGTCAAAGGACCTGTATCGACAGGTGCTGGTGCCACATACATGTTCCTCTTTACATTCTCTAAAGTGATCACTGCATTCCTGCTGCGCCATCTCCTTGCTTCCCACCTCTGATGTGGCTCGCTGATGCGTGGTTAGGCCTTTTTGCTGCGATCCTTTCAGATACTGTACGCAATTCAGGCGAGCAGTCCTCCTGAGCTGCTTTATTTTCTGTGCTTGCAGGCACTGATACGAAAGTACATGCCTGTTGCGGTAATCATCGGGGTGCTGGTCTTTGTGTTGTGGGTGCGGTCGTATTTCTATGGCCGCCGATGAGTCTACCAGAGGCACTTTCTGAGTGCAGTCGGCAAGTGAAATCCTGCCTGAGCCATCAACATGTCCGGCTTGTTTCAGCACTTTAACGGTGAGGCGGTGTTGAAGTGTTATCAATTACTCTTGGTCTAGAATGGAACAGTAGAAATGCATCTGACTGGCAGTTGCCTGAAGGCTGCTCAGGCACTAAGTTTAAACACGATGAAGCGAAACTCATTAGCTTGCGCAAGCATGATAGGAGATTTTCTGCCCGGCATCTGCAGTGTCGCGCATATCTATACTGGAAGGTCTGTGACATAGGCTGTGTTGCTTGATATATCAGCATTGCTTTGCGCCGCAAAGTTTGTGGCCATCCAGGGGCGCTCCGGTCGGCTGCCAGCCAGTGTTGACAATTTTCATTGTGAAGTGCGAGCTAAATCATCAGCAAATTATAGCAGATTGGTTGCTAAGGAAGTGTGAACATTAAAGAGCAAAAAAATGAATTCCAAGAAACGGGGTCCTGGTTTTGTTGTTCTGGTGCCATGCATGTGCATGTGCTCAAGTCTAGACTTTAGTAAATCCACCTGTAATGTACTAATACGTTGACTTTGAAGTCTTCGATGCATTTCACAATGGCGTCAGTCTGACGGCCTTGGATCTAGAGACGGTTGAAAGAAATCTCCGAACTGATGTGAACGTCAAGTTCGTTGTTGCCTCAGCAGTCTTCAGTAGGACCTGCAATCTTGCTTAGCTGCTTCACAGCCACACATCATCACGTCCAGATACAAGTGTTAATGTACACCCCTGACATGTAGGGGACAGCAAGACAGATTTGTCCAACACTGGACTTCTGACGGCTCCTGCCACTCTAGCATCAGCATGCTGATCTCGAGATCATCGGCCCTGAGTTGTTTGCCAGCGGCTTCACATAAAAGATCCAAGCGTAGTCGGAGGCCTTATGTTTCTTGTAGCAGCAGAAACATCCTGTATAGGTGCCCCACATGCTTACAGCCACTGACGGAAAAGGACAAGAGCATGCTGGAATGTGGGAGTGGCCACACTATCCTGCGTGCAAAAGAGGGCTACGTCCATTTGTTGCCATCTGGAAGAAAGGCTGCCGTCAATGCTGCAGGCGACTCGCCTGAAATGGTGGTTCTGTGACCTTCGTGGCTGTTAGTCTCAATTGAGAGAAGCACACTGACCTGAACGTCTAGAAACATTAAGTCTGAATCAGAGTGAATTGTTTGTAGTTCCGCATCTTGTTTTGAATAAGATTCACTGTGTATCAGGTGAAGGCTCGCCGCAGGTTCTTTGATGCTGGGCACTACGACTTCATAGCAGATGAGATAGGCCGCCTGATTGCAGAGTACATGAAGGAGTACAACCAGGTAAGCTTTGACCTCTTCCTAGCTACAATGCCATTCTTTTGTCAGCAGGTGGAATTGCTGGATGCTGGCTTTAATTAGGGCCCTTCCTCAGCTTGAAAAGGCTTGGTTCATTAAAGAGGAGCATGTGAAAGATGCTTCTGTCAGCAGGTGGCCTTTCTAGATGCTGGCTGTGGAGAGGGCATGTATACAGCACGCGTACAGAACTTCCTTGTACAGGCTGGCAAGACATGCACAGCCTATGGGGTTGATGTGTCTAAGGCGGCAGTCCGCATGGCTGCAAAGCGACACAAAGCAGCCTCCTTTGCAGTGGCCAGCTCGTACGCTCTGCCCTTTGGAAATCAGGCAATCACTCTCAGCTCTTGTGCTCTCCCTGCTGACACGCGACCACAATTTCCATCTCCCTGCCTATGGTCAATCGTGTAGCTGCATTGATGCGCAAGACAACTGATTCAGATCATCGGTGAAACGTCTCTCATCAATTACAGTTGATTGTTTGATGTTCACTAAATTATGAAGCATAATTGATATGGCTGATTGTCTGATCAATTACAGTGATGTTGATACTGGGTTAAGTCCAAGGCAGAAGGGTGCTGCACAAAAGTTTTACTGTGAGCGGTAATCTGTGCCTCATGCCAGAAACAGCAGCTGCTGCGCAGGAATTTGACGCGATGATATCCGTCTTTGCACCAGTCGCAGTGTCAGAATTTACCAGAGTGCTCAAGCCTGCTGGAGGGTTGCTTATTATGGCCTACCCTGGAGCTGGGCACCTCTTGGAGCTCAAAAAGCTGTTGTACAGGCAGCCGAAGCTGTTCGGTGAGGATGCCATTTCTTGCCTGGAACTGGACAAGAAGGCACTCTGTAAGGAAATCAAGACAGTGCGAGTGACGCGGGAGCTCAAACTGCCTCGGAGCGAAGCACTTGACCTGTTGGCTATGACACCATACTTTTGGCATGCGCCTCCTGACATTGAGAGTCGCATTTCTCAAGAAGATGGCCTTGTCACCACTGCTGAGGTACTGTTGACTGCTTTCAGACTGGGGTAGGTATGCACGGTACCATCCACATGTAAATTTCATAGATGGATCCGACTTCTCGTTGTACAATAGAAAGAGGAGTCAGCCTGTACACATGTGCATCAGTAATGTTTTCTTGAATTTCCCAAACAAGACTACTTAGGACTTATACTGTTGGATCCAGTTTGTAGCCCGCCAGGGAGGAGTTTGAAACTTATCATCAGCTCGCAGCCCATTCTCAAGTGTTTCCGTCGTTGGACTTGGTTACAATAGGAAAAAGTTCCTTGCTTTGCATCATCATGATGTATTTATGCTTTTCATTGGTGATATACACGATTTAATACTAAATTACATGTATTTATGGACGACACCGCATGACCATCTTCATCCTTACAGAGCCCTTACAGAAGCAGATCAGCAAGAGCTCATCCATTTCCACATGTGCATGAATTTTATGCTGAGAAGGGATGCAGCAATCCATGCAGCTGACCAAGGAAGCACGTGCACAAGCTGTGCGCAGACCAGACACTGCAATTGATTTTTCACACTAAGGTTCAGTGACTAAAACAGTCAACTGCAAAGCATGCAAATATTCCCAAACCTTGAAAGTTCTCCCCAACTCCTACCTGCCCGACCTTCTAGTTTCCTGCGCATATACGCAGCAGCACAGCAATCTCCTATTGCACTTGCAGAGTTCCGAGTGAGTTCAATCACCTGCTAGAAGCACATTGGAGTTATTAAAGTTGAAAGAAGTGCCCTTCAAAGGCGCGGAAGGCAGTCCATAGTAACCCATTGCTGCCATTGAAAGATCGTGGTGTAGATAATTTCCCTAGTCAACCAGACCAGCCACCAGATCACTGCCCAGGTGCATTCAGACACTGATTCAAACCTACTCACAGAGTCTGGTGTCTGCACTTTCCTGGCAGGAATGTGGGATGATGACCCGTTCACAACGACAACGGTGTGACAGCTGAGCGACACAGCATTCTATATTAAGGACACTGCTGCCTCGCTGAATGACTCATTCCTCCCCTACCCCATCGTGTGGCGTAATGTCAATCTCCTCAAAGCTGTTTGGCTCTGCAGAACAACAAAGCTATGGTGTTACTGGGTTTTGCTCCAACACAGAATTGTAAACAGGAAGAAAGCACCATATCCTCTGCAACCGGAGCGACATTGTAAGGCTGATCTGCAAGCAGAATCTGTTAATAAAGACACAAATTGATGAGATCAAAGGGAAGTCAGCCTCGCACCATCAAGGAGAGCAAAAGTGAGGGCGAGGGTATCGCCATTCTCCACCTTGCTGTCAGCCAGTGTCAAGGAGTCCTGTAGCTCAGCGCCCTCTCTGAAAAGCTTCATCTCTTTTGGATCCTGCACAGAGCAGAGGGAAGAGGGTGGAGGAGCGCGGCTGGCATCAGGGATGAAGGAAAGCCCTTGCTGGGAGGCAGCATTGCTTCCACCGATGTTGACACAACCAGGAAGATGATACGACACTTATATCAATCTGGCTTCAGAGATAACCATAAGAGTGAAGCGTCGTCTGACAGATCCCCAGGTCGCACCTTCTGAATTAAGTCTTGAAGCTTGGCCTTCACTTCTAGGATGGTCTCCGTCAAGTCGATGTGCAGGAAAAAAGTGGACTTTTTGCGCTTCACTTTGACATAGACCCATTTATTGCCCGCATCCTCCGAAGCCTGCATTCGGCAACAACGCGATGAACCCACCATTGCACATCAGCTATGGTGATAAAGACAGCAATTTAGCACCTTTCACGCTTGTTTTCGCCATTGAATCTCAATCTACAAGCAATTGTCTTTTAGCCCTCAACATCAGCGCCAGACGTCCGTCACGAGGGACCAATGTCGTGAACTAAAAGGTTGTCCGGTACACTTTTTATGAAAGTCAGTGTGGCGTTCGCAACGCACCATGTTCTTGAATTGTCAACCAATAGTATAACAATGTTCCGAATTTTCCAAAGCCTTGGCTTTGCTTGTTTCTCGCCAAACGAAGATGATCAACCAAACGGAACTTTGCAGATCAAGAATGGCTTTGTTATGAACGATGTACTCAATTGAGTGTCTTGGGAAACGTAATGCTTCTGCTTCCAACCAAACGGAATAGACACTTCTGTTCGTACAGTACTGATTTTTTTGAAACAGTCTGTCTGACTTCCCAAAGCTGCGTTGTATACATTAATTCCCTCGGAGCCACGCCATCAAAGGGGTTTGGGGGGTTTCCCTTCCAGGCTTTTCTCGTGGAAACAATGAAAAGCCGAGTGTTGCTAGGAGATCAGAGAAGGAAATACTAGAGATCCAAAATTGCACGATGTGCTTTGATTGGTGACATCGCATGAACGGAGCAAACGCTCTGTGCCATAAATATATGGGTGATGGAAAAATTCTTCACTCACTGAACGCTGGTAACAAAAAGAACACGAGTACGATTCTTCCGTATAGCTTCAGAGGCGATGCTAGTAGCATCTGGGATCTTGACGCGTTTGAAAGTGCTTGAGGGAGAAGGCAAGGTGAGACATGGAGTTCAGGGATTGGATCTCGGAGAGGCTCACGCCTGCAGTCATGGTCATCTCTTCTCCAGAAGCCGAAGAGATGTGCCAGGAGAAGAACGGATTGACAGTCGTCGATCTCTTGCGCCCCTACGGCTTTCTTCACCAGCTGAGTGGTGAGTTCGTCAAGCCTGATGAAGCACCGCTCTTTTAGTTTCACCTGGATGCCTGAAGATTAGACACGACTTTGAGGCCGACTAAGCCTCCTACCCTCAACTGAGATTACTTGATTAATAACAGACTGAGCAATTGTAGGAATACCAAACAATACTTACAGATTGGACAGCAGTAGCTCAGGTACTGTTCACTGAACATGTCCATCTGTGCCTTTGACAGTGCCGGTTCGCACCGTGGGAGAGCATGCATACAGGATACGGGAGTTCAGAGTTCGCTTCTACAGAGCAGACATGATGTTCCAGCCCTCCCCAGAGGTAATGGTCATGCGATTCTGCCAGAGTCAAGTGCAGGTCATCCTCTTCAAGATCATATCTGATCATGCGGCAACAAATGCATGGTGAATCAATCACTATTCAACCATATTGAATGGCATGCAGGCCGCAGATGAGTACCTGAAGGGGGTATTGAACGCAGCTGCCAAGGAAAGCGGTTCTGTGGAGATCCCTGATGTGATGGCTGCCGTGCAGAGCGGTACGGCACAGGAACCCACTGTTCCTGTGCGCTGTCTCGAGCTCAGATGCATGCAACTGATGCAGTCACATGCATGTTACGCAAGTAGCTCAGAGAGTATGGCTACCACTTGCCTTAGAGGGGGTTCACATGGTGCCGAATCTCTGCAGCATGGCATCTGCACTCACGCCACATCTTGGCAGTTCCCTTGCTGCTATGTAGCATTGATGTGAACTATATTCGAGATGATTGTGTTTCATGCTCGCAGGCAAGGGCTTCCTGACAGACAACACTCCTTGGTGGGACAAGTATCGGGATGAGTTTTTCCGCATGACGTCATTCGGCGAGCTTGAGACATTCGACCACCCTGTGGCATGTAAGACCCCATTACGCCTGTCCCTCTCTAGCTCATCGTAGTCGAGTCCTGCACTTAGTCAAAAGCAGCTGTAATCCTGAGACACATTGTTCTGGAACGAATTCTGTGTATTGTCAGACATGTCAAATCAGCCTCAGGCATAACTGTAACTCCACCACCTATTGACCAATGGGTGAACAGACTCTACAGCCTTGGGACATCAAGAAGTGATGAATCTGATATGAGGCATCATTGATGAGCGCATGGAGCTATCTCCACAGCATGACGTTCACTTACTGTAAAGCATGAGTCCCAAAGTGCTGCCGGCATGCATGTGCAGGCTTGCTGGTGCTGCATGCGCATGCAGAGAACCCAGTGGAGGCGTTTGGGAAGCTCTTCCACTCTTCGCGCAAGCCGCCCCTCATGGCAGAGGGCAAGATGGAGCATCGCATTGTCATGCACCACTTGCTCATCCATGGCGACAATGTGCAGGCGGAGGGCGGCTATGCCAGGTGCTACAGCTGCACCTCGTCCATGCATAGCCATCGCACATGATGTCAGCGGCATTAGCTCAGCATATACTGTCAGCCAGGCCATCGGCTGGTGGGCTCCTGCAACATGGCAAGCTCGGCAGGAAGCAAGCATGCAGGCAGGCCTTCATTGATAGCAGCCGCAGATATCTGGGGAACCGGCAAGCATTTAGGAGTTGTAGGGTGTGATTACTACAATCTCCAGCCATGTTCAAATGAGCAGATTGAGAGCCTGTCTGAGCAAGATGATGACCCAACATGTGCAGGTCAGAGGAGAAGCTGAAGGCAGCGCGGGTGGCACTGGGGACAGCGGCAGTGCACCTGATCCGGATCAACTCTGGCAGGGGCGATCTCTCCAGCAAGCTGGGCTATGAGAGCCTCTGGCGCCACCCCTTACCAGGCACCCTGCCGGGAGGTGGTGCTGGGGAGCCACCCTCCAGACCCCCAGTCCCCACTGCGGTGTGTTTCTGGCCCGTTATTTAACATTCATTGTGGTTCGGTAAGCTGCAGAAAGGGCCTGGGCCTCTGATCTTGTCATGTTGCAGGCAGCAAGTGAGTAGGCAGACTTACCGCAAAATGTCAATTACCTATGACAATACCATAATGTTACGTTTGTCGCCCTTCCTAATTCTTCTTGTCGCACCCATGCTCCTTGTTGATCATCGATGAAAGCTTTGATAGGCAGGAAAATCGGACCCTGGGCTAATTTCATGGATATACCTTAAATTAGGGCTATGGGGAGTGCCTGACCAAGGCCAACCTGGATGACATCAAGCGCTTCTCGGAGGACTTTGCTGTCAGGGCACTGCTGCCTGCCATGGAGGCCCGAGTGCGCGCTCTCAATCATCAGGCAAGCACCCACCTCCATCCCATTTGCCGCTGTATCATTTCTGGAAGACTGATCAAGGTGTGTCACAGTATTCTTGTCGGAGTCTTGAAAGGACATGCTTCTTCTTCATACATATCCCCTTTTCAGATGCCTCCTCACTGCACTGGGCCCAATAGAGCTGGATCGCAAGCATCCGCTGTTCAGAGACGTGAAAGGAGAGGACCTCCTGAATGTACAGGTGACGTCCACAAGGAAGGGACTGCGAAACCAGCTGAAGACGCTGCTTTGGCGGAAGCAGCCGGGCGGCGCGGCCGGCAGGGACTCCCCGATGGGCTCGGTGCACGGCGGCTCCGTACACGGGGGAAACGCGGCGAGCGCCGTAAATGGCAGCGTGGGCACCTACGGTATGGGGTCCGTAGAGGGCCAGATGCGCGCTCTGGCGGACCTGGCATTCACGATGCAGGACTACGACACCGCGCTGTCCACGCTGCGCCTGCTGGCCAGCGACCTGCGCGCTGACAAGGCATGGAAGCAGTACGCCGCTGTCCAGGTGACCATGCCCTCTGCGCCACACAGCTTGCCCTTTGCCATCCCCCCCCCCAACATAGTGAAATGGTTTCCAAGCTTATGATGGTGTTCAAGTGACACCACTTGGGCTCAGCAATTTGGGTAACCTGCACCCAACTGCACCCTGAAGAGAGAGACACTGTGCACGAAACACTCCGCGTCATATTCCTTCACTGGTGTTGCGCAGGAGATGATTGGCATTTCGCTGTTCATGGCACGGGGCACAATGAGCGAGGTGTTGGGAGCTTTCAAGGAGGCTTTCTACCGGTACAACACTGCTGCGCCGCACGAGACTGCTCCGCGCGAATGCGTGCGCTACGCAACTCGCTCCATGCTGCTGGCAGCGGAGTACGCGCGCCAACATGGAGCCTACAATGAGGCCAACTATGCCCTCATGAAAGCCCACTTCCAGGTGGGGGTCCCTGCCCTATTTTGACTGCCACGCTTCTGAACCTGTCTCAAGACAGCAATTATGCACCATGGCCAAACCTTGCAAAGACACTTGAGAGAACCACGGTCAATCCTTCATGTGGTTGATGCGCATCAATGCGGAAGATAAGCTACACTCTGTATGGCTGGTGCGCTGGGATTATTCCCTGCAAACAGCATTGCCGATGATTGAAATGTTGGAGATCATTGTTCCTCAGGAGGAGAACCTGCGGGCGGCACTGCTGCTGGAGCAGGCGGCGCTGTGCCTGCTGCGCGTCTCGCCTCCCTCGGTGCGCAAGTACGCGTTCCACATGGTGCTTGCCGGTCTGCGCTACAACGCATGCGACCAGAAGGCGCTCGGTATGCGCGCCTACAGGTTCGTCCTTTCCGTAGATTCCCATGCATGGCAATTTTTTGTGTTTTTCTTGATTTTCATATACACTGGTGATTTTACCTGCGCATGATTGTACATGACGGTTGCTTGTTCATTCCTGTGTAGCAACTTGTAGTAAGGCAAGCTCTGCACAGTTCAGACGCTTCAGCCATTCTCAGTGAGTCCCACCACTGGAAGCGCAGCGTGCTCTTACCGAGCGAATGGCACATGCTTGTTTTGGTTCATCGTATGTTCTCTAGCTGGATGCCCTGTGGCAACCAATGCAATAGTTAACAGGCATGTGGGGAATCTGTGGCTGCGCAGGCAGGTGCTGTCGGTGTACAAGGGCCACAAGTGGGCCTTCATAGAGGAGCACATTCACGACGTGCTGGGCAAGCAGAGCCGCGACGCAGGAGATTTCGAACTGGCGCTGCAGCACTTTGCAGCCATGCTGCAGTGCTCCCACTCGCCGCCTTACTGGCAGGCGCACTATCTCAAACAGTTCCTGGACACCGTCGCAGCGGCCACAAAGGCCAAGGTTGGGGCCACGTATGTTGAAAGCAGTGGGGGATTGGCTGAGTGCGTTTGGCTTGTAGGTGTCAAGCAGATGCACAGCTTCAGGAGGGTTTTCACCTTGTCGCAGCCACGAAGGCCAGGATGGGGGGTAGCATGCTGTTTGGGGGGTACCATGCTTTTTGATTTGCACCGGTGCAGATCAGTAAGGGGGTCGGCAAAATTCAAATTTTCCTTTTAGGTTCTGGAGGTGTCTGGTGGGCGTACTAGCTCAAGCACTTCGTGTATACTGCTGCCTCTGCTGCAACGACCAAAGGGGGGCTGCAGGATGCTCTTCTGGCTCAAAGGGCGTCCTATAAAGCACAAAGGAGAATGGCTGGGGGTGGATAATAAGCCTGGTGTGTTCTGCAGGGGGCGGCGCCAGTATTGGAGCTGCCACTGCCGGAGGTGGATGCAGAGCATGTGACTGTGCAGGCTGACAACGAGATCTGCCATGGCAACCCCGAGTCGCGCACGCAGCCCGAAGAGCTCTGGCGCTCTCTTGAGGGGCCGTTGCTCTCTGGTGAGCCACATCTTCTTTGTCCCTGCATTGCATGGAACCTGAATTCACAACCTTGCTTCCCAGAGGTACTTTATGACCTTGGCATCGTTCTTCCTTTTGCAGCTTCTTCCTTGTGCATCATTTACTAGTATCCCAGCTATTAGAAGGGTTATGCATGATGCGCTCCTTGACAGCTGATATCAAAAGCACCTCTATTTCGCATGTTTTTTTTTAAGAAATCCTGCATGGTGCATTGGTGGTTTGTGTCCTGCTTGGATCCGGCAAGTCCATCGAGGGGTACTACCTAGTAGGTATGTGGCAGCCTTTACCTGCACTTTGTCTGCAGACGCACCTTGCCTCAGGCAGGAAAAGAGTGTAATAATCATAATTATCACTAAATGCATGAACTGTGCTGCAGGATTGGATACAGGCACGACCTGGTTGGATGCCGGGGGCAGCAGCAGCAAGGTGTCAGCGCTGCAGCTAAGCACGGCGGTGGCAGGGGAGATGATCGAGGTCCTCATATCCCTCGCCAACCCCCTGGCCGTGGACCTCCACGTCTCGCGGCTGCGCCTGCTCTTCGAGCCTGAGCCCATGCCGACAGAGGGTGACCTGGGTCAATATGCAGAGGTAATCATTCAAATTGCACTGATCTGCCTATCGATGTCTGCTTATCCATCACTGTTGGGGCCAGGCATCAGTCATGGTTGAGTACCTGGTGGATGATGTGAGAAATGACGTGACACACTCACATGATCCACCTAGGTAAACGATCTTGAATGATGTTCTGATTAACGTCTCAAACAGTCAAGGACTTATTTACACGCGAGGGAGTTCATGCATTTGTGCCGACAGGTAATGTTGTGTGGTCTTCCTTGACAAGTATAGAACTCTGTGGGTACGTGAACGGATGTCTGTCATCATAATCTTCGCGTTCCTGCTCAATAGTAAGATCATGTCATAAGCTGCTATTCTGTGCTGTCCAGGCACAGGAGCAGGCAGTGGTCTTAAAGGGTGGAGAGCGCGTGCGACTGGCTTTGGGGCTGCGGCCACTGCGGCCCGGGCTACTCACCCTGACCGGGGTGGAGTGGCTGCTGGACGGGAACGCCCCCGGACGCAAGCTCTTTGCTCCCAAGCGCCCCAAGCACCGCCGCACCGCCTCCCGGTGAGTCATCTGCGTTGTTTCCATGAGACAGAATTTGTTCTGGTTGTGGTGCATGTCATTGCCTCCCTCCATGATGTATCGGAAGGATTGGGTTCTTCTGATGCATCTTTGAGCTTGACAATGACTTGTTCCAAAGAGCAGTGGCAGGGTGAGGAGGTATCATTGAGAAATCTTGAAGAAACAGTTTGGGGCAATGCAGGGCTGCCACGAAGGCCGAGGTGCAGAGCCAGTGCCTGTCCTTCAGCATACTGGATGCCTTGCCCCGGCTGGAGGTGAGTCAACTCTCCAGTTTTCCATCTTCATTTCTTTATCTGACTTAACAATGGTTGTCTGCTTACACGTGGGCAATAAACTCTGCTCACAGATCGTTCGTGGCTAGCAACCAATTTGGAAGATCTACAAAGCAAAAGCAGAAAGAATTGCATATCTTTGTGCAGGCATCTGTGGAGCAGCTGCCTCCGACCATGCTGGCAGGGGAGGTGAGGAAGTGCACGCTGACACTGCGCAACACAGGCAAGGTGCCCCTGCGCAGCATCCGGGCAGTCTGCAGCAGCCCCGACGTGTACCTGCCTCCTGACGACGCTGATGCAAGCGGGGCAACTGTTGACAGCTTGGCACCAGGTGCACCATTTTCCCTGACTCTGCCATCCGTGGTATTTGTCAAGATTCAGCAGACACACCCCTGCTCACCTGCCATGCTGTCAATGCAGCGCCTCCTGATGCATAGTCTTTTCTGACAATCAACCGGCAATAATTCAGGCCAGCAGGTAGAAGGGGTAGGAATATTTGGATTCCAAGGTACCACATTGTCTGCAGAAGCACAGAACTGATACATGCAGACGGACCAACGCTTCTTTACCAAAAAGCAGGACGGATGCACAATCAATCATCAGGTCAATCATTACGTGCCTGGGGCATGCAGGGAGGGAACGCGCGGCAGGGACGTCAGCGCTGCAGCAGCCGTGCCTGCGGCTGCGACGGGGCCTGACGCTCTACACATGGCCTGCCGCCAAGGCGCTGGGCCCGGGCGAGGAGCTGCAGTGGCCTTTGTGGGTGCACCCGCGGGAGAGGGGCCAGTTCGACTTCCACCTCGCTGTGTTCTTTGAGCCTGCGGCGCCAGTGGACGGCATGAATTACAGGTAGGTGGCAGGCGCCCTTTCGTTGCAGCAGGGTAGTGGCGTGGGGATGTGCAGGGGTCCAGATGTCCACTCCCCAGGCGTTGAAATAAGTGGTTTGATGGTGTAGTACCAGCTTGTTGTGGCCCTCTGGCTTGCCACAGCTTCTCACAGATGCTGGCGCTCCTCCTGCATGTTGGCACACCGCTCCATGTGTCAATCTGCAGTGGCATGCAGTGTTGGAAGCCAACAAGGATCTTGCGATGAAAATGTTTTTCAGTCTTGCTTGAAGCATCACACATTAAGTATCCTCTGTGCATTACGTGGTGCATCTCTTCTGATATGGATCATGCCGGCAGGGTGCTACGGCTGAGTCACTCGGTGGACGTTCTGCCGTCTCTGGATGTGGCCGCCAGCCTGGCCGCCTCCAGGGCCGACCTTGTCACCTTCCTGCTCCGCCTCTCCATGCGCAACATGCAGGTGAATTTCTTCTCACCTTTCCTACACACTATCTAAGGAGCGCGGTTGAGTGATCAATAGGCTACAGCACAGATGGCAGGAAAGTGGGATGAGTAGAAGGGCCCTGTCAGTGCCAGAGAAATCAGGCAGGCAGACATGCAAGCAACAAGGCCCATGACACACAAAACACCTGGCTCGGTCTGTAGGGATACACCCACATTCATAATTAAAAGTACCAAACTTCCCAGGACTGCTGCAATTCCTGGGCTACATCAGAGGATGGTCCGCGGCTGCAGAAAGAGGCAGTTTCATGCATTTTGTCCAAGCTCAGGTGCTAGCAAAGAAGTGATGCGTGGGGTGTGAAGCAGCCCTCAGCAATGCGCAGCAAGCTGGTTAATATTGCTCATGTGCTCTTTGCTGCAGGGGCTGCAGGCGCTGACAGTGCGCCAGGTGTCCTGCCTGTGCGACAGCTGGCGCATCTCCCAGCTGGGCAGGCGGGGCGAGGCCGCCTCTGCTGCCCTGCAGCCTCCATCCACATCGATCACCCCCGCCATCGAGCTTCCTGCAGCTTCTGTGGCAACTGCCTACTTCCGCCTGCATCCCCCCGAAGCCTCCGCCGCGGATGCAAGCACCAGCGCTGGCGAGGAGTGGGTGAAGGCTGTGGAGGGGCCACTTGCGCATTTCCACACAGAGCGCATGAAGAGGCTGCAGCTGGACTCTGAGCCCGAGCAGCAGGCATGCCCCTCCCTGTGAAAGTACTACATGATATTTCTGTGCCAGCATTGGTCAAGCATGTACACTGGATGTACCGTGATACTTCTGAGACCGATTTTAAGCTCTTTACATATGGTGCCGGAAGCGAGGGTAGTCTTACCTTGTTTGCGGCGCCTGTTGTAGTGAGTTCTATTCTGATTGCTCTTCATCGGGACGTTTGAAGGCCATGCACTGCTGTGCGCTAGCGCAGCTCTGCGACTTGTGATCAGCTGATCTGAAACAATGCACCCCACAGGATTGAGCCTCTACCAGGATAAAACTACTAGGATGTTTTCGACTGAGGGGTTGTGTGTTTCGCCCGTGCAGTTTCCTACGCGGCCGTCCAAAGCAGAGCTGCAGCGGGCAGCCCTAGAGCAGCAGCCGGAGCCATCAACTTCAGACACTCCTGAGAACAAGGGGCCGGACATCATCGTGGTTTGGGCGCTGCCAGACGCTGCCGGCAACCCCCGCTGCATCGGCGCTCACCACGTCTGCGACCTCCAAGAAAAGGTGAACCACTTTTCCATTGAACTCTGCTTTGTGTGCTTCTGATCTGGGCACCCATGGCATTATCTGCCCCACAACACCCGGACATGCAATTTGAATTGCGCACCAGATCTAGGAGCTTGTTTATTGTTTCCCACTGTTGGAAGAGGGAAGCGGCGCCAGGCGACAGTCCAAACGTGTAGCTTTCAATGCTGTCGGCAATTGCGACATCCTCAGTATTTGTCTTCGGGTGCCTTCTGCCTAGCTGTGTGGCCCTCTGAACCCACTCAGTGGGTTGAATTCTGCATCAGGATTCGTTAACTCTTATCTGTCATCCAGGAGAAGGTGGCGATAAGGGCGACGCTGCGCGGGGAGGAGCGGCTGAGGCACAACTTCCGCGGCGGCGGCATGTGCGCAGCTGCCCTGCAGCTGGACCTGCGCAACTGCAGCGATGCCACAGCCTCCCTCTGCATCGAGACCGGAACCGGAGCGCCCGGCAGAGGCATGCTCCTTCCCCGTTTTTTTATAGATGGATGAGAGTTGTTCTGCTAGAGCAGTGCATGAAGAGGGTCGGTCTCTCTATTGACAGTCTGTGTGCTGTGTCCCAATTTGCCTGTACTCTACCTCAAAATCCTTTCAGCTGAATTTACTTGAACGGATCGTAGGAGGGTACTTACCCATATCCTCTGCTTGGAAGGCAATCCACTTACACGTTTAAAAATACAAAAGGGCTTGCTAAAGCAGATACTGTCATTTATTGTGTGATACTATTTCATACAGCACTGATGAAAGGACTGCCATTGCTGCAGGCGAGGCTGTGTGGCGGCGCACGCCTGAGCTGGCTCCTCAGAGCAGCACGAGCGCCGAGGGTGCCACAGCTGTGGCGCCGGAGCCCCCCGGCGGCAGCGGGGGGCCCGTCCCTGTGGGTGCCAGATCTGGCACGGACTACCTCTGGTGCGGCAGCGTCCGCACGCTCGTGTCCTCGCTGCCTGCCGGGCAGGCCACAAGCGTCACTCTGCGGGTGCGCCCCCCCCCTTGCGTTCTCCTTTCAAATTAATGTCATTCAATAAAACCAGGGACAATTCACAGACAGACAAGGCTGTGCGAGCGCCAATGAAAGGAGGAAGGGCAAATTGTCAAGATTGCAAGGTTGGTTTTCTGGAGACACCCCCAGTAGGAAGTCAAGCACAAGCTGACGTCGGGATTGCTCCGAGATGCTTGAGAAAGCTGTTTGCCCCTTATGTTGCACAAGCAGCAGCACTATTCCGCATGTGTTGCAATGGGAATGTGTGCATGCAATCAGCTCTTTGGTGCTTGTAGCTGGCAGCTTTGGTTTTGCTGAAGAGCGTCCGAGCTGGGGTGATTGTATTGCAATGGCATGTGTACAAGCAATCAGATGTTGGCTGCCTGGCTTCACCACGTTTTGGCATCGGGGGAAAGTGTCTGAGCAGGGGTGAATGGTGCAGGTGGCTGTCATGGCGCCAGGCGTGTATGACATCAGCGATTACCTCATACGCTGGGCGTTCCCTGATGTGGACAAGCTGCAGTACAGCCAGCCAGGGCCGCCACTAGTGCTCAGAGTGGAAGATGAAGAAGAAATTTAGCCATAGACAGAACTGCACAAAATTATTTGCTTTCCAGCCGTACTTTGGCACAAGCTGCTGGCACCAGCACATGCCATGTTAGCTATATTGTTGAATAGCAGAGTAGCAAACTGTACAGTAAAGTTCAAGAACTTAAAAATATGTAGATTTCGACTCCTTAAAGTTGCAGTGTCTGTCTTACGTCCAATGTTTGGAAATGAAAAGTGGTCTGATCAGCCTAACAGCCTGAAGGCAAGCTTGGAGTCGCCCATCAAAATCGACTGGCCAAAGCTGCATTCAAGGGGCAAAACTGGTGCAACTGTAATGACATATCACAGTATCTCGAGAATAAAGGAACTGTCTAGCTAGTATGTCACCAAAATATTGTTGCAAGGCGGACCCATCCCATTGCAAGATGACCATCAAATTTCCTCATGGACTGGCGAGTTATACCCCGGACAATGAAGAAACAATCTTTGCACAGCTCTTGAACATCCATCACTCCCAACGCCCATACTGATCATAATGAAACAATTCCGCAATATTCAAATCGCACAATGAAAGGAAGGAGATGAGAAATCAGCTCTCTTCAGTCCATGCAACTAAGGAGCAGATCACGCTGCTGAGTCCGACCTCGTTCTCGATCGGGTTCTGACACCGTTTGCAGCCAGAGCAGGCGTTGCAGGCCCCTCAACATCTTCACCCCTTTCCTCCTTCACACCATCTCTCCCTGCAGCCGCGTCTGCAACAACTTCACTTCCCTCTCCCTGACCCCCTTTGCCTTTCGCTCGCCGCCGTTTCCTGCCGAAAGTTGCCTCACTCTCAATGGACGCTCCGGCACCCTCAGAGAGAGGGATAATGATGACATCAATTGGCGCTACAGTATTGGAGGTCTCTGCTGCGACAGCGGCCGCCAGTTGAGGTATTTCTGGGCCCTTGGCAACTGCCGCCCCTGAAGCGGCTGCGGCCGCGCCCGCGCGCATGATGTGCCCTGCACACAGAGACCGAGCGAGTCAGGCAGCAGAGATTGCTGAAGATCCAGACATGCTTGAGGGCTCTACTCCATTTGAGGACCCTCTCACATGAGGCGTGACGCAAAATACCTGTTATAATGATGTTGCTAGGCAAAGAGTGACATTGGCAGACACCTGGGAGTTAGCTCTGGGAAGACACTGATTGTGTAAACAGCAGCTGGTCATTTGGCTACTCAAGGTACAGAGATAGAAGTGCTGTCATGTTGCCTGGATCATAGAGCAGCAGGCGATGCATTCGGGTTGCTGCTGCTAGTACAGGCAATACAAAGCATCTCTATCTTGCACTGGGGCATAAGGCATACCTGTTGCTTTGGCATAGTCGTCCGGGTCCATGTCTGCCAGAGAACCGAACAGGTCTTCGTACCCTTGTCTGAGCTCAAACCAGTACACCAGAAACTGGTACGGTGCGTACTTCTCATACACCTGTCCAATGTACACATGCAGCTGTTTAGCATTCTGCCTCTTGTTCGCGGGTTCAACACTCTGTGGGCCACTTCCACAAGCAAATGGGCGAGATTTTCTCAGCGCGCTAGTTAGCGCCCACATGTTGCATGGCCAATCCACAGCTGAGGCATCATGAAGCATCCCTGTCACATGAGCTGAAAGTTCCAAAGGCAGCCATTTCAAAAGCACACTTCACGCCATTGCCTCTTTTCTAGCTCTGCGCGGGTGTTGTCCACATGCAAAAGACAACCCACCTTCTGGGCAGCCTCCTGCAGAGTTCTGGGGCTGAGCCCCGACAGCTTATGGCGGTGTTTCAGGTGGCGCGCAGTTTCTGTGTCGGCCGGGATGCGCTCAAAGTGCCCCAGCAGCTGCAGAACATTGGCTGCTGTGAAGGGTCCCATCCCAGACAGCGGCAGCAGCTTCTTGTACAGCGCAGATGCATCCATCCCTGGCTCCTCCAACGCCAGCCCCGACACTGTGCCGTCCAGAAACTAAACGCACCATTCCACCCCATGTCACATTCTTATTCACTTTACGCTCCTGGCACAGTCAGACTTGAATGGCAATGAGTTGGGATTTCCTCCTCAAAGAAGGACTGGAGGTAAAAAAAAAGGAGCTCTGTAAAAAACAAGCTGGGCGGTGGTTGGCGTGTGCATGTACTAAAATCTGAGACCCATAGAAACATCCCACTTGTCCAAGGCTGTAGCGCAGGTCCTAGACATGGAACTCAAGATGGAACCATGGTCCCTGTGCGTAACAGACGGTCGGCAGGGACCCCCAAGTTTTCATGATATCATTTCAAGGAGCCAAGAAATCTCCTGCACCTGCTGCGCCAAGCCGTGGATCGTTTTGCCGCGGTACCCAACGCCGCATCGGCTCTGCAGGGCTTCAACACCGGCAGCCGCCACCTGCGCGCCAGCTCCTTTATCTACTTGTATACAATATCCTTTGAAAGGGCATTAGGGTAGACTTTAGAAAGTAGAAGGTGCCTGGGTATTGTGAGTTCTGCCCACCTGGGCCGGGGTAGGGAATGCGCCGCCGCCGATCTCTGAGCACAGCGCAGCGTTCATGCTGATCGTGCGGCCCCACCTGTGAGAAATTGGTAAGATGATTCACATGACTGATGAGGTTCCGAAACTTTGGCCCATTGATAAGTGTGTCCTTCTCCTGGTGCTGTGATACCCTTTCAAGCTGACCTGACTGTATTCAAGCTACAGAAGCACCATTATAGAAATGACCTTCACAATTGCCAAGATCGCAAGGCGGTTGAGTTTGGCATGCAAGATCCAAACTCCGGAGTGTGCTTTGAGATTCAGATGGCCCTGATGGTCCCTTTCTCATGGCAGGCTGTAAGGTTCTATCTAGAGGCCTCACCCGCAGTTGCACAGTGTGATGCTTTTGACCATGTCCTCCCAGAGAGTGGGCGACCGGAACATGTGGCCAAAGCTGGCGGCCTTGGCCTCCGCATGCATGCGCTGCAGCGCTGCCACAACCTCGACATCGGCCGGGGCCAGGCTGAGCATGCGCACCACCTGTGACATCAGCGCCATGTCACCAATGACTCAGCTGAACTATTTTGTATGTCAATGTTGGGGGGCATGCGCATGCCTCCAGCTTTGTGCAAGTCAGCCCACTGTGGCTTTTCAGCTGCTAAACCTACGTGCAACAGTGCCAGCAAAATGCAATGTGTGCCCACTAACAAGTGCTATGAATTTGGGTCATAGAAGGATTACCTGGCTCTGAAGGTGTTGCTCATCACTAGTTGACAGGGGATCTGTGGTCTCCACGGCCACACTGAGCTCTGAGCCGTCCTCTAATATGGACTGGGTGATGCGCACTGGCACTGCTGTGTCGTCTGCTGTGCGCAGGGGCCTCTCAAAGGCGGGCTGGCTGCCGGGCACCGAGGAAACCGCCTGTCCAAGTGGAGCCTAGTAGATGTCAGGAAGAAATGTTGAAGGGCGGGAACCCACCCAGATGGGGAGGTGGGTCCAGGTATAGATTATGAACGTAGTCTCGTAATGTTCTATACTTTCAATTTCAACGCTGAGGCCTGAGCTACGCACCTTGACCCATCTGTTCGGAGCCAGCATGAAGAACCCGTAGCTGCTGACTGCCGTCGCCAGATCGAAGCCTGTCGGGGCAGGGACCTTGACGATGTGGCATGCAGTAGATCTGCAGCCTACTGACGCCATGCGTGCCTCTCCGGATCGCCTTCTTGCGATGACTGGACGGATAGCTAGCCAGATCAAGCCGGCTTCTCGGACGGCCAGTGCTCTGGTACTTCTTCCAGGTAAGATGGACAAAGAAATGATGAATTTAGATCGTTGCCGTGCTGCAAGAATTGCTGGACAAATAGAATCCCGACACAGTGCAGTGAGGATCAGTCTTGCAGAGCAATTGATCCCACTAGGAAAATTTTCCAAAATTGAGTGTTCGGACAGAGAGCTGCATACAAGCTCAAACTTGAAGCTTTATCTTTCGACGTTGATATCAATATTCCTCGTATACATCGCAGTCATCGCTGCGGAGTGTGGAGGAAGCTGCTTTTGAGCAAAGGATGATTACGTGAGCCACGTGAACGGTGAGTGAGCTTTGGCGCCAAAGCGCTCTCGGATGTATATTTCACGATACAAGTTAGCAGAGGAGGAATAGGTATAACGGATCCAGAGTGGCGAGGAAATCCACGTCTGTGATCCTTGCAGCCAGCCAAGGTGGCCTGTGAGTGCACAAAAGCTGTGACATCCAATAAAATCTGCATGCATTTTTGCAGAAATTCAGAGTGCAGCGTTTCTGTTGCTTATCTACAATGTAAAAAGTGAAGAACTATCAAAATATGATTAGCACACAAGAGGAGTGGCAGAATCCTTCAGGAATGTTCATAACTGCCGCACGACAACCGCCACTGGATTTTGGATTGTGACTCAGCGGGCATTATCTAGAAGCACAGCAGCTGGCCAAAGGCATGGAAAAGTCAGCATGCAGCCTGTTGAGCCAGATCGAGCAGGAGCTCAGTGCCCTGCGGGCTCAAACAGTGCATAACCTGGAGCAGAAGGTGCACCTTTTCCCCACTATAGCGAGCTGATATTCGTCACGTGTCAGTTGCAAAAGGCATGCAGCAATCATTTGAGCAAAAGGCTAAAATCAACTCTACACTGAAGCATACGGGTCCCTTGCCAACTTATGCAAGTAATGCTGTCTTCCCCGCTGAGGGATCTCTGCCAATATTAAAGGCTATTCGTTGCTGCCGAGAAACATCCAGGACTCCCCCTCCAACACGTCTTGGTGGTACCATTGCAGTTGGCAGAGAGGGAGGAACAGCTGAGCACAGTCAGCAGCAGATTCCTGCAGCTCCGACAGGACTTCGAGTACAACTTGCAGCTCCTGGATGGCCGCGATGCCGAGTTGATGCAGTATGAGGCGGAGGTTGAGGGGCTGCAGTCTGGCCTGGAACAGCAGGGATGCCTGGTGGAGGAGCTCCAAGCATCCCTCTCCAAAGCCCAGACAGGTAAGACATTGCCACAGTGACTCGCTTGGCCTTCATCGAGAATAGCACATCGGAAATCCTTGTTGTTGGACTGTCGCAGCACAGCATGGCTTGCTGACAGGCGTAGACCCGGTGCCCTGCCATCTGTTGCTGAGGTGTCATCACTTGTCAGCTGCATGATGTCAGGACACTCCTGTGCACGCCTACTGTGCAGGTCTTGTTCCTGTCGATGATGTATTTGTAGGAAATGTGATCGTTTTGCCTGGGGTTTTTGTGCAGACTTGGAGAGGGAACAGCAGGTGCTGCAGTCAGCGACAGAGGTGTGGCAGTCACACCACCAACAATTGGTCCAAGAAACCGCCCAGATCAGCCAGCAACACGAGCAGCAGCTGCGCAGCGTAGCCACTGACTTTGAGGCAAGGCAGGGTGCTGTGCTGGCTGAACTGGCAGAGGCAAGGGCCAAGATGGATGTGGCAGTGAACAAGAATGCTTGGTTGCAGGCGTCACAGGCAAGCCACTGGCTTTAGTTGCACGTGGTGAAGCTGCATGTCTCTCTTGATGCTTGAATTCGATTAACACTTCTAAGGGCAAGAGAAAGCTCTGATATGCAGTCTCACTACAGCAGGCCATCTTGACATGCACAGTGGGACTGCAAAGTTGATGGGAAATCGAGAGGGTCATGTCAAAAGTTTGTTTGGCTGGTGGACATCTGCAGGAGGAGGCTGCGAGGCGAGTAGCGGCTGCAGAGCAGAGCTATTCAGCAGCCACTGCTGAGCTGCAGGTGACCCTCGCATCTCATCACCCGCAAGCATGTTAATGAAGACATGCCAAACCAGTGCTGTGGCTTCCTTATTACAGCTGTGCCATAATCGGCCTTGCAACTCACCGAAGTCAGTAGAGAGACAAAGATAGAGGGTGTCTTGCTCAGGCGCTGCAAAGGAGCCGAGATGCTGCAGAAAGGGAGCTCACAGAGGCGAGAGCGCAGCTTGACCGGGAGCGCATACATATCCACAATTCCATAGCACAGCTTGAAGAGGTTGGTTACTCACCACAGCGTGGGTCCCACATGCTCAGTGAAACTTCTCGTCTCATCCTATCTAGACATCTGAACATCATATGAGCAGAGTGGCGTATGTACACCTCTGGTATCAATGCCCAAGGATGGGGGCATTGTCCGCTGCAGGAGAGGGGAGTGAGCGAGAGGAGGCACAAAGCAGCTGCCGCGCAGCTGCAGGCTGAGCTGGACGCGGCAACTGCTGCAGCCCAGGAAGCTGAGCGGAAAACAGAGGCGGCTGCATGTTCTGCAGCACAGCTGCAAGCAGAGCTGAAAGCAGAGCTCGCCAGACTCTCAGGTGCCAAGCATAAAGGATCATCAATCATGATGTGATTTACATGCAAAAATGAATAGTACTAGCTCTCCCTGTGGCAAGGAATGCTTCCTGAAAGAGTGTCTTTTGATCTCTGTGAGAAGCAGAGTGTAAGCAGAGATGTTTACATATCGTAACATGCATGCAGGTCGGAGTGCAGCGCGAGAGGCTGCAGAGAGGGAAGGCGTGGGGAAGCTGGAAGCTGCACGGAATGAGTGCAAGCAGCTGGAAGAGCGGCTGCGGTCCCAACACGATGCAGAGATGTCTGGGCTGAGGCAGCAAGTCCAAGATTTGCAGAGGTAACACCCCAGCCTGTTGCAAATAGTTGAACACCGCATGCGAAGGCAATAGACAAAAATAAACTGGTTGATGTTGCCATGGCTATAAACATGCATGTTCTGGAACATCCTCTGTAAAATACATTGTGATAATGTCAGACTGTGTGCGCAGGAGGCATGAGAAGGAGTTGCATGACCGTTCAAAGGCGGCAGCAGCTGAGATTACTTTCTTGGAGGCCAAGATTCAGTCCTTGGAGCAGGCACTCAAGAAGGGGACCAACGGCATGCAGAAGCTGCAGGTTGGGTCTCACCCTTCTCTGAGTTGTGGCACAAGCGCAATATATTCTCCACAGCAATTACTATTGGGCATTCTTCTCTGGCAATGTCCAACAAACATTTAAATCGAATTTGATTATGATGATGTGGCATTCCGGGGAGCAGGAGGCACAGGCAGCTTTGTCATCGAGGGATGCTGAGCTGGTAGCGCTGCGCGCTGAGGTGGCGGCTCTGCAGACGGGAACGCCCCAAGCTGGCGCGGCAGCCCGATCAAAAACTCACAAAGCTGCCGCCGCAACTCCTGAAGGGTCTTCGGCGGCGGCTGCACAGCGCTATAGTCAACTCAGTCCCGGGTAAGCCATTGCACCGAATAACAATCATCCTGCATGCAATTGAATATTTCACAAAGTTGTATCTGTATCATGAAAATGCATGGGGTGTGCAAGGGTGGCAGTGACGTGCAGGTGGAATTTCCCGGAGCCAGAGTCCCCTGACTGGCTGCGGGGCGCTCTTGGGGGCGCCAACAGCGCCAGAGGATTTGAGGAGGACGCCTCGAAGCAGCTGCGCCTTCAGAATGCCGGCCTGCAGGTCACAACACTGACTTCACTCAGAACATTACCTTGTCAACATCCATTCTTGGCACTCATAACAGTTATCTTCAGCAGTCAACAACTGCCATCTTGCCCAAACAAGGTAGATCAAGTGAGGAAGTACACATGCATCCCTGGCACTCACAAATCCTACCCTCGGCAGTCTTTTAGGTCCGATCGTGCTCAAATATCAACAGCAAGAGTTTAACAGTAAAAGTGACTCATAACATGATTTATTGCGGCCGGCAGGCGGCACTGGAGAGAACGCAGCAGGAGAACAAGAGGCTGTGCGCTGCGCTGGCAACGCTCACTGCTGACATGGAAGCACTCGCGCACGCCGTAAAACGCCCTGTCGCAAACTCCTCTCCCCGTAAGCATCCGTAATCTTTACACTGGCACCGTGTGCTGTCTATGCACTTACCTGCATGTCAAGCATTTTGTCCCAAAGGTGTGGGTTAGCATGCATCCTGTTTTGGCCACTCCAGTGACGAGCAAGCATGAGGCACGCAAGCCATCCTTTTCAGCATCCTGAAGATTGTACATGTGTGTGATTACCTGGCTGGAGCATGTGCACACAAGCAGGAGCAGCAATACAACTTTCCATCAGTGCCAGAGAAACCTGTCGGTTAGACATTAGTGTTCCCGGATTAAATATTTTCTGCATGTTGTGGATCATTTCAAGGAAAATCACCTTGGCTGGCTGGCAAGAAATAATTGCTTGATGAAAGAGTGTATCTGCATTCGCCAGTTGTCGCTGAGCTGGAGCGCCAGCTGGCGGAGGCGCAGCGCAGCGTGGAGCGTCTGAGCGGGGAGAACGAGCGGCTGATGGAGATCAGCAGCGAGCTGCGCGCGCAGCGCCACAAGGCCGACCGCGCCGCCGCCCAGGCCGGTGAGCTGATAAGACTTGAATGACTGATGGAAAATATCAATGACTCATCGACAGCTCGTCTGCTCTGGTAGTATTGACATTCCTCCGCCTGGCTTGTCTGCACTGTGCCTGTCTTCAGCAGATAGTACACCGGCCGCATTTGGCCGCCTTGCTTTGTGTGTCAGAACCCATTTTTCCAGAGAGTGTCTGTATCTCACGGTTCATAAAAACACGCAAATCTCTTCAAGAATGGTGAAATAGATGGCTCTTGATATACTGCACTGCCGGGCACCTGCACATTCCCAAGCTGCTATGCCAAGTAGCTTTATGCCCTGTAACACTTACCCTGTGGTACCCAGTATTTGTTACTCATAGTTTTGACCTTCACATCATTGTATGGTCTTCTGTGCAGGTTCTGCGCCGCAGCAGGCAGCCAATATGGGCGCAATGGTGCCTGTTCAGGGCGCAGCCAGGCCACAATATCCTGCGCTGCCCCCCGGCTTCTTCGGCGCGCCAACCCCCGGCGGCTTCCAGCCCTACGGCGCATCCCCCCTGCATTTCTTCGTCGGCCCCCAGTTCCTGCCCCCTTTCTCATTCCCCAACCCGCCAGCTCAGCATGACTCGCGTCCGCATCAGCAGCCAAGCACAGGAGCACAGGAATCATCCAGTGGGGGTGGGCAGGGGGCGGGAACCGCAGGCAAGGGTGGCAAAAGCGATGGTGCTGACGGGGACAAGGGGTATGATGCTGATGTGGCGCAGCGGCTTCGCAGAATAGAGGCTCTGGCCGAGGAGATAGCGCTCGCGCAGGTGTGTCACTGGTATTCACGCTAGTACTGAAGAGACCAGAGAACTCAATAAGCCAAATGACAGTTGTAGCTTCCACCACTGGTTGAGGAGAGGGTGTATGGGCCCAGGGATGAGGGGGGAATTAATTGCATCCTGTTTATGGGAAGGAGAAGAGTCTTTGGGCATTGCAGCGTGCCATTTAGGGAGAGCGATGGAGGATGGGGATCAAAGGTGCATTTATGGTGTTGTGCAGGTGCAGGGGGGTCAGAACAGGCAGCGAATTGCCAACAACCGCAGCAGCAGACTGAGCGCCGGGCAGGAGGTGAGTCACTAATGACTGTTCTTCGGTGCCTGACCCGCTTTCCTTTCTTGTGCACATCCTCACGCTACTTAAATTAAAAGCTACTGGGGTCTAGACTGCTGAGTTTAGTTGACTGTGCCCATCAATACAATACCTTGAATAATTGCCAGCGGCCGTTCACAGGGCGGCGCTGAGGACGCTCAGGAGAATGCTGGGGTTGCCGGTGCCAACATGGCAGCGCCAAGGGTGAATGTGCCGCTCAACACAGCCTCTTCCAGATGCACCCCTTCCCAGGCATGCTTCCACCCAAACCATCTGCAATCTGCATTTTGGGTCTCCACACTCACAGTTCCACTGCACGACGCTTGTGCTGGGGAATTGCACTTGCTGCAGCATCAAACATACAGCTTTCTATGTTTGCGTATCTTCCTTTCAGGTGCCTTCTTGTGTAATGTGCCAAGCTGGCAAGCTCAGGGTCTGATGTATTGCAAAAACTCATTACACTCCCATGTGCAATGCAGAGGGAGCGGTTGCGCGTGATGCAGCAGAAGGCGCAGGCCCCGAAGGTTCCCAGAGTGCGCAATTGGAACATTGTCGACGACCAGGAAGCCTTAGCCTTATCATAGCATCCCTCGGGAGAACTCTCGATGCTGCAGGATTGACAGAGTTGGTGTAGAAGGCCGACACATCATTAGGGGTCCTAGGCCGAAGGTCATGTCGCGTGTGTTTCTATGCCTGTGACAGTTGGACGTATTTGAGTATGGTTGAATTATTGGAGGAGGTTGCTTCAGTTGTTGGAAGGATGAGAAACATTCATGCAGTGCAAGAAAGGCACTTGTTTTCGTTGAAATGTTTCCTGAAGTGCATGGCCATGTCTTGTCATCGATGCTGCATCCAGAGCTTCAGATCTGCAATGTAAATTTTGTATGATGTCCTGTATCATGCTTATTACCTTGATGCAGCTTGAGACGTACTGTGCGGACCCTTAAAGCAGATCTCGTATATCAGTCCACTCTTCCCAAGTGCTTTGCATGTAATCAGATCATTCTTCCCCTTCATGAAGCCTAGCTTCTTCAAAGAATTCTGCTTAACCAAGCTCATGAACTCTGATGAATTGCACATTTAATCAAGATCTTGCAGCATACTTGAGTGCTTTGCATCAAGCTTACCAAATTTCTACCGGCCCATCCCCAACCTCTTGCAACGCATTTCTGTCTACCTATGCCAATGATGCTCAGCAATGCTCCTGTGCAACAGTTGCAAACCCCAGTGTGTTCTTGAGGAAATTCAAAAACATATTGCATTCCACACTTGTTTGTACAGAATATTACTTGAAGTGCAAGTGACCAACATTGTGAACTGTAGTTCTGCGTACATCTGTCTAACTGAAAGAGAATCCAACTATCAGCAATTCTACTCTACTGTATCCCCAGCATTGTTCTGGACATTCAGTCTGCATTGTAAAACTTGACATGAAAATAAAATGAACGCTGCAACAGGAGTTGCGTGCTCTGAACCCGTGCAGTACCAATCGTTGTCTACAAAGTACAGTAATCAAGTACCGCCGCTGGGTCAAGTGCTCTACTCAGATGCCTCTGCAAGGCTCTCCTGCACTGCCGCCTCGGCCTTGCCTGCAGCCATTGCTGCCGCGGCCAGAATCATGCCTGCAGGGCACGCCGACAACCTTGTCCATATGATTCCGGGAAGGCCAATGCACTGATGGCAACAATGCTCGCAGGGCTAGAGATACGTCAACCTGGCATGTTGTGAGCTATCCAAACCACCTGGGGCCTCAAGCTTCACTGGTATTGTTGCTAGGTGTTCTATATAGTGAACAAATGCACTCGTGTGCAAGAGTACTGAACTCAAGATTCTGAAAAAGGTCATGTTCTAGACAAGCTACCTGCTGAGGGGCTGCTGACGGCCTCTTTGGGCACCACATTGTTAGCGTATTCCACATCGCTCCCCTCTGCCAGCAGAGCCTGCTCGTGCACATTTGTCACGTCAGGCCATTAGCAACACACCATGCAAACCATGCACCCACGATTTTGCAAAAGAAACGGCATGGCGCGATACAGTGATGGACAAACAGGGCTTGTCTGGGGGGTACGGTGAGTCTCATGATCAAAACTGGTGAACTCTGATAGCTTTAAAAGTGGAGCAGGAAATTCTGCAAAAGTACAAGTAATTGCTTTGCACACCTCTGCCTCTGCGATCCCTGCGGCCAGCTGCCGCTCAGCTTCCTCCGCGGCGTCGCCGGCGGGCAGCTGCGGGGCGGCTTGCCCGGCAGCTTCCGCGCGGCGCTCCGCATGCGACTTGAGGCCGAAGTTGCGCGCGATTGCCTCCGTGGCGCTCAGCCCGCCGCTCAGCACGTTTGAGGCGGTCTTGCGAGCCACCTTCGCATCCTTTGCCGGCATGAACGTTGCACCTGTGAAAGTAGCAGCCGCTCTCAACACATAGCCAGAAACTTTTGCAATTTGGTGCACCCTTCCCTGCCTTACAAGGGGCTTGCAGGTGCTGTTTCAGAGGAAGGTGTGTGTTTCCAGATTTGCATGTGCATGCCTGTCTCCTGATATGTAGGACAATTTCCTATATCCTATGGGCCACTCTTTTGGTGCCCTGAGTGTATCTCATACAGCAGCCCGAACTTGATGATGCAGGAATGTTGGAAGTACAGACGGCTGCTGGCAGCAACACTGGCACCTCCTTCCCGGTTGCGCTTGCAGCCTGATCAGCTGCATTGCCGCACACTGCACAGTATTCGTGCTCCTACAAAGCTCTGAGGATCACAGAGAAGGATGCCGTGGAGAACGGCTTTCCCTCAAACCCTGTACAGCGTCCGCTTATGCAGAGCTGTGTGATGCTGCTTCGGCGCATCCTGCACAGGATCCACGCAGCTATTATACTACAAGAGCGACGGCTGGAGGGAACGCGCGCACCGGCTGCCAGGATGGCCCCGGCGACGGCGGCATCGGTGAGGTCGATGGCGAGCGCGGACATGACAACGCCTGCCGCCAGACCCATCGCCAGTGTGCCAGCTGCCTTTATGTTCCTGTCCTTCTGCGCCTGCGTTTAAAGAATTTCCGAGACATCAGCTCTGGCTAGATATCAGCTCTGCAGCTGGAAGCTCGTACGGAAAAATGGAAGGACGCAAGCTTCACGTGCGCGTCGAGAAACTCCTCGGGAGATCCATTTCGGGGAGAAACCCGCTTTTCTACCTTGCTTAATGAAGGAGTGCCAACTGGTCAGGAGATGAAACAGGACAATAAACAAGTGAAAGCCTGTGAGCACGTGCAGCACAAAGGGATTATGCAATAAAGGCGTGAATATCTATATTGTTGACTTCTATAAGGCAAGTCTGCAACATGAAAACAGTGTTTGCCAGAGAATTTGACACAGGACTGGTTACCTTGGCAGCAGCGCTTTCCTCCTCTGAGCTTTCCACCATAGCCTCATTCACTGTTGGCGCGGAAGGCTCAAGCACATCCGTTGCAGCAACTTGGGGCGTCAGGTCCGGCGCTGATGTGACAATGGCCGCTGATGTCACCGCTGACATCATTGGCACCTGATCTGGCGCGGCGGTGCTCTCCGCCCTGAATTCTGGGGCGGCCTCCCTGATGTCGCTCCAGGTGGCAGACCCCCCGGTCTGCGCCACCGGAGAGGGGGAGTCCCCCCTCTCGGTGGCCTTGCTGATCGCCTTTGCAGCCTGTCACAGCAGATATCATCAGCCCGGGTCCAGACTTCACGGTGCGGCTTGCAGAGCATTGTTCCTTTTTTCTGGTTTGCATCCTGCAATGTCCATGACCTCGAAAGAAAACATACAGAATTGCTGGCATGCCTCTCATGCTTAGTATGAGGGTTAGAGACTGCGAAAAGTGCGTTACAATGTTTTCAAGCTACTAATATCCAGACGCTACTTTTGTTACAGGATGCAGATGACTACCTGTTGGCTGAGGTCCTCGGTGAGGTCAGCGGGCAGGCCGCCATCCGTGGGGTCCCAGGCAGTAACGGTGACATCATCAAGCGGCCGCGCTGATGTCAGCTGCACAGCTGTCAGCTCGGGGTAGCCGAAGGAGCAGGCCACGTCTAACGCGGCGTCCTCTGGCACCCCAGCCGCCTTCAATGGCCTGCAAAGGATAAACTCCCCAATTTTGTGTCTTGACACAAGTTGCCTGAGACTGATAGTACCCAAGGCCTGATCCTGTGGCAGACGTCATGAGAAGCGGGGATACTCCCCAGTCACAAAGCTGAGTGAGACTTCCAACTGTGTCTCTGAAAGGTGAAAGCCCTGTAGATCTTAGCCCTTCAAGGATCCCCTCCCCCCTCCTGCTGCGCTTGCTGCTGCTTGCAGCAGCAGCAAGGGGGGAATAGATGTCAGGTTCTTGAGGAAGCAGAAATGACAAAAGAGTGAGTAGAGCGAGAAACACATCTTGCTTGAATATAGGGGTACCACCCTCTAAGCCTAATCATGCTCCTCACCTGTGAGGTGTTGATAAACGGCAGTGACAACAATGCTATGAAAACCAAAGCAATAGCAGCCATGGTGCACACTGCACACATGATCAGCAAGCCAGGTGATCTATGGGGCATACAGGTACATGATATGCAAAGCAGGGATGCCATATGCTTCCTAAGAAGTCAGATTTTAGAGAGAAAAAAATTTGAAAGCATCACACCTGTTGTTGCTGGGCTCCCAGGAGGCGCCGCCGCAGGTCAGGTGCACGATTTTGAATTCGAAATCTGCGCCCTCCGGCACGCCCAGATCGGACACCCACACGTGGCCATCTGTCCAGGTCATGTCTGGTGCATATCCAAGGTCCCATGAGCCTAACACCGGATGGCTGCCCACCACTTTCAGACCCTCCCCAAACGCCGCCTGCAGCAATCAAGACTTCCTCGTTTTGCAGCGGCCGAGACAGACCGGTGACTCCATTGGGATCGAGTCTTGAGCTCTTCTTGCATTGGGGCTGCCAAGAAATAGGCACAAATAGCTTGGAGGCACCCAGGGCTTCGCATGCTATTTGTCACAGAAACGCACACAGTCATGAACAGCTGTCGGCATGCAACCCAGCAGAAGGGTAGGTACCAAGACATAAGCAGTCACGAAGTTTTATCAGGTGTCTCTTAGGGGCAAGTTTGTTGTACTTTTGGAGTGGATGCACCCACCTGGAAGTGGGTGGAGATACGCACACGCACACTGCGCTGCTCATCAATCTGCGGCAGAGTTGCAGTTGGAGCATCACCCTTGAATCCCACGACAGCTCTGGCGATGCAGGGCCTTGCACGCCGCTGTGCCACTTGCAGTCCAAGGGAGCATCCTGCAATGTGCATGTGACACTTGCAGGGCTGCACAGTGGACAGTCGACTGAAGTGCCAGTGTGAAGTCAAAACATCAAGCTTGGTAAGGTGACTGGCCTGCAACGGGTCAGTGATCCAGAGGTTTGCAGCCATCGGTATTCTGACAGATGGTGCCCAATGGGTTTTGAACTCATGTGCAGGAGAAAGTCAATCTGTATCTGAAAATGCAAGATGTGGGCTTCCATTCTCCCATTTCTCAAATTCGGCAGTTGTCCATGTTCCAATAGCTTGTAGTTCTTTTATTAATTGGCTATCACTCGCAGTTTCCCCTCAAATCTCGACCAGTGTTGACTGTACTCACCAGGACTTTGCCAGGCATCAAGAACGCTGCAACACCCATCATGGCGACCAACACATAATACTGTGGCATCCCCGGATCTTTACCTGCAGATCCCCGCATCAGTACTCGTGGTAGGGCAATCGCGGCCATCAGCTCAGATAAAATTCAGCTGTTGAAGAGAGGAAAGGTGCCGTCACGAGTGGGTCTCTTGAGGGCCAGCACCTGGTCGTTCACCTGTGTCACGAGAAATCCTTATCAGCGTGAGCAGAATTGTTACTATGACCCGTCCATTCTAAGAGTCAGCCGATGCATTCCATATATCTGAGGGTGACCTAGGAGATCCCGTAAGGGTTCGACACAGACCTTGGTGTTTTACGGGGCGATGAGGAGTGTCAAATGCAAGCGACCCCCACGAAGAAGGTAAATTGATTTCAAGAACCGATTTGCGGCCTTTCAAAAACCTTTTTCTTCTTCGTCAAAATAATTTGGCGCGCTCCGCTACGGGGTCAGGTCTTGGTAACTCCCTCGACTATTGAACAGGGCTCACCTCCTTGCCTCAACGCCCTTACCCGAGGCGGAAAGCAACAGCATCGCAGTATTTGCAGCAACGCAAGCCTTTGCGTCCCAGCTGACGCTGTCACAGATTGGGGTTGGCTGCAGCTACAGCCTTCAGCCTCACCTGCGCCTTTATGGGATTGCATTGTGCGCATGCATGCAATGACTGCAATGACTTACGCAAGCTTACGCCACTTCAAGTCAAGTGGCCAGACCATATGATGTACCTCAGATGCATCAGGCTGGCCAGTGTCATTGGCAGTAGATGTCTTGCCGATCCTCAATGCAGTTGGTGGAAACCAAGGCGACCTGCAACTGCATTCCCTTGTTAGCAGCATTTCACCTGTCTTGGCTTTTTCCTCTATATAAAAAGCGCGTGGTGGCCTTGAGCAAGCTGATTCATTCTATCAGCTGCCTACGGTGGAGGCGGATCCTGAACATGTGCAAATGATAGAGTGAAGTGGACAGCCGTACGCCGTACGCAGACGCGTCTCGTCTGCGCACTGCAATGCATGGATCTGCTCTAATGGATCACTGCAAAAGCCGATGATGTATTTAGGCTCTCAGGCAATCACTAGTAGTGCGCAAGGCAGCCCCCGGGGCCCCCTCTCCCTGCCATAGGCGACCTGGCGCTCGCACTGCCTTAAAGTACTAGCCCGTGTGAAGCATGCATGATCATGTATCGCCCTATATCCTGTATCATGCAGCCCACAACATGCATACCCCCGAGGTCGCCCTGGTTCCCACCAAGTGCACTATATGGTGGTTGCATGCCATACATATGGTGCGCATGCGGAGCTGCAGCATTATCGCCCTCTGAGATAATCGACTGATATCATGCATATGCACATGTGTAGCCTGCACATGAATGAATCTAGCGGTGCTGCCCAGTAAGATCCAAGAGATTAAACCGGCCAGGCCAGGTTGATATGTCATCGGACAAGGGTACACGCTGTGCCGAATACTGAGGGCCTAAATAACTCAGAACTGTCCGAAAACTTGCAGTAAGTTGGAGATTACCGTGCATCGGAGAAAGGATACAATGTAACACATGGTCAACAAATGTACACCCTCATGGGCGGATGCTGAATACCCATGCCCATATCATTTCCAACAAGAAACCATGGAGCGGCCATGCAGTTGACAAGAATCACACAGAAAGTACACAGATCAGAACAGAAGTAGTCTTGGATCCATCAGCCATCTTGAATATGTCCTTCACAGTGGGCAAGCTGCATCTCTCTGTGAACCTGGCGTTGGCAGAGCGCTCAATTTTCTCTCTGCAATGGTCAAGTCGGCTGCCAAACAGGGTTCTACTAAGTTTTTGAATGTATAAAGATATTTCGGCCTTCAAGCACTCATATTGAGGCCGAGCTGGTTGCCGCGCTTGCAGGTGCCGGACTTCTCGTGGCACTGCCTGAAGTTGTTAGAGCAGGGTCTCTCTGCCTTCGATGCCACGGGGCCGAGCTTATAGATGAGCTCGTCATTGCACTGCTGCGCACCGCGCGGCTCGCAAGGCTGTGTGCGACACACCTTCTCGCAGTTTACCGCCTTGAGGTCTTGCGTGAAGCACATGAAGATCTGCAAAGAGCACAAGTGAGTGAGAAGGAACGATCTGTTTTCTTGCTGAGTAATTTGCGGGATGAGCTTGGGCAGCACAAGGCCATCATGCTGAGTCAGCGTTGGCCAGATCCTGCAAGTGAGCAATGGTTCTGAAAAAAAGACATTCTGAATCAACGCAATAATAGTCTCTATGGCGGCACAAGACAGGTGATATGAATGGAATACAGGTGTCACTGGAGGTCGATGATCAGGGTGCCCTGAGAGCAGGAGAGTTGTTCCCCTTCAGTTGGGTGCAAAGACATGTGAACAACATTACAAGCAAAGTTTTGATTTGTAAGAGGGACATGCCTCATTGATGTAGTCCTTGCCACCGCCACCCTGGCAGTAGAGCAGCGGGCGCACACCAAAATCCGCCTCCAATGCATCCAGGAAGTCGCTCCTACTCACAGGGGTCTCACTGGGCTGGATACCCTTTGCTGCCAGCGCTGCCTGCAGTGAATATTACTACCCTGTCAAGCACATGCACTTACAAATACCGAGCGAGAATTGCCTGGCTAATTATTCTTATTGACATGGTCACACGCTCTTCCTGCCTGGCTTACTGCTGTAAGAATTGCATAGCCGCATATGTTTCTTGCCTTGCATCACCTCTCTCTTCAAAGATGCATCGCAGCACGGAGAAATCTTAAATGGAGGCAGCAAGCCTAAATCCAGCATCTCATGTGGCAGGACATGCTTGACTCATATCTAGGACGGGCCTCTCTGCTTGCAGAAGGCTCTGTGACTGGACACAAGGAAGTTCAGCGTTGGGTGGAAAGTTCTCACCGCAATGTCATAGCGCTTGTGCAGGTCGAGGGTCTTCTGGAAGTAGTTCTGCTGCGAGAAGTTGCTGCAGGAGCCATGGCAGTCCCATTCGTGCTCCCAGAAACAGGGATTCTCTGCACACACACACGCAAGCCAGACTCTCATGGCCGCACAGAGCTGGATAGCAGTGCATTAAGCACCAAGGCGCTGTCCTTATTTATGACTACTGCTGTGTGGCATGAGCATCTTGGGGCTAATGGAAATATTGTTGCCTGGATTTGCAACCCATTGGATCCCAAATAAACTTGATTGCAACGAGATTGCAATATGAGGTGCCACAGCAACAACAGAACTTTGGGGTGAAGTTGCCATCGACATTAATCCAGGTTTGCCCAATTGCTGACAGTGACTTATAAATTTTTGATTGCAAGTCAAGGAGCCTTCATATGGTGGTCAAGACCACTCACCCGTGGTGTAGCTGGGCCACTCGATGTCCATGGCAGCGCGGGTTTGGGCGTTTATCTTATCGAGGTTGAACTTGTTAAAGCCGTCCTGCAGGCTGCAGTGCTCTGGATAATCCTGCTGGCAGTAGTTGTCCAGGTTCGGCCACAGCCCATGCAGCGTGAACCCGGCATCGCTGCAACATGCCATTCACGCACGCAATCAGCACGTATCTTAACCATGTTCGCTCTCTCGGCTGACAACTTTTGTCGGTCTGCATGTGGACTGCATGCCGTCTCAATGCCTTTCAGAGATGAGGGAAAATGTATACAGCTGGACAGGCCAAATGAAGCCCCAGCAATGCAGAGTGGTGGCAGATATTAGGATGGATGTGCTGTGACCATGCAGGACAGCGCAAGCAGCTGGGCCAAGCTCAGCATGGGGAGTGTGCAGGATCTGGTTAAATTAGGTTGTCAAGCAGGGGACTCACGGGTCGGGAATGTTGTAGCAGCCCTGGTTCTTGAAGCAGAATTCGTTGGGCCACTGCCTGCAAGCACACGCCCCCGTGCTTCAGGAACCATCTCAGTAGGACAGGAGACCTTCAGGTAAGACGGGCCCTTAGACAAGCAGGCAAAGGAGAGATCTTAAGCCAGCAAGCTTGCTCTTGCTTCATACCATTTAGCTCCAGAGCATATTACAGGTGTGCTGAAGGCTTGGGCAGAGACATGCCGCCATCTTGACATCAAAACAGACTTGAAATACATCCGAAGAGGGGATCTACCTGACCTACCTGACAAGGAAATAGAAGGCGAAGTCTCCAGGTGCTGGGGCTGTGTCTGGGTTGTCGTCACTGCAGGTTGGACAACGTGCAGATGGAGAAGGTGAAGGTGAAGGCCGACGCCTGTCTACTGCCTGGCAGCACAGCAGCGGCGCTGCCAGCGCCAACAGGACCACGCAGAATTGTCTGCCGCGCATCGTGAGCTCCTGCACAAGAACAGAGACCACTTGCTTGCGCTTGGAGCATCGCAAGAATCAACTAACAGCTGAACTGATATGTGGGAGGAAAGCTCAGAACAAGGGTATTGATGATGGCAACATTCCATTAGCTAGATCATTCTCGCAGCAGAATCCTCTTGGTCGTGATAGATTGTGGTCCCTACGCAGTGTACTGATCTGCTGATCTAGCAGAGCAGGTACCTTGTGCAGAGACAGGGCAGTCTTTACAGCCTTGTTATCGCATGAAATATTGAAAATGAAGACTGCGACAAACTCAGGCCAAAGAACGGACACTTAAAAGATTCCTTTGCGGATAAGGGCTTGTTGAAGTGATCAAGATGACTTCGCACGATCGGCAGCTGCCAGCTAACCAGCATTGGTCTGCAGATCCTTGATGGAAGCCAACTTCACGATTGAAAACTTTCTTTGTGAAAAGACTTGCGTATCCGACATGTGGTGGTCCACCGGGACCCAAATAACCACTAATAAAAGACATCAAAAAGCCTGAGATTAGTAAGACAGTCGAGACCCACCTTCACGTTGAGAATCGGTACAGGAGCTCCACTGAGAACTGTTTTGTTGGAGTGAAATGACAATGTCCGGCACTATCGCCCTGGTACGACGCAAGAAAGATTCTCATGTCACCGAGATCCGAGGTAGACTGAAAGTGCACACTTGCAGGCAAACTAGGCAACACATCAATGTTGAGATTGATAAGGAGGTGGCGATCCATATCTTATTGCCGAACAAGCTGCCAATCCTGACCAGCACAAACCTTGTGCATAATCCATTGATTACTTGTAAGAAGTGGTCGCCCTCAGGCTGCCCATAAAAGGTGACTCGATAGAAATCACGTTGCCAAAATAGGAAAGAAGAATCCCACACTTGCAGATCTCGAGTCACCCCTTGCCAAAACATACGACTATTCACAGAACGATCGCGAGGGACTTCCATAAAGCGTGCGCTTGGCATCCGTCCAAAAGTGAGCCTCCTTCCTGCCTCCTCTCACCTTCTCGGTCAGCTAATTGTGAGCAGGTCGGTGTGAGCACTCGGCTAGGGCTTTGGAACTGGTCCCTGGAAACATGATCTGTGCTGCGATCGGGACACTGGACAGTGATCAAGCATTCTAATACCGTTGGGTATGTACTTGCGGAGCAGTTGCTTGATAAGGATTCACTAGCTCTGTTGAAAGGTGTTGGAGTTCGGATAGAAGTTCTGAGCAATGTCTGTTCACCTGTCCACACGCACGGGTGCTTGCACGCTCTCTGGGGATAAAATGCCTTCTGACTGTAGATTGTGCATCGTGCAAGCGTACTGGCAACAAGACGAGGGACTCCTTAGGCGTAGGGTTTTTTTCGGTTCCATCTCGGGAAAGCTGAGGCCAATGCTATCCGAGACTTTGCAGATTGTCAGGCCTTGAACATGGTTGCACAGGTCCTCTAATGACTAGGAAGCAACCTTCCATATGGTGGTTCAATATTATGAAGATGTATGGAGCAAGAATGTGTCTGCGCCATGCAGAACACTATGGTGCACGAATGTCGTGCTCGCCTGCTTGCGCTATTTTATTGCGCTGTGGTGGTGCAAGGGCTTGCTGGCCCTGCAAAGCTTGACAACACAGCCTGGATATTGGACATCAACGAAGACGAATTGAACAGTACATCAGGTAAGTCTTTGTCGAGGTTATGCGGTTGCCCAACCACAAGATATACCCTTGTGGATGCATCCACCCATTTTTATAGGAAGCTCACACACTGTCTAACTTTGTTTCTCCATTTGCACTGTAGTCGAGCAAGGGCTTCCCGTACCTGCAGAGCTTGATGACGGACCCTTGATGCCGAACATTGAGGAAGACTATATCGAGTCAGGTGTGTCTTTGCCTATACCTATGTTGAGGGGCATGTGGTTGCCCAACTGCGGGATATCATCTTTGGGGAAACATCCCACCCATCTGAAATGGAAGCTTGCATCCACTCTCATTGTTTTCCGGGAACTATGCAGGATCAGATCCGATACCTGTTCCTGGATCTTGGCGTGAAAGATGTGATAGTGGGAAGTTGGCAGTTGTCAAAGGCAACAAAGTCCCCAAACGTGGAGACATTGTTCTTGGTGCTCATCTTGTCACTTGCCAGGATTTCAAATGGGGCAGATACGGAGACCATGATTGGTGTCCAGCAATAACCCGAGTATATGATTATGCGCGCGGACGACAGCTGAAGGAAGTGTTCGGTGCTTCTGCCATCTGTTACTCTTGATTCACCCTCGTACAATACACGCTCTGCATTGAATAACAACTGTTTTGTATGTCCTGTCTCGACTTGAAGGGTGCATACGATCGGGTCAACACGGAATTTGCTGTGGGAAGCCTTGCGGCACCTTGTGATTGTCGGCCGCATGCTTGCTACTCTCTAGTCTCTGTATGCCGACTGCACTCTTGCCATGAAGATTGTTGATTGGGTTGGCCGCTGCCTGCCCTCTTTGACTGGCTTGAGCGGGATTGCCGCTGAGTCCTATAGGACAGCTAGAGTAACTACACAGTTTGAGATGTTCTCTGATGAGCTGCACAAGCATCAAGGGTTTAAGGTCTGCTAATCCTACATGTGCAGTGGTGCAAAGGCATTGGCGGTTGCTTGCTCGGTGGTACATATGTAGAGCATATATGGGAAGTTAGTCGAAACATGGGCCGCCTGTCTGTGACCTCCCTGGACTTTAAAGCCTGCATGCCCTTACTTTTGGCACTGGCAGTTGTCAACATCTTACAAGGCCTCAGTGATGATTGCTTCATGAGTCATGGAGTTCATAGGTCACAACCACCGCAGCAATTTGCAACACTGTTACCAAGCCAAGCCAAATTGCAACTGTTAACCTTTTGATTGTACGTGGCACAATGGCGGCCAAAGTCTCACTTCCGATATTCTCGTGAGACAAAAACCATTGCAAAGTTGGCCTCAGAAGCCTCTTCTTGCAAAGCCTGAAATCCTTGACAGCACTACTGGCATGACTGGATCAGTGAGTTGGGTCGTCCATGGATGCGCGGCTGGAGAGCGAACGCTGACGCATCAAAATGCTCTGCTCCAAGTCACTCGGAACGCCCCCCAAAGCCCCCAGATCCACCTGAAGACAAAACCTCTTCTCATCAGTATTGCCTGCTGGCCATTCCCCAGAGTTTGCAGTTCCACAATGATCATGAATATTCACATCCCAGAGCATCATGGTGACCTGTCGAGAATCGGCAAACCCAAAATTTTGGGCACAATGGGACCAGCGTGAAGCTTGTCCAACAAGAAGAACCCCAAGATCAAATCTCAAACTTAGCCAGAGGGGCGACAGGCTGTGAAGAATTTGCACAAATCGGCAGAGAAGGATCTAGTTGCTCACATGCTTGTCAAGGGCAGTTCCCAGGTCCCCCATGTGCGCAAATCGCCGCTGGGATCCCACGCTGCCGGGGCCCTCCAAGAATGGCGGGGGGACCCCCAGCCGCAGCTGTGATTGGGTAGGCCCCCCACCCTGCGTATCCAACGCCTCTGCAGACCCGCCCCGGCTCGGCGGCAGGCTCCGCGGCGGCCGCTTTCCGCTTGTGGCCTGCCCATTGGTGGCCTGCCCAGCTGTCCTTGCATGAGTCTCCGAGGGCACGGCCGCACTCGACCGCCCAGCTGACTCAGCATTCTCCTCCGAAGGAGCTTTATTCCCTGATCCTGCAGTGGGCCTCTGTGCTTGCTCGGAGGTTCCTGCACCAGAGAGCCTGCTGTCTGCAGCATCATCCGATGGCTTTTGATGCGTGGCTGCTGTTGGACTGACTGCTGCAAAGGCGTCTGTGCGTTTGCCCATGTCAGCCGCCAGCTCATCGCTGCATGTTGTCTCTTCAGGCTCTGCTGCCTCTTCTTTTGTGCGTCCATTGACAGTGGGGCTTTTTGTCTGCTCTGCCTGCTTCGGCTTGGCTGAAGGCTCGCCATCTTCAGACAAAGCGCGGCTGCTCCTGCTTTCTTGGCTGATCTGCCGGCCTGCACATCCGCGTACCTCGATTGCTCACTGCGAGAATCTTACTACTTTGAGCATATAATTGGCTTTTTTATACAGCTTTTAATCGCACACTGAAAAGCTATTTTCTCTCACAAGCAAGTGTCAGCATGTGAAAGCATGGGCAACTCACGAGGTGACACATAAGGATTGTCTGGCATTCAAGATCACAAACCATAGTTGCACCATTCGGTCGGAACATATTCTGGGGACCGAATATACGGCCCTATATTCGGTCATACGGTCTGAAAACATACGGAATTCGGTCAAAAACGGCCTATTTTGGCCCAAAACACCGAATATACGACCGAATATACACCGTATGCCGAATGGCCGAATCCGTATGGTGCAACTATGTCACAAACACATTGTAAGATGTCTACATGCTGCACATGCGATCAGTGCTTCCACGGACCTGTGAATGCTGGATCCCATGGCACTCGCGGGCGGGAGGGCTCTGGCCGGCCGTTGCCTGATTTGGCAGAGGAGCGCTGCGAGGAAGCTTCCAGGTCAGGCAGCGTACGCGGCAGCTGCAGCGCAGGGAACGGAAGCTCCTGGAAGCTGAACGGCTGCGGCGGCGACGGCCGATCCGCCACCCGCCTGCTCGCCTGCGCCTGCGGACATGAGTTGAATCTGAACGACGGCGTCGGCATATATTTCCCCAGCAATGGAACTCTGTCAAGAGCCCGCATCACAAGTGGTGAAGCCCCGCACTTGCTGGGTATGGGTTGGGGGCAGGCCCCCCAAGAAACCACTCACTAATCTGTAACACATGGCCAAGCTAATAGTGGCAGCTGGTGTTCTGGTTCCTGTGGGTCACTCTTCCCAAGCTGCTTTATGACAAAACAAATGAGGCACTATGGGTTCTTACTCTTGAAAACCACTCCTTGATCGATGTCATTGAAAGGCAATATAGGGGCCTGTGATTGCAGGACGCTCTCATAGATTGAATATTGCCATGAATGCGCGCACATCCACAAGCCAATACTTTGCCTTTAATATAGAGAGCCTGCCTACAGTGAGCACAGAATGCTGACAGCCGGTATCTTGCCTTGTGCAGGGTGATGGACGAGGACACTGCTGGCAGCAGGTCAGCGGCAGAGTCCATTTCAGCAGCGTCAAACGCCGGCCGGTTGCTGCCATAGCGCAGGAGGGACGTTGCAGAGGTCAGGTTCTCTGGGATGGATGTTGGGGCCCCCTGTTCCGGCAGTTGCATGATTGATAACATTGACATGCTGTTCCTGCCAAGAGACAACGTGCGTCCGCACAAGGTTTGGCTGTCATATTCCTGATTAGACTCGCCCAATCCCGGCGAGACCCAATCATTTGTAGACTGCATGTGCTCTCAGTCATGAGCTGTAGAGGCCCCTCCAAACGTTGCTCGGATTTTACCATCAAGCATCTTAGATGTTTATTTTTTGCAAATTTGGGTCATTGTAAAACACAGCTGATCCCACACTGCCAAAAGTTACAGTCTGATCAAGACCCCTCCGTACAAATACGAGTTTTTCTAAGAGCGTCCCATGAAAATATGGGTAATTTCTGTTTCATGCACGAGGCACATGGGACCAGACCTGAGTGGTGATGGCGCTCGAGGTGGCCTGTGCCTGCTTGAAGAAGTGCAGCAGATCAGCTGTGTCCTGCCCTCTCACCCGGCCATCGTCCTCTGCTGGCAGCTCTGGTGGCGGCGGCAGGTCTCTCCCAGGCAATTGCAAGCTATTTTTGCTGGTTCCTGAGAGAGCCAGAAAAACCTTGCATTGAGCATCTTGATGTTTGTGCCCAACACGTCGCATCATCCCAGAACCCCAGTAACACGTGCTAAGACACCAAGCAGCACATCCAAATGTCAAAGTGTGTCAAGTGGCGCAGAATCACCCAGGGATTCCCTGCTGGGAAACAGGGGATGCCAGCCTCTGAGTGCGTCCAACTCCGGGTACAGAGCGCTTGCTTGCGCTACCAAAAGATGATTGCTAGCTGATAAGGTGCTAATCTTTGACTCGATGCGTTGCAATTGCTCCAGGAGCTCATCTAAGCGTCCTGCATGAGGTCAGACAGATCAGACGCACAGGCTGATCTGGGCCATCGTCCACAAAGGTAGGCATATAGCACGACATGGAGATTTCTTGTTGAAGAGATAACTCAGTCATCGTCATTATAGGGACAATCGGGTTCTCTGTCTTCAATTCGAGACCAAAGGATTGGATGATCTCAAGCTTTGCAGTGCATTGAAAGCGCACGTCAGACATGAGACCTCTTTCTTCACCTTTTCTTTCCTCGACGGCATCTTGGATGCGGTTGAAGACCCCATCAGAGGCTTCTTGGAGCGCAGTGAGCGAGGCATTGACCATTTCGTAAGTTTGCTCTGCAGGCAAGTCCTGAGGTGTCAGAGGCACCTCGAACTCCGGAAATGCCATCTTTTACTCCTTTTAATGAGAGGATGAAACAGCAAATGTACGTGCGAATAATTTCTGCCTTGGAAATGCTTACATGCAGACACGAGCCTATTCTGGCGATGCACGTGGGGGTGACGAATGGGATTTCAAACTTTGCGACACCGAGATCGTCTGATCAGCGGGCTTGGGTTCCGTCAGCAAAAATCAAGACCGTAGACAGTGCTGGATGCTCGAAGTCTACGTTGGTAGTACAAGAGGAAAAAAGGTGGTTGTCGTCATACTAGTTCGTCTGTACCATAGTATTCCTGCAGTCTAGATCACAAAGCTAGGAGGTGCAATCGTATTTGTGCGGGTTGAAGTGATTACTTCATCGGAAACGGTGTGATATACGGAATTTTTGTTGGATGCTGCGATCGAACGATTAAGACTGCTTTCTGGTGCTCACTGTGAGACCTTCGACAGCTTCACATCGGGCAGGAGGAACAGCAACATTCAGCGACCCACACTTATGCACGTCAGCATGTAGATTGGCTATCCAAAGGATGCGCTGCCGCAAGGCGGCAGGTGGCATGAACGAATGCCGCCCAGAGCTACTGCTCTTCAGCCTAGCAGCAGCAGTTGCTCTGCTTCAGACTGCTTGGACGCAGCCGACACTCGAGACTGAGTATATAACGCCTGTGCCGCCTCCCAGTCACGAGCACAGGCACCATTGCAATGGCTTCAGCCAGCTGGAGCCGCTTAAGGGGGAGTGGGTAGATCACCATGACCCCAATCACACGGGCATGACTGCTGGCAAGCCCTGCCCCAGCTTCATTGACGACTTTGACTGCCTGCACAACTACAAGACAGATGCCTACTATGAGGAGCTGGGCCGCAGGGTGCGCTCTTGATAATGCGCAACCAAGCTGACAGTGCTCCCTGGTGCACAACTTGCAAACCCAGCACTCTTGTTGCGAGCTGAGAGCATGCCCTGCGTCAAGACCCATTTGGAGGCAGGAATCTTCAGTCTAGGATAGGTGCTTGTGCATGTATTGGACCGATTGCTGCCATCTGTGGGGGCCGTATCTCTTGGTTTCGGTGCTGCAGTGCGAGACGCTTGAGAGACTGCAAGCGCTGACAAAAGTTCCCGACCGGCTAGTACCAAAACATTCCTGTTGCTCCTGCAAAGGCCCAGAGGATGACAGGGTCTCTGTGTGATGTCTACAGGAGTACAGGAAGGTGTTCAAGCCGCATGACTGTTCTCTGCACCAGTTCAACCCGGAGCATTTTGAGCAGTGTTTAACCGGGCGCCGGATCATTGTCATCGGCGACTCAACCATGCGTCAGATGTTCCAGTCCCTTGCCTGCCTCATGACCCCCCGCATTGTGGACGGCTTCTTCGTAGTGTGCAGCTTCTGCCCAACTGCTCATCCTCGCTGCATTACGGAACATGCTCTCAATCTTCTTACTTATCCTTTGCAGCATTTTGAAGGTGCAGGAGGATCATGCCCGCAAGGCCCAACAGAGATCCTGGGTGGCACCTGGATGTCAAACGGAATGATGATTTGAGCCGAAGCTGCCTGGGTGTTTGATGGTCAGAATTGTGTTGGAGTGGCTGGAACATTGTTGAGATTTTGAGCCAAACTTGCTTTGTTGGTTGATGGTCACTGTGTGTGCGCAGGACTGGGACAAGGCAAATTTAACCCACACGTCAATTCCCTTTGAGAAGGAGTACACAGTGCGCGATGAGCCCCAAATCAACATCTTCAAGCAGAATGTGGGCAACTTCTCCCTCACCAATGGCGCCTCTGTCCACATCAGGTCAGCATTGCAGCCGCGCCTTTGAGTTTCCTTTTAAGCTTGTTGCAATCATCTGTGCATTGGCACAATCTCCCATGTCATGAACATGCTCATGTGCCATCAAATCAGGTTGTCACAGCGTTGATAATGAGTAATCTGCAGCAAAGGAGGAATTACGGCAAGGGGAGCCTGGCTGGACATTCACTGACTGCTGCATGTTACTGACTCGCAGGTCTTTTGGGATTTTCAACATTAGCCTGTGGGACGATGTCTTCGCCGAGTTCTGGCCCCTCACGGACAAAGATGTCATCATAGTCGGTGCGCAAATGCCTTATCGTAATTTCGCTGTATTGTTTCTTCCCAGGATTGTGAACATGCCTTAAGCCCTGTGCCTACTTCCATGGGCTGCGTGCAAAAGCCGCTGCAATCAACACGGGGCACAGGGAATTCTACGGCAGCTGCCACAGCACTGCGGGACTTGCCAAGTCACTGCACATTGCTCTGTAGTCAAATCATCAGCGCATATCATTTTTGGGCATGATTTTACCCATGCTCTTGCACTAGCGACGCCAAGCATGATCCACTTCTGTCTCCTTGATCACGCGTCAGGATACATGAGGGGGCTAGAATTCTGTCATTTGAGTATTATTAGCGCATGCTGCTTATCCCATACCCTTGTGCTTGCAGGGACTGATGTGCCCTGACATGATCCACATGCTTCTTGAACTTTCCCCCGAATTCCATCAGGGCATCTGTAGTTTAAATTCTTTCTGTTCTCATCAGTGCATGTTGCACTGCAGAGTTTGGCGCATGGTACCCGCGCTTCAACTCGTTCCAGATGGCCATTCCCTGGACTCGCTATGTGAACGACGTCCAGGAGCTCTTCTCTCAGCGCCTCGTAAACTACCCTTCTTTGGTGCTCTGGCGCGCTTACGGGCCTACGCATTTTGGCGGCCCCACCGGGACGTACACAGGCGCGCATGCACCTCTTTATAGCTATCTCCTCTGCCCTGGTGCCTGGACGCGTTTCAAGGGATGTGAGGCCAAGAAAGGAGGGATTGGAGCATGCCTGTGCATGTGTGGCTGATCCTGAGTGGTGCTCCCAGAAAGTTAAACTGGAAAGTATCTTTCTCACTCGCACAGACTACATGTGAGTGTGTAAAAGAAACTTTTCACGGCACCCAGCTGCCACCAGCCTTCTGTCACTTGCTCTCCAGACAGGGCGTAGTGTGGAGCTAGCACTTCTTACACACATGCTACTAGAATTTGATGACTCTTCCAATGACAGCTCTACTTTTTGCATGCATGCAGCGCTGTCAGAGCACCTGCCAGACCTGCCGGGGCAGATGACATGCGAGGCGGCAGCCTACGGCGAGTATTACTACGACACGCACATCATGCGATGGCTGCAGCAGTGCGGGGCGCCGTGCGCGCACGTCCACATGCTGCCTGTGTTCCACCTGTCGCTGCCGCAGCACAACAGCCACCACGGGTCCTTTGGGCGGGGCACTGAGAACCGGCGCATCGACTGCCGGCACTACTGCAGCAACGTCATCGATGTGTGGAACCAGGTTGGCGTCATCCCTAAAGGGCCATTCAAATTGAGCCTCCCAAGCCTTCGGAGTGTGAAGTTAAACATTGTGCGTGAAGATGGGGGCACACGAGCAGCTGCTGCACAGAGCGAGAGGGCTAGAGACCAAGTTTGAGGCATCTTGCTGTGAGTCAGTACTCCTTGGTTGATGTATGTCTTTGGGGATGCACCACTTTAGCTGAAGGCGCCTACTTTCAGATTTGCCATGAATGCAAATGCTGATGGTCAAAGGAAAGTGCAGATTAGGAGGAAGGGATTGCGGCAATGAGCATCCTCTATGTCACAAAAGCCCTCCAGGCTTATCAGTTGGCTTGACGTGCTGTTGGTGCTGCTCTTTAGATCTGACAGAGGCTTTTGGGGTGCTGTGACTGATTTGAGTTGGAAGTGCTGTGCTTGCCGGCAGGTGCTGTACAACAAGCTGTGCTTTGGGGAGTCATCTGGCGCGGCGATGGCCCCTGGTAATTCCTGATCTGGCGCAGCACATCGTGGTACAGGGTTTGACAGGGGTCCTTTAAAAATCTCAGGCCAGTCCCTAAGTAGGGCAAGTGCGAGCGGAGTCTGCGCGCCCGCCCGCTGCCGCGGTAGTACCTGAAAACCTCGGGGCAGCCCTGACATTCCCAAGATTTCTCACCAAGGACGTGCAGATTTCCTGTTAAATCTGGCCTTCTAAATGGTTCGAATTGCCTGGAAATCTGTGTACATCTGAGTCACAGCCATGTGGCTTCGGGGCATTGCCCTGATGCCATCTCGCCAAATCTTTGCCAGAGCAGCCCTGGAAACTTGCCCCTCGCCCTAACCAGATATGCCATTCCCTTGGGGGCTGTCAAATAGTGTGGTGGCAGGCGCTGCTGGATGTGGCAGTCTGGCTGTTGAGCCAAGCACCTGCCGCTGCAGTTTGTGGCAACTGTGGTGATTATATATATCATAGTGAAATCCAATTTGAAGACACGGTCAGTCATGCATGCAAGTTCTGAGTTAGTGCAGGCTCCTTGATCGCAGTTGGAAGGCCCATAATGGTAGGCACCATGATGATGAGTGATGTGATCATCACTTTGATGAAGTGGATGAGAGATGCTTCCCAGCCGGGTGGGTAGGACCAGGACTTTAAATTTACTCAAGTAGTCCATCCTGGGTGATCTATAGGAGTGCTAGGTAGCGGTCTTTAAAGTTGTTTCTAGCTTGGCGAGGGTTCGTGCGGCCACAATGGAAGAGGATGAGCTCCATTGAGAATTTTTTCAGCACGGCTGACAGCTTTGTACGGTACTGCGTGCATAACGTTATTAAGTTAACTTCAATGTTTTGAGGCATGAAGCTTGCCAGAACAGACCTGAATGCTTAATAGCATGTAAAAGATTGCCTCACGTAGGAGCCAGGCTGGTTACGGTCCATTCAATTGCCCAAAAGCTATCTCTTCCCACTTTGGGAAAATTGCCAAACCAAGCATTTTAGAAGAAAATCGGCCAGGAACGCCGTACGGTGTCACGACCGTGACAAGAAGAGGCATGCAACGACGAAGAACAGAAATCCACACACAGTCATTCTTGCCAGGGCATACAGTCATAAGAATTTTGTTTCTTAGCTTTGTGTTGTGCGTTGCCTGAGACGAGGAGAGGTGTCTTCGATCTACCAACGAGTCAGCAGCCATTGACAAAATTGTCCTTCTTGTTTTCCAGCATTAACTTTTCATCATACAGACTGTCCCCACTTCGATTCACAAAATAGCAAGGGATGATCATCCCCGTCAGGTGCTTCACCTGCGGAAAGGTGCGTCCTTGAACCTGCAGATCGATGGTAGTTGTCTTGTCAAGCAGTATTGTTACTTGCGATGATGGAGCTGCATAGCACCCTGCTTTCAATGACTATGAAAAGCAGACATCGCAATTTTACTTACTGTCTGGTGTAGGTGATCGGGAATAAGTGGGACACATACCTGGACTTGCTGCAGGCTGAATACACAGAAGCGTAAGTTTGCAGAAGTCCTGGTGTTGCCCTGCGTCACACGCAAAAAAAATCTGTTCTGTTAGGGATGACATGGAAGAAGGACGTTTCTGATTTAGTGACTCCTCAACGACGCAGGGATGCACTGGACGCACTTGGCCTCACTCGGTATTGCTGCCGGCGCATGCTCATGACACATGTGGATCTGATCGAGAAGCTTCTCAACTACAACACTCTGGAGCGTGCACCTGAGGCCAATGAGCCAGCTGCCCAATAAATTTGCCAGACCCACTGCTTGCAATTTGCTGGCAGCTCAGCCTACAAATTACCCCTCTTGAATGCTCTGGCCCTCATTACTTTGCCTTTTAAGGGCAGCAAGGCTTTTTCTGTCGGTCTGCACTCTGTCCCAGGGATTTGCAGAGAGCATGTGGGTCAGGAGTGCAGACCAATTTCTCGTTTTATCGTAAATTGTCTTGGGAATTTAATGGCTGCAGTTTGCTTCCTGTGTGCCCCATGTATCTCAGATCTCAGGCTGAACGAGCAGTGAGAGCTCATCAGGAACGTAGGATGAAATGCAAACCTCGTGCATGGGCTTGCAGCTCATGCAGCTCATCTTGATGAAAAGTGTGAGATTTGACCAATCGCTGTGCTGCATCACTCCAGATTCCAACATCTTTCCAATCTTACAGAACCAAATGTTACATGCCTATGCTGGCAAGCGCAAACAAAGCTCGGTGTCAATCTCAAAAGATACTAGTACGAGCTTGGAAGACCCACCATCAATTGCTAGGTCTTCTTTCAGTCACCCAGTGCTGCCTGTGTTTTAAAGCTTCTGCCAAAATTTTGCCTTGACATGCAACCATTGCAAAATGCAGAAAGATCCTCCCGGGCCGGTCATCAGGCATTTTTGGTCCAGTTGATGCATGATTGCACAGTATGCAGTACGCAAACTAGTGTGGGGACGCATACTGGGGCGTCCAGGACGCGTCTTGGCAAATTCTGATCATCAGAACGTCAAGAAAACGGCACGTGACTGTTGATTAGTAAGGGATGAGTACTATGAGTAGTACTGTTACTAATCAAGCGAGCTTTTACAGCATTAATGTTAGTTGACCAACTACAATGGCTCTATGTGCAGTACTGTCCAATACATGCTCAAATGTATTTACATTTGAGAATACACTTCAGAATATATATTCGTGAAGTTCAGGAAATAGGCACTGTGGGACTCACGGCGTAGGTATCTTTACACTAAAGCTCTGAGACGCAGCACACCGCCAGCACGACTCCTCGTTTTTGACTGGCTCGAAATGTTTCTTAAATCTCAAAGCTACAGCTTGTCATTTATTCTATGCAGCAGATCGGTACCCATGCAACAAGACACAATTCACAGAGGGCCTATATCCTGGTGGATTCTTGTGGGCCACAACTTGTGGCTGTCTATACCTATTCTGGCTTCAGAGGATGATCAGTAAGCAGTGACTGATTGATATTACTAACTGCCTTAAGTAATGATGCCGTCCTTAGGCGTCCAGGACGTGAAGACGCGTCCCCAAAAAATTTCTTGACGTACTGTGCAATCCTGAGGTGAAGCACAACTACTATAGTCCTTCTCAAACCTCCCTTACAGCAGACAAGGGTGTATATTCTTGTATGTCCACGGGCCAATGTTGATGCATGTGAGTAAAAACAAGCACAAAAATAGCTCGCTCATCGGAAGTTGACCGTTGAACTACGCCATACACTGTCAAGACTGATAAATTATACTTCTACTGACTTCTAATGAATTTGATGCCGAATCCTCAAAGAATCTGCATCACACTCTGTCGCCTTGGGAACACGCTTAAGCCAGTAGAAGTCACCGTATGGTCAAAACCAAGGTTTTGACAGGATGGGTGCACTCATTTCAGTATCCTCTTTCCAAGCTGAAGCAAGGCAATACAAGCCTTCAGCGTCCACCAAATCTACTGCAGCAGGACAAAATCGCATCAGCATGCAGCTTACAGCGTTGACAAAAGTCCGGACATGGCAAGAACCTGCTTTTCCGGCACCTAGCTCAAGGAACCCCCAGAGAGGCATGCCGGCGCCTGAATGGGGGCCCTTTCGTAATCACCTCGCAGTGATCTCAGATGCTCTCAGATGCCGCTCTCCACCCAAAGCTGCAGATGCTCTAAATGCAGATCATTCTGGGCAGGCTTGTTACGATGAGTGCGTTGGCCGTGTGCCACTCGCTGCTGTGGCATTTGTATAAACTCTCGTGCCCTGATGACAGCGCGGATAACCTTCGCGACGTCAGCGCTGATGTCAACCCAGGACTGACGATGACATGGCAGATGCATCGGCGGAGCGAACGCCAGCTGGACGCGGCGGATCAACTTGAATGGTTGCGCGGGCTCATATTAATGGCCTCCAGGACCACGAGCACATCCACCTCTGCACTCCTGGAGCACTGCGAGCGCAGGCTCTCTCTTCGCGTGGCAACCTCCTGGACACAAAATGAAATCAGAGCGCATTCGCTCACCGCTGGCATGGGCTTGAAGATGACGTCGTCATCCTCGTACTTGGTGCGATCCACTGGATGAGTTTTTTGTCCCTGTGCGCTGGTGATGGAGAAGTTCCGACTGCAGGTGTTTGGAAGAGAACCAGCAACCCAGTTTCAGAGCCAGCCATGGTCTCTTCCCAAGGGCGCTATTTTCCAGCGAGGCCAACCCCGCTCACAGCAATGGCACATACACACAGGCTGAGCTGTGCAGATCCTCGGTGACGGCTTGCCGCCACAACGTAGGTCTCATTCAACAGCTTAACACATTGAGTGGCAGCAGCTCCCATGAGTGCGTCCCACAAGTCAAGCCGGGGCATTCGAGCACAAGTGCAAGAATTTCAGGGTCCCTACAAAATAGTGAAGAGCGCAGCAGCGAGGCTTGCGCCTCCTGCTTACGGGGCCGGGGCACACTTTGCTGTACCCGCAGGCCGCAGCAGTGCAGCACAGTAATGGCGCCCCTTTAGATCGGATTGCGATGCACTCACATCGACAACACATACGAAAAGTGTGCAGCACCTGGTTGAGCATGTCTGTAAGGCTGCCCCGGACTTCCTTGAAGCTGGGCCGGGCCTCCCTCTCTGTGGCCCAACACCTCTTGACCACGTCCTTGTAAGCCTCCGGAGTCTGCTCTGGGAAGTCCGGCCGCCAGTCCTTCTCCAGCACCTGATTGAGCCACCCCCTTTTTACTGAACATGCAAAACGGAAAAACATTTCTACCTGTGGAGCTTGCTGCCTGAGTGCCTTATGCACCGGCTCCCACTGTTTGTTTGGTCAGTGTTAATAACAGCATTCCTCTTGTTGCTCTCAATACCAGTTCTAGCTGGCGGAATTACCATGCTCCTTACATAGTGCAACTCTTGAGAAATGACTGGTCGCAAGTTTGGGGTATTTGTCACTAAGGCCTCCAGTTGCCTCTCAAGCCATGAGAGCCTCGAGCAAATACGCAAGAGTACAGGCAGCTTGCGACAGCAAACAATCAAGGGAACAAGCCGGTATCGTAAACGATTTGTAAAAGGGCCATGAGCTTGATCTGGATCTATGCTTTCCAGTCACTCTAAATCTGCACAGCAGGTTTGAAAAAGGCTGGTCAGCAGTCACAATGAGCATGCCCGCCAGGATGAGGTGTTGCATGCATACCTGGTACGCGATCTGTATGTCCCCGAGGTCTGTCAACCCGCTGCCCATGCTGATCAAGTGCCAGGCCACCACCCCAAAGGAGTATACATCGCTCTCTGCTGCCATGCTGCCCGTTCGCAGCAGCTCCGGGGCGGCAAACGCCGCCGTGCCCGCCGACAAGCCATCTTTCACGCCCGTCTGACTCAGCCCAAAATCTGCCACCTGTTCATGCCGAGCACACATCAGTGGTGCGCCACCCAGTGTGTCGACAGTGACATCCAGAGTACATACCTGACACACTGTGCTTTGCTCGGGCCAACATGCTTGCAAGCGCTTCAGGATGACAAATCAGGACTTTGAGGCTGCCGGGTACCATATCTCCGCATGCCCACAACCAGTCTATGCTGGCGGCTGCTGTGGAAGCGAGCAAAGGCATTGGAGAAAGGGCGTGCCTTGCAGGCAAAACCGCGCGGGTCAGAGGTGGAGGACTTGCAGAGCACGTTGGCACACTTGAGGTCCCCATGCACGATGGAGAGCGAGTGCAGGTACTCCATGCCAAACACAACCTCCAGCAGGCACCGTAGCACCCACACCAGCCCCTTCTGGTAGTTTGACCGCAGCAGCGCCCATCCTTCCTCCCTGCGCATGCCAGGGGGGACTGCATAATATTGAGAACCAGCAGAATTCCTTCACATGCAGCGGAAGTCCTATTAACAGGGTTGTGTGATTGTTCATTTGTCTGCAGCGCTCATCATGAATACTGGGGGTAGCACAGACTCTTCTTTGATGTGAGGTATCCTTTCTGGATATTGCGCAAGGGGTGGATATAGTCTGCAGGTTGGCTGAGTCAACCCGCGGCTGATTCTTGACTGCCTTATTTGATCATGTCGGTCCCTGACTGCACTGGTTTATCACAGCATCTGATCGCTGGCTTGGCAGGTGGACATGTCCTAAATGCAAAGACTCGGTGCTGGGTGTGCCCCGTGATCAGGCTGAGCAAGACACATGATTGATGGATGGGCTGCCTTTCCTTGGGAACATCTGTGGGCACGCACCTGTGCTGCTCCAGCGTGCCCTTATCGCAGTACTCCATGACGATGTAGGTCTTCAAATTGTAGCCGTCCGCAGCAATGACCTCCAATGCTATTACCTCGTTCGCCTCTGTTACCACACGGTATACAGCCACCTGTGCAGGCAGCAGATTATCCTCATCAGCCCAGCTAAGGACCCCTGCTGACACCCCCACAATCTCTCCTGCCTCGATCCTCAGCTTACCATTATACGTGATCGAAGCTGTTGCAAGCCTGCAACACACCCATGAGTACCTCCAACTGCTGCCTTGATGCCTCATCCTACTAAAACATGGCCAGGACAAGAATGCGGCCTCACAAGGACTGCAGAGGAGGCGAGAATTTGTTTTCTTTATGAGCCCTCTACAGGGACGGGGCCCTACGCAATGCTGTGGAAGTCTGACTCACGACATTGGGGTGTGCGCTGGCCATCCCAATCATTGCTTCTCGTGATGTTTGTGCATTCGTATGGTACCCAGCGCCCTGGTGGGACACGATCTTCACTGCCACGCTCGTCCCCTTCCAGCGACCTGGAAAGCAGTGTCACGCACTTAAGAGTAAAGACATCAAATTGCTACATTGGACACCATTATGTGCTCCTAAACATTGTACGTCACATACGTCCGCCGTGTTCCGCTTCAAATACTTCTCTGCATGAACCTATCGGTGTGTTTGGAGATGGAAGCACGACTTTGTCATGGCAGGACACACCTTGAGTAACGGACACATGTGTGCGTGCTTCACTAGGTACTGACCTTTGAACACGCTCCCAAATGTTCCTGCGCCGATGTTCGGCCCCATTTCTATGTCGCTGAGCAGGGTCCTGACTTCGCTCAGCGTCTTCGTCAACTTGGCTTGGTCGGCAGATTGGGGCAACAGTTCAGGGCTCTTCTTTCTGCCCAAGCCAGTCCTTCGCAGCCAGAGCAGCATCTCGGTGATAGTCACGCCTGCGAACAACGTTGCAAGCACACCGCCTGCTTGTTTCCACCCCATCGAGCATCGGAGACGCGATGGCATCACCATAAGCCTGAGTCAGCGGCAGCATCGATCCCCACCGCAGAAATGCTGCTCGGTTCCGTTCTGCCCCTCATGGCTGCTGAAAACCTTTGACGAGGGCGACAGCAAGAGGCACTGCGCAGCACACGGCAGCTGATGTTGACGTGAGCTAATGAAGATATATACAGATAAGATATTTGTGTGACATCAGTCACTGCAAACATTAGTGGCTGTGCTTGCAGGATTTATTTTGGAGCCTCTGGGTGGAACAACAGTCCCTCTCTCCACTGGAGAGTCTCCAGGATGGCAGCACTCTTGATCATCCAGGATTGCTACCAAGGAAAAATCTTTTCAAAGTGAGTGCTGAAAAACCAGAGGCTTCGTAGGCCTGCCCGCCAGAGGCAGTGAGCATGCATGCCACAAATCGTCCACGAGGTCCACAAAGAGTACCAGAACACTCAACAAAGGCAAAACTGCCAGTGGAGTGACTGCTACTGCTGCTGCCAGAGAAATTACTGCCAGGGCTGGAACCCGGAGCCCTGGTAGTATTCCCTGGCTTCACCTACAAGTCAAGACTTATGGGCTTTAAGGTCAACCTGCCTCTATCAAGAGAAGTGAAGGCAAGACATACAGCGCAATCTTAAATATGAAAAACCCAAGAGCTTGCAACCCCTACTGGAATTTCGAATATCTAATGCGGAGCCCCAAAGACTATGCACCAAATGCACACATTGAAGGCAGTATAGTCACCGTGACTGCAGAGACCCTACGGTCAAAATTGAAATAAATGCCAGCTGAGTGCAACAATTTCAGTGTCTTCTATTCTGACCAAGCAAGGCACTTCATCATTGCCTTCTACTATAAGCAAAACTTTCGCGACATCACAATGTCGTATCCGATCTGAGTCAGCATTCGGTGCTTTTAGCGATCACCAATGTCCAGATGTGGCAGTACTCAGTCATCATACAGTTTTTCGGCACTTTGCTCAGGTGCCCCAATCAGCATGGGCTCCTGTCAAATGAGCTCGCTGTGCTCTCAGACATCATCTCCCAGTTGCTAAAGTGGCCTTCATCGTGATATCGAGTGCACGTCCATTTCTATCTTCCACCCACTTCCCCTCCTGGCACTTGCTCATGTGCCCTTTCACATTTTTGCGCAAGTGACAGCAAATACGAGCTGTGCCTTGACCCTTTCCATCTTCATGAGCACCTCTTTATCAACATCGCCTCTTGAGCTGAGCTTCATGAAGACTATGTGGTGCTCCTCAAGGTCCCCACCTTGCTGTGCAGCGCGGCGGAGTAAATGCGCGGAGGGGGTGAAACTTCCCCGAGCAGCGCCAGCACACCAAGCTCTGAGCGCTGTACTTTAAGGCTCTCCCTCCTTGTCATCACCTCCTGCCCAAGCAGGCAGGCAACATGCATCAGTGAGATGTGCTGCCGTTAAAAAGTGAGCAAGCAATACCAGTCCAAGTCGGGCGAGTCTGGAGATCACAGAACATTCCCCCGGTTTCAAGGGACCAAACTTGCAAGTGAGCTGCTGTAACTAGCCCTGAGGTGGGCAGCAGAGACATGGCACCACCAGAGAGTGCACACTACAGCGTGTGGCAAGAATATGCAATGGAACATCGCCCACATCTTGATCTTATGGTTCTTGAGCGGACAGTACCTGATTGAGCATCTTAGTAAGGCTGCCGCGGATGTCCCTGAAGCTGGGCCGGTCTTTCCTGTCTGTCGCCCAGCATTCCCTGATCACCTCCTTAAAGGCCTCTGGGGTCTTCTCTGGGAAGTCCGGCCGCCAGTTTTCCTCCAGCACCTAATGAGCCGCCCCCATCAGCTTCACTGGCTTCCTTGCGATTGTACAAGAGGAAGATACAAGCAAGACAATGAGGACATGTCTTTCAACGAGTCTAGTGCCTGCATTTAAGCTTGCCTCTTCAGTCGTGACGGCAGCAGGCAGACATGTAAGAGGCAAGGCACTGCAAGCTGCATGGAAGTAGTACCAGCGTGCATGACAAACAAACTCCGGGAAAGCCCCAAAAGCTCGGTCCAGATCATGCCTCGATGCAGGTCATTCCTTGTTAAAGAAGTTAGGGGCCAACCTTCTTATATGCCTCTATTGTGCACGAGTCAACACTACAGCTGGGTGGCTGATGGCTCACAGGTGCCCCAACAGAGCACCCATGAAGCCAGCTCAGAGAGATCTCAACTGCGCATGCGTACCTGGTATGTAACTTGTATGTCTTCCAGGTCTGTCAGCCCGCTGCCCATGCTGATCAAGTGCCAGGCCACCACCGCGAAGGAGTACACATCGCTCTCTGCCGCAAGGCTGCCAGTTCGCAGCAGCTCCGGGGCGGCAAACACCGCCGTGCCAGGCTTGCTCGTGATTGCTGACACCCCATCTGTCATGCTCGTCTGGCTCAGCCCAAAATCCGCCACCTGTTCATGCCGAGCAAACATCATTCCTGAGCTGCCCTATGCAAAACGCACTGACATTTGGATCCCTAACGCTCGTCACCGGCTTTCATTTTGCTCTTGGCAACGAGCCAAGAAGAGCCTTGGAGCTCCAGAATACTGTAGTACTCCTTCTAAGACCCGCACTTTTAGAAAATTCCGTTTATTGCAGTGCGCAGTAAAAACCTGCCACCGCAGCTCTATGCATGCCAAGATCCATCCTGGCCCGCATACTTCTGGGCTTCTACAACTGAAGGACCCTGACTTTGTGCAGAGGGCGCTTGCCTTGCAGGTGAAGCCCCGCGCTTCCAGCGTGGAGGATTTGCAGAGGACATTCCCGCACTTAAGGTCCCCATGCACGATGGAGAGCGAGTGCAGGTACTCCATGCCATACACGACCTCCAGCAGGCAACGCAGCACCCACACCAGGCCCCTCTGATAGTCCGATCGCAGCAGCGCCCACCCCTCTTCCCTGCGCACGCCAGGGGGTTTCTTATTGAGATTCTCAGGCACCGGGGATTTTGCAAGGGAAAAGAGCATCCACATGACCAAGACTGATGGGGGGTTCCCCTCCCTGCATACAAGTGCATGGTGTGAGCATTGACCACAGAGAGGTCTGCCAGGGCAGTGTATGTCAAGGCCCCAACATATTGGTCAGCATGATGGCGCAGTAATCTGTCTCTGACATGCAGCAGCTGGGCTCATTGTTTCGTGCCTGAGGCACCTCACAAGCCCAGATCTGTGATGTTTGACGGTGCAGAAAGGAATCTCAATGCTCGCACCTGTGCTGCTCCAGTGTGCCCTTATGACAGTACTCCATGACAATGTAGGTCTTGAAATTGTAGCCGTCCGCAGTAACCACCTCCAGCGCCTCCACCTCATTCGCCACTGTCACCACCCGATACACAGCCACCTGCGCCAGAGGGAACGTGCTTCAGCTGACACATTGCATGAAGTTCCTGACATGCATGTGGAAATCATGCTCTTAAGAGGAAGAACCTGCCTCTTGGTAGCCTTACACCCCACTAATACCTTTGCCTGATGACCTGGTTCCCCACAAACACCATGCAAGCGCTGCGAGGCTTGTGGGCCCAGTCGGCTACCACCAGATGGGTTGAAACACCACTGAGAGGGCATGAAGGTGGGTGCAATGGTGACCAAGCTACTCCAGGCAGTATGACAGGTCACTACCGGCTCTCGTGCGAAATGCTGGCCTGCAACTGGAAGACAGCGGCATTGACTCACCACATTGGGATGTGCACTGGCCAAGCCGATCATGGCTTCTCGAGATGTCTGCGAATTTGTACTGTACCCAGCACCCTGATGGGAAATGATCTTCACAGCCACGTTCGTCCCCTTCCAGCGACCTGACACTCAAAAAACGCTTGCACCTCGCTTATCCTGCTTCTCTACGCTGTCTGTGTGCTTGGAGTACAGGCTGCCCGAGCATCACGGGAACAAGACACTCTGATAGTCAAGAATGGGTTATTTCTTGTGTCCGTTCAACCGACCTTTAAAAACTTGTCCAAACGTGCCAGCACCAATCTTCGGTCCAATCTCTATATCGCTGAGCAGAGTCTTGACTTCGCTCAGCGTCCTCGTCAACTCAGCGTGGTCCTCCGGTTGGGGCAACATGTCAAAGCTCATATCTCTGCCCATGCCAGACCTTCGCAGCGTAGTATCCCAGTATTAGCCACGCCTGCGAACCGCCTACCCATCGAGCAACGGGAGGGAACCCGCCCAATCTGCGACTGCCCCCGCCGATCCTAGGCCTCCAGTATCAACAAAACTCACCCAAATTCGCCGCTTCGGAGTCTAATCATTTTTGCACTCCGAAGAGAAACGCGCTGCGAAACTCTTGCACGGAAGTTGGTGGCATCGAGCTTACTAAGGTTTACTAAGACTATCAAGGATATCTTGAAAGATATTTGTGGCTATCCATCGAGGGCCGCACGCGTCAGTGGTGAGGTGCATGCAGATGACTGGTAGCCACTGCAGCAGGCGTTCCCCGCCCTCCTCAGACACCATGTGTGCATGTCCAATATTTTTTTTGGCACAATCGTGCAGCCGTGGCAGCCCACGTGTCACTCAGAGTGACTTACTCTTGCATCACTGGGAATCATGCCTGCGCAGGTAACCCAGATCTCATGATAATTCCATATTGAATGAAGTGGGTCCACCTTCTGCGCTAGCTCGGTGGTAACTGCTCATCAATGCACATGCCGGGGTATCAGAGTGGACGAAATGTCTTCAGCAACAGAATGAGATACTCGGTGATGTGAAAGAAGGGCGCTTTCGGCTGAGTGACTCCTCAAGCATGCACGGTGCACTAGATGCGCTTGGCCTCAAACGGTACTGCTGCTGGTGCATGCGCATATATCATATATGACACACGTGGATCTGGTCATGGTCGAGAAGCTTCTCAACTGCGACATGCACATGAGGCTAATGCGCCAGCTGCCCAGTGGTTCCACAGTTCGGTGTGCTGGCAATTTGACCAATCCTCCGAGTCTGCAAAGCTCTGGCTGTGAATAGTAAAGTCATTGCAGTGGCAGTCTTGGTCTCTTCTGTCTTCCAGCAGTGCATCAGCGTGATTAGCAAAGGTTGCATGGTCCAGACGGCACTGCAACCAAGTGTCTTCAAGATGAGTCACGTATCTCACAAGGTGACCATAGAAGAGGACCCAGGCCAGTGGCACCTCGCCTAGCTGAGCTCGGCATGTGTTCCCACGCATCGAACTCCTAGGATGTGTGTGCAGATTGACAGGGATAGCGTAAGGATGTCGAATTGCAGTAATCACATGCTTCCAACGAAATTGTGAGGGCTTCACACACTGGTTGCAACAGTTCAGGCTGGCATAAAAGATGGCTTTCATCGCTGACTCTCGTGAACATCAAATTACGAGCACGAACAAAAGCCATCAACCATCAAAAGGCATAACACTTGTACAATGCGCAAATCCCAATTTCAAGGCGCTTTAATGTTCCAGTGTACCACCACTGGATCATTATAGGCAGATCTTTGACCATAGTGTGCTGGCCAGTGCCTTTAAAGGGCACTCCAAGAAACTAGATGTTTTTAATCTTAGGTGTAAACTACCATGTGTTATGAGTTGCCTCTCGGAAGGCAAGTGCAAGCACCACAGATTCCAAGAACCCGACAAGCCTGTAACTGAGCATATGAAAAAGTGAAAGATGATGCGTTAAAGCAAACTCAATCATCCATGCGCCACCGAGTGCCAGTACCAATGAATTGCAACGCTACAGAGGTCTTCAGTAATGTAATGCAGAGCCCTCATTGGCCCTGCATTAATATCCGGATATTGAAAATGTGAGACTGGAGACAAGAAAGTGGAGAAGAGACAGTCACCTGTCACCATCGTCAACAGTAAAGTGATGGCAGGCTGGGTGCACAAAAATACAGTGTTCCCAATGCTAGGCCTCTGCTTTGCCTGCATACGCTTCCCTATGCCATGCATGGTTTGCTGCCTCCCGAGTGCTGCAGATCCCTTAGGGATCGCATCAGCACTCAGTGCTTGTAGCGTTCCCCGGTGCCCGGACGTGGCAGTGCACACTGTCCCATTACTCTGCTCACCCTTCCCTGGGAACTCCCGAGGCCTGAACGGCATCCTTTCATAATGAGGTCTCAGTGCTCTCAGACGTCATTGTGTGTCGCTGTCTTCTTCAAAACACTTCTGCGCAGGTGACAGCGCAATCGAAATTCATGACGCCGCTGCTGACATCAGCGCTCTCTGCTGATGTCAGCAGCAGCCGTGGCCGCACATCATCGCGTCCGAGACGCGTGAATAAGTGCACATGCACAAGTGAAGGAGCACCCCAGCCAGAAGCGGCGAATCATCCCGAGCGCGGATAGTTGCGCGGCGGCGGCTGGCTTTGTTTCAGGAGCAGACGCAAGTCCACCACCTCGGCACTCTTGGAGCGCTGCGAGCGCAGGCTCTCCCTCCGTGTGGTAACCTCCTGCTCAGCCACCCAACAAAACAAGTCAGGGCCACCGTAAGGGCCATCATTTCAGGTATGGGCACAGCTACCCAGATGCGCCACAACTTTGTGGGGGCTGGTTGCCTCAAGTTGCTCCTCGCAAAAAATGGTAGCACAGTCAGCATAGCGCGCTCTGCTACATGAGGGCCTGATATTCCAGGCCGTTCCCATTAGAGTATTGACAGCCCGCTTCAGGAATAAGCGCATGTTGAGGAGCAGAGCAGGGAAGATTGCATCTTTCAAGATTGTGGAGCGTTTGCATGTTGAGGCGGGCCCACTGTGCTGCTATCGCATTAACCAAACCAGCAGCATCCTAGGCGCCCATCGTAAGACTTGCTGCACCCGCGTGAACAAAGCCGATATGAACAAAGCCGATACAAACAAATCAGGAGCTGCGCAGCACCTCATTGAGCATGTCTGTGAGGCTCCCCCGGACTTCCTTGAAGCTGGGCCGATCCTTCCTCTCTGTGGCCCAACACCTCCTGACCACGTCCTTGTAAGCCTCTGGAGTCTCCTCTGGGAAGTCCGGCCGCCAGTCCTTCTCCAGCACCTGACAATGCCAGCCTCATCAGCTTCGCCTTCACCTCCCAACAGGATGAACAGGAAGATACATTACAAAGAGCCTGTCGCCTGCATTGAAGCCCGCCCTTTGAGCCGTGAGTGCAGCAGGCGTACATGTAAGAGCGCAGGGCAAATGAAGCTGCATGGAATGAGTTCAGCGCGCACAGGAGTCGCTCTCCCTAAAGCATCATGAGCTTGGGCCAGGGCACCATTGTTCCTAATACAAGGGGCAAACATGCTGACGACTCTTGTCGTGGGCAAGTCAATGCAAAAATTGGGTTACTTTTGGTTTCAGCTGTGCTGGCAGCCAGTTGACAAAGATTTGACAAAGGTATTTTGTCAAGCGCACCTGGTATGTAACTTGTATGTCTTCCAGGTCTGTCAACCCGCTGCCCATGCTGATCAAGTGCCAGGCCACCACAGCGAAGGAGTACACATCGCTCTCTGCCGCCAGGCTGCCTGTTCGCAGCAGCTCCGGGGCGGCAAACACCGCTGTGCCAGGCTTGCTCGTGATTGCCGAGACCCCGTCTGTCACGCCCGTCTGGCTCAGCCCAAAATCCGCCACCTGTCCATGACGAGTAATTAACATTGGTGGACTGCCCAAAGTGCCCACAGTAACATTCGAGAGGCCCACCCTTCCAGCAAAAGCCTTTGCTCTGCTCAGGCCAACAATTTTTTGTCCTCCACCCTCTTGGTGTTGACTGGAGCAACGCCCTCACGGGTGAATGCAAGCGCTTCAAGTGAGCAGCAGCTGAAGGCTGGCACATGTTTGTGCTCGAGGCAATTGATTTCTGCCAGCATGTCCCGGCTTCTGTAGAAGCGTGGGACCCATGAGCATCGGCCATCTCGTCTTTGGGTTCCAAGGCTGCGTAAGGCAAACAAGCTGCTGGCTGCTGTCAACTTCGAAATCATGCCAGCAGAGCCTTGGCTGTGGGCAGAAGTGCTTGCCTTGCAGGTGAAGCCGCGCGCGTCAGAGGTGGAGGATTTGCAGAGCACGTTGGCACACTTGAGATCCCCATGCACGATGGAGAGCGAGTGCAGGTACTCCATGCCATACACGATCTCCAGCAGGCACCGCAGCACCCACACCAGCCCCCTCTGATAGTCTGCCCGCATCAGCGCCCACCCTTCCACCCTGCGCATGCCAGGGGGCGCGTCACCAAAATGGGGGGCGGAGGGGGGCACATGGACTCAAAACATGTACACCACCATGACTGGTGTGAAGTCCTCCTGGGCATACAGGGGCACTCGCATCCGCCGAAGTAACTGGTTCAGGGAGTGATGCACGAGTGCAGAGAGAGGTTCCTTTATACAGTGTCAGAGTGCAGAGTGTCTGTACGCACCTGTGCTGCTCCAGCGTGCCCTTATCGCAGTACTCCATGACGATGTAGGTCTTGAAATTGTAGCCGTCCACAGCAACAACCTCCAGTGCTACCACCTTGTTCGCCTCTGTCACCACACGGTACACAGCCACCTGTGCAGGCAGCAGATTATCCTTGTCAGCCAGCTTGTGACCCCTGCTGACCACCCCACAATCCTCCTGAGCACCTTGACCCTCAGCTCAGCAGTCTTTCGCAACAGAGGTGCTGCTTTTCAGCCTGCAACACACCCATCAGTAGCTCCAACTGCTGCATTGATGCCTCACATCACCAAAGCATGCCAAGGACACAGATAGGGCCTCACACGAATTGCAGAGGAGGCAACAGGTGATTTACGTTGTCAGTGCTCCAGAGGGATGGGGCGCTAGGAGTCTGACTCACCACATTGGGATGTGCACTGGCCATCCCTATCATGGCTTCCCGAGAGGTCTGCGAGTTTGTTCTGTACCCAGCACCCTGGTGGGAGATGATCTTCACCGCCACACTCGTCCCCTTCCATCGACCTGGGGACAGCAACTGCAATCTTTAGGGGTGCCCCGCTGACCATGACCTTGTCATCGCGAGGAAGACACTAGAACACTGTTTAAATAGTATAGACTCGCTCAAGATGCATCTCCACGCCATGTTGCCTGTCTGCACTTGGAGATGGCTGAAAAGGGACAGTACAGGTTGCCAGAGCAGTACAGGAACCTGCGTTTCCGTGCTGATCGTGTTAACTGACCTTTATAGACTTTCCCAAAGGTGCCTGCGCCGATGTTCGGCCCCACTTCTATATCGCTGAGCAGGGTCTGGACTTCGCTCAACGTCTTCGTCAACTGGGCGTGATCTGCAGGGTGGGGCAACATGTCTGGCCTCATCTTCTTTCTGCCTGTGCGGGGCCTTCGCAGCAAGCGCAGCATCTCAGTAATAGCCACGCCTGCGAGTAATGTTACGAGGACACCGCCTGCTTGCCTCCAGCCCATCGAGCATCGAAAGAAATCGGCTCAGTTTGCGACTGCCTCAGACCAGCCCTCCGGCATTATCGGATCCCATCACCGGAATCGTGCTGCTTCGCGGTCGATGTGCCCTGAATCATTGCGACAAAGCAGCGGCTTCCATGTGAACGCGCTCGCGTGTTGCAGTACACGGAAGCTGCAGTGACGTTAGCCTGTACACGTATTGAGCAATATTCGAGATCTGACAAGATATTTTCTTATTATGTTTTCCTGATATCATGGACTAGAGGAATGTGGACTGGAAGGGCCTCTGCTGTCTCTTCAAGATTTCAGCACTGATCTCCATCGATCTGTACGTCTCGAGCTCATCATCCCTGCCAGTCCAGGACTGCCACAGGCACCTGTGGCTTGCATGCGTACTATCGGCGCCAGGTGGCACCATGCAAAGCATGGCATGTCATCACATGATCAGCTGGATTTCTGGTCCAAGATCAGGTGAGCCTCACTGAGTGACTCCCACCCAAGCCGCCTCCTCGGCTTGTGTACAGTGTACACTACAACGAGACAGACAGACTAATCAACAATTTGCCGATCAGACCTCCTCCTTTCAAACAATTGCCTTGCAAAGTAGTATCAACCCACAGGGTGAGGACGATGTTCAAAGGTAGCCAATGTGCACACCCTGCCCACTTGTGCCTCACAACAAAACCCCTTTCAAATTTGAAAGTAGCAGCTAGCGATGATCCAACACCATTGTCGCAGGAGACTCTCTCCCCTTGCCACTGGCAGTGCTGCATCACATGAAATCCTCTGATCACAGCAGCAATCTAAAACGCACAAACTGCCCAAGTTCACCTATAAATCCTTGCCCAGCAAATTTACACAGTGTCTGCGAAGCGGGCCGGGCAGCCTCCTCCGAATTATGGTCATGCAATCGGCAAGAATTTTTCTGGAGATCTATATCTCAACCTCAGCGCTCGCCCTGCTGGCCTTCCTCCCAGTGTCTTTGAGATCCAACTCGGCGGCCCCGTGTAATACACGTTGTGTATCACATGACCTCCTCTTTCCTGGGGGACGGCAATGCAGCAGTTTGCCAGAGAGCAGGCTAGGCCACAACAGAAGTCCGCCGGCTGCTGGCTAAGCAAAAATCTGTATAAGGCGCCACTCACTGCAAACCTCCCTCATCCTTGATGCCTGCTTCACGAGAGGCCGCTTCCACCTATGATTATTGCACTACACAGTCCGCTGCAAAGTCCACACGCCACGCCATCCCTTACACGAGTGACTTTGTGCGGCAGCAAGGCAGTAGATAGCAGCAGCAGCATGCTAGGAAACAATTGAAGTGGAGTAACAGAAAGGCTGCCGGCTGCCGGCTGCCGGCTGCCGGCTGCCGGCTAGACGTTGCTGACCGAGCCCCCCATGGGCACCCCCGAGACGATACGCGAGAGACCGCTGCCCATCCGGTGCCGGGACGGCCCTCGCGCGGTGGCAGTGGAGGACCCCGGGTTCTGCAGCCGCCACCACATAACACCCCGTCAGCTCCCTTTTTGCCAACTTACAGGGCCTGCATTCCTCTGCAAATGGAACTAACCCTGTGCCCCTGCAACTTGTTCTATAGGTCCCAACCGGTCGCCAACAGTTCGCCAACAGGTCCCAGCAGTCCAATAGCACGGGTGACTGCTTGGGATGCGTCTTACATACGTGTCACCTGTGGTGGGCTCTCCACTGCAACTGAGAATCTACAATGCTTTAGTGCCCAACGTAGATTAGCAAATGTCCAAGCGTGGATCAGGGAATGGTCACTAGAAAACTCAGATTCTAGAAGGCCCCCAAAAGGACATGGGCAAGAGGTCCAAATGTATCAAGGATGCATCTCCTTTGTGTTCAGCCCTATGGCCTTTACATCGGCACCCAGTTGTCTGCATTCAATCTGGAACGACACGCACCTGAGCGAGGACTCGGGCGAGAGCCAGGAGAACTTGACGCCGTCGAGGCGGCACTCACGCATGTCATTTGTTCCCTGCCTGACGCTTTCCAACGCTACGGCCTAACTGATCCAAATTTGAACGTGAAAAACTTCACCGACCTGCAGGGAGGACTCGGGCGAGAGGGAGGAGAACTGGACGTCGTCGAGGCGGCGGCGCTGCGTGAGGGAACGCAGTCGGAAGGTGGACGCCGGATCGGTGTCGGGCGTCAGGTGCATCATGTGAGCCTCCGGCGCGACCGTGCGCTGGTTCTTCAGCTCCGCAGCCTCTATCATGCGCCGCATCGTCATCTCTGCAAGCAGCGCACATCGACATATTACTCATCGTTATTGGACATCACACGGTTGTTTAGTCATCATCACTAGACATGTCATGCGCCGCTTTGTCATCGCACGTAGACATGCGCAAGTTCTCAGGCGGTTTCGGGTGCGGTACAAAACATCCGGTAGCAACGACAAGACACGCAGACAGCAGGTTTGGATTTAAAGGACGGCCAGAATTGGATATAAAAGTTGCCAGGCTAAGGACCCATATGGATCCATTGCTTGCAGCTCTCCGATTATTGACAGCCTTTCTACAGGCACCCTGCTTGATCTCAGGAGCTGTACAAGTGGCGTTTGCTGAGGTTTGAACTCTGCAGTCTCTTTCTCTAAAGTGTGTTCAGGGACAGTGACACTGTGCAACATGCAACTACTGGCTGGGGAAGAGTGGCTGACCTGTGATGTCGGCTGGGCCGTTGACGCCATCAGAGTGGGTTAGGCTGAGCTTCTGGTTGCGCATGGCGCCGGGCGACAGAGCATAGGGGTCGTTCTCCATGTCAGACAGCGCCATGGTCTCGTGGAAGCGCGACCAGTTCACACGCGGCTTGAAGTCCGGCGAGTCTGCAGAAAAGGAGGGTTTTTCAGGAGTCATCTTGGTGCACATCTGGGTAACTCCACATCAGCAGCAATGCTGGGTGCGTATATATACAAAGGCAGGTCAGGCAGAAGGTGCGCTCGCACGCAGAGTCAGTGCAGCTGCAGAGCCTCATGCAAGAGTCTCTGCAAACAGCCCTTACTTGCGCGTCTAAAAAGGCGCAGCAGACTTGCCAGGCGTGATATCTGGTGGCATGCCATGTTTACTGCGTGGAGAGCGCAAAGAGCTCAAGCAAAGCTCAAGCAAGGCACAATTTTGTGGATGAGTATCAACACCAGGAGTTCGTGGTACAAACATAGAGGATGGGGGGAAGCAGCACCGGCGGGGCGGGTGACTACGGGTGCGAATCCGTGGTCGCGCTTGACATCGTCGAGGACATTGAAGATGCGCATGCGCATGCGGTTCTGGCTCCCGCTGTACATGTACCCCTCCACCTGCACAGCAGCAGCAAGGGGGAGTTCAGCAACGCATTTTTCTGATCTTCCCATGCAGCGATGACAGGGTTGCCTACTCAGGCTCTGGACTGGCAACCACATCTGAGTATCAACTTCATGCAAGTGACACGGAGTGTAGGACAAATAGAAGTGCGCGTGTGACAGCGCACATGCCCTTCTGACTAGTACAGAAGTAGCAGATTGCCCTCTCAACAGCTGAAGGTGCGAACACCTTGGCACAGCCGCATACAAAGTGAAAGATGTGCCAGAGTAGGTGGGAAGGCCAGTAGAACGCAGGAACACCCATGAGAGAACTTAAAGAGACGGCCATCAATGGCAGCACAAAAAGCATGCACTGAGTGCTCATCAGTCTGCTCACCAGACCTCCTGGAAGGCACATAACAGTCACTGGTTCCCTTTGACTGGTGCCCTTTGACTGGTGAGAAAAGGCATCTGGCAGGACTCCCTCATGTGGGAGCAGCATAGAAAGGTGAGACGCGCACCACAACGACGATGCAGGAATCAGCATCGGCCATGACGCCCGAGGGCTTGAGCCAGGTGGCGAGCGGGGATGAGTCAGTGATGACGTGTTTGCAGATGACTGGCAGCCACAGCAGCAGGCGTTCCCTGCCGTCCTCATAGCCCACCTCCAGCATCTGCTGGTCATAGTCCTGCAGCCAGAACAGGCCGATTTGTCACTTTTACATCTCCGAACATTCAAATTCAAAATGATACTAGATAAAATGTGACGCAGTGCCAGCGGTGGCTCGGGGCTCTCTGCTGATTGAGGCCAAGGCTGTTGCTGTGTTGAATGCAGGGCTGGAAGTCTGCAAGATTTTTAAAGTGGACGAGACATCATCAATCCCAGTGCCAGCAAAATGAGAAGCTAGCGCTCAGGTTGAAAATGACTTGTCCATGCTGAGCACTTGACTGCAAAATGAGGCTGCCCCATCAATTGCATTGCAGAATCCAAGCATCGTTAAGGCAGCCGGCTCCTTGGAGACTTGCTCGCAAGCGAGCTTTGACCAGGCACATCAGAGGGAAATAAGAATGAGTCATGTCAGGTGCCCCACCGAGGGGTAGCCAGAGCTGCCTGGCTTCCTGTCGGGCCGCCAGCGGTACAGATACATGCGCACGATCACTTCCAAATGCTGGTTGGGGTACGTGTCTCCAATCCTGCACAGCATGGCTCATCATGTCACCCAAACAGTATATTGCATTGGCCAGAGTAGTTTCTGCAGTGCGGTAGTCTGACAACAAGTTGTTATTGTCGGAATGCCATGACTTGATAAGCTCACCCCCAGCTGCACGATCCACGCAGGAACCTTTGCAAGCACGATGAGGCGAAACACAAGAATTCACATCTTTTCTCAACATGCCTGTGCTTGCACTCATGCGACTGAGGGCTTTCATAGGCACCGCCCGTCATCCCAAGGGAGGGAGAACATGCGCATGAAGCGAGCTGCGCAATGAACCACAGCTGCAAGCAAAGACAGCATCTGCACCTTTGCTTACATGTCAGCCTCACAGGTCTCAGTGCATATTTTACTTTGCATGTTATTTAGGCACGCATGCAGCACGAGAAGGGCCGGATCACATGTGCGCACCTGACCATGAGCGCCAGCTGGCCGGTGTCGTCCGGTGCCAGGATGACGGAGTCTGAGATGACGAGTGTGTTCTCGCCCAGCAGCGGGTAGGGGACCGTGCGCAGCGCCTTGGCCGCCACCAGCCGCGACAGCTGCGCCGGGGGGAGCATCTCCAAACCCTCCAGGGGCTCCACGTCGTGCAGCCTGCGCCAGGGGACGTAAACAGGGTTTGCCGAGGGTCTATGGGTACTAACAAGTGGCGCCCGCAGCGGCCGCGTGGCCGATCGACACATTTTGTTCTCCGACTTTCATGTTGCGATCTAAAATGAATGCAACATGGAAGGCTCTCTGCTTGCTTCTCGTTTACGATCAATGGGATTTCGACCCTGAAATCCCGGGGGACTGTTATACAATAAACAAATGAGCCGAGCGATCAAAAAGACAAATCGACATCAGGTCATTTGGCCAAGAATGACACTATCTGGACAGCGCTAAAGACTGACCAGGCCAAACCCATCCGGCCGCTGAAAGTCAAGAATAACCCTTCTAATCTCCTGCGCTTGACGAATACCTGCCTGAAGCAGTATGAACACCATCACACTATCACAGCCTGCCCAGCGGCTGGATGGCATGCATAGTACTTCCGGCAGTGCATCCTCAGGCACAGGAGAAATTGTTCTCAGGCACAGAAGAACAGAGACCATCAACGCTTCGAGTATGGGCAGCTCTCACCAGGAGTCATGGCTCTGGTCACGCCTCCGGCTTCAAGTATTTCACAAAAAAGCAACAAACCCCAAATGAATTGCTAATGCGCCACCCAACAGGCGCTGGGCATGAAAAGCTACTGGATGTAAGTGTACTGACTCGATATCATGGCCAAGGAATGGAGTCTGACCTGGAGATGTCGACCTTGTAGTGGGTCTGCCCAGGGGGCGGCGGGCCGATGATGGACACAAACTGGTGGCCCCAGTGGATTTCGGTGGGAAGGTATGACTGCCGCGCCATGAAGGGATTGCCAAATTCTGTCGTGCCCTCAAACGTCACAATGATCTCCGCATTCACCTGCGCGCGCCCGACATGCTAATTATGAAGCAGTCCCTAAGAGGTTGCAATGGCGGCTCTTGAGCTGCATGCAACTGCAGCTGCAGGTGGCTCTGAACCTTCTCTTCTCTCAGGTGCGTGGAGCTTCAACATCACAAGTTTCAGGACGGTTCCACGGCGGGGGTCCACACTGCAAGCGCTGAGATCTCTGGCACTTGAAGACACGTCTGACTCTCAAACGCTCTACCCAGTACTACTCAGAACAAGCAGTCAATGGAGGTTCAAGGGGCAGATTCATGCATGGTCAAGGGAGATCTGGGGAAGCTTCAGGGTGAGGAGTCACACTTACCATCATGAGTGTGTCGAAGGTGTGGCCGATGAGGGGGGAGCGCTCGTCGATTGTGTGCTCAATTATCAGCGGCAGCAACCTGCAGCAGACAGCACATAACGTGCCTCAAGAGTGACAAATTGCAGCTGTACTAGAGTACTACACTGCCCTATTTGTGGCCTGCAATTCCCACCCCATCAACACCCTGCAGGCTGCAGACAGCACATGATATGCCTCAGGGTGACAAGTTGCAGCTGTACTTGCTAGATTTCTTCTATGCGCTGTTATGGCGCGCAGTCCCCACCCCTCATCACACAAAAGTCTTGCTCTGCTCCAGGCTGCAGACAGCGCATGATTTGCCTCAGAGTGACAAATTGCAGCTGTGCTCGTCAATGCACTATTTGTGCCTGCAGTTTCACCCTTTCAGGGCGCACAAAATCCTTCTCTTAACCAGGGATTGCAGCTCACCATGCTGCTGGCACCACAGAATTCCCCCGGTGACTGACAAATTTCTGTTGGTGCCATTGGTGCTTTGACCAGCAAAGCAGGAAAAAACAGGAAACTTTCTGCTGCTGTGATGACGGCAGCAAGGACGCCAACAGGGAAAGTGAAAAAATGGAAAAAAAAATAAAATTGAAAATTTCAAGTGGCTTGTGCACGATATTGCAGGCCATCATGGATGTTGCTGATGCCGCCATGTGCGCATTGGCCCATACCATGCATAAGTGCTGCGCAGCATTTTGCAAACATGTATCCTTTCCCCGGCCCCGGCTGGCGGGAGGCGGTATAAATACTGAGCACGGTCCCCACAATGGATTGGGTCTTGGAATAGGGGAGTCCATCAAGGGGTAGGAATTTGGCAGCCTTCAACTGCAGCTTGTCTGCAGAATCACCTTGCCTCTTGGCAGGAAAAGCATGTAATAATAACAACATCCTTTCCTAAGTTTTTTTTGAAAAGAACAGTTGCTGTTTTGGGCTACTAAATTTTGAAAGATAAAGAGGGATGACAAGCCTCAATGCAAAGAGTATGGTTGCATCTGGTGAATGAACGCAGGTAGAGGGGATTCGCATCCTCCCTTGATGATTCTGATTACGACGACAGCATCATCACTGGACCTGCTAGGCGGTTCGTTCGGCTCTTATTATGACAGACATATTGAAAGGCTCGATACGATACGAAACGATCTTCGTGTTCCCCAGAGCCGAAGGTAGGCAAGGCAACCTACTTAAGGTCCCACCAAAGGACCTTGGACAAGAAGCCGTACAGGACGACTCTCCTGGGAGCCCCGGGCGTGATTAGTCGGGTCTGGTCCAGTCCCCAATCGTTAAGTCAGAAGTCCCTAGTTCGAGTCCTTCCGCTGGCGGGACCAGGATTTGAGTCGCTGGGCTACTTTTTTGCCATTTTTTCTCCACTTTTTCCTTTGCTATCCTATGGGGCTTTTCTTTCCTTGCGAGCTACTTGTAGCTTTGGCCTTTCCAAGTTCAGTGTATCGTCCATTCGGCCATTGACGAGAACCCTTTTATTCCAACTTAGTGATCGGAAAAAGAAATACGATGCTCTCTTTTTGTTGCAGATGATGAGTGCCACACAGGCCTGTTGATGCACAATCATAATCATTAATTGAACAATCTTTATGAAGGCTAGAGGCAGACCATTGAAGAGCTGCAATGGCTGCGTGAGACGACCTTGATGCTATTGGGCATGCATGCCACTGGTGGAGGAAGTGCAAGAATCGGGAAAACTGGAGAACAAAAATCCAGATGGTCTTCAAGAAGGTCTGTAGAAATCTTGAAGAGCCTGAAGCAAATGCTTGCCGTACCCAGGCCCTTCAGGACTGGAAAACTGTAATAATATTCATGAAATTGATGATGCCCACCGTTGATTGGGTCTTGCTCGGATCTAGCGAGTCCAACACGGGGCAGGATTGTGGCAGCCTTTCTATGCAGCTTGTCTGCAGCACGCAATTTGCTTCGGCAGGAACATCATGTAATAGTAATGATATTGATGAGGGAGGAGCACTCACAGCATGCCGTCGATGTAGCCAATCTCCAGGGATTCCACCCTGACAGGGATGTGCTCGCCCTCTGCTGTAGTGCGTCCCTCACCCCACGTGTACAGGTATGCCTTCACTTTTGGCTCCACAACCTGTGGCACCGCATCAGGCATGCAAGTGAGCTAAGTGGATCTTCTAAAATCTATAGGACCCCTCAAGTCATCCGGTGTCACCCCTGAAACGCCCACTGATAACATGCTGAACAAGGCAAGGAATCTCGTTGTCCATGTCTTGATAGCGGGTCTGTCTGTGGCTATGTATCCAGTGCTATCCACGCGCAAAGGAAAGCCACAGGCAAAGTCGCATATGACACATTAATCAGATCAGCCTGCCGTGCTTTTGTCATGCAACAGCCCTCCACTGCAAGCTTCACTGACAAACACAGTCCGGAGCTCTGAGCGCCCGCACAAGCAGCAGATCTTACTTTCCCTCAAGACAGAAGCATCAGAGTATCAAATTTCAGGAAAGCCAGCCCACACATCCGCACTCGTTCAAAGCAGTGCCAAGAGAGGGCCAATCACAGTTGCAGGCTTTAGCAGCAAGGTTGCATAGTGAGAAGAAGAGGGCGCCAAACCTGAGTTCTCCTGAAATCGGCGACGCGGAACATGAACTTCAGAACGCCGTCCCGGCGTGAGATGACGGCAGAATCCGATATCGCAATCGTGCGGCCGCGGTACTTGGGGTGGCTGATGCGCGCGAAAATAATGCCGATGATGACTGAGTCCATTAGTAACCCCACCATGCTCTGCACCGTGATCAGCAGCGCTATCCACCAGCAGTCGTTGGGGCCCATGTTGCCATAGCCTGCATGACATAAGAGAACACTAATGATTTTGTTATACTGATAATGCATTGGTCACCAGGACAAAATAGGTCAAGCAACTCCTGTAGGATTGCTTGAATGACACTTGTGCAGGCAATGCATGCAAGGTGGGTTGGTGTGTCATTAGGCCTGCTCATGCTTGAAGCGAGCACAAGAGGTTCCTAGTCCCAACTTGGTCATTGCTTCGGAAGCACCCTTCTATGGAGTCCACTAGCAATGCACTGATTGCATCAGCACATTCCAAACAATCGGAGTGGTGAAGTCAGAGAGAATAAGCTGTTCAACACTGCTGAGCAGTTCACAGAAGATTTCTTGCAGGGACATTTCAGTAGCAGGTAACGCACCGATTGTCTGCTGGGTGGCCAGGGACACAATGTAGGAAGAGGCATAGTTTGGCGCATTGTAGGTGCAGGTGGGATCCACTCTGCAGACACCAACATACCAGGCAAAGAAATCAGCCAGCTGAGTGAAACACTTGCACCCTGTCCCACCAAGTTGTGCATGCCAAAGAAATAGAGTGTCACAAGTCTTCAACCCCAAGTTGGGGCTGTAGAGGACCTGTGTAAGGGCTTTGTCCTCGACGTGAGCACATTAGAGAACAATCTTACATGCGCAAAAGTGAGCGGAAGGGAAGTGGGGGGCTTGCCTTGCTATGAGGTACCAGAAGGCGCCGAAGAAAAAAAAGGTGGAGATGTATATGACGACAATGCCCAGCAGCAGCTGCCATATTCGCGTGTTGAGGATGGATATGAAGAAATCTGCACAAGAAGAACACCTTCCACATCAGTACAAAGTCCACACAGCAAGCCCCTCAGCGGGACAAGCCACCCTCCATACCATGCAACGACATTCCAATGCCTGTTCCTCTGTTCCTTTTTACATAGGCAATTTGTTGTGCCAGATGCAGCCATGAGGAAGCTCAAGCGCGTACCCCTTGACCATTCGTGAATCAGGAGAGTGGTTTTGTTTGTGTACTCCACCCTCGATTTCCCAGCCTTCCTGCAAGCAGACAGACCCAGCTTGTTGGTGTCACACTGCTGATAACCTCTGCCGATACACAGGTGCATGGCTCGACATGTTTGCACGGTCTACGATTGTTTGCCCTCAGTATGGCATGTCCAAAAAGATACCCAGATGAGAGCACACCTGCCAGTCGACACCAGGCTAGGCACCTTCTTCCTAGCCCGCTCCACCTCATAGTATCCTGCAAAGCACAGCAATCGGCTTGATCTCTTCGTCCCTTGCGATTCAGCAGTGTTGGACACCAGAAAGGGTGGAATGCCACTCTGCTAGATCAGATGATGCTGGAATCCATCCAGATGCAGAATTGGCATGCGAAGGATGTGAGAAGGCTGCTCTCCCTCACCTGTGCCTCTGTCAGGAGTCCAGTGCTTGTGCCGCGATCTCTGGTCCTCTGCTCCTGGCTCGTTCTTTGCCTGCCACTGCTTGAGCCAGTCTGCAAGGTCGTAAGCCCCCAGCAGGCCCCTATCAGATGCAGTAGAGGTCACACCAGATGTGCTGGGAGCTGTAGAACCGACAGCATTCGTTGACATGCTCTGTGCCTCCAGAAAGTTGCCCTGACTGCCACCAGCACCACGGAGAGGATTGTTCATCGTGCTTCTCCGGGAATTGTCACCATTTACCGGCGTGATGCCGCTGTCTGCAGGTACCTGAGACGTCATAGTAACACAAGAACTTGCTACAAGGCCACCTAGGACTGCATGATCCAGACTGTAAGACCACCGACTGCAGCCCTCCGAAATCTATTCGATCCTAGATCTAGACTTGGCTTAAATCACTGTGTTGTTTACTGCATATGCCACATAATCACATCTGGCCCCACTACACGATGGGGAGATGTAGGTTTGGCAAATTGAGCTGTGAGACTTGCTTTAAGTAGGTGAGAGCTATCAATAATGGGTCAATCTATGACATTCCCATACTGAACCAACCGATCGGCTTGAGATGCGTATCTTGCAGCGGAGAAAATGCAGGTCCAGCATCTGGTAGAACTTGACCTATCCCAACCCTAGGCAGGACTAGACTTGGAGACTTCTGAGTACAGAGCCCCGTCCAGAATAGGCAACACTTCACTTTGAACAAATTTTCTTCCATCGCTTGGCTGCTTTGCTCGATGCTGATATGCATGTGATAATCGTATACACCGAAGGTGTATCGGGCCATCGTAGGAGTGGACATTGACAAATTTCAGATCTCTTCTGTTTAGCGAAAATGTTCTGCATCACTATCTCGCGTTCAGGCGATACATGATTGCTGTATGATGTGAAGCAGAAGATTTCTTAGCCAGATCGAAAGATCTTAGGAAATATAATGGCGAGCCCAATCAGAGCTGCCTTTGAAAAGAAGAACTACAAATTTGCCAACGATGGATTAGATGAACGCTGTGCGAGTCTCGCTGAAAGTCATGTCTTCTCAGCAGAAAAGATTGCGCTCGAATTTGAGAAGGTCATGTTGCAAAGGTGCTGCTCCGAGGCCAATGTCACTGCGTCCATGAACTCAATCTCCTCTTCTCTGCTGTGCTGTGCACTTAATATCAGCTTGACCTTTTAAAAATTCTGTTCGTCAAAAATCACCAAGAAATTTGATCTCTGGATTTTGACCGAGCGTAGTGGAGAGGTGCAATCTCACGCACACCCTGCCACAACATCTTGTTCTGTACAAGCCTGATGCTAGGACTTAAGGGGCCTTTGGATGGTTTTATTGCAGGGCGGCAACTGGCAATGGCGTTACTGAGGCGGATTTGGAAGCACTCGAAGGCGAGCTGGAACGGACCAGGGCCAAGCGTGAAGCCAAGCGCTCTGCTGCAGAAAAGTCTGGCAGGACTGAAAGATACAGGTACCCATGGATCCTCCTATCCTGCCAAGAGAGTTCTGATCCTACCATCTATCCACCTCTAGAATGACCCTGGTGTCACCATCTTAGCAATTGGAGTGAACAAGCACACCTCGACTGGCTGCACATCCATCACGTGGGAGCTGTACACGTGTGTCGAACACAAGAGAATGTGGCCTGACTGCACAGGTTGTTAAAATGCCGTTCAGCTGCATTTCTCTACTTTGACCTGCCTGTGTCTGCTTCATCAGCGTGCCAATTCTGGTGGACGCCACAAATAGAGGCTTTGAGACGCCTGCTCGCAACCCTGCTGCCAAAGTCGCTGCTCACCAGCGCAAGACACCCACCAGCTCATCCTTCCACAGCCGCGCCCAGGTGCACAAGAAGCTATGAGAAATAGAAACTAGAGTGGTCCGCATGTAGGCACTTGCTTAAAGAAGTCCTAGTCTCTACTCTTCATCTTCATCACGCAGCACATGCATGTCTTATTCATCAGTACATCTGAAAAGCCCTTGTGTGTTGCAGGCTGGGGAGGTGGTAAAATCACTCAATGCGCACCTGGACTTCACGGCAGGGGATCTTGGAACATCGGAGGTATATTTCACTGCCCCAGCTCTATTTGATCGCACTCAGGCATGAAAGCCATTGCGCCAAAGTCATGTGCAAGCATCTACCAGCAAGCAACCAGTCGTTCCAATGCAGTGAAGAATGACACTGGCATACCCATCAGGAAAAAGTTTTAAAGCACCTGATCAGAAATAGCCAGCGAAATGGTGTCCCTTCGCTGTGCCAAAAGTGTGAAAACCTCCATTTGCGCTGCGCTTTATTCTGTGCTGCAGCATATACTGTAGTACTCGTTCTAAAGGCGCAGTGCGGAAAATTTTGGTGGGAAATTTTCCGCAAAGCGACTTTAGGGGTCTTCCTGACTTCAAAGATACAAGGGTCATGCTCAATTGGATTGGGCTTGTCAAGAGCTTTCCGAATCTGGTCTCAAAATTATCGGGTCTATATTCAGGGAGATAAGGTCTTATTTATCCACCATTTTTGGCCAAATATGATTATATATTGCGGGTTTTAGATTGAGTACTACAGTGACACAGACCATACAGTCGCTATTCTCGCAAACCAGTCGCCAAGGCGGCATTGTTTCAACGCTGTGTCAGGCGCGCTGGTGTCCTCAAGATATGCTTCCTGCCATTTTACCACCGAGTCAGCCTTTGCTTGGCGTGCTCACAACCGTTAAGGAACATCAGCAACCATGCAGCTGATGGCATGCTCTTCGTGCTGTTTTAGAGAAGCTCCAATTGTTAGTCCTCCCTGCCGTTAGTAGCAGTGAGTCAGTCCTGGCGTGTGTGCCTGTTCAGGCGATGGATGTGGACGGGGGCCCCCGCTGCCGGGTGGACCTGGTGCGGCCGGGGCTGAGGGCAGGCCACAAATTCATGAGCAACCGGATACCCAGCCGAGTAGCCTTCCTAGAAGCGCGCATGCTCGACTTCTGCGCTGCCCTGGAGGCCGCCACCGGCTGCCCGGCGGGCAACCCAGTGGGCCTCCCAACCCAGGTATGCTGGGGATACCAAAGCAAGATCTACATTGTCAGCCTTCACCAAATGCCCTTTGCTGGTCAAGATATGTCGTTCCTGCGATTTGGTGAGACAAATGCTCTGCCAGCCCCCTGCTGCCGGTATAAAATGATCCGAAATAACTTTGGCATTATGCCATTCTCAGCTGGCAAGGGCATGCAGTGGTGCAAACCAATCATGCGCAGTATGTGGGCATTCTTGCAACCTGCCAAAGGCCGCTCTGGAATGTCTGTCTGCTAGTCTCTGCCCGTGTCTGCAAGTCTCTAGCATGGTCGCAGGCCTTTCCCACTTGCCAGGATCACTGCGTGACTGATTGTAGCTGTATTTTCTGCATTATCCTGATCCCCAATCACCGTTTCCGATCGGTAATGCCGGGTGTGTGGCCGGCAGGAGGCGGCGCTGTTTGTGGGGCGAGTGGTGTGCGACGCGGAGGGCCACCTCAATGCCAACAGCCTGCTGCTGGAGGGAACGCTGAAGCACAGCCAGGGCGCCAGCATCAAGCTAGATGTTTCCTGTCTGCCCTCCTACCGTCTCTTCCCCGGCCAGGCACGCCCCACACATGACACCCTGTAGCTGTTGATGACTTGTATTGAGCTATTGTAGCTACCCAGAAGAGACAAGGGAGTGTAAAGGGCTCCAAATGGAATTTCATGAGTAAAATCATGAGGTGTTGGCATCCTTGGACCAGTGTTCCTTCCTCTGCCAAGAGCATCCTTACAACTAGGTCCTAGTGGATATGTTCTCATAAGAGTAATCTTGTGATGCATGTCTGTTTCTGCAGCTCCATTTGCATGCACTTCAAGACACAACAGAGAAGGCAGTTGTCTTGATGGGTGCACGGTGCAGCATGGGTTGGCTAACGAACGGTCAAACTTTGGCCTAGAAATTTGAATTTGAATTGCTGGTTGCCTGATCAGGTGGTGGGAGTGCTTGGGCTGAACCCCAGCGGCAGCTGCCTGGTGGCGCAGCGGCTGATAACTTCCCTCCCCCGACCCTTCCCCTCATCCACCCCTGACGACCTGCAACGCTTTGCAATGGCCACAGGTCAATAAACACCCTTCCACCTACAAAGAACTTTCGTTGTGCCTATATTGCTGCCGCGCCACCCGATGCTCAATCTCATTCTGCAGGCAGGATTGCGTAAGCTTGCAAACTGCCCTATAGTTCTGTTCACCTCTGCCACAGATAAGGACTGTAAGCGGGTGATTTTCTTGCTTCCTGGTTCTTTACAGCAAGGCAGAGTTTATGCGCAAGCCCTATAAACCCCTGAGCCCCGAGGGTTTTCGCAGGTGCCGGCGGGGTGAGCATGGCGGTGGCGGTGGGCCCCTTCACAACATCGGAGGACCTCGAGTTCGCTCCCCTGGCGGAGCTGCTCGGCAGCTGCCGCGCCAGCCGCCCGGACGTCCTGCTGCTGATCGGGCCATTTGTGGATGTCGAGCATGCGCTCATCTCCAATGGATCCCTGGATATCACCTTTGAGGAGCTCTTTGAGACCCAGGTACTCTCCTGCACAAATTGGACTGGGTAGAGCTGCATGCGCTCTCAAAATGAGCCATGCAAGGATGTTGCTGGGTGCGGCTAGAGGTTGCTCACCTAATGTGCAAGCTGAGTCAATGAATTGCTCTAGCTTGTCTTCTAAATAATAATCTCTCCAATTGCTTTCATGAGGCATACATGCAATGGAGCTACACTGCCCAGTTCTCATCATATACTTGAATCATTTCTGGTGGCAGCTCATTGATTGCCGCAGACTTCTTCATGCAGCTTACCAAATACGTGTCTTTTTAACACTTCCTCGCATGTCTCGTCAATACCTTCTCACAAGCTATGACGGGGTCAATATGCATCTGACTTGGGCCTTCCTGAAACCCATTACAAATGGTTCCCGGTGTTCTGACGGGCAGAAGCTTGTTCACTGCGCAGGTGCTCGGCAGGCTGAGGGAATTTGTGGAGGGAACGCCAGGGACGCAGGTGCTGCTGGTGCCGAGCGGCAGGGACGCGCATGCAGACCCGGTCTTCCCTCAGGCGGCGTTCCCTGCCTCCGGGCTGCCCGCCTCCATCCGGCAGCTGCCCAACCCGGCCACCTTCCGCCTCAACGAACTCGTCTTCGGCGTCGCCAGCCCCGACTTCCTCAAACAGGTGGGTTTTGGTAGATTTTGTTCAAGGTTGCAAAAGATTTTGAGCATATGTCTTGCACCGTGCTGTTTTCCTCATGCTAGCGAGCAAGGGCTCACAAGTACATGCCTAACGTTAGCCATGTGGCATGTGTGCCTGCATGGCTGATATTTATAACCTGCCCATAGTCAAGGTCTGCTGTCATAAACCAAGGTGCATGCCAAGTGTGACAGAACTTTTGTGAGACTGAGTGTGTGACCCCACGTGTGACCTCGTGAAGAAGAATGAGTGGCCACGACTGTGCATGCTCCCGAGCGGCGGCCGTAGCCCTGGCTGCATGTTCTCAATTATGCCGGAGGAGGACAGAAGACAGCCCTCCAAGCAAAAGAGAGCTGTGACAGCTGTCCTGGGCGGGCCCTGGCATCAAGTTCCGTTTCGTGTGCGCGCAGGTGTCGTCGCAGGAGATCGCCAAGGGGCCGACCCCCGACCGCATGGCTGCATTGGCCGGCCATATCATCGGCCAGGGCAGGTGGGCCCCCACCCTCTCGCTCACCCTTCTTCAACAGTCCCCTGCAGTTCCCAAGAAAGCATTGGAGATATGGGGTTCTATAAAGGTATCAAAAATATCCAAAATTTTAGCGATCAGAAGGTATGGCATGATCATTCTGGCGTTCTGTAATCTGCACCAGCTCTCACGATGCTGGCCCTTCTCTCTGTTTTTCTGTCTTCCGGCATGTAGCAGGAGTAATTACATCGGTATCTCTCAATCTAGAGGCAACAACATGCATGCTGCAAATGTTTTATCATGGGAATGCACCTATGGTCATGCGATGACGGAGCGATTTCGCATGCCCGCGCAGTTATTTCCCTCTGTATCCCCCGGCCCCGGGGTCTATGCTGGACGCCTCTTTAGGCGCGGAGCTCGACCTGCCATGCACGCCGGACGTGCTCATCCTGCCGTCTGACCTGGCGGCCTTCGCCAAATCAGTCGCCGCCGACAAACCCGCCAGATCAGGCGACGCCAGTTCAGGCGCGCCCGACGAGCGCTTAGTTATGGGCAACGTCGTGTGCGTCAATCCCGGCCGCCTCGCCAAGGACAAGAGCGGCGGCACATTTGCCAGGCTTAAGGTAGGGGCCCCTGCTTGGCTTGTCTCAATGAGATAGAATCATATATCATCTCACCATAGTTGCACGACTCGGCGACACGTGTCGGACACGACACGTGTCTGACACGGGTGTCGGGCTTGGGTTGTGACCGGTCGACACAGCGACACGGCTGCCACGTCATTGACACGGCTGCCATGTCATTGCCACGTTTGCATGTCCTTATTTGCATGCAGGGATTACATGACAATCTCACCCACCCACTTGGCAAATTGCTCGGGCTATCTAATTTTCTCAATCAAACGCACATTTGTGAAGACATCATGGCCTTTGAAACAGTCCAGGAAGAGATCCTTGTGGTTATGGATCGGATAGGGGTGAGATTTCTATGAAAATGGGGATCATTTGGTAATATGCTGAGGTGGCATTACATAATAGGACGTGTCGGGGGCTCTGACACGCGTGTCGGGCGTGTCGCGTGTCAGACACGTGTCAACACGCGTGTCGAGATTATTTCCTGCCGTGTCGTGCAACTATGCATCTCACCCCTTTGCCTCTGAAGCTGAGGTCCAAGACTGAAGAATAGTGTGCGATCAAAAATGGACCTCAGTGCATAAAACCTGTGCATTGAGGTTCTGAGTATTCAATGGCTGAGTGAGGATGAATTTAGCTGGCTGTAATGATAGCACTCCTGTTGCGAATGCCTGTCAGACCAACATGTGCGTGCTTGCTGCGATTGTCCGAAGTTGGTGTACGGTGAGTCAATGGTATTGGACTGTTGTGTCCAGGTGGGTGCATCGAAGGAGGGACTAGCACTGGCGGCCGGAGAGCCGCCAGAGACCAACGGCAAGCTGCAGCATGCTGTGGACGAGCGCTGCATGGTCGAGATCCGCAGGATCTGAGTTTGCTGTGATAATTATAAAGGAAGCAGAGACGGCCGCGCGAGTATTGATAAAACCGGTAATAGTCCAAGGAAAGGTCGTTCGTATTAATCACGTGGACAAGCTGATATGATGCTATAGCTGTAGGAAAGGACCAGCAACACCGTGTGACGCTGAGTATCCAAGCGCACAACTTGGGAATGAATGTTTGAAAGGTTGCTTCTCATGATAATCTACCTGGATAGACAGCGAGCACTGACTAGAGCTTGCCAAACACAGCATCCATTTTACAAGGATTGCCAGCAGTTGAGCTCCTACTCATGCTCTAGACAATCAGCTGAGCTGGACGCAACTTTCGCAAATCTAGTCACGCACTCAGCTAGCAGGGCAACAAATGCCGACGAGTCGTATTACTCCACATCCCTCAACTGTTGAAACGACAGAGCATGCCAAAGCATTCTTGCAAATGCCAATACAGTATTAGTCCTACCAATACAGTGTGTAGTCCTACTCCAGGGCCAATCGCCACTGAGCCATCAGCTGTTTTGTGCACAGCTTTGCTAGGAGGCCGCTCAGCTGCAGGCGTGAGTTGACCCCATCCTCAATGCGCATGTGGCAGAATCCCACCTCCTGCAAGCAGGCAACATCAGTCCGTTCAATTTGATTTCAAATTGACAAGTGCTTAATTTGGGTCATGCACAGCGCAGCACAAGGGATCGGCGCATGCACAAACCATAGTTGCACCATTCGGTCAGAACACTTCTTGGGGACCGTATATACAGCCGAATATACGGTCATACGGTATTGAAACTTATGGAATACGGTCAAAAACGGCCTGTTCTGGCCCAAAACACCGAATATACGACCGAATATTCACCGTATGCAGAATGGCCGAATCCGTATGGTGCAACTATGGCACAAACAAATGGCTTCTATCACATCAAGACAAAAACAAGCCATGCAGCTGACATTCACCGTGCAAAGCCAGCTGCTGCACGCTACCAGGAATGCTGCAGAAGGCAACGGCTCATGATGTACCACAAGTTTGGCTGGAATGTCAGAGGAGGTCAGATGGAAAGGCTCAGGAGGCTCACCCTGATGAATTCAAGTTTGAGGAACTCGGGCAGCTTTGGGTCGTTCTTGACCACCCGGAACAGCGTCTGAATGATGTCCATTGAGCTGTAGCCCATGTCGCAGATTTTCTGCATAGAACATCCCAAGACACAACCCTCAGCAATGAGATCAACATTCCTTTACTTGCAGATGGTGCATTTCCGTGCATGTGCTTGTGCAGTGCCCCGATGACATCACCTCCCAAGTAAAAAATTGACATGTTGACCCAACTCCTACTTACACAGTCTCTTTTGCTGCTTCTGATCACAGATGTATTCGGATGTTTGGGAGAGATTGGAAAGCATCCTGGCAACATAGGTCATGCCGGGGAACCATGCGGGTCATCTATACAGACAAATTGGATGTCTGACGCTGACGTGGAGTGAATAGCTTGATATTGCCATGGCCTTGGGCAGTAAAATGCTCTCATCTCGCAGGGCACGCCACCCTCTCTGGCATGCCATTCTGGATCTTAAAGGTTTGACACAGGGGCAATAGATGCTAGCGAAGGGCTTCGGGGAGCATTGCACCTTCATTCCATCGTACGCGCCGTCGATGTTGGCCGCGGTGCAGTTCTTCACGATCTCAGAAATGAGCAGCGGATGCGGCTGGTCACACACCTGCAGCCATGACTCACAGTCCTCACAACTTCCACGGAGTTGCTGTTCAACAGCAAGACACGGCCCCACATGAGTTCTTTTTGACTTTTTTGATGGGGCTCCACAAGGAAGCATGGTTCTGTTCAGGTACAGGTTCATTACCGTACGTCACCTTGCACATCAAAACGAGGTAAATGGGGTGGGTGATGTGTGTCGTGACCTGGCGCACCTTGAAGACATGCTCCGGGGTGATCATGCCGAAGCCATAGTAGGTGGCCTGGAGGTTGTTTAGGGCCTGCCGCATGTCCCCATCCGCTGTGAAGATGACCGCACCAAGCCCCTCGTCCACATAGGGCACCTGCAGAAATAGCAATTACCTCGTCTATGGTGTAAGGGTTCTCAACCTCAAGGCAAGACCGTACATGGAGACTGACTTCCAGGAAGACTGGACCTGAGAGTTGATGTATGTAATCTCATGTACAATCAAGAAAAGCACAGTTGCCCCACAAATGGCAACATAATACCTGTCAATCCTGGGCCATTTCATCACTGATGGGCCATCATGATTTTGCAGACAACTTGGAAAATAGGACGCACAGCTGCAGGGCATGACTCCTATATGGCTCAACAGGGTGTACGCACCGACTCGGAGCGGCAGACCACAAGCAGGCGTTCCAGGACCTCCTTGTCGGAGAGCTTGGTGTAGCGCACGATGGCGCACCGCGACTGGATCGGCTCTATGATCTTTGAAGAGGTGTTGCACGCGAGCGCGAACCGCGTCGTGTTGCTGTATATCTCCATCGTCCTCCGCAGCGCCTGCTGCGCTCCCGTCGTCATGCTGCATGCATGGCAGCAATTTGATTCCGAATTCAAATTCAGAGTCATGTGACCCCCATTGGCCGGGGGCAAGAAGCGAGGACAAGTCTGCCGCGGCACGTGCTCAGTATCTGACAAGCTGCTAATTCTTGGAAGCACCAAAAGAACGTGTTTATCTCTTTCTTTTGTCGTTGCCAGAAAGAATGGCATGCATGCGTCTCATGGTACCATGCCTTGCCCTCAAGACAGCCCTGTGGACTCCCCACGACAGATCAGCAGAATGCCCAGCAAGTTGTGAGTTGCAGCACCATGGGACCCATCCTTCTTGAAGCCCCAGAAGCAAGACAAACATTTGGTGGTGGGATGCGAACAGGAAATCTGCAGTGTGGCCAGTGGCGCACCTGTCGGCCTCGTCCAGGATGACCACCTTGTGGCGGCCGGGCGGCAGCGTCACCTTCTTCTGCGCAAACATCTTTATCTTGTTGCGCACCACGTCAATCCCCCTGCAAGCGCAAAACAACCCTCTTCAGCACCAGCCTGTAACGTCTCTCATGGACAAAGTCGCCTGATCTGTGCGGACGCACACTTGCCGAGAAGCTGCACAGAGCTGTCGATTTGCCTCAGGAGATGTGAAGGCTGCATGCTGAGACTGTGGACGCTAGCATCTGCAGCTAGGCCAATTGACCCCACAATGCTGAAAGTCCCCAGCATAGACCCAATGTGAAGCTCATCGCCTCAAGGCATGCGCTTTCTTGGACGCAGCAGTAGCAAGGGAGTTGCAGCAAGCAAGGACTTCTCGCTTGCTGAAGCTTCTTTGCTACTGAGGGGTCAGATATGATCGCCCGGGGAGGAGCCGTGAGAGGGCTCACCTGTCGTCTGAGGCATTCAGCTCCAGCACACCCTCCTTGTAGTTCTGCCCCAGCAGCGCCCGCGCGAGGCACAGAATGCTGGTGGTCTTTCCAGTACCAGGCGGGCCCTGCGCAGCAGAAGCATGTCAATCTTCTTCCTTTGAATCCAGTCACCGGCCTGCCATCATCTGGCACCTTGAATCTGCCACCAACCAGGATACATGCACACACTCTCTGAGGTTTTGGGCCTTGGTGTGACCTGTTTGACTCGATGTGGTCTGAACATCAGCCCCATCAGCTCCATGAAAGCCCGCTACCATTTAAATATACATTCAGCTGCAAAGAACATGCGCAGTCTCAGCGAGGGGCTCACCGCCAGGATTATGTTGGGCATGTTGCCCTCTTCCGAAATGACCTGAAGGCGGTCCACTGCGTCTGTGTTGCCCACAATGTCCTTCACATACAGCGGCCTGAACTTTTCCACCTGCACACATCCGCATGCAGCTGGTTTTGTCAGTGCCGTATATGATGCTCACGATAATCAGCATGTGCTCCATATCTTATAGATGTTTAGCAGATTTGGCTCGCTCGGTGTGCACGCATGCTGGAAAAGAAGTGACGATGGAGACCTGACTTGCAGTGGTGAGTAAATCCACTGAACAATGAAAAGATCGAGATTCAGGTCTGGACACGCACCCAAGGAATCCCGCTATCCTTTTTGGAGGTATCAGTGTCGTTGGTTGCTGGTGCTTTGCCCTTCTCAGCTGCACTTGGGCCAGGCTCCATGTCTATGTCCATTCCCTCTGCCGCATCCTCCATCTCTCCCCCCATTGCCCCTGATCTTGCTATGTTCCCTTAAAAGAGAATTTCTATCGGAAGAACAATCTGTGCTGAGCAATGAAATGGCTTCCGGGTTGATGGAACTCTGATGGTGGTCAATTTGATTGGCTGTTCCTCCTGAGTGCTGCGTGAAGGAGCTCTTCGATGCGTTCAGAAAGTCAGTGATTGAAATAATTTCTGTCGAACGACTCGTACCAATGATCGCTCATCCGTAACATCCCTTGACTGCCTGATGGAAGCCTTGGAAATCAGTGGGCAAACGCAGAAGTTCACCAACGGATCTGGATGGGAGGTACCTCAGTGTGCTGGTATATATCTTTCTTTGTGTCGCAAAGATTGGATTCTATACATTGACAGCTATATGTAGAAATTTCATGCAGTTCATGAATTTCGACACAGCGAAGCCCCAAGGGTTTGAGAGCAGTGAGGGTCATTAAGCGGCCTTCTTCTCATGAAATTTCCTCATGTCCAAGGTGCAAAAGTATCAAAATATTATGCTTGAAATCAATGCGCTTGGAGCACTTCAATGAGCTGGTGCATCGCCTGCTTAGAAGTCCGCGATCCCCCCTTTTGTCCAGTGCATGCCGCAGCTTTTGGCTGGTCTGTGCGAGTGCTTAGGCAGACAATGAATGGTTTTGTCGTCACACATTGATTTTATCTCTGTGGTACTATTTTGTTGCCAGATACAGTCTTTTACATGTCTTTCTCTGGTGCGCTTTCATCACAGATTAAGTAGGTATCTGGATACAAGCAAGCCTGTGGGTCATCCCTGGCATCAAGATTTCCACTGAATACATAGCGGGGCGCATGCGTTCAACAAGAACACACACAAGGCTTACGTACATAGATTCATCTGCTCTGGCATGAGCGAACAGCAGCTCGATCGGCAGGCCAGCCGGTTGAGCCTGAGGGAACAACTCGGATCTCGATTTCAGAGCTTTCGAGCATCTCGCGGCAGAGAGCGCAAGCGCTCCCAAGATGAGGCTGTCAACACGCCCAAGGGACCTGAGGTCATGTCTCCCAGGAGCCGTGAAGGTGTGCTTGGAAGCGCTGTTTACATGCAGCTAACACATATCCCTTTTCCAAGCTATCATGGGACAATGTTGACTTTGGCGAAGTCGTCCACATGCCAAGTTCCCCGTCTGCAAGGGGGCCATCCTGTTCTTGGAAGGGTCTGTGTTCAAGACAAGCTCACAAATCGGAGCACCTCATCCATGAGAGCTTGAGGATTGAACGTGGAACACCTTGTCCATGCATCAGCACACTGGCAGATGAGCAGAAACTTGCAGGAGCCAATGCAGGAGTAACAAACCAAATGACCGTGGATTGAAGCACCTGTGCTGGTTCTTCAGCCCTGGCGAGGGGCAAGCAGGAGGCGTTGGATGCGCTGCCAGCCGACTACTACCAGCCGGACTATGACCCCGTGGCTGGCGAGCTCGCCATGCTGCCGCGCATGTTCACTGAGAGTGACCTTGAGGCGGTCGTTGAGGAGAGATCGGGCGTCCTCGAGGTGCATGCCCTGATGCCACCTCAGAGACAGATAGCCTTAGCATGGGATGGATGTCCTTGCTGGTGCATAGTTTGAATGTTACTACTGTAACCAGGGGAAATTGTCTCCCATGCTCACGCCACCTCAGTCACGTGCGACAGGGCATTTGATGTCTGTAAATGCAATGGGGTCTCTTACTTTGGGGGGTAAGATATAGAATCCCTTGCTTACTTGCCTAGAAAAGTCAAGAAGTGATCCATTAGCTCTCTGCGTTCATGTGTGTGGTGTGATGCATGCAGACGGTGAGTGAGCGGCTGAGTCAGCACGTGCTCAGCAACTACTCCAAGTTTGTCGCTGGCGTTACCGAGGTTGCCTCTGTGGAGCGAGACCTCCAGGTAGATTCCCATTGACACACTCCAAAGCTTGCATTTTCAACTTCCATCTCATGTACCGTATTGCATGCCGGCATTTCAGCGTGCAGGGCTGACTGACGCAGCTATCTTGACCAAGAATTATCAGTGCACCACATAAATGTCAATGCAGTGGTCGCTCAGGATCTGCTGGACAAGACAGAATGGGGGATGCCGGCACACGAAGCCAGATGTTTCAGGGTCCGCGTGGAACAATGTCATCGGCTTTTTTTTTATTCTGTGATGCATGCAGGATGCGCACATGACAGCCAAGACGTCGAGGAGCGAGCTGGCGAACGCGCTGGCGGAGGTCCGCGCGAACATGGTGATCACGCGCAAGCAGCGGCAGAAGCAGGGCCTGGAGCGCATGCTGGGGATGCTGCAGCAGCTGCGCGAAGCCGCCCACCTCCACGACGCCCTCAGGTTGCTGCCTTCTGCAGACCTCGGCTTTAGGGAACATGCTAGGGAGCGTGCTGCTGTGCATTCAACCGGCACTGACGCTGCTCGGCGTCTGCTGACGTATCCATGATTCCATTCCTACACTTCAAACTACCCATGCTTGGTGTGACAATTCTGATTTTTTATTTGTTTCTGCTGGTTGTATGGTCTGATTTGTGGAATGAGTTGCAATAAAACAGCGCCATGCAAAAGCTCTGAAGGATTTGGAGGTCTTGTGTTGCTTGTTTGCATTATTTTGCGCTGCCTTACCAATATCACTCAACCCGTGGGCAAGGAGTGGTCCATTCAGCAGATTCCAGCGAGAAAGTCATCTATGGCGGCAAGTGAGTCAGCTCTGGCGGCGCATGTGCAGGGCCGCGCAGGAGAACGGGGAGTTTGCGGGCTCCTTCTGGCTGTGCGCGCAGTGCGCCCGCGCGCTGGTGCCGCTGTCATTCCTGCTGGTGGCCCCGGAGCTTACAGCCACAGTCTCAGCGCTGTACGAGGAGACGGTGGCGCGGCTGGAGTCCTCGCTGCAGACCGTCTGCGCAGACTTCCAGCCGGACCCCTACGCCAAGGTGGGGGGCCTGGCTGGTCGAGATCCTCAGACAATTACAAGCCTCCCATGATGATGTACAATGCCTGTGTCGTTCCCTGACTGTTCATGTGCGTGCCTTGTTGATGCCTCCATTATAGCGGTGCAGAGGCTTCAGGCCTCAGGAGAAAACAGGGCCCAATTTCTGTGCGTATCCTGTAGACAGACCAGCCAGGGTTGTCTATTGTATAGTCTTGTCGGGGCCGCAAGAGGAGTACCATGGGTGGACGACTGATTTGGCAGCGGCCTGAGAAAGGATCTGCAGACTCCTAATCTGGCAGTCACACTCAAAAGTGGGTGGGTGTGCAGGTGCTGGAGGGGTATGTGTACCTGGGCAATGTGGGCTCGCTGGGCGAGGAGGTCATGGCAGCCTTCGCTGCAGTTGTGGGCATGGCGGCGCTGAAGGTGAGCACTGCAGACCCTCCATGAATCACACAATTCCATTCCTCGGACTCGCGAGTCATGTGCAGTCAAGTGGAAGCTGCAGACAGGAACAACCTCACAATCCCTTCAGCGAGGCTTCCAAGTGCATGTGAAATCATGTGCTATCTGCAGACAAACACAGAATCGCTCAATCCCGATAGCAAGACTCACAGCTGCATGTGAAGTTATCAAGCGATCACCAATTGATTGGTCCCTTTTCCCCCCTCTTTCAATCGCCGCAATACACTAAGCACTATGATTTTCGGATTTGCGGTTGGAGGGGAACACCGCATTTCTCTAGACCTGACATACACACTCACCTGTATTTTGCAGGTTGCGCGCTAGAGTCACTGCATGTGAAGTCGACTGTGTGCTCCAGACAAATGATTCATCACCTAATTCCTTTGGTAAGACTGACGACCGCATGTGGAGTCATGTAGTAAGTGACCAGCACCTTTGACTCAGGTGGCGCGCGGCGTGGTGCTGACGCGGCCGGTGGCCGGGCTGGAGGAGCGCGTGAAGAGCACGCAGCTGCTGCAGGAACTCGTCAAATTCGTGCCGCCCGACCTCTTCCGCACCTGCCTCACCCGGGTGCGCCTGCCTACAGCCTCATTACCTCACCAGCTATTGGAGCACTGATTATATGCAAAAGACACAATGCCTATGCGTGAAAGCACTTTCTTGTTCTGGCTAATGTGTCTCTTAGCTTGTATATTACTGTCTTCCTGCCTCTCCCTTTAAAGTGTGATAAGGGTAGCTTTTGATACTCAGGCTTGCGCTCAATGGATCGTATTTCTGGCCTGTATGCTTTGCAACGCACTCCTGGTTTTCACATGTAGGGAAGGATACTGCTGACCCATCTGAGGGGACGCTGTATGCATGTGCGCAGGTGCTGATGGTGGTGTTTGAGATCCTGTCGAGCCACTACCACATGTCGCGCTGGCACGAGGAGCGCATCCAGCAGCACACCGGTGACATGGAGGCGCTGCACTCCGCGGGGCTCTCCCTGCGCGAGCGCATTGACACCCTTGTGCAGGAGCAGGCCACCTCCCCCACCGCCGCTGAGTCACCTGTCCGCAGCGAGCGCGCAGGTGCCGGCACATGGCGCGTGATAGCCCTGCAGATCTTGTTATATACATCATACACACTATCCCAGCTTGCGCATGTCTGTGTATCGGTGCCAGTATGGCTCAATTGTGTTTTCATGTACTGCCAGGAACTATGTGACTGCAGGGTACAGAAAGCAAGCTTTGCCCAGAAACACATGGAATACGGCGGTGTGGGTTTGATGGGATGTTGTGCTGAGAAGGGCGTGATGCGTTGTGCAGGCGCGTCAGCAAATGGGTCCGATGCTTTTGTGCAGCCGGAAGAGGACGAAGAGGATGCAGAGGGGAGCATAGCGGCGGTTGTAGAGAGAAGCCTGCAGCGAGCCGTCAAGTCCAAGGCCCACGGTTAGCCATTGGAATATATGTCGTGTGTCAAGTCTTGCACTTCTTCACGTTTGGGAAAGTAACAAAATTAGGATGTGGGATGCGCTCATATTGGGTAGGGGCCTCCACGTCTGAGGCCCCTACCCACCGGTCAGGGCACGGTCTGAGAGTACCTCAGCAAGGAAACAGCCAGCGCACATCAATATGCCGAGGAACACTTGCATCTGTATGCAGCAGGGTTGCCCAAGGCGGACAGCTCAGGGAGCCCACGGGATGCTGCAGAGGCGGAACCAGTGAATATTCAAGCTGAGGATGCTGAAGCACAACCAGAAGCAGAGCAGAGTACCAGCAACACTGGCAGCAGCGGCAGCCTTGCAGCCATAGCTGGCCATGCAGCAGAGCCAGAATCGGGGCAGCCGTCAGGGGGCGATGATGAACAGGAAGAGTTAGTAGATCAGGACAAGGGAGGGGATGGCGCTGTGGAGAACGGAGGGGAGCAACCAGACATGGAACGAAGGACAGCAGCTGCAAGCCCTAGCGGGAAGGTGCGGCGCCTGGCTTCTATTGTGCCATTTCAGGGTCCCTGTACTTTGGCAATTTGCCAAGTGAGAAGAATGATCCTGCTTACCAGATTTTGCCTTGAAGTGGTTAGGCTGGATCTGTGAAGAGAGGAATAATAAGAATGAGGTGTGCAAGATTGTGTGCCCCGTCAAGCCAGAGACAAGCTTTCACTGAGAGACGGTGCTGGAATGGTGTCACAGGCGGAGGACAAGGGAGGAGGGAAGGGCGGCAAGAGGAAGAATGCAGCGGATGCCAAGGCGCTGGAGATAGAGTACCTGGAAGGCGAGCTGGAGGCCCTGGCTGAGAAGGAGCGGGAAGAGGTCAGCAGCCAACTCACCCCCTTATTGCCTTACCTGGAGCTATGCACGGTCCTGGATCACTTCTTCAGCCATGCTAAATGAAACCTTCTTCTCAACAGCATGCGTTCTTACGTGTTGGTATCAAGGTTGCAGGTCGTGCTGTTTCAGACTGCTGTGACGTGAAAGGAACCAATTCTGGTTTCTTTTTGCATGAGTCATTGATTGCTAAGGCACAAAATTTGTGAGCGCGCTGCCCCATTCCTGTCTAAAGGGATTGAATTACTCACGAAGTCTGCATGCATGCGGTACAAGAAGTACCGCAACTGAAATATGACAACGTGGTCGCCTGGATGGACTCACGTGCCCACTGTTACATTTAATACGGCAGTATCACACGTTGATTGTGTGCAGGTGCTGTGGGGAGAGGCGCTGATGCAGGTGGAGGAGGGGCTGAAGGCCGGCAGGCGATGGCTGTGGGACGAGGCCTCCAGGAAAGTGGGCATGCTGCTCGCCGCCCCCGCCGCCTTCCAGGGAGAGCACTTCCTGCAGGCACGCTGCACAACTTCTTCTGAAGATGTGCATGCCTGTGCAGGACAGGATTGCAAAAGACAGTCTTGAAGCAACTGGCATTGTGCAGGGTTGTATTGCATGCACAATTTTGCTGTCCTGACGCTACAGTCCCCCATCAAGATTCCTGATGTGCTGTTTTTGGCCAAGAAACAGCACATCATTACCCCTATAAAGGTACCGTGACAACCCATTGAATTGCTATGCCGAGGCATTACGCTAAATGCAAGACATTCTTTGAGGGCCCTAGTGCAGCAAGCAGAGCAACTTGGGGATTTTGGCAAGGCCCTGTCTTGTCACAACAGCGGAGAGACATCCTCGCCTCAAGTGCTGTTCAACCTTTCGCACGTGGCAAACACAGGTTCTGCCGCACGTGGCAGAACCTGTGTTTGACGCTGATATTTGTGGTATCTTTAAACATATTCGTAGCACATAGAAGGGTATGAAATCTGCGCAGGTGCTGGAGTGGACGCAGACGATGCTGGAGGCGGGTGAGGCATTCTGCGGCAGCGAGTCGGCCACGCTACGCGACGCGCTCAAACGCCAGTCCGGCCGCTTCTTCGCAGCCTACCACTCCGCCAACCTGCAGGTGAGGCTGACTCTGGGCTGAAACTCACCATCATGCATGCTGCCTATGGCTGCAATTGGGACACCTAGGGTGTTGGAAGCGCTTTCTAGGATCCATCCCTGCTCAAGGCTTGTCAGGCGGCAAGCCGGCCTCGTTGGGCTTGTCTATGCACACCTTGGGCGCTTCAGGCATCCCAGCTCATCAAGCTGTAGGTATGTCAAATGTTGTTGCATAGCCTATGCGCAACATGGTGTGCTTGGTTGTGCTTGAACTGCTCAAGTCATGCATGTACTACGTATTTCTCTACTAAAAACTTGATGCTTTCGAATGCGAGTCTGAGGGTGTTGTGGATTACAAGATGGCTGCCAATCCAATACAATATCAGTAGCTGAACAGGACAAGTGCTCATCGTTAAGAGCTCTGTCTAAAATTTCAGGGCTCAGTAGGGCGCTCTGATTGTAATACAATGTTGAACCCAGTTTGTTCTTCTCTGGCCCAGCAAAGCCGCGATTGGCGAGAGGCTCAATAGTGAGAACAGGCCAAGCAGAGTCGCAATTGGTGACATGCTTAACGGCAAGAACAGGCATGCGCTGCCCCCGCAGGCGCTGCAACTTGGTAGAGGTTATTTTGACAGGCCTTACAACGTGTGTAATCACTAACTTCACTTGCAGGCGCTGCACAGCATGCTGGAGAGGGAGGTGTGGAAACAGCTGCCCATGATCCCCGGCGGCCTGCCCAGCATCCGGGGGGCGCTGGCCCCCGGCTCCGGCAACGCGGCGTTCCCTTTCGACACCTCCGATTTCGGCGCCTGGGTCGCCCACGGCAACCCCTGGCGCATGCAGGCCTACGGTGCGCGCCTGATCTGGCCTTCAATTGAGTGTGCTAAGGGTGGCCACCGCCTGGATTGGCATTTGCCTGGAGTTGAAATGATCTTTCGCTGATCTGAATGCCCCTCATTTGGCACTAAATGACGCGCTCATGATCTGGCGGTGACTTCAACAATTTCACACATTGCCGCTTGCAAGTGCTGACAACGTGAGCAGAGGAGGCAGTTTGTCTTTTTGAGATCTTTGCAGTCCTACACAAAGCCCTGAAAGGATGTTGTGGGGTGGAAAATGTTTGATCTGGCAATTCAAGGATCCTGGCACATTGAAGTAAAGGTGTGGCTGTGATGTCGAGCAGAGGATGAAGAGGACGAGGCGGAGGGCCAGAGGACACCAGGGCAGCCGTCCGAGGGCGAGCCATCTGCGGAGCCAGCTTCTGGTGCTGCGGAAGCTTCCGGCAACGGCGCAATTGCCTCGGCTGAGGCGGGGCCGGCGAGTGATGATGCCAGGGCGCTGACTGCGTCAACAGTGTCCACTTCTGGGAGAGGTGCGCCAGAAAATTCCACCACTTAGCCATAGCCAAAGCTCAAGCTCGTCCTTTAACGATGCTTTCATCAACAATGATGCGCTTATAATTTTTCCCTTGTCAAGAAGTCCCTCTATAAAATTCTACTACACTCTTGAGCCACTGCTTCCCATCGAGACCGTTCAGTCTCGCTGATGAAATGTATTTCCCAAAAGGTTCGGCTGGCCAGCTTCCCGGGAGAGGGAATTCTCATATGCATCGTGTGGAAAGAAAGCTGATAATTGCTGTGAGTGCAGGTGTGGCCGAGGCGGTCCCCCCAATGACGACGTCATCGCTGCGACTGGCCAAGTGGCTGGCCGAGTATGCGACGCTCATTCGGCTCATTCGCAGCGAGGTGAGACTCCTGCACAATCCATTCAGATCTCTGTGCACAGCACTGTGTGTATGTAGCAGAGAGTCATCACAGTGCAGCAAGGCAGGCTTAAGAAAGTTGCCGTCACACTGGCAAGCTTTCATAGACGACCCGGCCAGCAGACACCTCAACTCATGTCTCTGAAGTTTGCTGAGCTTGATATTGTGCAGTCGGCTTCGTCAGCAGCCTGCAGAACCGAGGCACTTGCACTGCCTTGTGTGGCATCCTCTTTCTAATTTAAATCTATTGTAGTGCATTCTAAGACTCCGAGTGCTTACGACTGGTTTTTGGTGTACACCAGGCGGGCCGTGTGTGGAGTGGCATGGCCGAGCTGTTTGAGCTCTACTTCCTACACACCTTCCACACCTTCGGCGACATCTCCGTCCTCGAACTCACCTCCCCTCAGCAGCAGCGCCAGGTCAGCGCATATCTCCATCCCTGGCACATCGCGTCAAATTTTGTGTGTATTTTTCCTTGATAGTATACCATGCCACGCCGTGAAATCATGCTGCCACTGGATAGTCTCAGGTGTGAACAATCAGCCTGCAGCAGTAAGAAAGGGAGCCACTCCTGTAATACCCTCTCAGGTTCTGATGCAATGTGCCAGCACCTGCACTTGACAGAGACTAAACTTCCACTGTGGTAGTAAGCCTGGCGGCGTTACTTGGCCTTACCCCACAGAAGTGCAATTCATGAGGCAACATTTACTGCTTCATGGAAACGTAGTGACAATCTGTGTCAGACTGCAAGCATTACTGATGGCGAGCAACCATCCTCAGGTTGCGTCAGTAATACGCGCCCTCTGGTACAGCGTGCCACTACATTTGTTGCTTACGGGCCAAGCAGCAGGCTCTGCAAACCAACAATGGTTAGTAATTGCCAACACAACATTTGATGCGGCGCAGGGCGGCGGCGACATCGTGCCGGTTCGGCTGAAGAACGCGGTGCTGCGCATCCTCGGCCGCTCCAAGTACCGCCAGTACTACCTGCAGCAGCCGGCAGCGGCCACGGCCGGCGCGGCCGGCGGCGCGGCCGGCCCCGGGACGCCGCCGCAGGGCACGCCCCAGTATGGGGGCGCGACGCCGCCGCACAAGGATTACTCGCCGTTCGGGCGGCTGCCGCCGGCCGCGCAGCCGTCGCCGCAGACGACTGCTTTCAGCCACCCGGGGAACATGTTTGGGCTCATGGTGCGCGCCTGTTTTGGCTCTGTCCTTCCTTCTCAGACGTTGTTGTTGGCACTTAAAGCATGCAAGCAATTGCTGTGATCCCAAGCTAATGTCAGAGCCGGTTGAAAAAACCCACTACCAGGGAAGCAAGGAAAGCAGCGTGTATATGGCCGTTGGGGAGCACAGTTGCCATGCTCTAGGTAGTTTTGGCCCTACGTTGTCCAAGAAGTCTGCATTGCAATTGCAATGCAGGCAGCGTAGGCCTACCGCTGTCTTCACTTTTCTGCTTGGTATTTTGTTTGTGAAGCATGAGCGGATTTAAGTAACCAGAGATATATGATAATGTGGTCTCAGGAGCGCAAGGTGGCAGTGGACAGCCTGCGTTCGGTGGCGGGGCTGCTGAGCGATGCGTACAGCCGACTGCACGAGGCCGTCTTTGGGCGTACGGACGTCCCAGAAAACCACACCCTCGACACCTTCTTCTCCACCGTCAAGGCCACCGCCGACGTGCGCGCACTTCATAACACCTTTTGACATTCAAATTTGAATTGACGCAGCCGGAAGGCACAGAGGGGAACAACCAGCCGCTTGCGTTGTTGAGGGTGTGAATCCCACTCCTTCAATCTTACTCTTTTTTACAACAAAAGGTTGACAACGAACGAACGAACGAACGACAAAGCCGGGAAGAGAAGCTCAGAAGAACGGCGGCTAATTTTGTCTCAGGTGTCGATGCGCTTCTTGCCGCTCCCTCGTTGAGGAAGCAAGACACCTGATGATCAGAAAGCTCGTATGTCTAGAATCATGTTGCTTCAAGGGAGGCAGGCATTGATTTGAGCTGGGGTGTGGGTGCATGGCGCAGCTGCGGGACATGGTGCTGCGGGCAGCGGCGCGGTACAATCTGCCAATCCGATGGCTGCCCGACCGCCTGGCAGAGCAGAACTTCAACATCGACGAGCCGCCCACTCGCGCATCCCCCTGGGTCAAGGTGCCTCCTGCCTTCTGAGGACCCCACAATACCCCATCTCCCTTTTGTAAAAGGGTTATGAGCGACGTCGCCAGCACGGGTGGATCTGCAGTGATTGCACCTTCTGTAGCAAAATGAATCAAAATTACATCTGTTTGCCTTCTGCTGGAGCTTTCGATCTTTCTGTTCCCCGATCTTTGCAATGAGATGGCTTATTGTGAGTCTGCACGTGTGCAGAAAATCTGAGGTGGTGTTGAGTGCCCGCAGGTGCTGATGAGCCACGCTGCAAAGCTGCGCCAGAGCCTGGACGCCAGCTCCGGCCTCTCTCCAGCAAATGTTGACGAGGTGCGGCCACCGAGTCACTCCACAAACTTCATGCCAGGCTATCTGGTTCAGCAGATAGTGGAGATCTTTTTACAGAATAAAAGCGCAAGCGAAAATAGATGCGAATGTGCCAAGTTTCACAGCAATGGGCATCCACCCTTGTGCCATTTTGCGCCTACTTCGCTCAGGGTCGACAAGCTGTACAGTAATCTCGCTCACTGTTGTTTCCCATTCACTTCGGTTGAACTCCGTCCTGAACTTTGTCCTCGCAGTGTGAAAATATCGGTGCATGTCCATGCTGTACAGGGATACCAGTGCTGTGAACAATATCCCGGGTAGTGGCAACATTTGGTTTATGTGCCACGGCACACCTGTACTTCTGCATGCACCGTGCCTGCGCGGGCCGTCTGTCAAGATCTGCTGTGGTCTCATTTGAGACGCCAGAAACCAATTCCCTGAAATGCATCTGATTGGCGCAGCTGTGGCGGCATGCGATGCACTTCACAGCGGAGGTTGTGTTGGAGGGCATTGCCAAAGCAGGCGCCAAGGGCAGGTGTACACCCATGGGCCGCGCCGCGATGAGCCTCGACCTCCAGGTGACCTGTCCCTTCAATATGACGCTGCCCATTGCCTCTGTTCCAACTCTATGTGGTGCTGATTCTCATTCTGCACAACGAATGTTGGCACGATAATCAAGCTGCTGAGAACCAATCAAAGAGTATCTGTCCTTTTGTGCATGTGCTCATGCAAATCGCCGTGCACTCTTGAGTGCCCGTGTTCTTGCTTGCAGCCTTTGGTGTGTCCCTGAAACTGCGAAGGCTGAAGCATGGTAGAAGACGGCTTGCTATGCGCAAATGCACGAATTGCTCTGGCAGAGAACGCCCCTGTATGTGTGCAGGCGGTGCAGAAGGGGCTTGCTGACCTGGCGGGCCCGGGCGGCGCGGAGGCGGCGGCTGACTCATTGCGGCTGGTGGACACCTACATCAAGGTGCCCATCAGCAAAAATGCCATATTTTTGTCAATTCCTGTAGAACTTACTCATTGGGACAAGATTATCATTTTCAAACCCTCCCGGGGTGTTGGGGTGCTGACAGACCTTTGGGTGAGAATTGTCCGCTCCGGGTTTAGCGTGCAAAGTACCTGACAGAACTCGGAGGCAATGGCGGCCGGCCACATTGCTGCCCACAGACCGGCAACATTCCTAGTGCACCTTGAGCAGGCACTCCTCTCACTCAGATGCAGCCAGTGACGCTGGGTTGACTCTTGATCTGTGCTAGACATATAACACCCATGTGAGTGATAGGGTGCGGCTGCTGGTGCACACAGGCGTTCTATCTGCCGTGGGGAGAGGAGCTGCGGCGGTGGGCACTGACTCACCCGGAGTACACGCGCGACCAGATCATGATGCTCGTAGTCTGCATCGCCGAGGCCAACGGCCTCAAGCGAAAGGAGCGCAACGCCTTCCTGCAGCTTCTCGAAGCAGACTTGTCCGACCTGCGCGCCGTGCCCTGACCACACTTTTTAGACTCTAGAGCTTTACAAATCTGCCGTAGGCCTGGGGAAGTTACACAGTTTAGGCCTGACCTCCTAGATGTGTACTGGTTCAACACATTGAGATTAGCTGGGGTGCGTGCTCCCGAGGCACAGTCCGCTGTGTTGGTCTGCCCTCAAATGAGCGGTGTATGGCTGACTAGAACATGTTGAATTCTCTCTGCTCAAATTTTGTACAGGCCTGTCCCACCTGCAAGGGGAATCCTGACTGCCAATGGATAGCCTGTGGCCAGATCGGTTGAGAACTCTGGTCAATTGGACAAATTGAAATGTTATGCTGAATGGCAATTAGCCATGATGGCGAGTGGGTGATGTGAAACTGAATATGCAACAGCATGCTTGCCTTCTGACTTCATTGACACGTGGCAGTGAACCAGCTGAGGTGCTTCTCATGAGCTTTCACGCAAGTGCAAAAATGCTGTGTCTACCCATCATGATTTCCAGGAATGTATTGGCAACTGCAGAGTCGGTATATTTGTATGTTGGCATGTGCCGCTAGCGTACAAAGATGCATATGCACGGAGTTTTCTTAGATGGGATTACCATGCACACCTTTTTGTATGCAATACCTGTGGACCAGGATGCTGGCGCCAGCAGCAGTGAAGGCTGAGGCAATTCTTAGGGCAATCCTGCAATACTTGGGGACCCTTAAAAGGGGCTGCAACTTATCAGGAACACGGATTCCAGCAGCGACAGCCGCAGAATCTTGTGAGTCCGTCCCCACAGATTGCAGAAGCTCCTGATTTTGACCCACTGTTCCGAATCTGCCTACTGGTACCTTTGGCGAAGTGCTCCTTTGACGAAGTGACAAGGACACCAAGCAAGGCTGTCCTTTGACAAGGATCAACGGATCGCCATCTTCCAGAGGGTCTTCCACGAGATGTTTGGCAAGAGGTAGAATTCATCTTGCTGTATATCTTCGATATCTTCAGACCGCGAAGACTGTTGCTTGCCAAGTCCGACATAGGCTGCTCGTATATTGGGGTTTGCAGTCGGGGTATCACTAAGTTTTACTGTTGGCATCAAAGCCTTTACGCACGATATCTTGACGGCGTTCAATGGCGCAGTTGGTTCACTTGCCCGAGGCCAGGCATCGATGAAGACGTCTACGACATCAAGCCTTCCAAAGACGATCTGGCCATGGTCCACCTTCCTCTTGCGTCTCACTGAAACAGCTTTGCTTTCAGCACGGGATCGTCAATCACAACCCAATCATTCAGCCCTCATACACTCCAATCATGCCTCAATCTTGAAGTCGGCAACTGAAAGCAGGCTGTGGCTGCTGCAGGAAAAGAAGGAAAATGGCAAGATGGAGTCAGCGCCAATGAGGGTCTACAAGGCAAGTTCCTGGTGGCTGGCTTATGCCTCCGACAAGACTGACGTCAGAGTGGAATACGCCAATGGGGCCATCTACATTGGTAGGGTGCTTTCTGGCTTGAGGCATGGCCAAGGGAGGTTCACAGGAGCTGACGGTGGATACCACTATGATGGGAATTGGGTGAATGGCAGGTGGGAATATTATCCTCTTTCATTCCTTCCGCTGACTCACCTGCTTGTCAAAGGCTTGAACGCCTTGCTTTTACTCAGCCTTCTCTGACCATATACACTAGCCAGTGTATATGATATCCTTAAAAATCCTGAATAACGTTGATGATAACATTGCATTACAATGCAGAGGTCATCATGATCATTCACACTTGCTGTACAAGGTGCTGAATATACGCTGCGTTACTGGCCATGAAGCGCAAGCAAAAACTTTGTGATGGTCATGTTTGAGCTGCTCCGTGCATACGCAAGTGCCCTAATCTTATTTTGCCCCTGTGTGGCAGGCAAGATGGATACGGCGAGGCAAGCTGGGCCAATGGGATGTCTTACAAGGGACAATACAAGGAGGAAAGTGGCATGGTCAAGGAGAAAGACGAGCTGCCAATGGTAGGATCTACCGGGGAGAATGGCAGCAGAATAAGAAGACCGGCTATGGAGAGGCATTTCAGCTGGAGAAGTTTGCCACCCAGGTGACTCATTTGCCCAAGCCATTACTAACAATACTTCACGCTCTTCTCCTGCTCGAGGCGAGATATGTCTGCAAACAAGCTGCAAAATAAGGCTCCCACATATTTCTGTCCTTTGATGGACTTGCATATTCAAACAAGTCCCAGTTGAGGGCACGGTGCACTGTATTAACCTTATACGGGCCCCTGCCAGCCGGGGTCAGTTTGTGAAGTATTTACCAACAGACAGAGGAGCATATTAATGCGCAATGGATCCATTCTGCAAGTCACAATCTCTGTGTTCACCTGCAATGTGAAAAGGGTGAGTCATTAGACTGTGAGCTTGTTTGTGCAGGATAAGAAGGAGGAGGGTGCAGAAGGAAAGCTCAACGGAAGCCAAGCCTCTGGGCTCTTGGTCTGTGGCTACAGAACTGAGGCGGAGGCTAAGGAATTGGGAGTCACTTTGTTTCCAGATACCCATTACCAGGGCTACTTTCTGAATGACCTATATCACGGCCATGGCACACTCACTGCCCCTGGCGGATATAGGTGCGAGTGTGAGTGGGCAGCAGGAAAGCCACATGGGACAGGTGGGAATCACTGTCAATCTTGAACAAGATCGCACTTTGGTTTCCTATTTCAGTATAAGAAATACACATCTGGAAATGGCATGCGGGTTGCACATGCTGGCTATATTCGTAGCTGATCCTCCTCCCAATTCCCAGAGCTCATGTTGTAATGGGGTCTCCATCCACCCTGCCATGGCAACCAATGGCTTAGTTACAACTGGATCTCAATCAAGTCTCCACCCTTTGAAAGACCATGCCTTCAATTAAGCTAAGAGAGAATGCAAACATCATCATGCAATTGCAAAAGCACAGACCATGCGCAATCCCTTGCCTGCTATTGCGCAGGGACGGTTCGGTACAAAAATGGCGATGTCTACACTGGAGACTTCAAGGGAGGGATGACACATGGGCAGGGAACGATGAAATATGCTAATGGAGGTCTGTATGAGGGCACATGGGAAGCCGGACAAATACATGGTTCAGGTGCCCATGCCTCACACTGATAAGTACATTTCTGCAATTGGCCTTTGAGCAAGCAGTGATTACGTTTTGTCTCATCTGGGAGTTGCCTACCTGCGGGCGGGTGTGAAGCAGCGTCTGTTCCTAGTGAATACCTGCTGTTTACCAAAGAGCGAGAGCAAGGCACCCAGAGATGTTTTTATGGAACACCTGCTGTTACCAAAGAGCAAATGCAAGACACTCGGAGCAGTGTGAGCTACAGCGCAGGCAGGCACACTGCCTGTCATTTTGAAATACCACGTACACAACAGTCGGACTTACAAGACACATCTGTTTGTGTGCAGGCAAAATACGCTGGTGCAAAGGCAACTCGTGGCCCCGGCTGGCGGGGGGCGGTACAAATACTGAGCACTGTGCCCACGGTTGATTGGGTCTTGCTTGGATCTGGCAAGTCCAACAAGGGGTAGGAATTTGGCAGCCTTTACATGCAGCTTGTCTGCAGACGCACCTTGCCTTCGGCAGGAAAAGTGTGTAATAATTTAAAAAAAAAGGCAACTCGTACGCAGGGAATTTCAAGGACAGCAAGTTGCATAGGCGGGGGACACACACCCACACCAACGGGGACATGTACGAGGGTGAATGGATCGACAACAAGATGCATGGCCAGGGGGACCTGCGCACAGTCCCCTCCTCGCAGAGGGTCCCCCGCAAAGGGGAATGGCGCAATGGGGAGCCCTGCTGATTGCATGCATGCGAGTGGAAGCACTGGTGTTGAAGAAATTAGAGAAAGAGGTATGCAGCTATCAAGACAGAAGGCAAATCATAGGCTTGCAAGTGAGCCTGGTGGCCTCCTAGAAAAGCATCCAATCGCTATTTTTAAAAATGCACAGGATCCAGAGATATGTTCAGCAGTGCTGGGTTGCAGAATCCTGACGCACGCTGGTTTAGAGCCTGAAAGATTGATGCAAATGCGCAACTATCCACAGCATTGATGTCTTGCCACTTTTGTCGAAACAGAATGCTGTAAATGTGCCAGCATTTACGATGTATAATCCGAAATGCAACAGTTTGAACCATCAATATGACATAACAGCAACAAAATCGGCGTTGTATCGCTCAGGCAACCATTTACAGCAGTGCAGCGATCAAAGTCCAAACTAAGCAACAATCCTCATTTCTTCCTGGCGCCCTTTTCCACGATGGCAGCCACGCGCTTGTCATACAGGTCCTGCCGTTGCAGCAGATTTGCACTTGACAGCCGCAGCTTGAAGTCCTTGTGCTTCAGAACCTTCCTCAGATCTTCTCTTAGAGCCTCCTCCTTCCCCTTCAGCTGCTCCAGCTCATACCTGCATAGCAGCCAGAAACCTCAACCTGCTATATTCATGACCAGGCAGAGACAGGTAAAGAACAGCATCAAACTTACCAGGCTCCTTGATAAGTTTCTGCAGGAATGAATGCCAGGCATGTGCTTACATGGTCAAGGCAAAAATAATACATGCCAGCTTCCCCAAAACTAGAAATAAAGCTATAAATGTCTGCAGGCAGAGAACACTCATGTATTCACAGGGTCAAGGCCAGCACAGAGGGTGGCAAGCTCCTCCTGCAGGGCATGTCTAAAGCAGATCTGATTTTAATGTGTATGATGTATATGCAGGAAAATGACACGAAGGTGAGAGGTCAGTATTGTACCTGGAGAAGGTGCACATGAGGGTGTCCCACAGGCTGGGCTCCAGCTTTGAGGAGCTGTCATCCTTCTGGAATGAGTCATCGCCCCAGATGGCATACACCTGAGAAAAACAGGCAGGGCACAACTTTTGAGCTGCACCTCAACACAGTCCCACACTGTGCCCGAACAAGACTCCGTTGCTGATCAACACCCACCCAGAATTGTCTAAAAGGATGTCTGGACACCGCCGAATGGCAAGACGATCTTTCCAGTACAGGCCTGCTGCCGTCATACATTGCAGACACTTTGCTTGGGCTTATCTTGTGCTGCATCCACAACCCCCCCGCTTGAAGGGGTGGAGAATGAGTGCAGGATACAAGACTCACGTTGCCGATGGCTCTCTCGAAAAGCTGTTGCCTCTGCTGCAGCTGCTCTGACGTGAGGGAGATGCCACAATCCGCCTCATCATTCAGGAAGTTTGACAGCGGCATGCGGTAATCTGCCATGTGGCCGTGCATGGCAAAAAATCGCAAAATAAGCTCCCGATCTGTCTCCTGCAAGCAAATGCTGACATCAGCAAAGGCACAAGAGCAGCCAGCAGGCATATCTGGTCACTACAAACTCTCTTTGCATTGGCGTGCTGCTCTCTGAACCTTGCATGTCCAGCTGCTGTGAGGGCGGGATAAGACTCTGGGGCTGATTAATGGCACGCATGCACATGGCGAGTCGCATTCGGCACGGGCAATGACTGGAGGCAAAGCCATTTTCTATGCTGTCCTGTCCTGTTTTCTGGTAAGAAAGGGAGGGCCATGGGCGTACCTGCTCATCGTCCCTTTCGGAGGAGCCGCGCACTTTCTTGAGGATGGCGTTGTCTGCCAGCTCGTTCAGCAGCCGCATGTATGGGCTCCTGCAGGTGTCAGCAACACCCCAAATGATTTCAGGTATTGCGCAGCTACTCCTGGCAGATGCACACAGCGATGCACAGGCAGGGAAGACAGGAACATGAGCAAGCATCTTGAGCAACCAGGAGTGTCATGGTCAACAGAAGATGAGCTGCAGGGGGTGTTTCCTCACCAGAAAGCAGCCTTCCTGGCCTGCTGATCGTTGAGGTTCTCGCCACCTGAGTTGATGCGCTTGTAAATTTCAAACACCGCCTTGGGACCTGCAAGAGAAGCCACTTTTGGCCAACATCCATAAATGCTGGAAATGTGGAGTCTCATCAGCAAGCAGGAGTGATACGGTCTGAAAAGGGGCTGGGGTGTGTCAGAAATGGGCACCTGAGTCCTGGGCAAGGATCCTGAGGGTGAGCGGGTAGTCCTGCAGTGACTGCTGCTCCCGCTCGGACAGGTCTTCATTCGCCTGCCCATTCAGCTGGCTGAGCGTCTCCAACCCCTGCATTTGTGAGGATATAGACAAGGCTGAGAGGCGCACATCCCTCTCCAATAAAACGTTGGAAACAGGTAATGTCCCCGACTTGTCAGTATCACCAAATGGGAGACAGGCTGCAAGCACTTGTGGTTGACAGATCAGAGCGTTCAAGCAAAGCAGCACCTCACCTCAAGACTGAACCTCTGTTGATTTCGAGGGAAGATCCCATCCAGGTAAGATAGAAGAGAGGTGATGCGCTGCTTCCCATCTACAATGTCCAGCCTCCCATCTGACTGCTCGTGCACCCAGACCTGATCACAGCGCATTAAATTCAGAGATGTGAGTGCAGGATACATCATGAAACATACGGAGCAGAAAAAGAAATATTATTGTAGCTGTCCCCGAAGGAATGGAAGTTGATGGAAGCTCACTTCCGGTACTGGCAGTCCCAGTAGAATGGTCTCAACCAATCGGGAACTCGAAGCCTTGTCCCAAACAAATCCTCTCTGGTACTCGGGCTCCAAGTTGAGCAGGCCCCGCTGTTTCTGTTCATGCAAGTTGGGGTAGATGTCAGATGCAGTGCTCTCAGAATTACTAATTTATGCTGAAATGATGGCATGTAAACATGATTTGATCGAATCAATAAACTCGTATCTTATAGCCACGCAATGGCATGTTTAGCTGCTTGCTGCAACATGTGCACTGATTTCGGCAGAAGAGTATCTGCACCAGAGCATGAAGAGCCGACACTGGGTAACGCTGTTGCCCAACATTTGCTCTCAAATGCGGCAGATCGTACGATGTACCCGGACTTTCCTCATGCAAGCGCGCCCCTACGCCTCTTGGAAAGTCTTCTTGTTCATCTTGTGGATGTTCTGGCTCAGGGCTTTCATAAGAATCTTGTTCGTCTTGCAATGTATCAGGATTAATCTCGCGAGCAAATTTGGGCACTCTGAGCACTGTCTCATCAGGTGTTACGCGAAGTCTGCTGCCCAGACTGCGCAGCAATGTCAGTGCAGAACGTTGCATCTTGTGCAGCAGCAAATTTTATGCAAACACGCACATCAACCTGTAATTAAGCTAAGTCTGCCATCAATGACAGGCCACAATTGTTGATCTGGATGTGTTCGTTTCGCTTGCTTGCACAAGCTCGGTTCCCGCCACTGACTCACCGCTTAGTAAACTCCCTCAACGTTGGCACTTTGCTGTGTGGTTGGGGAACAAAGTGCTGTCTAGCATCACCAGGCTGGCCGCAGATCGAAACAAAAAAATTGGATGTAGGAATTGGCTGCACGGCTGACAATCAGTACTTCGGCATCCATCAGATCTGTCAACTGTCCTCAAACTTTTAGCTATCTTGAATAGATCGCGGCTTTGCTAGTACATCAGCTGCAATCAGTGAGATCCGATTTTCTGCCGGAAGGATCGCATGCTGGTTCCTGCTCAGCGGTCGCTACGAAAATTTTGCTAGGTGCTTGGTCTATTTGCTCCAATGGGAGCAACGGTGTGGCAACGCGATGGTCAGGGAGGCAAGACCTTCAACACTGGCATACAGCAGAATCCGCAGCGGCCAGGCAAGCGAAAGCTGGTCTGGAAGAGGGAGGACCAGCAGGTGTGCTACCTTGGAGACATCTGCTTTGCGTCACTGGTGTGCAGGAGTTTGATATCTCACAGGCTCTCATTCTCATTGAGGAACTAGTGTACACTGTCCTCACGATGCGTCAAGAACTCACTGGAGGTCGTTTTTTGGTGAATCAACGGACTGATGCAGGCGCAGAAGCCTCCTGAAGTCCCTGCCCAGCGCAGCGCACCTCCCCCAGCACAGCACAGGGCCCCTCCGGTCTCAAACGGGTACAAGCGGCCGCGTGGCAATGTCGCCCCTTCCGCGCAGCACTCACAGCCACCGCAGCCAAGGGCATCCCGCGCAGCAGGGTCCTCGGAAGACTGGGATGGGGAGGTCGTCTTTGATGTGCCGGACAGTGATCGAGGGGAGGCCAGCACCCCCGGCAGCGGCGGCAGCAAGGGGCAGCAGCCGTATGCAAATGGCAGCTTGCATGGCGGGCGACTACATAATCCGGGGCAGAGCAACGGTCTGCAAGGGCGAGACATGCAGGGGAATGGCGGGCATGCAGGCGGGGCGTCGAGCAGTGTGAGGGAGCAATTAGAAAAAGCGGAAGCTGAGCGGAAGGTGCGAGCGGCGCAGGAGGAGCTGGCAGCGCTCAGGCGAGGCATCGCTGAGAGAGAGCAGCGGCTGGCGCGAGAGCAGGTGAGGGACATGCCCACAAACCGGCCACATCAACAGAAGATTGCGCCTATTATTCAAGGAAAAATGCGCCATTCGCAAACTCATCATGGATATTGCATGCTGAGAACCTACTGGTCTTTTGCCGTCTTCCAGTTGCTTGAGGTCTATGATCCAGGTGATTCGAATGACTATATTGTGCACCTATAGTATCAAATGTGCACGTTTCTGGGACCAGTGCAACTCTGAGCAATGTGGAGGAAACTTGCAAGAAGTGTGGGTCAGATTTGGTACAGCAGATTGTGCCTAAAAGGGAAATTGAGACAGGCGACGGGGTACAGCTCATATATAGTCTGGTATGAATGCATGCAGAGGGATGCAGCGGCCTGGGAGGCCGGCCAGAGGTGGCAGCGGGACGACATGGCCAGGCGAAAGTCGAGACTTGAAGCCGGTTTTGCAGAGGTCTGCCCTGCAATCTTCACGTGCAGTTACACGAATGCCACATTTCCTGGAAATTTTCCATCAGATTACCCAACCTCCTTTCTCAGCAATCAAATTTGGTATCTATCTCTGCAGTCTCCCTGTGCAAGATTTAAAGTGTAGCTTTGCCACGTCAGCGGATGTATCCCCGCAGGAGGTTAACATCAGGCTTGCAGGTGTGATGTTACAGCCACTGTATCATAGTTGTGTTTTTAATCGGCAAGTATGATTCTGTGTGCAGGCTTTCAAGCTGGCAAAGCAGACAGCGGCGGCAGACATGGCCAAGTCAGGGCGTGCCCCCGTCAGCGCGGCGGACGCGGCTGAGGTGGCGCGCGTGCTGGCGGCCAGGGATGACTACGAGGTACTAAGCATCCAGCCTGGCGCCAGCTCAGCAGCCGTGCGCAAGCGCTACCGCGAAATGGCGGTTGCTCTGCACCCCGACAAGTGCCAGGTGAGTCATCTGCGCGGCTCCCCACTGCCTTCATCAAACTGTTGTCATGCACCACTGCTTTCACTGCTCAATGCCAAGGCAACGGCAGTGGTCAGGTCAAAATGCAGCACTTGTTGCCGGCAAGGAACAGGGGATGATAGACCTGGGTGTTGACTTTCAGCTGTGTAGAGATCAGTGATGACTTACGCACAAGAGGCAAACATTTCTTGGGATGCTGCTATTGATTGCCAGGCTGCATGCTTACCAGTGTAGCAGAGCTCGCGTAGACTTTGTATGGCTCCTGCAGGTTCCGGAGGCAAAGGATGCCTTCCAGCGCTTGGTCCGAGCTTACCAGGAACTTGTGAAGAAAGTGCCCTGATGGCAGCTTCTGACGTGCATGACAGGAACTGTCAAGTTGCCTTTTGAGGGGGTTATGCAATATGCTGGTGTGAGGCCACAAATGTGCTGATCATTGGGAATCAATGCCTGTAGCTGCGCATGCGTGGTAGTGTAGCGCATGCATGTGGTGCACCTAGACCAATGCCGTTGGATTCTTCCGTTGTCATTGTAGACTGTATGACAGACTCACAAAGGTTCATGGCTTGTATACAATGCTACGTAGATTGGCTGAAGACTGAGTGAGGATCAAGCCAAAGTTATTGCACTGAATTTTGAATTGATGCCTTATATAATTCACACGTAATATCATCTCCAAGATCGCTGGGCTGAACACAACAACAGCCACCGGCCACATGTTCTGAGGTGGCCTGACTCTGCATAATGTTCTTGAGATTCTGTAATGAAGGATGCTGGCACTCGTGTTAGCATCGGTGGAAATGGCGCATGCTGAAGGACGCCTGCACACCTGGCATATGCATTGCACCAATTCTCTTGCAACGAAATCCATCAAGGAGCTTACAAGCACACTGAGATGCACAGCATCATTATGGTACTTTCGACAATTCTGAACTGCTGTTGACATCACGGGCTGGAGCACTGTGCCCTTCATGAAATGTCATGTGCCACTAGAATAATTTTCATGCCAAAGTATATGATTGTCTGACAGTGTTTCCCTGAACCCTCCAAAAACAACCCATATCAGCAGCTATGATTGTACACTACCCAGGCCAGATCCATTTTCCAACAGTGCTGAACAATGGCACTTACTATCAGGTAAAGGACGACTGCATATTGCTAAGTGCTTGCAGGAGAAACTATGAGTCCCTGATCATAGGTAGGTGACACCAACGATGTACCCCACAACCATCCCAAGCATTGCCCCAACAGCCACCTGCGCAAGCCACTCCAACAAGTCACAGTCATGTTTGTCACCACCGGATGCATGTCACTCAGATGAGCTCTGCGCTGCACACTGTCTTCGTACGCGCAGGACTGCCTGACATGAGCCCATTTCCATCTCCCACATGCAATTGTGAAGGAAAAAATTTTCACATGCCAGCTGCTCCTTGACCATCCATCACAGTCTCCTATCACTTCCTTACAAGGTTTAGAATGGATGACACATCTGAGTCATCGACCCCACCTGCAGGGGGGTGTGCCCCAGGGTGTCTCTGAGCGGCCGGGTGTCTGACACCGGGTGGTCTGGCGGCAGCTCTGTGATGATCATGTTGAGCACGCTCGCCTGCCTGCCCGCATGCAGCCGCACCCCCGATGCATCGTACATCACCTGCGCGCATCAGTCACCCCGCTCAACACTTCGGGTGAAGGACTTGCAGAGCCATTCAATCTTTGGCATGTCAGGCAGCGCCATTGTGGCCTTGTTTGTCTGCACCTACATACCGTAAGGAAGAATGTGTTACTGCCTGATGGCAAAGAACTTCAAGGTAAAGGCAAGTGCAGTGGTGCTCTCAGTGGCAATGCACACTGCACCGTGCTCAGGGAGGCAACAGTGCAGACACTGCGCATCAAATTGTGGATACAGCATCCTGGCTCACCACTAGGGAGAAGACGAGGCCAACCGCGAACGCCTCAGAACTGGTGCCATTGAGCACCCCGATTGCAGTTGTGAGCGCCACCACCTACAGGAACACACACCATGACTTCATGCTATGCTTGTAGAGAAGAGCTTGGAGGATTTTGAGCATTGCACACCTCACAAAGCATGAGCTGCAAGTAACCTCCACACATTTCTGCATGACAGACTGCGCACAATTCAGGTTCATATTGCTGCGGGCATTGTTGCGCTGCACAGAATTATTTCTGTTCCTGCGCAGGGACGTAGGGAGTGCTCACGCAGCCGGTGTGGGAGGAGGGCATGCCCCCGGAGCCAATCAAGCGAGTGGCGTCCCATCTGCGCTCGCTGTACCAGTAGGTGAACACCTTGAGCACCTGCGCTATCACAAACGCCGCCACCGCTGCGATGCACGGCCTGCGCAGCACACCGACCATTGTTGTTATTACACGCTATTTCTGCCAGGAGGCAAAGATGCAACAGCAGACAAGCTGCAGGTAACGGGTGCCCAAGCAAGACCCAATGGAGTGTGGGCACATGAATGGCTTGCTGAGACTCCTCTGTCACGTATCATATTGAAGACAGCAATTCGGCCCAGCGATCTCTTGCGCTGTCAATACGGCTGTCACAAGAGAGGATGCTCACTAACGACACTGATCATCTGTCAGAGCTGTCTGACGTGGTTGCATCTGGTTGCTCAGCTCTCGATGAAAACAGATGCAAGACGGCGCGCACCCGTTGTGGATGAGACCCTTGAAGCCGCCAGATGGGGCCAGGAAGCCGCCTGGGTGCTCCGGATCTGCCTCCATCATAAAATCTGTTGCAACCCGCTGCGCACACAACACACACAGCTTGAATCTCTGCATCTGGCAGAAATGCAGGCAAGGCACATCCCAGCGCCATTCCAAACTCAGGAAGGGCAGAAGAGCCCCTTGGATGGGGTTAAAATGTGCAGGCATGTATCAAAAGTTTGGACGTTCAAGGTGTCTTGTAGCTGGTGACAGCCGGGCAAAGGAAGGCAGCAGAGAAGAACCAAAGGGTGCAGGTACCTGGAATGCTGTGCTGTTGCGCGCTTGGGCGTCGTCCAACACTGCGTGGCCCAGCCACGAGTGGAGGCGGGTCACCCCTAAGGCAAAGCCTTCCAGTCTTCCAGAGTTGCGCTAACACGCTCCCGAACTGCATGGGCACACCAGGGCATTGCTTCCTCCAGTCTGTGATCTCCAATTGCTGATGCAACCGAGAATGAACATCTTGTGCCTTTCGAATGCCTTCCACATTATGATGTATCACCCTCTCCAGTGCTTGCGGTGTAATGATGCCTGTTCACACTTCCTCAGGTGCATGCCTCCTAACATGAGCCGAGACTATGAAACCCTGAATACCACAGTTATTGTTCATGAGAGGGGTTTGTTCCAACCTCGTGGAGGTGCAGGTCTACTACGAACTGGCCAGTTTTGCTATAAGCATTGACTGACGAATAGGAAGTCCAGCACGAAAAACAGACCTAGCAAAGCGAATCCGAATGACTAGGATTTCACAAGAGACCCATTACGGCTGTGATCTGACCATATTCCATTTCAACGGAAGGCAGGGACCCTGCAGCGGATGTACCTGTTATCAGAGCTGAACAGGGAGCGCTGACACGATGCTAATGCAGGGTCTGAAGCATCTGCATGTACACTGAAAATCAAATGGCAATACCTTGTCCTCAATTCCGGGAAGTGCTTTTGAAACGCGTTTCATACATGTTCCAATATGCTTTTGCCAGGGTGGGTTTAAGTATGCTACGAGAGTGTTCAGATCACAAGTATATTTAAATCCTCATAACGAGACAGCTCCAGAATCGACTATCGGTCAAACTTGCGAGCCAGTGAAAGCAAAACCCAGACCTGCGGTCCGGGCCCCGGACTCCGGGGAGTCTCAAACGGTGAACAGCGGAACAGCGGGCATCCTACTCTGTCGGGCAAAATCCACTACTTTAGTGGACATGCACTCCACTACATTAGTGGATTTGGCTCTCTTTCTGAGCACGCCCCTTCGGGGCGTGCAATAACAAAAGCAATGCTGCACATCCTTCAGATTTACCTACAACAATCTCAGCATTGCATAGTACCTCCGTCAAGCTAATTATTTCGGTCAAGCCTGTATCTATAGGATCGTGCGCTACTCGTTTCTGCGAAGACAGCAATGCCATTTGCCAGGTTACCGTTGCAAAGTAGGATTTGAAAGGGGGGTGGGACGGCCGCAAATGTTTATGGGAGTAATTTAAACGAATTCTTGAAGTCTTCTGTCGCTGGCCATGTGAGGTTCGCACTTTTGCCGGTTTTTTGGCATCCCCATCCTTGACTTGTTTGGACTCAGCTAATCGAATGTCACGACCATCGACGTGCATGTCTACTTCTTTCGTAGTGACTGCATGCCCTGCCAAGCCAATTCCTTGAAATGAAATGCGTGCAGGCAACACAGAGCGTTCACCTGAATTGAGCACTGATGCACCGGACAGACACTGAAGTCGTCTACAATCTAAACCAACATCAAGTTCAATTGTTCTGGTGAGCGTTACGATCCCTCTGCTGCTGTGAGTAGCCGTGGGTGTCTGCCCTGACCTGGCTTTGCTTGGAATGCCAATCTGATGAGGAGCATCTGGAGAGGACTGTGCACCCCAAAGAGTAGCAAGTAGCCCAGGTGCTTGTAAGGATAGTTGTATCACTTGTACTAGAAGGCATGCTGCTGATGTACTTCTCATTCCTTTAATGTCCTGGTGGATCACTTGCAGAAACCGTTGTGTGATGACTTCATGCAGGACGAATGGTCAGGAACAAGAGGTGGAGGGTCAGTGTCAAGGTGATACCATCAGCCGACACTCCTGCTCTGCTGCAGCCAGGCCGCAGATTTGGGAGGAACCTAGGCAGCACTGTGGCAACATCTGCACCGAGGGGACCCCGGAGGCCGGCCAGCGCCCTTCCATCCTGGCGGATCCCTGCAAGAAACACAGCTCAGCAGGAAGAACAGCAGGATGGCTTTGCAGATGGAGATGGAGAAGCCGCTGCTGCCTATTATCAGCCTCCGCCCTCACGCCGGCGTCTGCGGAAACAGGCAGCTCAAGAGGATAATAGACGGCTGCACCAAGCATGGGATGCGTGCTTTGATGACAATGTATTCAGGAACACATGTTTCCAAGCTGGTCAGCCTGCACGCCAAGCAGCACTGAAGCAGCAGCTGCAGGCAGAGTTTTTGACAGCTGCCAGAGCAGCCCTGCCCGCTTGCAGTCCATGCAGTCAGGCTGGGAGGGTGGGATCAGTGTGGGAGCAGGTGGAGACGATCAGCAGGCTTGTGTATGTCTCGATCAGCGGCAGGACAGAGGTCAGCCCCCCAGCATTCAGGTGTGGCGGGTGCAGTGCCGCCTTCACAGTCGATCCTGTGAGCATGGGATGCTTTCCTGCAACGCCACAGAGGCCGCTGGTTTACTACTCTGGAGCGCTCATGTTGCAGACGCATGAGCTCAGCCTCGCCAGCCCAACCTCAATGGTCGCCTGGACTAGCGCCCTGGAGGAGGTGCACGTCAGGAACGGCTGTGTGCCGTACGGGCAACTGAGTGGCCTGCCCAAAAATATCTGGAGGAACCTCCCAGTGGCGGTCAGACAGTGGCGCAGAATGGACATCGCCACACATGACCTCAACAGGCTTGGCGTGCAGCCCATCTGTTCGGAGGCAGGGCTCAGCGGTGACTCAGACTTGCAGCTCGGCCAGCCGCCGCCGCCCCAGGAGAACACTCAGAGGGAAGCAGCAGCGTCGTCATCGCCACCAGAAATGGAAGCAGGCAGCCTCGCGGCTCAAACTGGCAGAGATGCAGCTGAGGTGGGCCCGGCGACCCAGGAATCTCTGGACAGTCGTGCCTCCGGGGGCCCCACTGTGCAGTGTCCTTGCTGCTTTCGCACTTGCGTGGCAGCCATTTGCAAGCAGTCAGTTGACAAGTTCACAGGAATGACAGAGCAGGATTTTGTACATGCCTGCTGGGCCATCTGCAGAGCGGTAGGAGGAAGCTGGCTCCTCATCGGCAGCGAGCTCCAGAGCAGGATCAAAGAAGACCATGGCGCCAGACAGCGGTGACTGCTCCAAGGCTGACTGCGACTGCTCCGCTGCCGTAGCACTCCCACCTAGACAACACATGCCTGTCGTCAGCTTATTGCTGACAATTACCTGTCGATAAACCTTCGGGGTATGATTCGCATGGCATTATAACTTAGAAACTCACTGTGAGTGGAATCATATAAGCCAGGACAAAGAGAGCCATGATGGCTCCTCACCTTCTCCGGCGCGCGCCGCATTCTGCTCCTCAGCCAGCAACATTGCCAGCGCCACACCAGTTGCAGCCTCTTCGACGTTCATGGGCGAGCTCCCGGCAGCGCCTCCGAGAGCCACCTTCAGCCGTTTTGGATGACAGAGGGCCGCTGCAATGTGCCGGTAGTCGATCACCAGCACAGCCATTTTGGCCGGCGATGCGGCATGCCCCTGCATGCTCAGCCGCACGTTGGGGACTGGCACAGGCTGCGGCGACTCATCTGCCAGCAAGCAGCCGTGCAACGGCGACTGGCTCGCACAAGCTGTGGGCTGCGGCGGCACTTCGCTGGCCTCAGGCAGGACACCCTCTGCCTGCCCTTCTGGCTCTGCTGGGTCACTGTGCTGCTGCGCTGGCTGGTCATCCGCATCTGACTCAGAGAAGAGGTTCCCAACCTCGTCTTCGTCGCCCTCAGTGGGGGGACCCCAAAACTCTGCGGCTCTGGCGGTTGGGCGCCTGAGCCTGCCTCGGCTGCCCCTTCTGGGCCGATTGCTGCCACGCGCCCCGCCTGTGCCGCGGCGGCCACGCTTCCTGCCCCGACCCCGCCCATGCCCTTCCTGCACGCCCCCACCGGTGGCTGCCTCTCCTGCACCCCGTCCCTCCACATCTGCGCGTGCCCCACCGCCTTCCCCTGCCACCGCTGCCTCGGGCTCCCCCTGGCTATCTGTCTGCACGCGCGCCTCGAGGAACCATATCTCCATATGCAGCTGGTTGCCATCGCTGCCTGGCTGCACAGCGCGCACCAAACCAACAGGAGCCTTGGCAGCACGACCCAACTGGGACAAGTTGCGTGCTGGGAACTCCCCGTCGCGGTGCAGCGTGCTTGTGACGGCCCAGAGAGCGACACCAATCGAGGGAGTGCTCTCCCCCAACTGCGGCAGGTAGTGGCACTTGTCGAAGGTCCAGAGCAACTCGTCAATCTGCTTGAGTTTGACCACGGGCAGGCCGCTGCTCACTCCTGCAAACATGTGAGCGCCTCAATTGACTGGCTATCATTCCCTTCCATCAAATCTGCAGAAGTTAAAGCCTTCTCGGGTGTGCAACAGTCACCAGGTGATCAGAGCTTCCAGCTGAGAGCGCCCACTCACCCTTGTTAACAATGGACTTGGCCGCTTCCATCTGAAGCTGTGACTTCTTCGGCGCCTGTAACAACAATAACTTACAATCAGTGTGTTCAGCCAAACTCGCTTTCACTGCACCAGCAGCTTGACAGATGAGAGGCGTTCACAAAGCACATGCAAACATAAGGATCCTCAACAAGATGCCCACCTTCTGCCTTGCTGGTCTTTGCCGTGCCGGTTGGGCTGCGGCCTCAACAGCGGCTGTGATCTCTTCAACCGCCGCCGCACTCGGCTCCAGTCCACCTGCATGACAGCATCCATTAGCTGCCAGCGCATAAGATGTCCAGAGGAAATGGTGAGGACATGTTATTAATTTGCCAGGCATAAGATGTGTAGGCGCTGATCGTTACAGCCATCATGGATAGCTACCTTCTGGATGCTCAAATCTAAGCAGCCCTTCCACCCTGGCGAGCAGCGCGCTTCTGGTGAAGATCACTGGCCGCTGGCCTCTGTCAAGCAGGAACCGCTTCAGCTCTGCAACGGTGGATGAGGCCTTGAGGCTGAACGCAAGCCACCGTTGGACGATGTCCTGCTCGGCTCCCTGAGCGCTGAGCTGCCTGCGGCTGATCCCTGGCTGTGGCGCTTGCGAAGGTCCTGCAGCTTCTGCCTCTGGGGCTGCGGGACCCTGCATGCCGCCTGCTGCAGCTGTGGCGCCCCTCTGCGCCTGTCCTTGGGCTGTCTGGCCTGCCTGAAGTCCACTGGCCTGGAGATACGAGGCTGCCATCACTGTCCTGTTCAGGTTGGGCACTGCTGCCAGCAATCTGCTGGCGCTCTTGCTGAAGCTGACTTTCTGATTGAGGTGTCTCGTTGCAAAGATGGCGGTCGAAGTCGTCCCATTGTCTTCGAGGCGAGCCTGCTGACCACCAATGATGCCTCGAATCTTGCTTGATCGCCTATCGGCTCTCTTCCTCTCCAAGTCGCCGGTCTCTGCCTCTGAACGCAACGCAAAAGTCAGAGTTAGTTACTCTGTGTCAAGGTCATGGGGAGATTCAAAACATAGGTGTTCCCAACCTTCAAAGATGGAGTGCTTATTGAGACCTACCAATCACTCCTTGATGCATGATAAAATTCAACTTATCCTCATTGAGATCCTTGCCCCTGGTTTGGGCTGCAATGACGCAGTCCTCACAGCATTTGTGGGTAATATTTCTGAGCTCTGGATACTTTTCGCTCTCAATCTTCCCGCGAATAGAATAGTAGCCATTAGCTCTGGACAATGCTGAAGGTTCATCTCGGCCAAGGCAGCTCTGATGGAAATATCTGACCCCTGAGTCCACGGCATTGCAACGTTGCAATGGCACCCTTGCCTCTTGTTTGAAGACCCAGTCGGCAACAGCGTCGTGGCCGTATTCGTCCTTTGTCAGACCTTCTGAATAGAATCTGATAATATAATCACAACCTACACAGCGAGTCAAGCGTTCTGAACTTGCGCAGTTCGGATGAAGCTTCTCCTTGTCACTGCCACACTTGTAACACGGGATCCTAGCAATAATAAGTGACATGCTCGGTACAGAAACACATCACTGATCATTCTCCATGCTTACTGACGAAAGGCCTAATTTTTATTACCAAAATGGCATGCTATGGAATGTGTTACCAGGTGGCATGGCCCCTGATTGCCAATAATCCACCACATTAGTAGCGTTTACATCCACTAAAGTAGTGGATTTTGATTACTCGGGTGCCCTGTGGTGGAAGCTGCATTTGCAGAATCCCGTAGACAGCTCATGCCAAAGATATATGCATTGTTCGAAAGCTGTACCAATTTTATACCTAGACCAAAATCATCCTCCATTAATGCTCGCCCCGTCCTGGGGTTCTTAGATCTGCTTGGATTTCTCTCGTCAATTCTTCCTGACTTGATACCAGCTGTCAATCGGCGCAGGGTGTGTCAGCAGAGATATCCCCTCATGAATTCATCGCTGAAACTTCTCTTCTGTGCCAAAGACCGGTCTCCAGTGCATTATTAAAGCCAAAGGTGTGCGCACATTTCTCCCCTATGAGGTGCTTTGATGGCATCGGTGGGCATCCTTATGGCGTCTCACAGCAAGGCTCGTGTCAATCCCGTAGATTTCTTGCAGAATTTTTGTTACAATCTAGCAGGTGCAATCGCTTGAGGGTGTCCGCTCCCTGGCAACAGCCGCCTCGTCGGTCAATGCAGGTATGTTTGCCAAGTATGGTTGCAGAGTTACACGCACAAGTAGCCCATCTTGCCTGGTGGGACCGTAGCCATATCACTAAACCTTTTGCTGCTTCATTCATCTGATGTTCCTGCAGGCACCGGTTGCACCTTTGAGACTTCCTTTGGCAAGCTCATGACAGCAGAGGGCTATGGTAGACGTGCCCTTCTGTCTGCCGCTCTTGGCTGCATTGCTATTAGTCAGCTGGCGGCAGACAACCCAGCCCATGCCGAGCCAGACATCTCAGTATCAAAGACTTTTGTGCGTAAATCCTGGGAAAAGAAGTTCTCCAAAGCCTATCAAAAATGCTAGCCCTTCTGACATGGCAGTCACGATCCTGAAGGGATATGGACACAAGAATGTCGTGCCCCTAGACACAAAGTCTTTTGAAAGTAGGAAGTGCACATGGCCGCCCTCAGGGGCAGCAGCATCTGACGAGTACGTTGTCATTGTTGACAGCTATTTACACCTAAAGACGCATCACAAGCGGTAGAGGTACAGAACATCATGTAGTGTGCGAGGCAAGTTGAGCCTTATAATATGCATAGAATATGCCAAGCCATGTTCTTTTTTGGGCGCAATGGAATCTGCTGTTTGCTGTTTGATGAACCATTTCCTGCTCAAGATGGATGGCTAATATTGTGATGTGGGGTGAGCAGGAAACTGGTCGATCTGGACCTGGACGTTCTAGGCCTTTCACAGTGGCAGGGAAATAAGCTGGTAGGTGTCCTGACGGGCACGACACTGCGTATGGATCCTGATGCGACATAACGTTTGCTGAGAGTCTGTGGCTTCCCCGGTGGCTGCATACTCGAGGCAAGTCCCCTTTCTTTGCTTGGTGCCTGGAGACGAGATGGGCTGTACTCCCTACATCTGTGTTTTCCAAAATTTTTGCATGTGAACTGACTTCTTGGTACCACTGTCGGGCAGGGCAATATTCCGCTGTTACTATGAGGAGTGCAGCCGGTGGGAACTGCAGTGGCCAGAGCGCCACAAGTTCTTTCATCAGATGTATGGCAACAGGGAAGGAAGGAAGGAAGATTACATCACTCCCAGCCGCCTAGGGCTGATTTGATGAACTGGCAGCATCCAAATAATCAAAACAATCCATCACAAAATGTGCAACACCAACAATGTCCAACTGCCACATGAATTGCTGCATCGTCACAATGTCTGCACCAAACAGCCCAGGATATCTGTCCCGAACAGATTGCAAGGCAGGGCACTCAAACACAAGGTGGCGCTCATCCCCAATAACCTGCTGGGCACAACGCATGCACAAACGCTGGGGCCGGGGAACCCTGGCCCAGCGGCCCGAGACATTGGGCAGACTATGACAACCCATCCTGAACTTCAACAATATACGCAAGCAACGGGCACTCAAAGGCTGCTGTAAGAGCTGGCAAGGGTGGCGCACACAAGCTGGCCTAGTAAACCATCTGTGATATGTACACAAGGTGGCATTGCTGGACGGGCAGGTCCTAGGGCAAATGTCAATGTCATCCCAAACCTGCAGTGCTTGCGCATCGAGCAGCTGCATCACAGCAGCAACTTCTACAGGAACAAGGGTGTCAAACCGAATAACAAACTCATACCCAATCCGGCGCAAGCCCCGCATGAAGGCCCAAGCCCAATTCTTAACATTACGGGTTATGGCATCCCAACAATCATCAAGGGCCACCTGCCTGTGAAAATTATTTGCAGGCAAGGCAGCCAAATTGTTCCAGAACTTGATAATGCGCCGCCACCACACACAATCAAGGGTCTGCTGATTCAACTCCTTAAGCAAGATGGCACCATGCACAGAGGTGGGGACGCCAGCAATGTCTCTCAGAATTTTCAGGTGAGAGGAGGCCAAGGCAGCCCGGCCCCGCCGGCTGTCGCCACCAGGAAGGCTGCGCAGGCCCCACACCTCACAACCGTAGGAGGCAGTCGGCGGCACACATGCATCATATAGGCGCAACAACAGGCCAGCTGACATGCTGCAATGCAACTTCCCATATTGCTGCCTGAGCCGTGCCCACGCACCCCACATGTTCCTGTGAAGCTTGCCAAAGGTGAGATTAATGCCTTGGACACCGTCAAAAAGGGCACCCAGGTACTCAAACTGCTGAACCCAATGTAAAGGCGCACCACCACAAAGCCACTGAAAAGGTCCTGGCAAACTGGAAGAGAACACCACAATCTTTGTTTTGTCAACACTTATGACCATTCCCGTTTGTTCACAAAACTCAGCAGCTGCATCAATCAAGCGTTGCAAATGAGCAGGTGTGGTGGCGAGCAAAGCAAAGTCATCAGCATAGCCTAGATCTGGTACACAACTGCCAGTACGCAACTGCGGGCCAACCCCAGGGCACCTCTGCAGCAAGTGCCTGTGCAAGCCATCTGCAAACAAGCCAAACAGCGTGGGGCTAAGGGGGCAACCCTGCTTCAATCCTGTCTCAGAAGGCAAACTAGGACCCTTCTTGCTCCCAATCTTCATGGCAACCGTAGAATTGGCATACAAAGACTGAATGGCAGAGAGCAGGCGGCCATCAATGCCCAGGCGACGCAAACTCTCCCAGAGCAACACCCGATTCACTCTGTCATAAGCACCCTTCAGATCAAGAAAGCAACAATACAAGGGCTGCTTAGCATGGTTTTGCCGGTCGATAAAATGCTGCAAGGTGAATAGCTGGTGGGCCGTAGACAATTTTGGCCTAAAGCCAGCCTGTGTGGCTGCACGCAATCCAGCCCCCTCTGTGTACTTCAGAACACGAGCATTCAATATGCCAGCATACAAGCGCATGATGGGCTCAGTAACGGCAATGGGTCTATAATTGAGCATGTCAAGCTTGCTGCCTTTCTTGTGCACAGGGGTGATCAGGCTACCATTCACAGAGGGTGGCACTTGCCCAGCCACAAATGCAGAGTTCAACACAGCCACCAAAGCAGGCGCCAGGACATTCTCCGGAGGAGGCATGCCTGGCGCCCGCTCATCTTTTGCATACCGAAACAGCTCAGCTGGTAAACCTTGCACTCCAGTGGCACGACCATTGTGTAAACTTTTGAGCCCAGCAAGCACCTCCCCAAGAGAGATGGGTGCATTGAGAGTATCAACATGGGCGACAGGAGCACTGGGCTGGACAGGGAAAGACAAGTGGGGCAGCTCAGCAATGACTGGCAACTGCAAGTTTGCAACCCGCTCAAGATAGCCAGCCCACAATTGCACTGGCTTGAGCTGCTCAGGTATATCAGACTGCTGAGACTTGAGCCGCTTCCAGAAGGCTCGGGGGTCACTGTGCAAATCATCAAGCAGGCGTCGCAATTGCGCGAGCCGGTGAGCGCGCCGTTTGTGGCGGACGGTGTTGTGGTAGGCACAACAGGCATGGTGCTCATGAAATATTGTGAAGCCATTTATAAGAGGCACCAAAAGTACCATGCCTCCCTGCCAGCATTGTTCAAATGACTGGGTCACCTAGGTGCACATCCCACTGTGCTCTCTGTATCATACGCCTCTACTTCAAACTATTGCGGGCGTGTTTAAACGTTTGGCAAATGCACACGTGCAACTATACATATTTGAACCTGCTTCTGCTGCTAATCTGCAGTGCCAGCTCAGTCCCTCTTGCCAACACTTTCATCAGGTAAGGCTGCCAGGTGTATATGGCTGCTTGTATCTTCCTAACACATTGGTAACGCCAGTGCACTACGTGGCCAATATGCCTTCCTTCCTCTCCATGCCACTGGCACCCATGCGGCAGTGTGTCAGCCAGTCGACTTGGCCAAGGCTCATAAAATGCATGAATCTGATGATCATAGTCAGCAACCAGCATGATGTCTATAGAGCTAAGTTAGCTAAGTTATTGGGGACAAAATCTGAGAAGTCTTTGCTCATATTCAGGGAACGCCACCCTGCAAGATCTGGCACCTGCCGGAAGCTGCCTAGACAAGAACAGAACAGTTCACTCCTCTCAGGCCTCCGTTCTTAGCCATTCTACCTTGCAAAATTGTCATTTTGATCCAAGATTGCCTATACAGCGTGTAATCTTTTGCTCAAATCGTGAAGCAAAATTTATCAAAACGCTCATCCAAGCATTGAAAGCAGCATATTGCTACGCGTGAGATCGTAAAGATTCCAAGGCACGATGCCTGACTGAATATGCTTGACGTACTCATAGTGGGCACATCCCTCGTTGTGTTGTTCTGTTTGGGATGGGCATTTCTGAGTAGGAGCCTTTTCAAAGACTACGAGGAGGAGCACTTGGGTGTGCAGGTGAAATTCAGACAAGTACTGTAACACGAGATCTTGCAAAATTGCACCCTGCCAAAAAGAAAGAGGTCGTCAATGGTAAGCGAGAGTTGTGAGGATTGGACTGATGAGCGTTTCTTTACGCAGGTGCTCTTCGCTTTGGTATTCGCCTTCTCAGTCAACCTCCTCGAGCTTGTTCTTTTTGAGATCCTAGGGGTCCTGAGTTACAGGTGCGGTGGATCCGTACTGATGTGCACAGTATCGGTGCAAGTTGGCATGCAAGTGTGACTCATTCTTTCACAATAAAACAGGGCAATCTTTAACGAAAGATGTGTCTGCAGTGTACGATGGCTGAACTGGCGCTTGGATGTATTGAGCCTGCTGGCCCTTCTTCTCATTGTGCTTCCATACACTCACTGCTACTGCACTCTGGCCTCACACCGTGCGCCCAATCTCCCTAATGTCGCTCAAATCGCAGAATGCCTTGTGCCTTGAACAAGAAGGCACTGAGCGGTGACTTCACTTCATGTAAATGTACAGCTGTGCTAAGCTACAGGAATGTGACAAATGAGCACAGGTGTCTCGATGGCCCGCAGGCAAAGTGAGGAAAGGGCACGCAGCTGTGGGAGCCTTCATCTTCCTTGCAGCGTTCCTGTATGTGTTTTGGCGCATGGGAAAGTACTGGCCAGGCGTTCCTCAGGCCACAGAAGGCATCTTTCGCTTGAATCAGGCATGTCAGCACGCTCATCATATTTGTGCTCGTGCTTATACTTACTGCGCTGATGCCACTCGTTACCTACATTTTACAGGTGATTTCTTCAAGAAATCAGACTGAAATTTGCGGTGCATGCAGGCAATCAGCAGGTTGGGAGTCATGGGTGTGTCGCTGATAGCGGTGCTTTCAGGCTATGGGTCTGTGAATCTGCCCTTCTCCTACCTGTCACTCTTCATCCGGCCAGTGGAGCGCTCCGAAATTGCCATGGCCGAGTCTCAGATGATGCAGGTGTGCTCTATTCTCGTGCATCCAGACACCTAGATTCTCTGTTTGTCTCAAGATTCTCTGTTGTCATGGCAGAGCCTTCTCCTCAGCGCAGGTCCTGCCATATGCCAGGCAGCATAGAGCTAGAGCTGACCCTTAATTAGGCACTTGGCCAGGTGAACATGGTGATTTGTAACATATTGACAGAAGACGGCACACTGCAAAGCAGCTGACATGGTGTGGGGGCCGCACAGGCGTTGGAGTCAGTGGTGCGCAAGAAGAAGCAGATAGTGGTGAGCGAGGGGGAGTTGCGGCAGCAGCAGGTGCGCGCGTCGCCGGTGCCTCCCTCGCTGCTGCAGCGAGTCGTCAACTCTGTGCGGCGCGGCGGCGGCGGCGCTGCCCACAGCACCGCGCAGCTCATCGCCTCGCTCAAGGAGGAGGTGTGCGTTTAAACAAGCTAAACCAATGTTCTGGCGTTTGGCGCAACCGCTGGAGCTCTTGCAGATCAAGACATTTGCTGAGCCATGGGAGAAGGGCTGATGGGAGATCCCAAGGCCGGCGACAGGCACTTCAGCGATAAGCATTAACGGGCACTCTGCAAGTCCTGGAGATGGGGAGTTTGTTGCGCCACGCTTTGCAAGGATTGCCGCTGTGCGAGCTGCTGCCGGTGCCGACCAAATATGGCAGGGCATGCAAGACATGCTTAATGCAGTATCTTTACAAGAACCGCTGTGCTGGCACATGCATCACGAGAGTTGGTGTATTCTTGGTGCAAAAAAGTCACACCAGAGTAAGAATCTGCAGCACAGCACAAGTGCAGTGTTGGGGACCTTGCAAATAATGACTAATTTGTTGACTGCGCCAGGTGGCGGGGCTGGAGAGCTTGGGGCGCATGCTGTGCGCAGAGGTGATGGACCTGCGGCGAGAAAGGGAACGCGCACTCGCCAGCCGCACTCTGGCCGGCCACGCCAAGAATTTTCTGGGCTACTGCCTGTCCTTCTACTGCCTCTTCAGGTGCAGCATCCCTGCCCTCCAAGTTTCCTTGTAATGCTTATCTTGCTTCTGTGTGTTCAGGTGCAACAGCCCCTGCCTGACCTGAGCAACTATAATACCGGTTCAATCCATTGCAAGATCTGCTGGCATCTTTCTTGCACAGCTGAGAAGGGCCACCAACCACTCTGCTTGTTACCCCTTCTGATTGCTTCTGATGAATGGGTATGAGGGGTCTGCATGAAGCAGGCTGATGAGCATGTTGTCGTTTCTGTTGCAGGATGTTTTTCTCAGTCAGGGCGCTGATGTTCGGCGAGGACTTCACGTCCGACCCGGTCAGCAAGGCACTCGGCTTCTGCCTACGGTCCTTCTCCAAGGGACGCCTTGTCATCAATCTGCAGCTCTTCTCGCAGGTGCCCTACTGACCTCAGCCACTACCGCGCACCCGACCACTATTTGCTTGCAAGCAGATACTGTGCCTTCATGTGTTGTACCATTCCATGGTTGCCATGCATGCTACACTGCTGATGCTGCGCAGGGACTTAATAGCAGACCTGAGTATTACTCTGTGGTGTGCAGTACATTACGCTATTTTTCATTGGATGCATCAGCGTCAGCTCCTTGCGAGGCTTCTTGCGGAACATGCGCAAGGTGAGGATTGTCCGCTGAGTTTTTTTGTTTGCCGCCGTGTACTGCATGAACAATATTTGTGGTCAGGATGACATGCTCGATTTGAAAATGGCTTCTCGTTTTGGCTGCAGGTGTTTTCAGCAGTATCTGGCGCTGGCAACGGGTCAGGCCTGCTGCTCATTTTGACAGAGCTGACTGGACTTTATGCCATATCCACCATCCTGCTCATTCGCAAGCAGCTCCCCCTCAAGTACAGGTGCTAACTTATTTCAGTTGTCCCGAATTCTTTACCAGCTTTTCTTTAGAGCTGGCTGGCTGGCAAGAAACATTTCAGTGCTGCCTATTCCAATGTGATCTGGGTGCTTTGCAGGGCAATCATTACTGATGCTTTGGGAGGAGAGCTGGAATTTGAGTTCTTCCATGCCTGGTTCAATACCATCTTCTTGGCAGCTGCAGTGTTGACTCTTGCTATGTTCTATGCACAGCATCAGAGACAGCAAGATTCTGACCTGCCTCTTTACTCATCGAGGAGGGAGTGACACCTACCTGGCCTACCTGGCCTCAATGTCTACTATCGCACTCCGTCGCAAATTGAAATGTGCTGTAAGACTGTAATTGTCTGATTCCAAGTAGCGTATCTCTCTCAAAAGGCACCAATTACCACACAGAGCTCCACACATAAGGTCCGTGCGGCAGCTGCCAATAACCTTGTCCCAGTCACCCATCAGCCATCTCACCAAGGTGTTGGAAATCCAATCCAACAGGGGTTGAATGGAGCTCACGAAGGGGTGCTTCATTCTTTCTCGACAAGCACAGGGGCACCGCAGTCTGATAAATTTTACCCAGCATGTATTCCATCATGTTGTCAGCACGCTTCGATTATGGTGTGTTGAGGACTGTATTGTGGCAGAAGAGTCCACTTTACGCGGGCAAATTTAGTAGCCCTATAGCTTGATTATAGCTTGAGGCAGAGTCTCACACCAAGAGATCACCAAAAGATAGCCACAGGGTTGCTTCTTGTGATGATCTCACTGAATAACACTGTACATGTGACCGAATACTTTGTGCATGCTAGGGCCCACTGCAGGACTCGACAGGCAGCGGTACACACTGACGGGGTGCTGACCTTTGCCTGACACGGGCAGTAACTTGTCCTCTGTGCCCCAGTCTCCCAGCAGCGAGGCAGGCAGACAAACACGGCCGCCTGAGCGCGAAAAGGCACATGCAAGTTTGGGATCTCCAATAATGAGGCACTGCGACGGGAGGCATGTCCTTAGCAAGGCGGAAAGCATGTGCACAGTAAAGCCTGGCTGCACAGGAGGTTATCAGCATGAGCAAGCGGAGATGGGCCGCATGCAAGAACTGCACACATGTCAGCGAAATGTAGTGCCCGTTTCATGGCTCAGTGGTACCAAGACCCGTCCTACATTCTTGTCGTGAAGTAACATGCACTTGGACCCGAGGTCTGTAAACCACGACTTCTTTGCTCTCCATTTCTTTTACGAGAAAAGAGCCACTCACCTTGGGAGTAGGAAACCCTGTGAAGCCAGCCACATCAGCAAGTTTGGAGTATTATAGGAGGCCGCTCTCATTTGAAGTAATGCGCATCACATCTCCCTTTTGCCACCGCCTCCTATCTTTTCCATAGCAAAATAGATGCCTGACTCTGTAATTATCAGAATCCAGACACAGACGATCATCAGTCACACTGCAGATGATTATTGCATGAGAAGCTCAGGGACATATCTGATATGCAGCACCCCAATGCCAACCATAAAGATTCCCTTTAACAAAGCAATTGTGGATTTTAGTCCTGTCCATCGTACACCAGCAGACAGCAAGGCTGTCAATTGCATTCCAATCCACCATTGCATTACATCGCAGGCTTCAAACACAAGCGTCACAAGTGAGAGGCAGTTCTCGAGGGCTGTAGTGCTGATTCAACTTCTTGAAGCATGTCTATTTCAATCAGCATGTACAGGAGTCATCCTGGAGTCATTTTTTTCGCCCTGCAGAGTCAAGCATTTGTTCCGCTCTTTCACACACTCTCAGCATGCATTCCTACACTATCCGAGGTGTTTCATCTCCACGAGGAAAACGTGTCTGTCCCTCACATATTAGCTCTGCACTCTGACAAGGTCAACACTCTCATCCGTAGCGCTCAAAATCGCTGCGCGGCTTCTGCTTCTTGTCTCCCCCATGCCGGCTGTTTCGGCCCCCGCCCCTTCCAAACGATCCATTACCCCTACCCCGGCCGCCGCCGCCCCGGCTGCCACTTCCACCCCCGAAGCTGCCATTTGAGGTGTACCTGGACTTTGGCGGCTCTGGATAGTCCACCTGCATGACAACATACAAACACACTTCCTCCACATATGAACTCAAGCTTCAAGAAGCCGCAAGATAAGATTTGGAGACACAGGCCCAAGCCCTCCTCAACCAATCTGTTACAGATACGGTAGCAGCAGAAGAAGGAGCATAGAGATACAAAATCCCATGGAAGGCTTGATCGCAGAGCACAATTGTGTACTTGATGCAGCAGGTGCAGAGCTTCTCACCCCAATCTGCACGCCAAACTTTGCCTGGTCCTCGCGAGACAGCCTCCAGGGCTCAAACAGGCTGGGGGCAGGCACCTTCGCCAGCTCAGGCACCCAGGTGCGAATGTAGTCCCCCTTCTCATCATAGTCCTGCAAACTCACCAAGCTCATCAAGTTTCCTTCACTCGGTCAATAATAAGCTCTTCTTGAAAGGTGCAGCTGCAATATCATCAAGCAGAGAGTGCAGTGCTGATCACTTCTCAGAGGGAAGCAGCTCCATGGCATGCATGTCAGCCAGCAGCATGCAACTGAAGGCACACTTTGCACTCCTCTGTGAAGCATGAAGCCACAACCATGCATTTTGGTTGTACAATGTGGACCTCTTTGAAATGCATGTCGGGCAGGATGCTCTGGGGCACAGGTTTGATAGCTATAAGATGCATGTGAGCCAGGATCACATGTGCGCATGTGAAGGCGCACCTTGGACTGCTTTGTGATGTTGAAGTGGTTGATGCGACCTCCAGTCAGGCCGGCTGCAGCCACCCAGTTGCCCCAGTTGGAGCACACATCGTAGTCCACCAGCGCCGACTCAAACCAGTCCGCCCCCTGGAGCACATCTGTCGCCTTAGCGCCTGTCTCCTCTCTCTGAACTCCATGTCAAATCTCAAGAAGACACCAGGGCAAAAAGGGCGCAATTCCAGTGCAACGATTTATTAATGATATGTCCCTGAATATTCTTTACCCCTTGTCAAACGACCTGAACGAAGCCCGACCGAAGGGGGGAATGATATGTGGACATGCACTGAAAAAGAGAGAGGACCCAAATTCAGTACCTTCCGCCAGTCCAGGCCCAGGTCCAGGGTGAGGTAGCTTGCCACATTCTGCCGTCCGCGGTTGGACATGAAGCCTGCAGAATGTAGATCTTTATATTCTTGGCGGAAGCTCTGCTCAATATCAGTCATGTCCTCAGGCCTCTTTTAGTACCTCAGGCCTTTTCCCATGACCTGCCCAATGGCAGTGCCCATAAAGAATTGGGATGATACCAGGGCATGGCGTTCCCTCTGGGTAAATGCCACTTTCACCACATTCCTGCAAAAAAAATGTTTTGCATGCGGGACATCCTGATGTTGGAGCCTGCACATGAGATAGTCCCACCTGTGGCCTTCATTTCCCGCATGTTGGCATCCACAAGAGGCATGCCGGTGCGGCCGTCTCGCCACCGCCTGAACAGCTCCAAATCATTCACCCACTGCCGCGGCTGCCCCGTTACGCCGTGCTTGTAGAATATGGCCGAGCCATGCTTGATCGTGAAGTACCTGCAAGAGTTGGCAATCAGCGCTGATTGTGTCCAGAGCACACTGCATCTGGCAGGAAGACTCTGCCAAGCCCACAATGTGCCAAGTACCAAGTAGACAGGCTGCTTGTGAGCCTGTGCTGTGACTACATGGCACGGCACAACTGCAAGCTACAATGGGTTCCTGAATGAAGGAATGGGCACCTGAAAAAGTCCCGCCATGTGAGCTCGAAGATGACCCAATACGTGGACTTGTTGCTTCCATGTTGCTCCTCATATCTCTTCACCTACAGCACAGTCAAGCAGCTTCACTTTGTATTTCTCAAGTTGCTCTGATGGTACTGTACCTGTACCTCTGGCATCAGACCAAATTGAGCAAGGCATAGAGCCTTGCAGGTGGTACAGTCAGCACAGCACTGCACTCTACTGCAACAAATAGGCGAAGCGAAACACATATGGGGGCAGTCATGATAAACAGCCAGCATGTATTCCCTAAGAAACAATTTCAGCGGCCGCTAAGGTGAGGAACGCGCGCGCCTCGTGGAAGATCGTGGAAGGAGAGATGCAGCCGCGCGCAAGCCAGGGTGAGAACTTGGTGGAGTAGTCAGCGCCCAGCATGCCGTTGCGCGTGTCAAAGTAGGTGGAAATGCAGCCAGTGTCCCACAGGTAGTGCTTCAGCCGCCGCAGCGCCGCAGTCTCGCCGCCCTCAAACGCAATCGCTGCCTGTGCAAGCAAGGCCATGATCTCATTGATGCAACAAATATCCCATGCCCGCCTTCAGAATTTGCTCTCAGGGATAAAAGCCAGGCACGCCGTCCATGCACAGTGTCTCTGAGGCGATGGATTGTGCGTCATCTACGATGAAGCCAAGGCTGACATTGGAGCTCAATGTAATAGTCGATATACATCGCTTACAACCAACCCGAGGCTGATCTGATACGGTGCGAAAGTCAAGGACGCAAACAGAGGTCAGTGAAAACGTCATAATCAGCTCTCATGATGCAAATCCTTCTTCCATACTCACGTTTGGGTGCCGTGGCAGGCTAGCTAGTCGCGGTGCGCCCTCAGGGACAACTGCATTGAGGTCCTCCACGCAGCTGGGCTTCCGGCTCAGCCGCGCAGGGTCGAGGTCAGCTGCGAGTGGGAGTGCGCCCTCTTTGGGCGCTGGCAGGGGCGCCCGTACCTCACATCTCGCCTCCACCTGCCGTATAACCAGTATCACTATCAACATCAGCCACAGAAGCAGTGCCTCTAGAAAAGGGACTCCATCTTCCACAGAAGGGGCAGGACGTACATTGGCACTTGAGCCAATCACAGACGATCTGTGAATTAGAGTTATGAAGTACAGCCCTGAGAATGCCAGCATCTGGCCACAGTGCAGTGAGTTTTTGGGGGTTGCAGTGAGCAGTCACCTTTTGTTTGAAGGGTGTGAAGACATCCGGCAGCTCCGACATGTCACTTCTGAAAGGGAGGTCGTCCTTGTGGTACAGAGTGTTGCCCCACAGCAGCTGCAGCCGGCCCCTGGATCCCAATGCTGCGCGCACCCCCTCATCCACATCCAGCTCCTCCTTTGTCACCTCCATTTGCGCCAGCACCGTCAGCTGCTGCCCCTCTCTACACAGCCCTGCATCCCACAAGCGCAACTCCTCGTGATAGCGCCTCCAGCATTGAAAGGAAGCCCATACACATTGACATGGCTGCAGCATCACTGGTTGAATGCATCACCTTGGATTGCCTCTTCAGGCTTGCCCATGTGGATGACAAGGTCGCTGCCAATGTCCCGCAGCCTCTGCTTCAGGTCGAGAACGGACTGCAGCAGGAAGCTGGCATGATGGGCTCCGGTCTTGGGATTGCCCCATGGCGTTGCTATGTATTGTCGGGGATCAAAGCAGTAGAGAGGGACCACCTGCAGGCGAGACTGCATGTCAAGAATATTCATGATGCATTTTCCTCAGCAAGACCAGCTGAAAATTGAGCTGACAAGCCATATGGGAACATGACGAAGCGAGGCAATGCTCACCTCACTAGCCTGCTTTTTCTGAATGAGCTGGGCAGCTTGGTGCACAATTGCGTTGTCTGTGAGGCGGAGATCGTTCCTGAACCACAGAACAAGTCTGTGCCCAGACATCTCTGCTGAGGCGGCCTGTGAATAACTGCGAGCTCCGCGGCTGCTTCTTCGCAAGTTTTCTCTTAGCTTAGATTTCGCCAGTGCCTGCTGAGTGCGACACTTCGTTGAATTAAGCACAGAAGCAGCCAATGCTGGTCAATGCCACCTATGAGCCCAGATCCAGAAATGGTGTTTTTGGACCTTCTAGGGTGCCAGACACAACTGTTTCTGACAACACTTGTTATGGTAAGCATTATTTTGACAGGCGAAGCTTTTCAGGCAGACTGACGTGGAGCAACACTGACCCATCAGGGATGCTGAAGGCCATCACAGCCACATACGCTCGAGATGACGGGTGGACACACACCTGAGCTTTCGATTTCCTTAGTACCAATAAATTGAATCGTATCGAAACTCTGAACATTAGTCCGTTAGGACTCTTGAGTGTGAAGAATTCAGCCCAACTAGTGCTGATGTCTCCCGTGCGACCCGAACCAATCTTCCTATTTCGATCAAGGAAGCTTTTCTTGAGAATTCAACACCCTACTTCTTGGAAAAAATACGTCGCTCGATCCCTTCCCAAGCATGTGTGTTTTGTTGGTTCGGCACTTATGATACTTCCCTCCCCTGAATCCTTGTGTTCAGATAGAGTATTACCCTGTACCCTATGTTACGGCATTACGCCATCGCTGAGATGCTGAACTGGGGCGGCTCCTCTACAAGGTGCTCAGTGTGTGCATTGGCTTCTAGCCAAACTTTAGCAGTAGGAACTTTATTTGCCTGAGAGAGCTGCCTTGAGGCTCCAGGCACCATGGTGAAGTTCACAATAGAGCAGATCCGTGCCCTGATGGACTACAAGGACAACATCAGAAATATGTCTGGTACGCCCTGTTATAGGAGAGCTCCCTTAAGTTTTCTGTCTGTGCAATGCTTCGCCGAAATGTGAGCACCATTCTGACGTGTTTCTGTGCTGTGCTGCCCTGCAGTGATCGCTCACGTCGACCACGGTGAGCACCTTTTACTTACTGCCAATACAGATCGATTGTCCTGGATTGATTAGTACTTCTTCGGAGGCGGATATGTGGTTTTGGCAGTGTGTGTATTGCCTTGGGAGCATGCACGGCAGCGTGGGGTTTCTTTAGTATGGGATTCTAGGAATATTAAATTATGGTTCGTGTATATACTGAAGCTGTGTTTATGCACTCGTAGGCAAGTCAACTCTCACCGACTCTCTGGTCGCTGCTGCGGGTATTATTGCCATGGATAACGTAAGTCAGCTTCTCTGACCCTGCTGTTTGGTACCCATTCTCCTTATCCTGTCTCCTGACCACTTCCAGGGCTCTCACTATTGTTGCATAGCTATTATCCGCGGCTCACAGATTGCCTGTGAATCCCTTGCAGGCTGGCGATGCTCGCCTTACAGACACAAGACAAGACGAGCAGGACAGGTGTATCACCATTAAGTCCACAGGTGTGTTCCTACCAGAAGCTTGTGCGGAGCTCAACTGTAACGTCTCATGTGTCTTTGGACCTCTTTATGCCACTGAGATGTCATTGAACGCAATGCACATCCAGAAGTGCTCTGCTAACGCGTCTGCTGCTGCTCGTAGGGATCTCCCTGTACTACCAGATTGAGGACGAGAAGCTGAAGGGCTTCACTGGCCCCCGCGAGGGCAATGACTACCTCATCAACCTGATCGACTCCCCAGGGCACGTTGATTTCTCCAGTGAGGTCACAGCCGCCCTGCGCATCACTGACGGTGCCCTCGTGGTGGTGGACTGCGTGGAGGGAGTCTGCGTGCAGACTGAGACCGTGCTCAGACAGGTGTGATCAGCTTCTCTGGTCACATTGCATGCACGATGCAGCAGCACATTGCATGGTCCTGCGCTGCGCCTGGTCCCAACAGTTTGCATCCTACACAAGTGCATGGTCATGGATGCATGCATATCTGTTCCCAAGTCTGCAGGAAATGGCAGGATTTTATTCCTGCATCAAGAGCTGCTCCTCAACCTCGTTCTTGATTCTTTCAAGTCACCTTTCTCTGCACCCTCCCTGAGCAGCATGGTTCTGCTTTGCGCAGGCCCTGATTGAGCGTATCAGGCCGGTGATGACGGTGAACAAGCTGGACCGCTGCTTCCTGGAGCTCATGCTGGACGGAGAGGAGGCCTACAACGGCTTCCGCAGGACCATCGAGTCCGCCAATGTTATCATGGCCACCTACGCCGATGAGCTGCTGGGAGACACCCAGGTGTACCCCGAAAAGGGCACAGTCTCCTTCTCCGCCGGCCTCCACGGTTGGGCCTTCACCCTCACCGTCTTCGCCGACCTGTACGCCAAGAAGTTTGGCGTCGAGGTGAGCTTCCTGTGCTCTGCATGCAACTCCGCAACGCAATGCTCACCGACTAAAGCTTGAAGATGTGGTCCTGCTTGGATATACTGCAGTGCAAACTGACAGCTGTGCATGTGCCTGGGAAAGGACAAGCGACCCTACACCTGTCGATTGATTGCCTGGCACACTTTTGGCACTAGGTGCCAATCACCTATCCAAGTGGCACTGAACTTATGACTTGTGTCTTTTTCAGTGCCGTAAGGGAGGGTGGTGATTGAGACTGAGCAGAACTAATTTAGGATCACATTTTTTAAGTTTATGTGGCGGCGAGCAACGCGTTGGCGATGGCGATGGAATTTTTTACATTATTGTTTACCTGTGCAGAGGGTGAAGATGATGGAGAAGCTGTGGGGCGACAACTTCTTTGACCCCGCCACCAAGAAGTGGACCAAGAAGGATACCGGCGCCGCCTCCTGCAAGCGCGGATTTGTGCAGTTTGTGTACGAGCCCATCAAGACCATCATTGACGCCTGCATGAACGACAACAAGGTCAAGCTGTTCGCCATGACCGACAAGCTCGGCATCACCGGCAAGCTCAAGAAGGAGGACAAGGACCTGACCGGCAAGCCCCTCATGAAGAAGATCATGCAGTCGTGGCTGCCCGCCCATGAGGTATGCACCTCTCGCGCCTGCCTTTCCTCAGTGGCAAGTTTCAGTTTTTATCTTTGACTGCCACACGTCAAGTTCCCTCTTCTGTTGATGAAGTCTTGAGACTGCCGCATTATCTGTGATGCCAGAACAGATGCGCGGCATCGTTGCATTGTTTGGGGACAGCATTGTCTGCAAGCAGCAAATGTTAGAGCAAGAAAGTGTAAGGAGAAGTGTGTAGACTGAAGAGGTAGTGGTATGGGTATCTAAGCTTCAATTGAAAACTGGGGATGGGTTAATACTAAGTTCACCCTGCTGCAGGCCCTACTGGAGATGATGATCTGGCATCTGCCCTCCCCGGCCACTGCCCAGAAGTACCGCGTGGAGAACCTGTACGAGGGCCCTCTGGATGACCAGTACGCCAACGCCATCCGCACCTGCGACTCCAAGGGCCCCCTCATGCTCTACGTCTCCAAGATGATTCCCGCCTCCGACAAGGGCCGCTTCTTCGCCTTCGGCCGTGTCTTCGCCGGCACGGTACGTGGCCCAATCTTTCTCGCTGCTTAGAGGGGAGGCTGGCCTCCTGCACCTCTTGAGCATGTGCAGGGCTCCGCGCTGCTTGATGGGATTTTGCAATGGCCAGGCCCTGGATATTGAGCGGTTGGCTTGCATGAACAGGATATCTGCTCTGTGGTATCCTGCAGCGCAACCTCAGGTCCATGTTTGCATGAATTGAATGGGGGTAGTGGCTTCGTGCTGCAGGTGTGCACCGGTGCCAAGGTGCGCATCATGGGCCCCAACTTTATCCCGGGCCAGAAGAAGGACCTGTACGTCAAGACCGTGCAGCGCACCGTGCTCTGCATGGGCAGGCGGCAGGAGGCTGTCGAGGATGTGCCATGCGGTGAGTCCCCCAAGCTGACGTCCCCTTGCCTCCCCACATCACCTCACCACATATCTGCGAGATGGATTTGGAGTCGCAGTCTTTTTTTAAGCTATTCTTGTAAAAAAAAATGCTGCTCTGAATTGAGTCAATGAGCTCTTTGTTAAGGCTGTGGACTGAGGTCTTTTCCCTTGTAAGAATATCTTGAGGCACACCCTGAATTGCCTTGGGAGCCATGCTTATTGTGTAGGACAGACATCTGAAGCCTTGGATGTGTGCGCGCAGGTAACACCGTGGCTATGGTGGGTCTGGACCAGTTCATCACCAAGAACGCGACCCTGACCAACGAGAAGTGCGAGGACGCCCACCCCATCAAGGCCATGAAGTTCTCCGTGTCCCCCGTCGTGCGCGTGGCTGTCGAGCCCAAGAACCCCTCCGACCTGCCCAAGCTGGTGGAAGGTGTGCTGCCTTCTCTTCCCTCTTTCCATACCTTCTGTAAGCATGTGGTATCTTAGAGCTGCTTCCTATGCAGTCTCATGATGTGTGCGGTTTGTTGAGCAAGGGTTGTTCAGATTTATGCAATTGTTCGCCAGTGATCCCATATGTATGTATTGTGGTTGAGCTGTGGGTACTTAGTGTTGTGTACGGCATTGCCCTTAGTAAGTGCTGCAGTCTTGATGGGTTCTCATTCGCATGTTGTGCTGCATCAGGTCTGAAGCGGCTGGCCAAGTCTGACCCCATGGTCGTGTGCCAAATCGAGGAGACTGGAGAGCACATCATTGCCGGTGCCGGAGAGCTCCATCTTGAGATCTGCCTGAAGGACCTGCAGGTGTGCTGCAAGCCACATTGCATGCTGAGATACCTCCTCCTGCCTGGCGTTTAATCGTGGACAGTACAGGCGTCTTTTTGTGCTCCCCATTGCACGAACCGTGCAGAATGTGGCAATAAACTTTGGACTGCTGGCACTGCGCAGGATGATTTCATGGGTGGTGCTGAGATCCGCATCTCCGACCCTGTGGTGTCCTTCCGCGAGACCGTGTCTCAGATGTCCGACCACATCTGCATGTCCAAGTCCCCCAACAAGCACAACAGGCTCTACCTCCAGGCGCGTATTTCTCCTCATCATCCTTGCTGTTGTCAGCTGCCTTGTCTGTAACACATCTCTGCCTCTTAGAATCTAGCTACCCTCAAACCTGCAGGTCAGACTCTTTCATCATCGAGACGGAATAAAGTGGAGAATGCTCCATGCCTGTGCAACAGACAAAGCAAGACAATGTGCTGCAAGTCCTCGAGCATGCAACATAAATCATGAGAAACAACGGCTGCTAAGGGAAGCTATAAAACAAAAACAAATTTGGCACGTGTTTCTACTCGTGAGCACTGACACTTTGTTGCACTGCAACAGGCGCGCCCCATTGAGGATGGTCTGGCAGAGGCGATCGACGAGGGCAGGGTTGGGCCGCGCGACGACCCCAAGATCCGCTCCAAGATCCTGGCTGAGGAGTTTGGCTGGGATAAGGACCTTGCCAAGAAGATCTGGTGCTTTGGCCCTGACACCACCGGCCCCAACCTGCTCACGGACGTGACCAAGGGAGTGCAGTACCTGAACGAGATCAAGGACTCCTGCATTGCCGCCTTCCAGTGGGCCACCAAGGAGGGTGTCATGGCCGAGGAGAACATGCGCGGCGCTGTGTTCGAGGTCAGCCCGTCGTCCTTTTTCGCATGCTCATATCCTGCTTCTCTCGATGATTGCGCAGCTTTGCATGCATGCTTTTGCCACAGCTGCTTTGGCGGAAGTGGGGTTTCCAGAAGTTGCAGCGACTGTTGTGCAGACTCTGCTTGTGGGGCCACGGCGACTAGTATGTGTGTCAGGGGATATGGTCGACTTATTTTAATGCATTTTTTGGGTCAGCTGCTTACATGATATTTGCTGTGACAGGTGTGTGATGTGGTGATGCACGCTGACGCCATCCACCGTGGTGGCGGCCAGATCATCCCGACCTGCCGCCGCGTGCTTTACGCCTGCCAGCTCACTGCGCAGCCCCGCCTGTGCGAGCCCGTCTACCTGGTTGAGATCCAGGCCCCAGAGCAGGTAGACAGACTCTCCATTTCGCGTTTGACGTCAGTCCGGAGAATTTGAGGGTGTGTGCACTCTTGAAGCTGGTCGGCAAGCTGTTGGCGCCAGCAGACGCTGGTCCTGTTGTGTTTTCTTCTGCCCTGCCTGATACCTCCCCAGTTGCATGCATGGCAGAAGGGAAACTACCACGCTGGTCTGTGCTTTGCTGTCAGAAGTATTGTGAGGATTTATAGTTCCAATTGCTGGCGCGCTGAAGTCTGTCTGCTGTGAGCGCAGTCCCTTGGAGGAATCTATTCGGTGCTCAACCAGAAGCGCGGCCATGTGTTCGAGGAGGCCCAGAGGCCGGGCACGCCCATCTTCAACCTGAAGGCCTACTTGCCCGTCATCGAGTCCTTTGGCTTCACCGGCACCCTGCGCGCCGCCACCTCCGGCCAGGCCTTCCCCCAGTGTGTCTTCGATCACTGGGAGACCATGAGCCAGGTGGGCGCTCCTTCCCAACCCTTCCCCAGACTGCACTCCTGTCGTCTTGGACCTCTGCGCCTGTCCCAAAGCTTGTGCCAGCATGAAGGAGGCTGCAATGCTCATTTACTGGTTGACCATTGCCGACGAAATTCTGCACTGAGATGTCTATGAGGAGTGTCTGCAGTACAAGCTGCTGCGCCCAATATTGGTGGCAATAGCTAAGCGCAAGCAGCAATTGATAAGCACTGGCAGCTGTGCCATCAGAGTTCTGTAATGCTCTGAATGCAGGCCACTCTGCTGTTTGACATCTGCATACTGTACTGTTCTGACGGCAGCTGCTCTGCTATTCTGACGGCTCGATGCTATCTTCTGTTCTGTACAGGACCCGCTGTCGCCAGGCACCCAGGCCAACACCATCCTGCTGGACATCCGCAAGCGCAAGGGCCTCAAGCCCGAGCCCTCGGCACTCTCAGAATACGAGGACAAGCTCTGAGCAGCCACCGCTGCCCCTGTACAGGTCCTTTCCGTGCAGCTCTCCTCAGAGCCTTTTCCAGGCATTCTGTACTGTACTGTTTGTTCTGATCCTTTTCTGACCTCCGCCATTTTGAGCGATAGGGGCAGCAGCTGCCTCTCTGCCGTGACCTGTTCCTCATGCTTCTATGGCCGCTGAAATGGTTTAAGGCACGCAGGACTGGCCTGTCACTTCCGATCCTGTTCAAGCCATGTTCTGAGGGGTGTGCTAAGGAATCAAGGAGATGAGGTAATATATATTTTGACAGGTGCTTGGCTTTGCTTTGCAGGATCCTCTGAGCCCGGGCAATGCTGCTTCCGCGATCATCGATGGAATTCGCAAGCGCAAGGGCCTCAAGCCAGATGTGACGCCCCTCAGCGAGTTTGAGGACCGTCTCTGAACTTGGAGCTTTTATTTCGGCAGAGTCGCAGAATGGATTGGAGGTTTGAGTGGTTTTTGAGAGTTTGTCTTGGCCTGTGCGCCGCTGTAGCTGTGGTGCACAGGTGTCCCTACATCTGACTGTCCCAATTCGCCTGATCACCGTGAGAAATATCCCATCTTGTACTGTAAAACATCATGAGTCCATGGGGATTGTAGCTACCTGGGTGGTTTCCTGGAAAACAATCATGGCAGCGCATGCACACTTTTGCACCCGACTTTCAATAGCCTAGCTAGGCCAGGCCTGCCACAGTGCGCCTGCATTAAATGATCCACTGTAGAACACTGCACATAGATTTCTTCACCTCATATCGACCTGAATGTTCATATCAAGTTTTGTTCGACTTGCCTTGGGAACGTCTTTCATCAAATGCACGTCCCAGCACGTTGCAGCCGGCTAGCTTCTGGAACCAGGATCTTTGCATTTTCAAGATCTCGTCCACACCTGTCATTTGGTTCCCTCGATAGCCCCACATGAACAAGGCCGTCGTCGGCAGCGGCCCCGTCCGCAGCCTGCCCCATTCCAACCTCAGCTGGTCTTCCAGGAGGTGCGATCATCCAACCCAGCTTTCCCAGTTTTGTTTTCAAATGCATGTTCTGCCTAGATTCTGGAAGTCATTTTTCTTCAACGAATGGGACACTCATCTTGTTTTGTTGCACCGATTGATTGTTGCGCTTGCGGAAGGAGAAGTCTAGTAGAAACAGATGGGACAATATTCCTATGTTGAAGCATCCTGCAAACTTCAGGAGTTGTTATCTGAGGCTGTGTAAATTTTCCTAGCCGGAATAGAGTCGGAAGCGTGGTCGCCATGTCGTTGCGCCCAAGGATCCCAAGCACTCGCAGAAGCAGTGGGTGCAGGTGAGGAAAATCAGCCATGAGTCATCCTCACTTCGCTGTGAATCCGAGCCCAACCTAACTTTTATTCATGAGAAGAATATGCTTTCTTTGGAGTTGTGGTCTGACCTTATGCAAGGGAACGTCAGACAGTGGAGTCCTGCACCCAGTTTGACAAGGTCTGTGGGCAGCTGCAGGAGGCTGTGCGGCCCTTCCTCCACACGTTGGCCCTTTCTGCGAGGCCGCCGCTGGGGCATGGTTCCCCGTCACTCTGGCTATGGGACTATCGGTCTACATGTTCAACAAGTACCGGTAGCAGCAAAATGATGGTACCGGTACTTGTTGAACAGGTAGACCGATAATCCCAGAGCCAGTGTGAAGGGGAACCACGCCATAGCGGCGGCCTTGCAGAAAAGGTCCAGATTGTGGAGGAAGGGCCGCACAGCCTCCTGCAGCTGCCCACAGACCTTGTCAAACTGGTGGCCAGTGGCGCAGATGATTCCCCATCAGGAAAATTTGTCGCAGTCCTTGCAGGAGCAGGATTCACCTTGCTTTATGTCTCTCTGGGGCGTGAGATGGAAGTCATTGATGAGCTTGAGCGCTTGTAGATACGTTCAAGCTGGCAGCCATGGTGTTCTGTTGCATGAATGTACTTGTTTCTCTTGGTGTGGGATCAGGTCTTAAGAAAGAACATGGCTTGCACAAATAGATGTGTACGTGCCTGTGTACTAAAGTGTGCCGTGCATGCACGTGTGGGTTCCATGTGAGGTGGATGAGTAGCCTGGACTTGCTTTGCCTCGTGCATGTTGTGGCAGCTTAATGATGATCATGATGGAATCACAGCTGTTCTAGATTCAGGTTGAAAGCTATTTAAAACCAGGAGTGCCAAACTTGGCTGCAAGACAACCGTGCCAGCATGCATGTGACACATATGTGACTTCGACTGGGAACTAGCTGGAAAAGGCCTGACATCATCTCGCAAAATATTCAAGCATCAAAAGAATAACAGCACATGTTGCATGTCGCACTGTGGGCTCTTCACAAATCCTTTGATAGCGTCTCAGACTATCATCTTGATACACTGGTACATTGGCAACAAGTGGTGCTCACATTGCTGAGATATCTATTGAGGTGGAAGGTTCAAGAACTTGCAACATCACACAATGCAGTGGACAGGCAAAACTTTTGCCAGACTCAATCCTGCATGCACCCTGTGGACCGCTACTAACCCCCTCACCCCATTTCCTCCTTTCTGCACTGGCAGTGCGTTCATATGCCTGTCAGCAGGCTTACCATCACAGGGATCGCATCAGCCATTTACAGCACAATACGACAATGACCTGTTCCTTGCCAAACTCACAGCGGCCTCAGAAGGCATTGTCCACGGCGGGTGGGGTGCTGGACAGGAAGCCCCATGTGCCGGCAGCTGCCGCCAGGCTCCAGACGCCGATGACATAAGGCATCCAAGGTCCCGAGCTGCAGGGCGTCCACCAGGGGGCAAGTGTCAGCACATGCGCGAGGCCGATGAAGGATAGGCCCAGGTTGAGCGTCTTGAATGCCGGCGCCGCCAGCTGCCGCTTGTCTGCCGCCTCCTGCGTAGGGGAATTTAGGGGTGGGGTGTTAGCTGCAGCGGCTGGTGAAAGGGAGGCAGCCGGGGGACTCAGAGGCCAAAAGAAGCAACAGCCACTGGGGACGCCCCAGTGCAGTGGTAATTGGTGCCCTGTTGCTGTTCACTGACCCAGGACTGCGACAGAGCATCCACCGCCGCTGAACTGGGACACACCCAGTCCATGTATGTCTGAAAGGATCACTGCATTTCGTTCGCAAGCATGCAGGCTAAGTGTTCCGCATTGAGTGTTTGTATTTGTTGCAGAAATTCATTGCCATGATGTTGCAGCTGCCAATGTGAGCAGATGGACCATCAACAGCTTTAATGCCACCAACAACCGACCCATGGGCTTGCATGCATTCGTACCTATAGCCACTGTAACTTTTGCATGCATGCTTTGTTCCAAGCATGCATGACAGGTTGCGGCGCAGACCTTGAGGGAAAAGGTCCAGGCCGGCAGCATGAGCGCGGCGGCGCCGATGGCCTGCCACAGCAGGATGCATTCAGGGCTCTTGGCGTACGTCAGCACTCCAGTCAGCGTCGCCTCAGGCCGCACCAGGTACCCCGCAGCCGCCCCGAAGAACGCCACAGTCAGCATCGAGTACACCGCGCTCTTCACCCCCGTTATGTGCAGCAGCCGCCTGATGTCCACCACAAAGTTCTGCACGCAGCACCCGCTGTCAGCTCAACTTCGGACCCGTGCGGTTCATTTTTCCGGCGGCTGGGACCCTTCTCATCTTCCAATATACTCTGCCATTCCAAGCAAGCACCTCCCGACCTTCTTCCCGGTGACACCGGCAAGAATGACCCGAAATGCAAGCAGGGGAGGGGGTACTACTAATGCGGCCACTTGATCTCTTTATTCAATGCCATTCTTGGAAAATATCCAAGCTTGCGGGCACTGGCATGAAGAATGTGCCGAATGACACTCCAAGGATAATGGCAATGGCAACATCTCTGCTAATGATCACAAGATTGGAATACACCCCCGACACACGCCTGCTGCGGAGGAGATTGGAATGAAGGAGACTTGCCTTGAGCAGGTCGACGGGCTGCAGGTAGTGGCCGGAGGTGAGGGCGTAGAACCAGGCGGGGATGGTGGCGGCCGCGCTGCACTCTGCCGAGCCGATGACCAGGGCCCAGGGGCGCAGCAGCTCAAGGTTGGCGCTCATGACTGCCATGAGCGCTGCAGAGAAGGTGATGAGGCCCAGGTTGAGGCGCTGGTACACCGGCTTGTGCAGCTCCATCCGCTCTGCGCCCCCCTGCATGGCACACCGAGCAATACCGTCACCCTTGTCTGTTAATTGTTGCATCCTGTTCCTGCAAGAGGCAAGGTGCATCTGGAGACAAGCTGCAGGCGTGTGTCCTTGAAGATTCTTAGTTTGAGTCTTTAATTGAAGATGCTAGCACTGCCATGCATTGGAGATACTGTGCCATTGGATGGACGCATTTCTCTTATGTTCCTGTGAACAGATGGCTTCTTCCTTTTCTGGCCAAGACGATCTCATGTTTGACCTCCTGGCATCAGCAAGTGGGAGAGGATGTCCATCCAGCAGCAAAAGCTGCCTGGTAGATTTCAGAAAAGTATGAGTTGGAGCAAATCGGTCACCTTGAGGGCCCAGCAGGCGACAGCGGCTGCCAGGTAGCCTGTGCCCATCAGCTTGTGCAGAGGGATCTGCAGCACATTCAGGGGGTACGCAGTGGAGGCAAAGATCAGGTCCGCTGCCTGTGAAGACCAAAAAGCATACGTGAGAAGGATTTGCAGCTTCCTGTTACGACCTGTTACCAAATCATTGTGATAGGTGCACCTCAAATACAGGCACCTTGAGAGCAAGTGCGATTGATGGGGCTTACCACTTCAGGAGACACAAAGTGGGGCAGCGCAAGGATGACCTGCATTGCAGCAAGGGTGGCATAGACAGGCTTAGCCTCTGCTGGAGTCACTGGATAGTCTGCGCAAGCACAGAAAGCTGAGACGTTGGCAAGCAAAGAGAATTGAAAATGAAAGGAAAGGTGGTTTGGGAAGGCAGAACTCCTGCCAATTGGCTCTGCATCCTCTCTCTTGGCGGAAATATGGAAATTTCGCTGGTGCGTCCGCCTGCTGGGTGTCGTCAGCAGGCTGGTGCCAGTGAACGCTGCATCACCAGTGAGATACTGATGCGCTTGAAGCCTGGGGAATGTGGCCTGCGACTTCCACAGAGAGATGACTAATAGGTATTTCTTCGCGTTGGAATCAGATACTGAAAGCTTGGAAATGGCAGTCAAGGCAAGAACTGCACTCGATGCATTGCGTTCTGTGCTTCGTCATCATCTATATTGGATGAAAATGTAGGACGCTGGTTATGTACGACGATGCGCACGGCTTTGTAATATTACCTGCTTATTGAAACATCTCTTTGCTTCTTTTCGATCGACGTGCACGCTTGCAGATGAGGCTGGCAGGCTTGCAGCAGCTAATCGGGAAGCTCCGCAGGCGGGCCTGAGCGAGCTGCCCTGTAGTGCAGTCACCTGGCCAGCACTGATCGACTTGCTTGAAAGCATGGCGGCAGCTCGTCTGAGAAAAGCGTGCATCTTGCAGCTATCCGTCCTGAAACAGCGCTGGGCCAAAAATAGCTGCTCCTTAGGGGATTCGCATTGTCGACACCCTCGCTATTCCATCAGTGACCCCCATAGGGCATGCATGCCCTTGCTTGAGCTGCTCAAGTTGAGCAATTAGAAGCCTTGCCATGGTCATAAAATTGCCATATAAAATATCTGTAGGCTCAAAACACATTCCTACAGTATTGGAACGGGCAGTCTGCGAATGCTCACAAGCACAAGACTCGTCTTCATCGTGTATCATGCAGATTTCCCCAATCCTTGCTACGTTGTGATCATGATGAACTCCTGCCACAGAGGTCCTTTTATGGACAGTGACACAAGAGTTGTCCACTCCTTGGCGCTTTTAAAGCCAACCTGGTCATTCAAGAGTCACTTAAAACTGTTGATGCAAGCTCAGGCCTACACACAAAACTTCTAAGACGCTACAACTTCAGCATGCAAGACAACCCTTCTATCCAACTTCTGGCTCACAGACATTCTGGCTCAGATGGGTCCTGGCTTGTTGACCGGAGCACTGTAGGTGCCCACAGCAAAGGCGGCTGCCCAGGTGCCCAGGACATAGGGCATGACTGGCCCAGAGTAGCCATGCAGCCACCAGGGAGCCAGCACCACCAGGTGGGCCAGTCCAGTCAGCGCCAGACCCATGTTCAGGTCCACGAACTGCGGCTTGTTCAGCACTCCCTCATCCGCAGCTTCCTGGCAGCCGCACAGAAAGACTCACTTGACAGTCCAGTTATGCTGAAATGAAAATTTTCTCAAGCTATCCAGCACACATGTCTCCCCTGGGGTGAGGAATGCAACTGGGGTGCAGAGTCCGTCGTTCTGCTGCCCCCAATATCTCGGGCTATTGACTCAAGAGTCAACACTTCACTTTGGTAAGTCAAGATATGCAGCAGACCATGCTCATGTATAAGAGCAAGGGATTGCGAGTTTTTGATGCTGGCAAGACAGCACCTGCATTCTCCAGACAGCATTGTGCGCACAAATGACCTCACACTCACGGATGGGCAGCAAGAGCAGCACCGTCCACCCCATTTCTGGGTATTACCCTTCCGGCATTTGTCTAATACTTTCAATGCAGCAGCACACAGCGCTCGATGGCAATATTCCAATCATGACAATGACTGCCATATTTCTGGTGAGTTACCTTGAGGTTGTATGTCCAGGTGGGCAGCATGAGCAGCGCAGCGCCGAGGGAACGCCACAGCATGACAGCCTCCGGCCCCTTGGCGTACGGCAGCACATTGTGCAGGCTTTCCTCCGGCGCGATCACATAGCCGGCACCGGCCCCCAGAATTGCCACTGTCAGCGCTGAGTAAGCGGCGCTCTTCGCCCCCCGCACCTGCATCAGGTTTCCCATGTCGCGCATAATGCCCTGCAGCCAAACGTCACACGCTCACAAATCAGTCTGACCAGCATTCTCAGGATGTAAGGCTCTTCGAAAGTTTCGTTGTAATGCCTAATATATTTGCATGGGGTTCTCATGAATGTGTTTGTAAATGTGGGTTCCATGCAGCTTAAATTTGTGTTGATTAAAGTATCCTGGCGATCACATTTCTGCGCCTTTTCTCAGCATGTTACAATTGCTTTCAGCCATCTCTTCCTGCCATCGACACAGCTCTTGATTGCTGTCACCACTGCAGCACCAGCATCGCAGAAGTGCTGGCACTATATTGAAGAAGACAGAGAGGATCACCTCGGCAATGGGTCCAGGATGCAGCCCGTGCCGAGAGGTCTGGGAGTAGTAGAATGCCGGGACAGCGGCAGTGATGCCGGCCACGGCGGCGGCTGTGAGCGCAGCGGCCGGGCGCAGCATTTCCCAGTGAGTTGCACTGACGCCCAGAGTTGCCACCGCGAAGAAGCTCAGGCCCAGGTTCAGGCGCTGGTACTCCGGCCTGTGCAGCTGCCTGTTGTCCGCACCGCCCTGCTCACAGAACCTCCAATCATGTCGCATTCTTGTGCTTGTTAGGCCGCCCGATGCTGAGAAGCTGTTCGCCAAACTGGGGACGCCAGAAAATGGCCTGCCCAAATGTGATTCGAGATGCAGATTGGGGAGCTTGACACCCCCAGAAGCCAATGAAAAGTGGGGAATTAGTACGGTCTGGTCAACCAAGGCCTGCATTCTGACCATCTCTAGCTGCATGGTTTCTAGTCCTAGGGACCAGGTGAGTCAGTCACGACCCAAATTTCCAGTGTGCAAATTGTTCGCAACAGGCTTGCAAGCACAGCAGGGCACAATTACACGCAGCAAATGGGCTGCTCCTGCTGGCATGGCATGTGCAATAGACGTACATTGAATTTGAGCAATAATTCCAGTTCTGCATCGTATAACAGCACCGGATCATTGCATTTCAAGGCATGTGCCCTCAGCAGGATGGGCAGAGCTGAATCAGTGGTCAGGACATTGTTGAACATTGGATGTCAGTTGTGGGCAGCTTGAAATGCATGGGTAGCTTGCTTACCCTCAGCACTCGGGCGGTCCATGCAGCGGCAAGGTGGCCAGCGCCCAGCAGCCGGTGCAGGGGGGACAGGGCCGCGTCGTAGGGGCAGATTGGAGACGCAAAGATGAACTCTGCCGCCTGCGGAATTGAATACTCAGTGTTCACGAGAACATGCTGCCCCTGCCTAGAAGGCAAGATAAGTCTGCACACAGACTGCAGGTAAAAGCTGCCACATGTCCTACCCCTTGTTGCAACGGGATCCAAGTAAGACCCCACCAACCATGATCCACACTTGCACCAGTGAAATCCCAGCGAGCTTGCATGGGGTAGGAGCAGGCAAGATTGCTGGCATTCATTCATCTACGCTGGTAGTGGAGGGTTCATTGCATAAGGAACAGCTGTGTGACGAAGGGAGGGAGGGTGCACAGTGGCTCACCATGTGAGGAAACGCCAGGTGGGCCAAGCCCAGAGCACCATGCATGCCTGACAGAGCTGCAAATGCTGATCTTGCGACACCTGGTGAGACAGCTTCGCCTGTCACCAGAAGGCCGCATTTCACTGATCTGAAACAGGGATAATTAATTAGATGCAGATCTTTGTGTTGATAAAGCAAGGTGTGAGTTGTTTCCGCGCGCACCAATTGTCTCTGCAGTGGCCTGGCTGGTATCCTCTGCTTTGCGCTTCAGGGACTCAGCTGTTTCATGTGCCTTCTCCTGTGCTGCATCCTTCGTCTCCTTGGTTTTATTTTTCATCTCTTCTGCTTTCTCCTTGGTGGTCTCAGCTGCCTGTGCAGCTTTCTCTCTGACTGCATCAAGAGTCTCCTTGCCTGTCTCCTTGGTTTTGTCTTTCATTTGCTCCGCTGTCTGCTTGGTTGCATGAGCTGTCTGGGCCAACCTATCTCTGGCTGCCTCAAGAGTCTCTTTGCCTGCCTCCTTGGCTCCCTCAGCTGTCTGCTTGGTGGCCTCAGCTGCCTGTCCAGCTTTCTCTCTGGCTGCGTCAAAAGTTTTCTTGCCGGTCTCCTTGGCCCCCTCGGCTTTCTGCTTGGTGGCCTCAGCTGCCTGTCCAGCTTTCTCTCTGGCTGCATCAACAGTATCTTTGCCCGCCTCCTTGGCTCCCTCAGCTTTCTGCTTGGTGGTCTCAGCCGCCTGTTCAGCTTTCTCTCTGGCTGCATTCAGCGTTTCTTTGGTTGTGTCCTTGACTGTGCCACCCGATGTCCTTGCCTCCTCCTTTGCGGCATCCATGGCCTCTTTCGTGGCCTCTTGGGCTGCGCCAGCTGCCTCTTTTGCTTTTTCGCGAGCGGCATCCGCCTTCTCCCTCTCGTTGCTGCCAAAGCTTGCAGCAGCGAAGCCCCTCTGCAAGTTCACCTGAACACCACAGAGCAGCGTCACGAGAGACACATGCCTTGAGGATGAAAGAAGAGGGTGAAAGAAGAGTGTCCACGTGAACAGTCAAAGTATATTCATCAAGAAACACGACTCACTCATCTGATGCGTGTGTCCCTGCCACTTGATCTCGATGGCGAATACATCCGGGCATGCATCGGGAACAATCATTGAAGAAGACCAGCTGGCAATCTCACCTTCAATGTGCTGCGAGCTGGATTGTGTCTTGTGTCAGGTATTCGCAGCCCAGACAACGCGTGTCTGCCGGGAACGATGACTATGCTCCTAGAAGGACCGAGCGCACATCTGGCAGCAGGAGCAGCGAAGCAGCTCGAGTTTCGGCCCAAGACGTGCGTTTCACACGCCATCTCGCTTGCTACTCTCTTTATGCACATCAACATCTCGCCTGCCTTTCAACAACCATCAAATCGTCAATCTTTCCAGACGACTAAATTTAGACATCCCAAGGTGACAATTAGTTGCCTGCCACAAGGAATCCCCCATCAAACTGCCTTTGCCTTGATCCATGACTCACTGCCAAGCAGCCCTTTTACTTACAAGTTCCAAGCCCACATTATTAGATTCTAAATTCTGGAACATTTTACAGTGCTGCCACAGCCTGGAGCCCCTCCTTCGAGGACAACCCACCAGTGTAGTACCAAGAAGCCAAGGCAACACCGGCTGCAGCAGCTCAGCCTGCATGGCCATGGGGTCCAGCACAATCAAGCTTGCATCTTGAACTGGCCAGGATGAGAGATAATTCCTACAAGGCGTTTTGAGTCTCCATCAAGTTCAAAAGGATGAAAAATAACCAAACTTTCAAAGTTCCCGTGGTCAACATCCCAAATTTGTGCTGCTAGCAATGCTGACCCTCTGAAGTTCGCTGAGAAGCAGAGTAGTATTGCTTCTGAAACCTGCAAGTTATTGTACATGAAAATACATACCAAAATGAGCTCCAGAGTTTCTATGCATTCCTGGTGGAAGCCACACCAACGCAGCGTTGCACAGATTGTCAGTGCCTTCACAGTGTTGCTATGAAGCTTGAGCTACCCCTGTTGCGGTTCGCACATCCAGGTAGGGCACAATGACATGCTGTTGAAACCTGCGCGCATGCAAAGTCATTGTCAGCAGCAGAGAGGGGAGTTGATCTACTGGGAGCTTGCCAAAAGGCTGGTGAGGGTCTGAGCCTAGCAGGGGACTCGGAAAATTAATCTTGTTTGGAGTGCCCTCAGAGTGGGCAGCACACCAGTCCAGCGAGATGTGCATGTGTCCTCCAGCAACCTCCTTGAATTCTAGCCGTCCTTTCTCGTCCAAAGTCTTCAGCCCTATCCAGTCCTCCTGCAGCCAGGTCCCAAATGCATGTCACAAATTGCAGCTTCGCATCACAAAGTGCTCCTGCTAGTCGACCCTCCAGACCAACGAGCAAAACCCACGAATGTGCGCAGCATTGCCAGACACGGCTGACTCCGTTGAAGGTCAACAGGTGCAGCAACACTACAAGCATCTCTCTGTCTAGTTTGAAGGTGCAGTCACCTGATAGAGGGCAGTCTGCTGCATGGTCAGCAGCTGGGTGCCGTTGTAGAAGCCAAACCAGGCTGACTCGCGAGGCACAATGGTGATGTCCTCAGTAAACCGGAACATGACAAATCGTTGCAGCGATGCCAGATTCTCCTTGTACACTGGGTTCTTGGCAGGCCTGTCATTGTTGATGTCCGCCAGAAAGATGTTGTGCTTCTCATATTGGCTCAGCGCATAAGGATCCTGCAGCACAAGTAAGGCTTCTACATGTCCTCTGCTGCTTGTGTCTCAGAGCCTGAGCAAGAAAGATATCCTATGCTTATCCTGTTCAAGCTGTCATTCTGTGAACCCGCAATGAAACACCTAGGCACGCCTGCCATAGTGCATGAACCAGTGCATGGAAGTACACGAGAATGAGCGCATGAACAAAGGAGGAGATTCCAGCACCTTGAAGTACTGCGCCTGAACCAGGCGATCCCGGATGAAGGGCAGGTAGGCGCCAAAGCCCAGCAGGCGCTGCATGGCAGAGCACACCAGCGAGGGAGTCACATTGAAGCTGGGATTCCAGCAGTCCGGCACATTCATGACCCCCTGGTGCTGGCCCCCCATTGTGATGAGCGTGTGCATTTTGGGGCCGATGTGCTGACAGCGCTCTGCCACTGCTCTCATGAATTGCCCACCTGCAATATCATGAGTTTACTTCAGGGACCTCTCAATGCATGCAGGCACATGATGCTAGTAATGTCTAGATAAGCAGGTGCTACTGCAAAAGAAGCCGAGCACGTTTGTGAGAGCCGCGCACCTTGGCTGAAACCAACTGCATTGTAACCACCAGCAAACTCTGGATGCGCAGCAATCGTCTCGCAAACCTGTGCAACCTGTCAACATTCCAATGGCAGAGTAAATTAGGGTGGAAAAGGCATGTGGCGCAACCTTGCAAGCTGATATGATGGGGACTGCCCTCGGACAGATTACTCCACCTGATCGTTGACATTGCCGAAGTAGGAACTCTCTGTATCAGCCAGTATGCCCTTTCCTGTGGCAATGCTGTGCACATATATACCTGCAACAAAGCATGAACATTGCCCAGGGATCCGAAGAACCCATACGCTCATCAAAATTGCAAGTACTGCGAACTATATCTCAATTGTATTTTCTGGAAGTCCAAGCAGACCTGGGACAGCTTCCTGTATTCTCTTTGTTACGGCTCCAATACTGTATTCGTTGCAGCATGAGTCGCCCATCCCGTGCCACAAGAGAACTGGAAGCTGCGTACCCGAGGAATCATCTGCAGCATAAAGATAAATTACTAGATTTTGATCTGATAGCTTCAGTCGTGCTGGGCACGTTGCAACTTGGAAGAGTAGATCGGGCACAGCAGTTTTCTTGGTGTCAGAGCTTCAGCACTGTTGATCGCTGAATCAGGACAGCTTTGTTGTATAAAATTCTACAGACGCACCTCGCATCCGAGAATCCAAGACCCTCGCAGAACCATGCAAGCTGAAGCCCAAACATAGTAAAATTATTGATCCCAGCGGACGCAACGTCATATTTACGATGCACAATTTTCATTAAGACTGAAAAGCATGTCTTTGATATACTGCGAAGGTAATGATGGGCGCAAATGAGGCAGCAACAGATGATTCCTCCAGAACTGAAGAATGGTGTGTGACACGTGGGACACATCCAAGGCCAGCGGTGCAGCTGATCATGAGGCAGCGCCACTTTTCATTTGTGCTAAATATTTTCAAACCCCACTTCTTTGGTCCATTTCAGCATGGCAGCTTCAAAAAGAGTGCTGCATATGCAGGCCCACTGGCGGAGAATTGCATACAAGTGTTGATCAAGATGTCAAGTCCACAGATCCACATCACTATCATGATCACAGCCTGGCCTGATGCCAAGAGCTTCACAGCCTGTGATCTGAGATCTGATCCACACTAGTGCTATGCGGTGTGCTACGGCCTTGCACAGCTAATTGAGGACATTAATATTAATTTGACAGATATTACACCTAGTGCAGCTGGTACTAGCCAGCGAAACACGCACGTGATCTCACACATGTCTCTCACGCGATGGCATCAAGGAGAACTACCAATATGCACTGTTCCTATGGTGCACCATGGCACATCGCTGTGCATGTGCGCACACTGTATTGCTGATCAACCCCGGCACGCTACCTTCAAGCGGAGCAGGGGGTACTAAAGAGTCTTTAGTGCCCCCTGAGCGGAGACTGTCAATCCAGAGGCACCCAGCAGGTGTGTGTGTACAAAGTGTCAAAGGGTTCTTGCTGGGCTTTCCTCAGACATACCCCACTGTACTAACCTATCCCATTCTTCTCCAAGTCAATCTGCCTACAACCTCACACTCTAGTGCTCTGCCACCAAGATGCGCGTTTTGGTACAGGATGAACTGCAAGGTGATTGAGCAGCACTAGCAGCAAATAGGGCAAGCCCCCTACCTACAGAAATAATACTCCACCGCTTTGTCGCCAATTGGCTAAATAGTCACCATCAAGAATACCAACAAACCCAGCCATTACAAGTGCAAAAAAACTAGAATGCGTTTGGAGATGGTGACACGCTGAGTCGCATTGAGAACCCTAACACCTGAGGCCACAAAACATGCCCCAGCAAATCCAAATGAAACAAGGACTGCAAAGGATGTACCCAGAACGACAGCACCACTCACAGGCCACCCCTCTAGAGTGGTCCAAATCCGTGCTGCTGCCTTCTATCTACTTCGTTCATCTAGCGCCCCTAGGGCTGCCAGTGGCAATCCCTGATGTACAATGACAAACGCAAGTTCATCTCCGATCCAAGAACACCAAAACGTTCTCCTCAGACACTGAAACACCACATTGACCGTAAGAACGGTCCAGCGTCGTTTTTTTGGTGGAATGCTTGCTTTCCTGCGTGTCTTGCACGCAGCTGGTACTTCTTTTAAAGAAGCCCTGCTGCATGTGAGTACGCGCCTCCAGAAAATATCCTTGAAGAGCGCTGTCTTGTCAAGCAATCACACAATTGTGCCAGAGCAACAGAGTTGCTCCTGTATCGTGCCATTGCTGGCTGACTTGACCAAAAATTCAACCGATGGGCTGCTCACAGATCCCCCACATGCCCAGAGACACGTCGATCCTCGAGCTCACCCACTTGCAGCCGGGTCAACTTTCTCTTGTGCAAGGTGCTGCATTCATCTACTCAGGGTCTTCCTCTCACAGCATGCCTGTCGGCAAATGACCCTTTCTTGACACAGCCAGGGGCTGCCATGAGGCCAATGCTCTGAAGAGCTGCCATTCCGGAGTCCAGCAGAGTCTCAAGTTCACCTCAGTCTCCGTGTGCTTGGTCCTGACTGGTCCCCAGATGGCGCGACTCACCCCCTCTGAGCTGCTCACAATGCCTGCGCGACTGACATGCTGTAGTGGGCCCACATGCCGCCTGTGCTGGGAGAGCACTCCTCAAAGTCTTCCAGCGACATCTGCATCAGGTCCTCATGCAGAGGGCCCGCTGCATCCAAATCCCTCGCCGTCATCTGCGCCAGACAATTTAAACAACGGTCAGAAGCAGCAAACACGGATGTACGGGCCAGCCGTCAGCTGCAACAGAAGAGATTTTTTAGAGCAGTACAGCAGCATACCCAAATCTGCAAAGATCTGCATTTTGTCAGTTTGGTGCAGATTTGGTCATCAGCACCAGCATTAGAAATACAGAAGCTAGCTATCAGCAGCTGCATATGAAAACTTTGAAGAGCGGTCAAGAGCAGGGAATCCAAAACTACAAGCCAGCCCTCATCATGTTGCAAGTTGTGTGTGGGACTGCCAAGAACTACAAGCAAAGGGCTGAGTTCCATGTGTGCAAGCACAGCATGATTTTTGCCACCCAGCAGGCAGAAGGCCGCCAGGGAAAAGGCAACCCAGGGGAGGGCCGTGTGGAAACTTCACGAATTGTTGAATTTTTACGTCACGTATAGGTTTGAAAGTTTGATTGGCCAGAAGCCTGATCCAGTCTCCCAGAGTCCTGCCCATAAAGAGTCATAAAGGGTCCCATCGTGACTAGAAATCCTGGGATCCATACTCTGCAAACCCGCGCTCAGCTGGCCTGATGGAGTTTTGCCGAACCTAAAAGAAGCATATGGAGATGCGGCCAGGGCTAGCACATCCATGTGAAGAACCCTCGAGAGGCACTGCGCACTCTGATGTACAGCAGACCAGAAGAAACGAACAGGAGCATTGTCCATAAAATAGCAGAAAAACAGGAACACAAATAAATTAGTATTAAAGAAGAAGGGGAAATGTAAAGGGGGAGAATTTGCCAAGCATCCTACCAAGATTAAAACGGGTAACAAAACTCACCATTTCTTCGGCGCCGCATTGCGCGCCGAGGGAGGATGACATCATTGCCATGATGCTGCCGGGGCAGATGATGTCAGCGCCATAGAACTCCAGACCGTAGAACGCGTCCGGCGGAGACATGCCATACACTGGCTCGTCAAACACCGGCAGCTCCTTATTCCGGAAGTCCAACTTGTCCATCTTGAATGAAGGCAGCTCCATCTTCTTGCCCGGCGGAGACTTCTGCAGGTGCACACGTGCCGGGTGCAATCAGGAATATCACTTTGGCAAGTTTTTATTCCAGCAACACCAGCCCAAATTGGTGTTCAGTCCGCGTTTTGCATCGCACTGTGAAGGGTCCTTGTCACCAGCCTTCACTAAGCAAAATTTCTGATGCCCGCACATCACATTGTGATCTACTGTGACACTCAGGTCCTCCAGCATCAGGCCTTCCTAATAGACTAGGCAATCCTCAGCAGCCTGCCAAAGCCGTATGGATCAAAGGCCGCACCGGGAGGGAGAAAGCAGCTGTAGTCTCCCTTGACCGCTTGCCCTTGCAGTCACTGTCTGCCTTCTCCTTGTCCTTCTTCGCCTTCCGCTCACTCTTGGGCTTGGCCTTGTTCTCGCCATCGCCATCAGAGTCAGGCTTCTTCTTCCTCCTGCTGTTTTGGCTGCGCACAGATCATGGCAAACGGGTCAGCTGGACGCCATTCGCACACCTATTGATGTGCTGCAGAACAGAGATAGGTAATTAACACGGTCACCGGGCAAAACACTTGGCTGACTAATCGGCACAACCAAGCAGAGAGCTCACTTGGGAACGGGGATGGGGGCTGCGCCGTCCAAGGGAAAGTTGCAGATGGCGTCATCCGCACGGATCTCCCTTGCTGCAGCGTCATACGCCCTTGCAGCCTGCAGATCCACAGTACTATATATTGCAAAAACTGCTGATGATACAAGGTTCCTTATGATGAATGCTTTGACTCCTTGGACACATGCTCCAAACACCGCTATTCTGCAATGTACAAAAAGTACCAATTGGTCACGCAAAGGTTGTTGGATAGCATTGAGGCCAGCACCGTTGGCATGTAAGCTAACAAAGAGGCTATGCTGCCAGCTACTGAATATAGAGTTACATGCAAATACTGCTATGTATGGATAGTCGGTTTCCACAGCGTTGACTGTCATGGACAGGAGGTTTGAGGTCTCGATCTGTGCAACGCATCGAGCCAGAACGCACATCTTCTGCTGTATCGAAGGTCCCCAGCCACTTGCGCTTGCTCTCCCGCGGATCCCTGATCTCAGCGGCCCACTTGCCCCATGGCCGTTGCCTGACGCCGCGGTACTTTGGAGCGTTGGGGTCGAAGCCCTTCGACTTGCCCGGACGCTCCTCACCAGAAGGATGGGGTGCTGTGCTTGCTGGGTCTGCAGGCTCCCCTGCCTCCTGCGAGGCAGCTGGCGAGTCCCCATCGTCCTGACAGCATGCCTCGTCTGCGTCGGACTCGTGCGTGTCCAAGCTGCTGCTGCCAGCCGGTAGAGATGCGGGCTGGGGTGTCTGGGGTGCAATCAGTGCAGTGCTGTCGGAAGCCGGCACTAGCTGGCCTGCCTCGGGCTGGGAACAACACAGCTCCGGCTTCACATCCTCTGAAGTGACTGAGGGGGGCGCTGACAGCTCTGAGAGCGCCTTCGTAAGCGCGGAAGCCGAGACCGGCTTGACGAGTAAGCTTTTCTGATCTGCCGCCGCCGGTGAATCATACATCGGCTGGGAACAGCAGGCATCCTGCTCCTGCCTGGTGTTGCTGATATCTGCCTGTGCGCTAGAGAACGGGCTGACGAGCTTGCCCGGGCCTTCCTCGCCCATGGCGGAAATCTTGCCTTGAGCGCTTCACCGGCAACCTCCAGAATTGATGCCCGTTCAACTTCTATTTCGTGCCTGATTGCTCCTGATCACGGCTTTCGATCCTTATAACGTGCCTCGGCTGGAGAGCGCCTATCTTCTTCGACTGCTCACCCCTGGAATGGCAAAAAACGTGCAATCACGATCGCCCAGAACGCACCAGCGCGGTAGGCAACGAAGGGACACCGATCCCTTGCGCATCCCTGTCCTAAGATTACATTGATCATTAAAGGGTTCAGATTGCGGAACAGTGGGCGACCGTAATGGAGCAACTGCCTTTACTAGATATTATCAGCGTTTACCTCCAAAACTTGCGAAACCCCAGGCGCACGCGATCTGAAGCCTGGACCTTAAACCGGATCGCCACTGCTTCACTGCGCTCCCAACAAAGCGCAAGCTGTGGCTCCCGGATTGCGATTACGCTGGAAAGGCTCTTCCCAAGGACTCTTTCGGGTACTGGGCTGCCAAATTTGGCTTGAAACCCGATCACCTCACATCAAATTTCCCCGGAAAAGGGCAGTGATAATCTTGAGATCAAGATCCCTGGAGATCCACGCAAGGAGATTTGCGCACCCAGCTCGCGCCAAAAAGAAAAGGCGAGAAAATATCTCAGCATGGTGCCACACTTTTCGTGGACCCACTGATCGAGGCCAAGACAGCCACTCATAGAAACGCTGAAACCATGGTGAAGACCCCATGGGGCCAAATTGCATGCCGATTTGTTGCTAGGCCCGGCCTGTTGGGCCAATGAAAGCGTGTACATGTGTCACAGTACGGTACGGTACCAGAGTCTCCTGGAGGAAGCCAGGATTCTGCAGGAAGGGCTGCCTCGCTTGTTGCTGGCAAACATAACGGTGTGCATGCTGGTAAAGCAACACGATCAGGAACAGAGATCTCCAGACCGCATACATATCACAACTATGCCATATGTGGCCATCATGGCCATGATGGCAGGCCTGGATTCCTCGGATTCCTCGGAGGCTCCTGGCAGGAGCAATGTAGATAACATGCATGACTCGAGTAGTATGGCTGATCATGATGTGGACATCTCTATTTGATCATAATATTATTTAAATTGCGGGAACTTGATACAATGTCCATCAATTCAGCGCATCGCCATGTCACAAACTGAACCCATCCAAATGCATTTACTGGCCTACTAGGTCTATAGTAGGATGGAAATCCAGGTAGGATACCTGGAAGGCCTGGATAGCCATCCGCCATCAGTGCCTGCAACTCTGACATGGCCTAACTTCACAGGTACATGCGTGTTAGTATAGCACATGCAGTTCACACCCTAAAGCTCAGGTGCGGTTGCACGTACTGGCAGCCTAGAACCACGGCATCCACCAGATGTACATGCAGCCCAGGTTCTCCTTGTCGGTGGCCTCTGCAATCAGCCTGTGCGCCTGGCCCTCCGCGCTCAGGGGCAGGCAAGGGATGCTGCGCACCCCCATCAGCGTCCCAGTCAACCTCCCTGCATGCCAGCATTTACAACCCTCAGCGCCTCCCTCCCTGAGAGAGTAGTTCATCCATACTGATCTGGTGCAGCGTGCGCAGTCAGTGCAGTACAAGCCAAATGGCGTGACCAGTAGCTTCACTTGTGGAATGATGACAACACCCGGTTATTGCGAGGCCTATCTTCTCCTTCTCTCGAGCCATCTTCTCCTTCTCTCGAGCCAACATAATGGCGATGTGGCAGGGGGTATCATCTTCGGAATCCGCACTGACAGAACACTGCGCGCTGGCGATAGTGCAGCAGGCGTTACAGTATATGTGCAGGGTTTGCACAGACAGAAGGTTCTGCAAAAAGGGCGCCGCAGCAAGTGTTCTCTCTGGGGGTGGCACAGACGGAAGATTGCGCAGAAAAGATGGAGTGTGCACCTTCGAGGGTGGCCAGGGCGTCCTTGGCCTGGGGGTTGTCCATCTCCTCGGCGGAGGAGCGCTGGTGTTTGCGCTGCGTCCACTCGCACAGCGGGTCGTGCACAAACGTCTCCATCACGCTCACCAGCGTGTCACGATGCTCCCTCAACACCTGCGCCATTAACCCGATGGAAAATACTAAGATCTTGGGTCACCGTTTCCCATGTCCACTTTCTCTCATGAGCGCTCTACCCCTTCAAAGCGTTCCTTCCGTGATGCATCACCGGGCAATGCAAGATTGATTCTAGCCTACTGTGATAACAAGCATGCAGCAGCTTCTTCTTCTTATCATTATTATTATTATTATTAACACACGCTTTTCCTGCCAAGAGGCAAGGTGCGTCCTGCAGACAAGCTGCAGTTAAAGGCTGCCACAATCCTACCCTTGTTGGACTCGCCAGATCCAAGTAAGACCCAATCAACCGTGGGCACGGTGCTCAGTATTTGTACCGGCCCCCGCCAGCCGGGACCGGGGCTTCTTATCATGTTACTTGAAATCACCAGCACTAATGCTGCATGGTCTACTTAAATGCTGTTTGTCAGCATTGAGAGCATTCTGCCAGTGTGGGATAAACAAGAGGGCTGCAACGCTGTTCGGGGACACTCTTTCTTTCAGCATGTCAGGGGTGGTGGGAGGTTTTTAATGCCGTGCCTGCAGGGTGATCTCGCAGGACTTTCTGAAGACGCCCTCATAGCCCGACACGCCAAAGCCATCTATCAAATTCTGGGTCAGCCGGAAGGGCACCATCTCTGGCACCTCCAGGATGAGGCCCTGCACCGTGGCAGCCAATATCTGTCAAAAAGGGCAGTTTTTTCATGCTGAGAGCTGAGTTGACATGCTTGTGCCGTACTGTACCTTTTTCACTGTCAGCCAAATGACCCATTATGTCCAGCACAAGCAGCACCAGAAACATTGACGGCAATTGCCTGTACGGATTTCAGCAACATATCTGCAGCTTCACTGGCACGCGGGCATGTCTGCGGCAAGCTTTAATACTTGATTAGAATGGAAGTTGCAGCAAGGCTTACCCTGTCAAACAGGCAGGAGAAGTCAACGTGCACCACGTCCCCAGAGGAGGCATCAATCAGGATGTTCTCGCCATGCCGGTCGCCCAGGCCCACAATGTGCCCCACCTGCTCAAATGGCAGGATGCTCATCATGAAAACTCAACGACTTGCACCTCCCAGGCGACAGACAATGCTGGACCTTCTCAGTACGGCATTTGCTTGCAACAGCAATTTATATTACCTTCCCTAAGGAGCTGCAAGGAGGAGCATGCTATGTAAACCCAAAGCAACCCCTTGCTGTGTATTGGCCACTGCCGACATGCAGCAGCAAAGAGTGGCCCAGCCAAAGTTCACCCTAATGAATGAAGAAGCTCACTGTGGCAAAACGAAAGCACACACCATGGACCAGACGGCGTTGGTGCGGGTAAATGCGAGGCGCGCATTGTGCCATGCGGCCGGCTCGCTCCACTTGGAGAGCAGCCAGCGGTGCAGCCGCGGAGGGAACACATGCAGAACCTTGTCCAGCAGCTCGCTGCGCCGCTTGCCCTGTGAACACAATTCCAACGCTCAGTCCCAACTATTTGTCATGCTCTTTCAATGCATGCTGAAATGGGATACAAACACAAAGGCTGATAGCACGCATTAACTATACACTTGCAGACCAGGTCGCAGGCAAAGGTTGGCACCTCTACAGACACTGTACAAGCCAATGCAACGCAGAAGGGCAGGATATTATCTGAAAGCAGGAAATTCAGCTTCTTTCGATATCAAGCGGCCTGAGGGGCGCAAGACGGAGGTGGAGAGTGGAGCAGGCGAGAAGGAGGCCAAGGGGCTCACAGAGAAGTTCTTGTAGGTGCTGTGGACGCTGGCGAGCGTGGACTTCATGTCGGTGAGCCCCTCTGCCGCGTAGACCTCGGTGCACACATTGCGCAGCGTCACCGTCTGGGGCACCCACTCAATGAAGCCGCAGTCCTCCGACAGAGGCACCACTGCAAACCTGTACGGCAACCGTTTATATTCAACACCAAGAAGACGGACCCTTCAGGTCATGCGCGTCATGATTCAACTACCCTGAGCAGACAATTTCCACGTGACAATCCATGCGGCCATGTGTGGGGCCATCCCCTTGTTTGAGGTGCATTCCATGTATCCCTCAAGTCAATATGGTGCAGACTTGATTGGACATGCCCAACACTGAGGGACTGAATTTGCGCCCAAACTTACTTCATCAACGTGCTGACCCTCATTTCTGGGGTAGCCCTCAGGCTGGATACAGGCAACAGGCAATTGAAGAAGCACGGCCCATTTCCACCAAGGAGCTGCCCCTCGTCAGCTGCCATGCAACCGTGGAACTGACATACGACTGGATTGGTCTAAAAGGGTGCAGTAGAGCGGAGGGTCTGTGCAGCGTGCCTGCGGAGGTAGAGGTTCCTTCTGCGGGAGGAGGGTTCGCGCGCGAAGAGGCGATTGATGACTCCGGCCACCTCCATCATGCGGTGGTCCTTGCGCAGGTCGTCCTTGGGCTTGGCCAGGAACGTGTATTGCCGCCCGTCGCTGCCTATTAGCGTTATCTGCACGCAGCAAGAACCCAGATCGACATCACTTTCAATGGTTAAAATAGGAGCGTTTAAGGAGATACTGAAGACCCCCTCCATTCTGCTGGCACAGAGTAGAATAGCAGGAAGAGCAGGACACAGCACGTGGCCAAGGGTCGTCCTCGCCCAGTTGCATCTGCAGCTGAGATTTGTGGCAAGCCATGCTGACGGTTGCAGTGAAGTGCTGCCAAATTCACCCTTGTTTGACTCGCCAACTCCCAGAAAGAGCCATTCAGAGAATGCGCACAGGTAACTGTATCATGGCAGTTCATGCGGACGGCATGCAGTTGCACGCGATTGGTGAGTTCCACTGCCCAGCCAACATCACTTCAGGCATGTCTGGAGTGTTGCCGACTTCAGCTGCATCCTCAAGGTAAGACAGTGAACCTGCGTGCAAGAATGGATGGAGGCAGGCACATCAGTGTTGACACGTGTCCATGGCAAGGTTGCGGCAAGGTGGGAAGACATAGAATATTTTCTGGGGGGGCACCACACCTTCTTTGGGCGCTGCAGGGATGACATGATGACGACCTCGTCCTTGATGCCGGAGATGGTGATGACTTGGCCAAAGGGGTTGTGAGCCTTCTCGGTCAGGCCGCTGGCGGGGAGTGTCAGAGTGAGGCCACCGGTTGTGGGCACCATCACATCCAGGGGCATCATGCGCATGAGCACGCTGAACTCCTTCCTGGCCGACATGCTCCGCGCCCTGCACACAAAATCCCAGATGTACTTTCAGTTGCCATGCAAAGACTTATGCACAACTTGTCTGTCTATATCACTATGCCTGTCCCGCTCTTTACTTATTGGAACTAGTCGCCAGGGGACTGCATTGCAGACATGGACTTTTGCCAGGACCTTCTCTTGTAAACAAGTGAGGTGCACGGCGTCACAGAGGGATTAATGCCCATCGACATACTGAAGATAGCCGACACGCTAGAATTTGTGTGGCCACAAGAGGAATGTATTGGAAGAAGATGAAGGCAGGCTTGAAGGAAGACAGGCGCGCCTCTTGTCCGGGCCGGGGTGATTGCAGAGGCGGATGAATTGGTCGGCCACCTCTGCAAACTGGTGGAAGAGGCGCTGCGCGGCCTCGCTGGCCTCGTGTTTTTTGGCGGAGCTGAGGATGGAGGCGGCCGCGTCCTGCCGCGCGTACACCGTGCTCTTGCTCACCGACGCCAGCGCCCACAGCGTCTGCACCGCCGCACACATACGTCACAGGCGTCGACTTCAAATTCAAAAAAATAAATTCTATCACTCCGCCACGACTCCTGATGAGTGATGGTGAGCATGCCGACGCTGTGGGCCAAGGCGTCGGTGAGCACGGCGTATCATTGCAGAGAATTTGCTGCAGGACAAGGGCACTTTTAGCGCAGTAGATATTCGGTGTCGTTGCTCTGGGGTGCCCTCCAGCTGGACACACTTCAGGATGAAATTTTGACCGGGTATAAATGCCCATTACAGTGCTCCCTCCACTGTGCTGGAGTACCCCGACCAATACAACATCATGACGTGCTCCTGTTGCTCTGTCCAGATTGACAGGGGTCAACCTTCCTGTCCCTCTGGACAAAGAATGGGTTGTCAGCAAGCATCCCTGCTTTGCATGGGCTGTAAAAGCGCTGGAAAGATGAGAAGCATGCCTGGTGGGGGTAGGTTGAGGTGACGCGGGTAAGGATGTGTTGGGTGATGCGCTGGGTCTCCAGGTGGGGGTGGCAGATGCGCGAGATGAGCTGCGGCAGCGCCACCATCCACACATACAGCGGCAGCGCCTTGGAGAATCCCTGCATCACGTTTATCACCTCGCTGCGCGCCGACCGCTCCTGCGCAGCCCCACAACATGCGCTGTCAGATGTTTTGGTTTCAAATATGGACTCACTAACTACCATGGCTGTGAACGCACGGTGGAGAGAACTTCAGCCGACACCCATCAGTCACACTCTCAACAGCAAGAACCTCTCAACTATGGTGGAGGGTGGTTCAGCACAGACTCATCAGCAAGAGACTCTCAGATATGGCGGTGAGTGGTGCAGCAGTACCACTCACTCAGCAGAGACCCATAGTAACAACAACGTAGAGATAGACTGCTCTCGTGTTCCCTCTCGGAGGCTTTATTCGACAAGACAGAGGAAAATCATTGTAATATCATTGCATGGGATCTACTTCCTGCCGTTGACCACATGGAAGAGAGGAAGCACCCGATTGTCAGCGTGCTTGACATTGGCGTAGCAGTAGTCGCCGTACTCGAACCAGATGGTGAGCATGCGCGGCAGCGACTGGTAGATGTTGCGGTTGCCAAACTGCACAGCGCGCCCGTAGTTGCGCAGAACCTCCGGTAGAATCTCCATGAAGGGCTGGTCCTCCCCAAGAGCGATCCTGCATAAAAGCACTCACGATTGATCCATGTAATTTGGATAAGACTATTGAGAGGTTCCCAGCCCCTGCTGACGCTGCTGGCACTGGCTCCTGGCTGCTGGCATCGCCTCCTCATTCCGTACTGCGGCAAAATTCATGAGCACCTGAGCCCTATGACCACTGCCATTTTGATGCCTGCTGCAAAATTCCCCGGCATTTGTGCTGTGCATGGCAACTTTGGTGAGAGCGCTCAGTAAGCTTAAGCGCCCAGAAGCCCCCAGAGGTCCCTTAGAAGAACATTATTAGAGGCAAAAACAAATACCAGGGGTGGCGTGCCTGGCCTTGTTGTTGAGGCGGTCGATCTTGGCGCTGGCGTCCGGGTGGTACTCCTCGCCGGCGGCCACGGCGGCGGCCCGGGCGCGGGCGGCTTCCTCAGCGGCGCGCTTGCGTGCGTCTCTGAGGCGTTCCTGGCGCTCTCGTGCGTCGCGCATGTGCTGGTCGAGGTACTTGGCGTACGCAAAGTAGCCCTCCTCCGCGCGCGTGTCCAGTGCTACCGCCTGCTCAAACAGCCCTGTGCGCAGCCCAGGCAGCCGTATCTAACTTCCTTGTTTGTACGCGTCAATCCCCAGAATTCGCGCAAAGGCTGGCTGGTGCTCTGTGCACCCTCCTTTGGCAGCTGGCCTTGCCTCACCTCTGCTTGATGGCAAAATAATCAGACATTTTGATTGTGGTGGTGAAAACGGGGCCAAGCCCCAAACATCACACTGCGATGTGCTGATCGACAGGCAAAACAGTCAATCAGCCAAAAAGCGCGGCAGGGCAGTCGGGCACATTGAAAAAATGGCAGACAGTCTGAAACGCGCAAGAAGTACGAGCTGGGATCCTGGGAGCTTACCTGCGATGTCTGCGCGCACGCCCTGGCCGGTGGTGGCGGTCCAGCAGGCCAGCTGCAGCACCAGCTCTGCGCCGTTCTGCCTCACGCTCGGGCTCAGCTGCGAGCTGCGCCCTCCAGGACCCACATCCATCTGGTCAATCACCTGCGCAGCATGCAAAAAGTTCAGCCTAATAAATTGGCAGATAGCTGCCAGAGCCAGCCTCGATACGCAGCACATGTGCAGCCGTTCCACACAAAACACTGATTTGCTGCAACATCTGCACTCGTAACCACAAGTGAAGTCTGCTGAAACCCGATGCAGACCGGGACAGCCTAGATGGTTGCTCCGCAAGCATCTGTGAAATCAGATCCTGAAGCCCCTTCAACCACCGAACGATCACTCTGCAACACATCTGCATTTCATGGCGCTTGGAAGTCACAGGCCCTTCAAGCTCTTGTGTTGCACTGAAACGCAGCCTGGGACAGATAGCGTCGCCTGAAACCTAGAGAAAGAGCGCAGTAGCACCTCCTTGAGCTTGAGGATGGCGTCGTGCTGCTGGTCGCGGTCCCACAGCAGCCGCGCGCGCTCCAGGGCCGCCCCGGTCACGCCGCGCGCGAGCGCCTCGAGCGTGGCAGTGCCGGCCGCCTCGTTGTGGCCGCTGATGCGGCAGAGCTGCGCATGCTGAAGCCAGCACGTGCCGGCCTCTGTCTCCTCGCCCGCCAGCACCGCCAGCTGCCGTCGCAGCGCCAGGATTGGCTCCTGCACCACCCCCCAGCCACCCCATGTCAGACATCAACTACGGGCCTTGGGACCCACTTATCAAATACGAACACAATATGGTTTGAGCACAGATTCCAAAGTCCAGAGTCTCGGACTTACATTTCTTTCCTTGACATTGGGCTCGCAAAAGCATCAAGCGCACCAGGAGGAATAAATGACAATTTTACATTTGCATCATATCAGAGGCTCCCGGAGAGTTCCATCCAAGCACGTGAAGGAGACCAGGTGGGAAGTGATGCCTGCAACCAGATGAAGGTGCGCACCTGGGTGGCGAGGGAGGACTGGGTGATGCGCAGCCGCTCGTCCCAGCGCAGCACGCGCTGGCGCTCAATGGGGCCGAGGGATCCGCGCGCGGCCAACTGAGCCGCGTCGCTCGCCTCGTGCAGCATGTGCAGGCGCACCAGGTGCGGGTAGGCGCGTGAGTAGCTCTCCATCGACGCCGCGCTCAGCCGGCCCATCACCTCGCCCGCCGCCTCGCCCAGCTGACGCTTCACGCCCTCCGTGTCCCTGCAGTATATGCCCCAATCACCTGTCACTTTTTCCTCTTGCTACCAGACATTCCGTCATACGAACAAAAGAAGCTAGGCAGAAGCTTGTCTTGGGCAGAGATAATCATTTTTGAAGAGACCGGATGCCAATATGGTTGGTGCGGTTCCCAACCTTGGTGCTTTGTGGGCCTTAGGTCGCACCATAATCTATGACATGGTCCTCTTGAATACCATGTGCTGAAGACGTTAGCTC